GTCATATCGAACCGACCGATCGTAGGCAAATGCATGGCTCAGATCTTGGTTAACCCAAAGCATCGAAGAACTCAGAAAGGGTTTCAACGACAATACCAAGCAGAGCACTTTATCACTTTAGCTTGAAAGTCTACCGTCCAGGATTATTGCGCAAAAAGCATGGTGTCGCTCCTCCATCGCGGCAATAGGCCTAAAGGCAATTCACCTTTGTGTGGCTCCACGCGCGCTCTCTTTTGTAGTATCTTTGGTAGAGAGTATATAAGTGTGAGTTCACATGCTGTCTCTGAAGACGAGCAAAGTGATGAGGATGTTTAAATTCTGATGCTAGTTTTTGGCGTACCTTCCAGACTAATAATCTGGTGTTGAAGAATACGGACGTATCTTTCTGGACTCCTGGGTATGGTCTACTTTGTGTGTGAGAGGTGATATAACGACTTGTAACTGAGATTAATCATTAGTTATAGTAATGGAGGCTTTCTTTCTTTGTGGATAGAGAAGAGTGTAAATGTAGTGTGCTAGTGTAGCATCTTTAGGCCCCAAGTCTTTGTAACACAACTCTTGTCGGTGTACTGTACTCAGCTGAAGGATTGAGCCGCTGCGGCAACGCGTCGATCAACTCGACCAGTCCAAAGAAAATGGAACATTTTATTGGTGGAATGATGATGGTAATGCACTCGCGTCTATGGCGATTGGACGAGCAAAATAATACCACGCAGCACGGCTGAGTGCCGGAGGAGGGTCTTCAGGCGGCATCATGGTGACATTATGTGTAAGAAACCTTGCTTTTGAAGTGTTCAGGTTGACCAAAGGCCGTTCGCAGCTGTGGCAGATTGATGCCAACACTTGATTGGCTGGCACATGATGTGCAAGGTGGACCCTGGGCGTATTTTTTTTGTAAGCGGGTGCGCACTGTTGTAGTAAAAGGGAATAGCCCAAAGTGCGGTAGACTAAGCCAATGAGGAATATGGCAAGGGACCCATGCAAAAAAAAAAATAAAGAAAAAAAAGTTGAGAGCGCGTGTACGATTGTGAGGTGCAATAATCAAGTCGGGCTGGGTACTACTTGGGTGTTTCGATACAAAGAGGCACGTTTAAAAAAAGACTTAGTAGTAGCAGGATCCCGAGATGGTGAGTCCGTTAATGATACAGAGGATGGCGTAGTGTTCATGAGCGTCTTATGTTTGTGCAGGTCCACCGATATCGCTGGCGGATACAGCCCCTCTTCACGCCTGAATTTCACGAGGATTTCTTCAGGGCGCTGTGGAGCCTTCAGGAACATGGGCGATGTTTCGCAGGAGAGGACCTGCATGTCGATGCTGGATGAATAATGCCGCCTGAAGCGCAATCGATCTGCGGATTGTTTTTTGCTAGCGCAGAAAAGGTGGGTTGATATGGTCGGGGGTTGTTCACTCCCAAGGCCATGTCGTTCTAACCTACCCATTGGTGGTCACTCAATGTGTATGCCCCATGGTCAATTGGGACTACTTGCTGCCTACACCGCCTCACCCCTCTCAAGGGCCACGTTTTGAGCCCTTCTTTTCCTTCATCATCATCCTCAGGCCCGTCCTTCTTCATTCCCATCCATCCCTCTTCTTCATCCCCACTCTTCTCCGTTCTTTTTTTTTTCTTTTTTTCTTTTTTTCTTTTTTTCTTTTTCATCCCCACTTCTTGCTCTCCTTTCCGTGCCAGGTACACATATCAACCAAAAAAAAAGAAGAAAGAAAGAAGAAAAAAAACCATCCTCAATGAGCCAGGGCGAGGAACACAGGATCCAGGCACCGACCACCACCACCAACGGTAATACCTCCTGTGCACAACCTACTTCCTCCTCCTTCTCCATCGTAGCATCACCCATCTCACCAAAGACTCCTTCCTTCTTCCCTGCTACTGGACCAGAACCCTCCTCCCCCCGACCCTCTGTCACCCTTCCCTCCGCAACCCTACCCACCACCTTCCCCCCGCGACCGACCTACACCATCGGCACAAAGAGCCACGCCTACAGCGCTGACAATCGCAAGTCCGTGCCTGCCTCCCGAGTGCCTGCCTCGCCATCCTTGACCTCTGCGTCCATGCCCGAGACGGACGAATCGCCTCTCAAGGCAGCCCTTCCTACCTCTGCCTCCATCCCAGTCTCGCCACCAACAAGCCCTTCAACGGGCACCAGCATCCATCGCGCCTCAAGCCTCCAGCGCCTCAAGTCGCCAGCCTCACCCTCCATTGAGTCTGCAGCAGGACCAGGATCTGAGACCTCTGTCCCGCCAGCAGAGGGTACTGCCGTCGCAGGCACACTTAGCCGAAAGTCCTCGCTCTCCCTTAATCTCAGCCGCCACTCGTCTCTGTCCAAGAAACATGGCAATAACGATCGTGAACAGGCCGTGCCTGCCTCGCCCTCGTCGACCCATCGGCCCCAGAAGCATTTCATGTTGAACCGTCGAAGCGTCTCGCAGGACTTTCAGATCCGCCTTCAGCAACAGCAACAGCAGCGACAGGAAGACATGGGTGGCGAGGATGTCTCTGAAGTCGGTGAGGATCTGATGCCTGGAACACCCACGTCCATCTCATCTCTCGGGTCAAGCACAATGGGAATCGGGGTCAGCGACAAGGAACGGGACAAGAGTCTGTCTGGTCGGAGTAACAGACTGAGTCGGGTAAGGACTCTATTCGATCTTTCTTCCCTTTTCGTTCCAGACCAAGACTCCAGTCGTAACTTGTTGCATTATTGACACTGTCAACTGTTCTATTTTTTGGGTGCATGCTAGAGTTCAGTATCCCTGATCGAGTCGAGGAGTATCCAAACACTCAGTAGTAATCTCGCCATGGTCAGCTCACCCACAGACAGCGAGTCCCCTCAGCAAAACAGTGATTCTCTCCTCTCGGTGATCGCTCAAAAGGAAGCCAGGATTGCTCAGCTACGCGAGGATCTAGAGACGAACTTGGCTGAGCTGACCCAGCTCAAGGAGCGCTGGTCCCAGATGATGATCGAGGAGCGTAATCGTCAGCAGGCCGAAGCCTCTGCCTCGATCCAAGAGCAGGAGAGACAGCTTTATGGTCATAGCAGCTCGCTTTCGGTATCACATCGATTGTCGACCACAGGAGCAGGCATTTGGGGCACCGTTGTCGGCAGCGTCAGTGGCATCAGTGGTGTTAGCGGTGGCATCAGTCTTCACAACATCAATGCCCTCCACCAGCAGCAACAATACCAATCACCTCACTCAACGATGGGCAGTCCAAATGGTATTGTCAGTGGTCGAAGCAGCACCAGCAGCAACCCGACAAAGGGCGAAAGTCGGCCTACAAGTCCCTTGCCGGCATATCTCAGCAACTATTCTACTCTCAATGGTCTCAGCAGTCCGGTCTCGCCTGTTGGACAGAATGGTAGCCTGGGCTCTGCATCTATCAAGAAAGGAGACAGGACATCAATGTCTTCGCTTTCGACATGTTCCTCATCTCAATCAAACGCTGGCGATGGCCCAATAGCGTTCGAGGCGGGCCATTCTAGCCAGAGCAGCTTTAGCAGCGCAGGACATCCAGATCCAAGTTCGCTGCAGATGCAGCTGCACAAAGAACATCGCGACTCGAGAAAGATGAAGAGGGAATCAAGTGGGCTGTTCATTCCCTCGGAGGCAGAGGAGGTCTTAGTCAATACAGGCCGTGCTCTTTTCAAGGGGTTCGGCTCTTTGCTAGGGGGTATTCGAACAGTTGTCACCGATGTCGCAGAGTCCGATAGGTATGCGTGATGCAAGCATAGGACAGCACATACACTCGAAAGACAGATGGATGAATCCCCAAAACGATGCTTTCGTTGTCACGAACCCTTTATTTATTGTTTGCTACATACTTCATTCTTTGCGCATAAATAGATTCCAGCATTCCAGGCAACGAACAATTGATATGGTGTCGGGATTGGCACAAACGGCAGCGGATGCGTTGCCACTGCCGAGTCACGACGATATCTACTATCATCACCAACGATTGCGGCTGCTGGACGAGGAGGAAGAGGAGGCATTGTCGGTAGAGGAGCAGCAGCAACGGCACCAGCAGCAGCAACAGCAGGCCAAGGAACGGCGAAGGAGAGAGCGTCAGAAGGAGCGCGAGAAAGAAAAGGAGCGAAGACTACAGGAGGGTGAGCAGGGCGGATCATCATCAGACCCTGCAGGCGTAGCTCGTTCGCCTAGTTTGAAGCGACGGACCAGTCGTAAAACCGATCTTGAGATGAACTCAAATCAAAACAAAGCTGACAATCTGACAACGGAACAACAAGAGACGGAAAAGGACTCGCTGTCCAGATCTATTAGCCAGTCTTCGATCCAAGAAGGGCCCAAGAGCAAGCTGGGATCGACCATCGCCGCTGGTCTGGCTCAGGACGAAGAGGAAGCCTTGGAGTGGGATATCGAGGACAGGGAGCTGTTGGAGAGCCTGGAGGCAGACGTACGGGAGCAAGAGAAGGGCAGTGCTGAGATGATCAAAACGGTTCCGGAGCTAAGATCTGCGGTAGATACCCCAGTTAGGTCGGGCTTGGGGCCCTCGACTGCATTCGCATTATCATCCAAAAAGAACGACTGAGGCATACACACAAAATAAAAATTGTATTCTTTTCTTGACCATTCTTTGACCATGACCATGGTCACAGTTTACACGGAGACCATTTGTTTGTAACTGTTTGGATCGGTTGTAAAACTCGCGCGATACGCGACAGGGGCGCATTGCATATTTGCCTGTCGGTAGGTCTTCTTCCCCTTGAATGCATCCCTGGATTGCTTTTATTATTATTATTATTATTACTTTGCTCAGTCATGCTAATTACGAGGGTTCAAGTACGAATAAAGCATCGGTATCGAGCGGTGCTACTAAAGGTCTAGGAGCGATAGCCCAGTGACGGCCAACACATGGGTGACGGCGAATATTGCTACTGTACTCGCAGATAGACTTGTGGCTCCATTGGATGTGCTGTGTGCGACAGACGCAATTGGTTCAGAGCCCCCGATAGTCGGTTGTGGAGCTGCAGGTGCAGGAAGTGAGCCCGTTGATACAGTGGTGACAGATTCGTTTAAAGTTCCCTTGGGCCATGTCTGGATGATGGAGGTCTTGCACAGGGCATTGTAGACCGGGACAAGGTTTGTCCAGTACTGAACGAACTCGGAAGTGTAAAAGGACGCAATTCTAGGCATCAAGTTCGTGGCCAGGTAGCCGACTGTGGCGTTCAAGGCGCGTTGGGAGCAGATCGAACAAGTGTCCGTGCGATCTAGACTCTCGAAGAAAGGCCGCTGGGAGGCACGAATCGTTCCTGAGGTCAAATAGAGAGCCAGGTTGGTGATAAAGCGACTGTTGGGACTCCCTACGACTGGGTTGGCAAGACAGTAGGCAGGTGGGTTGACGGCCGGTGGGGGCAGCTCGATCGCGTTGGGGTCAAGGGCACAATACATGATGTGGATGGGTTCTGCAAAGAAGATCTCGAGCGCGATCTTACCCGTCTGGAGAATGTTGCCGTTGGCGGCTTCTGCATCAATAGAGGCGTTACAGGCGGCCATGAATTTGACGGTGCCCGAGAGGAGGCTCGAACGCGAGCAGGTTGGTGAGAGGGGTGGGGAGCAGACCTGGTTGAGGACCTGTCGGTAGTTCGGAGTCGCGCCTTGGGAGACGAGCGCGGCGTTGTAGGCCTGATCTGTGTAACATTTCTGAAAGACGCCGTTGCCATGGACTGAGGGCGCGTAGTCGCCATAGACAGCCGTACAATTGGCATCCTGGGCCTGGATTGTGGATGCGAGGGCGAGGAGCGAGGCGAGAGACGTGGCAGCGAGCAGACGCATGGCGATTAGCGATGGGCGATGAGAGAATGAATGTGAATGAGAGGAGGAATGAGCAAGCGCGTGAAGGGACGTCTGGCACTTTTGTTCTTAAAGATTACTGAATGCGGGGTGCCTGAATGGAGCCAAGGATAGCAGTATTGTATTTTCGAGCGCGCTAGGGCCAGAGCTCGCGTGCATATGGAGGGATGGGCAGAATGGCCAGGCCCGGGGTGGGTCTGAATGGGGCTCAAAGATAAGGTTGCTTTTATTCTGAACGACTAACTAACGGCTGATAATGCTCCATGACGAGGCTACAGGCAGGTGTTGATGGGTGGTCGCCAAGGCAAGGACCGATAGCGATCCCTTAGTGTACAGGAGAGCCTTGTCTTGAAGAGGGGGGGGGGCATTCGGGGGCTCCACAGTCAGTTCCAACAGTGCCGGGTAGTACAGCTCTTATCTCAGGAGACAGATGCAAGAGGCCAAGAGACGAAAAGAAGGAGCTCAAAGGAAGCGGACGAGAAAGTACGCGAGGGAGATACCAGGCGAGGGGGAGAGAGGGAGGAACGAGGGGCTGGCAATGCGAGGGGGAGATGTAGTTGTACCCAATGGTGATGGCGCCATGCCACGAACACCCCCCTTCCGTTATCCTACTTCATGCAGCTAGTCGTTGCCCGTTCGAGGGCAGGAGCCACAGAAAAACAGGAAAGGAGGCTCGGGATCCCGCATATACTAGTGCCTTGGTAACGGGGATGTTTACTGACTGGCATTACTGCAGTCCACTACTCCGTGCCTGTTCCGGAGAAATGCTCTCACCAGCCAATCAAGCTCAATCTAGATTTTGCTAAACACAGCCACAGAGTCATATTAAAAAGCACGATCTGGCGGAGCATTTTAATCGATTGTTTGTGTGTGAGCGCTTACAAGTAGGCCCTGGGCCTGGACAAAAGAGAAGTTTGATCCGCAAATTAAAGGCGAATAAGAACAATGCTCTCGGCTAATATATGACTGTAGAGCTGCATGGCTACATCGTTACTAGGTTACTAGGTCTGTTCATGTGTAAATACTTACAGCTCGGTTTTTACGCCAGTCATTCTACACATGCATTGGCGTAAATCAAGAACTATGCGGTGGACAAAAAAAAAGTGGAAGAAAGAGTAAGAAACGCCGCTGGCTAGAGGAGCATGCAATTCCCCCCCAACCGACGACGTTTGTTTGTGTGTATACGTTCCCTTGTTGTTGTTGTTGTTGTTGTTGTCAACTGGGAAATCCACGTATAGAGATGGTGTTATCTCAATCAATCAAAATCTACGCTGCTGGATACTCACCCTACTGCATTAGTCTATTTGATACATGGCTGCGGGGGGAAAAGTACGCCTTACGCCAGATATGTGTTTCTTATTTACGAGGCGGAGCGAGTTACCAAGAGAGTGAATGCTTGACGCACAAGAGACAGCTGAGAGGACCGAACGGAGTTTTGTCGCTACTGTGAATCTGTTGCGCGTTGACAAGCATCGCTTGAAGCACAGCGCAGCAAATTGAGAAAGCAATTGTTTCCTTCTTTCGTATAAAACACATTGAAACATGCAATCTGGACGACATACAGAGTTGCATGTGTTCACTTGGGTGCATTAGTCTATCCCGGCTGCAGGGAGAAAAAAGTGATGCCACGCCGGATTATTAGGGAGCGCTGAAAGTTCATGCTCGATCAACTCCGAGCTCTAAACTAATTACACAGCGTCCGAATCGATTAAAAATTCTTCCCCTATCCTCCATTAACTAGGCTGGATCGGACACAGCAGAGTTGGAGCCCGCAGAGTGTGTCCTTGTTGGAATTAATGCAATTGTAGGACAGCAACATGAACGAGGAGAAAAATGAGGAGCGAAGATCGTTCTGCTTCTTGCATTGCCGCTTTGTTTGCGGAGAGTTCTACGGCGGAAAGTGAAGGGTGGGGGGAAAGTGCTCTGGGATGCTCTGCATCGTGTGTTCCGACTGTATTATTGAAATAGCGTGCATAATAAAATAATATGAGATAGTCTACTGTTCTGGGTCATGGACACAAGGTTCGGCTTTGGTGTGGTGTAACATTGGATGACATGAATTGGCAATAATCCATGCTTGAAAAGATTGCTAACAGCACGAGTTGCGCTGTTGCTCAGCTATACACAACACTTTCTTTTTTGATGAGAGCCTGGATGCGTGTTTTTTTTCCCTCTGCGCTTGAAAAGGAGACCATCGATATGACGGGCGTCTACGGCTAAAGGAAGGAGCCAAGTCAAGCCTGTGCTGACAACACACACCGCTTTATGGACACATGCATATGGACCAAGTCAGCGTAAACATACCTGCCGTATATTTTTTTTAACAAGTCTATAGAAGTACCCTTGCAGGCTGAAGGCCCAGGCCCTCGATTGCCACGGCCCATAAACCATCCCCCTCCCCCAATCCCTCGCTAGACTGGTCTGTCTTACCCACGCCTGTGCTTAGCACTCCTATTTGTATTATATATACCTCACCCTGGACCTTACTCTGTCCTATTTAATAGCCATTGTTTTGTTTTTCGGAAGCACTCATGGCATGTACCTCACCGCGCATCATATGAGAGAGATCTTTGAATCATGTATGCGCGCGCTCACAGCCACCACCACACGCACGCACATACAAACCCACCTCCACGAGCAACACTAAAATCAATATGAAACGACCAAGTCTTTTATTCCCCGGTTGATTGAGTGGTGTGTGCTTGCTTGATTTTGTCTGCAAATCCATATGCGCATCCTTATCGAGCCTTCTGGACAGCATAGCATCCAGTGACCGCTCGACAAATACAGCACAGCGGCGGTCCGTATTGTGATTCTGTCCAATTGACTGAGTATTCACAGGAGTACATACGGCAACAGCATTGAGTTCAATGTATTCATTGCACCGTGTCTATCTGGCAGTCTAAGTGATAAACATAGCACAAGAATGATTCTTCTCGGATGTTTCGGGACGCGCAGCCATAAACGAAAGTTGTTGACCCAGACAGCAATGCATGTTTTATTTTCCTCCTCGTTCTTTTTAGCTGTTTGGCCCCCATTCGATGCATGCACACGCACACATACACACACAGACAGATACATATTGTTCAATGCACAGTAGTCGCTCGCCAAGTTAAATTGAATGAAGACGACGATTGAATGTGAAGAAAATAATTAGCTTTGAGCATAGCCAGAGAAGAAACACCTTCTATCCCACCCTTGTGTTTGTTCCCTTTCCCATCCTCCTTAGACCGGTCAGACCTTATTGGGACACCCACACCATCCAGGCGCAGCCTTCTTGCAATCCAGCCATTCCAGAGACAGGGCTCTTTGAGGTAACCACAACAGTAGGAGCAGCGGCACAGTAGTAAATAATAAATTGACATTAACGTGTAAACACATACATGTACAAGTAGTCGCGCAATTGAATACAACCCTTCTTTAGGTCGATCCTATACTTATTTGCTTGGCTTGCTTGGCTAGCAGGGAAACCTGGGTGTGAAATGTGTTGGGATTCATTATTCTTTTGAGTAATAGTTTGCGGTGCTCTTTGTTCCTTTCCTCCATCTTGCTTTTCCAAAACCCTCCTCAACCCTACCAGTCTCCTACTTGGCATCATCCTCGCCCTCGTCCCTTGATATCTTCGACATCCTCGGCACCTTCAATACCATCACAAATTAAAAAAAAAATAAAAATCAATAAAAAAATAAAAAGTAAGGAAAGAAAGGGAAGCGGTACCTCTTGGGACACATGCAGCTGCAACAAAGCAAGGGCAAACCAACCAAAAAGAAGATGTTTGCTTTACCCCTTGTTGCATCCTTTTTTTGCTTTCTTTTTTTCCCTCGAGGAATCTCTTTCCCTGTTCCTTTATCTCGTTTTCCGCACCGCACCGCACTGCATTGCACCTTCCTCCTCCTCTACTACCCCACCCGCACACAGCACACACATTATAGTAGACGTAATATAGTAAACCTGCTACTGTATGTTGGCTGTAGGCTTGTTTGTCCGTATGCATCCAGTCAAATACAAAGAACAGACAACCTTTGAGAGAGAAAGAGAGAGAGAGAGAGAGAGAGAGAGAGAACAGAGAGGAGAGAGGAGAGAGGGAGAATTACCCCGTTGTCCAGACAGAACAGAGAGAGCACATCACAGAGTGCTTTTGATTTGATTCACCAGAGTATATAGTCCATTCAGTACGCGCATACAACACGTTCATACCCCTGGAACTTTTCTCCCTCTCGTTCTCCCTTCCCCCCCCCCCCCCACCCCTCACGCTCTCACACTCCTCTCTCTCTTCCCTTTCTCTCTCTTCCCTCCCCACCCACACACAGCGGGACTCACTTCCCCCCACTTCCCCCAGTCCCCTCCCCATTGCCCACCCTCCACCCCAGTCCCACACAGCCCCATCTGTTCCCATTGTTGTCTCCTCCCCCCCTACAGGTCTGCCTGTCTGACAGTAGAGGGTTCATTTTCACAGCCTTAGGGTGAGTCTGGCAAAAGACAATCTCCTCGGCAGCAGCCTTGACTTCCACTACCTTCCATCACTGGCTGATCGCACGGGCGCAATCGTCCCCTTTCCCTTTTTTCATTCCATCGACATCCCTTTTTTGTCGTCTTCCCTCACATCCTCTCGTCACGCATCGCCTTCAGGAAAAGCGCATCGCTCTTTTTTTTTTTTTTTTTTTTTTATAATACGAAAAAATATATATAAAAGAGCTGCATTGGCAATACCCCAACCCTCCCTCCCTTCCTCTCAAAACAAAGCGCAGTGGTTGGACGCCCTATTTTTTTTCTTTTTCTTTTCTCTTTCTTCTCTCTTTCACCCACGCGTGTCCCCATCTATTTCCATCCTCCCTCGCCCATCCATTCGCTGTCCATTCGCTGCTCTCGCTCGGTCTGATCATCATCAAAGAGTAAGCAGGTGGAAAATACAGAGCACGTCATTAGTGTTGCTGTCGCAGCTCGCTCCACTTCACCGCCTTCAACAAGATCTCCGCAACAGCCTTGTTCCATCCGATCTCTTTTCTTCTTCCCTGCCTTCCCCTGCCGGCGCAACCTTTTCTTTCTCTCTTTTTTTGTGTTCCGTTTGTTTTTTTATTAAAACAAACCTGTTTTTGATCGTCATTGAGTCTGTTGTCCCTCATCGCAGCCTTCATCTGCTCACATCCACGCTTTCCTCTCTCTTTTACTCATCTCTTACTTTTTCGCCACCGCTGCGGCTGTGCGTGACAGCCAGGTCTAGCCAACCCACTTGACTGTCATCCGAGGGAAATAATAAACCCAGCTTTTGAGCATTCTGCCAAGAACGCCACCACTACCACATCCGCTGTTGCGCCAGTCTTGACAGGAACAGGAATAGTGGTCCCTGCTCTAGTCTCATCTGCATTCATCAACAATATAATCAAGACCAATTGACAACCACCAGGGGCCAGTACAAAAACACAAAGACAGAGCCAAGGTCAAGGAAAAAGAAGCACGAAGTACTTCAAGAAGACAGAATCGGTTTGAGCGCGAAGGTACACACTTATGCAGTCCTCAACAAATATCATAGGTAAGCAAACAACTAGCATTTCCTTGCCTTCATTCTTTGCTGTCTGTTCACGATATGAAAAAAGCAAACCAGCATGAAACAAATGGCGATGTCTACTGACCACATCTCCCTTCCTTTGCGCTTTTCTATAACCTCTTCTCACGGTCGTGTTTCGATAACATGAAATGATGTGGATCATGTTCTAGCAGCTAACCATTCCCCACAAGTGAGGCCAACGTCAGAATCTACGGAATTCAGGGCATCAGGATCTTATTCCACCAGCCCTTCGCACAACGCATCCGCGCAGACCGCACCTCCTAAAAGATCTGCTGCCGAAGGAGAACACCATCAGAGAACCCACTCGTCTGCCATGGGACCAATGGGCGCCAACGAGAATCATGGTCCCGTGAGAAGTAAGCCGACTCAACAGAGCGCGCCCCAAAATCCTGACGGCCCAGGACCCATACTCGCTCGCAAGTCAGATTCACATCAGGACAGAGGCATGCGCGGGGGGTCACAGAACGAGACGGACCACGATCAAGATGAAGAGATGGAGGAAAATGAGGACGCTGATCGCTATGACTCAGAAGAGAACATCGACGAGCTCATGGATGAGGCCGAGCTTGAAGAGGCCGAGGAATCGTCGTTCTATTCCCGTCCTGATTCTCACCAGCAGAGGGGCTACCAGGATCAGCCGTATTCTCAGCAACAACAACAGCAGCAGGCGTCTGGACATGGATCCCGATCATTGCCCAACATTTTGCCACGTCCGGGATCAGGCAAAGATCAAGCAGAAGGAGGTTCTGATTATCTTTACGACGGAGCAAGTCATGAACGTGACCATCCAGACGAGCAAAGGCACTCTTCCATGTCCGTTTGGGACGCTAACGCTCCTCGCCAAGGTGCCCCTCGCAACAACCGACCGCTTCAAGCTCGACCGGCCCTAGGAGCGGAGATGGGCGGCGCATCTGACCCGAATTACGAGGACAATAACAGCAACGGCACGAGTCCAAGCAACGGAGCATCCTCGGCAAATGCTCCAAGCGCCGCCTTCCACAGTGTCATTGTCAACAATGGCAGCAGCAAAAAGAGGACGACCCCTGCGAAGCACAAGTGCCCTCAATGCGACAAGTACTTTACTCGACCCTTCAATTTGAAATCTCATCAGCGAACACACACACAGGAACGTCCATTTGTTTGTTCCTTTGCACACTGGTAAGTGCCCTCTCCCTTCTCTCTTCTTGCTGTGTACTTGTGAGTATAGACATTTTTGACCGCGCACAGTGCAGAGACCGATTGAAAAAAAAAATGGGGGAGATGGGCACAGCCGTTGGGGAGCGAATGGCGGAGAGATGGTGGGTGAGGAGCACGGGCAGCAAAGGATGTGTTTACGGAAACTATTGCGTGGTAGTGGTGATTGTGCATCGCAATTTTGCGTGTTTTTTTGTTTACTCTTCATGCACAGATATGTTTGTACTTCTGTGCTCTTTCATGCAGCCTTGCCTCATTCGAATTGTTGACTGCCAATCGATGTTTGAGGCGTGCTTGACGGGTTCATGGCTGGATGGTAGAACAGGAGTTTGGGAAACGTGTATGAGAGCCCCCATTCCGCTTTGAAAAAAAGATTATGTTTTAGTTGGAGATGTATGCAGCATCTTCAGCTATCGAGGAGAGAAAAAGAGAAAAGCAAGGTTGCAGATGGTCGAATGGCAGTTGAAGATACAGCATTAGGGTACGCAAACAAGCAGGCAAACGCACTAGATTCTAACCACTTGATTACTTTACAATATCCTTTTAACAGCGCTAGAGCATTCTCGAGACTGCACGACTGTAATCGGCACATGCGCACGCACTGGAGAATCAAGCCTTACAGCTGTCCTGAATGCCATCGCAATTTTGTCAGACAGGATGCATTGACGCGACATCTACGATTGGACTTTGGCCACAACCGATGCAGCGGATACCCTGGCCCATTACCAGGGGGTTCCTCCAACCAGGACAAAACGGATGAGAGCGCAGACGACGCCATGGGCGACTCTTCGACAGACACCCCAGGACATTCCTACTCTGGACCAACAAGAATGGATGGTGGTAGCGCTGCAGCCAAGGCTGGTCCCTCGTACGCAACAACTACCTCTCCCACGTCTCCTTCCCTTCCATCCCCTGGAGGACATGTTCACCGCGCCCCACGCCCCGATAACCAGGATATTGACACCCATCGTCCTGTTGCGCCCGTCATGCCGGCTCGCGACTCTCGTATGCCCCCCAAGTCCACCTTGGGCCCCGAGACGGTTCAGGCTGGACCAGAACCTGTGGAGGAACGTGAACCGGTTCCACGTCGCGATGCAGCGCCACACACAAGGTATCCAAGCGCCAGCGCACCCATCAGCTTTGTCCATCGGAGTGCACCCGTAGAGCGCAGGGCAGTGACACCGCCTCAGGCCAAAGACAACCCTGCGTTCCTTTCGCAGCATTCGCGCTCGTATTCTCATTCTTCCTTCACTCATGCCCAAGCGACAGCCTCCGCTTCAGCAATGTCTGGGACTCCTCCAACATCTCAGTCGTCAGGCCCACCATTGTCTAACGGCATGTCGAGCCTGGAAAGGAGGAACCCTCCCACAAACACAAGAAATGGGGGTCCTTGGCCTGCACAGGGACACGAAGCTGGCGCCTCAGCAGGATATTATGATCAGAATCCGCCGTCGTCTCGCCCACCCCCTTCAGGTCCTGGCATAAGTCGTCATGAGGGGCCTTATGGCCCAGAGTATGACCGCCAGCGAACGGTCACAGTCGCACTACCACCGGAATATCCATCCTCGCCCCATGATACAAAGCATCATTCACCTCCAGCACACTCTTCTGAATGGGCTGCTCAAGAAGGCACCAGATCATGGAGCTGGGAACATCGGGCATCTGAGGCAAGACATCGCCAATCTACTTGGTCATCTTCGTCGTCCATCAAGGGTCCAGCGCCACCACAGCTTCCTCAGGAACAAGTCGCTCATCCTTCCTCCATGCCACCGCCACTTCGTGCCTCAACTATGGATTCATGGCAGAAAGGCCCTTCACGAGAAGACGTCATCTCGCGGGACGCTAGGGAAGGCCCCAGCTCTGGCCGTATGCCTCCACGATCCTCATCGAGTTACTCCAACACTCCTTACGCCGAGGAACCTGCTTCAGATAATCACCCGCGACCCTTACCAGGACCCACCCAACCAATGGCGCGACCAACGGAACCCTTTCGCCGTCCAGAACAGGAACGTGATCCTCGTCAACGATCCATGACGGAGATTGATCGCATTCGTGGACCAGGTGCAGCATGGAGCGAGCAGCGATCGCGGTCATACCATGAGCTAGATACAAATGTTGACCCCAGATCCAGATATGAACAGCATCCAAACAGTCCTCAGCATGGGTGGGATGGTGCCCCAGTCGGCCGAGCATCTGCCGTAGATGGACCCCCTCCGGCCCCCGAACGGTCTCATTCTTATAGTGGAGTGGTTGGAGTGGAGAGGATGCATCCTCAGGGCGCTCGCTATCATGACAGGAATGTTTCAAGGGATGCAGTAGTAAACTCGAATGATGCCATAGCCCGTGATTATCGACCGACTCGACCTCACAGCACTATGGAGTACGAATCTGACCGAGACGCCTATCACCGACAGCAACGATACTCGGGGGAGCCAAAGCCGTTGCCGCGGGAACAAAGGCGGTCCATGTCTCCAGTGCCCCCTCATCGTCACGTGGGGGTGGACCCAGGAAGACCTTATGAAGGAAATCCACGGTATTCTTATCCTACAGATCGATCAGAGCAGTACAGTCGCGAGGAGACAGTGAAAATGTCCTCTCGATCATTTCGGCACGAGGAAAGATTGGTGATGTCGCCAATTTCTCGCGAGGACCAGGGCGGCTACTTTGGCGAGCCTGGTAGACCAAATTCATTCCGTGCTTCGCAAAACTATCCATCGGCTCCGCCGCGACTACAAGATCCATCACATCGTCAGTCTGATGTGCAGCGCGAACTCCCTCGTCGCGACAGACATTCCGTCGACATGCCACTAGCTTCGCCTACATCTGCTGCAGGCGCGGCGTCGAAGCGGCCGATGTCCACTGCCTCCGTTGCATCTCGATAAACAAGCTCATTTTTTCATTCTCACATATCTCATATACATATTTCTTTGGACCAGACGGACGACATAATAACTTAACAACAGCCTAAGCATTGTTTCTCATCATTATCACCAGTCGTAATAAAACGTTTATTGCTTGTTAAAATAGTTGCGATGATTAAAGATAATAAGTTTTTATACATTGGTAGTGGTTGCCTAGAGCTACGACACGATATGGCTGCTGGCAGCCGTATTTTCAATGGATGGTGTCGATTCTGATGTCCTGTTCGAGAGAGAGGTGCAGATCCTGTAAAGCCATATATCTTTGGAAGAATGATGACGCCCAAGAGGCCTCGGGTGTGTTTCTAATCCATGGGTACTAATGATGTTGGGTTTGGTGCCTCTCCTTTGCTTCAGCAAACAGCCTTGTTTGTTCCATCAAAAGTTCCTCTTCCGTCTTGCCAGAATTCTCTAGCCTTCCCGACTTTTTGTCCTTATCCTAATATTCAATCAATCAAGCGGTCAGTCGTTCAGTCAGTCGTTGCCTTCGCACATACTCTTGTAGACATCTGCAATTATATAGACAATGTCTGATGATTAACCAATCCTTTACCTTGACCTTTTGCTGTGTCTTGTGATCCTGCAATACAACTTCGACTTCTGGCAGATATCCGTCGAAGCCCAGTGCCTGAGTTTATATATTTTCGGAATTGAGGCAATGTACATCCGTTCAGTGTCATACACAACTGGACAGTACTGCCATTACTTTGTTGTGTATCGTGCTAGACAGCATTTCTTACCTTGAGTGCTGCGATAACATGTTCCGCTGCGATTGTCTTCTTTGTTTCCTTCTCGCAGATCTCGTTTGCTTCCGATGCCAGCAAGTGGATGAACTCTACGCTCCGTAAAGAATGGCAAACCCATCGGTCAGTTCCGGTCCTGCTCTATATCGCATTTGTTAAGGGTGGATAACGTTATATAGGTCACCCATACCGACGCAACATTCGATAAGAAGGTCGCGCGTGTCCTTAGCACAGGCAATATCGTCCGGCATCATTTCGTTTATAAGTTTCTGTACCGTCGCTATTTGATTTTAAAAAGGAATCGAACACTATGATTAGTCCGGTCCAGAGCAAGAGTCCATACTCCTTTGGCCCCCCCTGTACCTCTGGAAAAACGACTGCGCGGAGTTCTTGCCTTTTGGTAGTGACAGTTCGTCGTCATTTCCTCGTTCGTTGTCACTCATCCTGGAAGTGTCCGATGTAAAAGTCGGTAGACAGCTGGTGATTGTCGTTGATTGCAAGGTTGCTGGTTGCTGATGAGCTTTGTTTGTAGTGCTGCGAGGTTAAGAACATAACCAGCATTGCTGGGTGCCGTTGGAGTAGTGGCACTGCAAAAGTGCAAAGCCACCAAACAACCCTTTCCCCTCGTTCTACACACGTACGAAGCATTCATTCCTTCTCTCTTTCTCTGTCCCGAAGACGATTATCAACGATTACCCAACAAACCGTGCAACAAACTAGGACAAGGTCACCATGTCCGGTAAAGAGCCACACAAGCAGGATCCGCCAGAAGTGGCCGAGTTCCACAAGGAGCTTTATGGCCTCTTCGACTCCCGCACTGCATCGGCATCCAAGATCGATCGCTTAACAAAGATGGCCATCAAGTCGGCTAGAGTAAGGCAGATATAAAATTCATTCATCGCAAACATCGTGTCCTGAAGTCTGCTTGTGCACCCAGTAGCCGAGTTGATTTTTCTTTGCTGTTACTAACCTTATTGACTTATTGTTTTGCACATGTTTTGTATCATTTCAAATAGTACTACAAGAATATTGTCTATCATCTGGAAAAGTTCATCACACGATGTGTTCCTGAGTACAAGTTGACGGGTCTCTACGTGCTGGACTCCATCTGCCGGGCATCGCAATCTATCAAAATCAAGTCTTCATCAGGATCGTTTTCAGGATCAGAATATGTTGGGCGGATTGAGCGGAACATCGAAGCTTTATTCGCTGAGTTTTGCAAGGTGCAAGAGGACAAAGAAAAGGTACGTTTGCGTGGTATTTCTACGCCGGATATGGCACTGTATTGCCTTGTGCACCACACCTGATATTGCAGCTGGAGCCCTACCAAGGACGTACCAGATCATGGATTGCAGGACAACACTGGATTTTTACGAGGAAATAAGGATCGAGGCGCTCAGATTATCTTATTGTCGCTGGATCGTCTTCAACATCAACATAAGGAGGCTTCAAAGATGAATATCTCTCAGTAGCTAAGGCATTGCAGCTTGAGTGACCCTTTAAGGAGGGCGGACGGTATGGCAGTATATGTTGTCAAGCGCACGGAATGGGTAACCACGATGACAAAAGAGCAACAGACACCTAGCCAAGGGAGAGAATATGTCTAAAACAGGGCAAGGAGTTTCGGCAACACTGGAATGATCATGGACATACGGTTTTCGCTAGCTTTTGCACTTGGACGCCAGGGCCCCGGTCATGTAGTATCGTTCAGCCGTGGCAACACACACCAATAAAGTCCAGCAGGAATGGCTTTCCCATGTATTTTACTACTGTGATCAAAGCTGGGCTTGTCAAGCATGCTTCTAGGAATGCTAAAACTTATACTTATCTCTCTCTCTTCCTCTATGTTGTTTCCCTTCACCGTTGTCACTGCCCATTTTTTCTATTACATCCACTCTTTCACCATTCTTTCGTGCGCCGCACCGTTTCGACAATTCGACAATCGCTTACATCCATTCACTTTACTGGTATGCTTTTCTGACTATCTCAATCCCACGTCCTTGTCTTATTATACTTTCTTTCCAAAATAAATTGCTCCGCCCTGTAGGAGAAAGTAAAGCGAGTGGTTGAGATTTGGGAGCGTTCAGGAACGTTTACGCCGTCAGTAACGGAGAACATCAGGAAGAAGTATTTTCCACTTTTGGATACAGCAAAGGCTCACACGGATACGCCGCCTTCGTCCTCATCAACTATACAGCTTTCTGGTAAATAATGCAGCCTTTATGACATATCTATGTCTGAAAGCCTTATGTACATAATATGTACAATATGTGTCAAGGATTTCACCAGTATGGAGTGTTACTAATATGCTTTTACTGCTTGACCTACCACCAATAATAGCAACGGAAGCAACTAACGGAAATGCAGGGAACCAAACTGCATCTTTGATCTCCTCTTTGGCTGCATCTTTGGCACAACAATCAAACAATCACATCAACTCTCCGGCAACGGTAACGGCAGCGCCCTCATCATCCACATCATCATCGAATTCATCGACACCGCTATCTGTAGCGGCAGTTCCAGAACAGGAGAACGCCACGCGGTACCAGCCCATAAATCCTACTCATAACGGTCATCAGGGTAACACACTTCTCGCAGGAATTTCTGATCCGTCATCAGCACTCGCTCTACAAACGCTGCTGGCAACTGTCTCGCAGGTCAAAGCAGCGGCAGCCTCATCTACAAGACCCGCAGCAGGAGGTATAGGAGGTCTGTTCCAAGCGTATCCATCTTTGCCCTCGTCGTCAGTCTCCGCGCAGGCACCATCGTTCCAGGCGCCTTCGCATGCGCTGCCTCCGGTGCTGCAGCAACTCCATGGGGTGTTATCGAATAGCAATCAGAACGGGGCATTTCTCCCTAATAATAATACCATGGTTTCAAGCACTGTTGCGTCTCCTTTTCTGCATACTGATAACCACCAAGCGGGCGGCTTCAACAATGGAAATGGAAGCGGTGCGAATGGGGGTTCGATTCTGCGGGATCCACGTGTAGATCAGGCACGCGTGGATCCGCGTCTGGCCTTTAACCAGCAGAACGCTCACGAGTCCGCACAGCCCCCAAGAACACAGCCCCTCGCAAGCGCAAGCGCACAGCCACTCTCGCAGATACCGACACCCATGTTTGGCTTGGCCGCGCACTCTTCCTTGTTGCCACCAACTGCGACAGCTTCAAGCGCACCCAATTCTCTGGGGCTCAGTTTCGATGGTCAGGCCATGGCCCACCTGGCATCGCTCTTGAATCCCCCCAAGAATGGACAAATCTCATCATACTTGCCATCGGATTCGGCCTCTCTGCCAACATCACCTGCACCGTTCCTTATGGTCCAGTCCATTCGAGGGCTACAAGAAGGAGCTGGACAAGGCTCTTTGAACGACAAACAATACCAAGGAAGCTCACCCAGCCAACCAGGTCGGCCATGGATGGTGCAAGAGCCATATGCGCCGCATCACAACGATACCAACAACAACAACAACAACAACAACAACAACAACAACAACAACAACAACAACAGCAACAGTGGTCATTCTCAGGCAAGAGGGCAAATTCAGCCTGCTCCTTCTTCCACTATGGTCAACGATGATCCAACGGTCGATTCAGATAAGATTCGAGGTATGTAGGCTGCAAAGGCTCGCAGTACCGGCTCCGCAGGCAACGGTCTACTAATCATTTATGTTCCTTCTTTTTCTTTCCTTTCAGTGATCAGTCGAACTCTTTGGGTGGGAGGTTCATTTGTTCCCACTATCTCTGAGCCAGAGCTCGAGGCCATCTTTGCAACCAAGGGTAGGATCGCCACACTGATGGTCAACCATGCAAAGTTTAATGCCTTTATCAAGATGGCAGACCGTATGCAAGCGGAGAGATGCAAGGCTGAGCTTGATCGCACAAGCGTGCAGGGAGAAGTCATGAAGGTGGGATGGGGCTGTGGGTTTGGACCGAGAGACTGCTTTGATTACACTGCTGGATCAAGTGTTATTCCGCTTGAACGATTGACGGACACGGACAAACGCTGGCTCAGTAACAGTGTGGTAGGTGGATTTGGTCCTCATGAGCCCATCCGGGGAGGCGTTGTTATCCTGGAGCCGAACATTGAGACTGTCGGTCCCGATGGCCGTGAGGCATTACCGAGGAAAGCTAAAGGATTTGGCGGTGCAGGGGCAACAGGGGGTGGTGTAGGTCGAGGAGGGCGTGGTGGTAGTGGATTTGGAGAGGTCCGTGGCCGAGGGCGAGGTCGTGGTCATGTTTCAGTGGATCAGCAACAGGAGTTTTCGGACATGTTTAGAAGCCGTGGTGTGGGTGGTGCTAGTCGTGGTCGAGGATTGGAAGACCATTCACAGCAGCGGTCGCATCCGCTCCCGAACCGTCCTCAAGGTGGGGTACTGGGAGCAGGGTCGACATGGCCAGGGAAGCGAGAGTTTGGACAGGGTTCGGAACAGGAAGCGAACAGCGAGGCCTATAACCAGCAGGGTATGTCTTCAGCTGTAGGCACAGGAGCAGTGGCCTCAGGATATCATCCACAAAGCCAAGACGAGGATATAAGGCGGAGTAAGAAGTCGCGATGGGAGTGATACGGGAAGGGGTCGATAAAGCATAGCTTGTACTCGAGTAAAGAACTTGACCAATGTACACCACAACGAACATCTTTGAAAATAGCTCCGACCACTCAGGCGCTTGAGCCACAATGTCTATTAAGCATTGCTGTACCTGGTTGGTCGTCATTCCATTCCCTTTCCTCATCTGTGTTGTCCATCGAACCCCAATTAATCCAACCTCCATACTTTGCTTTCCATCCCCATCTCGCCTCTCTACATCGCCTCCAAGTCAACGCCTTTTTCATTTTTTTGTCACGCTTGTTCTTGTATCATGGACCTGGACTATGCCGAGGGGACACCGCCGCCCGCCGATGTCGAGGAGCTCTACTCAAGTTGGGCACTTCTCATCTTGACAGTTCTTTTGATTGGCGCCATGTGGACATCCTACTATCTTCAGGTCCGCAAGATCACTGCCATCCATGAGACCGTGATCTCTATTATGACCGGTAAGTGGGGCGGGCCACAATGTTACACCACCACCACCACCGCCACCTGTGATAAGCATTGTGTGGCAGAGTATTCATTCCCTCAGTGCTAAGCACTCTCTCTGCAGTGGTAGGCCACAGCAACCAATGAATTTTCTGTTGAAGGATAAGCAGCTCACTAATAAAACCTCAACGTAGGGATGGTCGTTGGATTTATCATTCGCATTGCGCCAGGACGTATGGTTCAGGACATGGTCACCTTCAAACACACATATTTCTTCAACCTGCTGCTACCACCCATCATTCTGAATTCTGGATACGAGATGAAGCAGGCTCGCTTCTTCCGCAACCTGGGCAGTATCTTGACCTTTGCCTTTGTAGGCACATTCATCTCTGCCCTGGTGGTTGGGTAAGGACACTCGGGTACTGGTGACAAACAAAAAAAGAGATCTGATTGGAGTTTGTTCTCTAACTTGGACAACTTTCTTGATGGCGTGTAGAATTCTGGTCTACCTACTTTCATTGACAGGACTTGAGTCACTTCAGCTCAGCTTCTTGGATTCGATGATCTTTGGCTCGGTTTTGTCCGCAACAGATCCAGTGACGATCCTCGCCATCTTCAATCAGCTCAAGGTCGACCCGAAGTTATATTCTGTAATCTTCGGCGAGAGCATCCTCAATGATGCTGTGTCGATTGTCATGTTCGAGTAAGGCGATACGCTATCATGGAACAAATTATTAGGAGCGGAGGGATGCGCATCACCAATCAGCACCGTACTTGGATGGCTAACTAGAATTTTGTTTTATTTTTATCTTTCTTGCTTTCATTCTAGAACGCTGAAAAAATACCGAGGAGAGGACTTTCATCTCGGCAATGTGCTTCACGGAGCATCGACCTTCTTTTTCGTGTTCTCTGTCTCGCTGATGATCGGAGCTATAATCGGATTGATCGCCGCCCTGGCGCTGAAACGGACCAACATTCATCTCTACCCTGGTCTCGAGTCGTGTTTGATTGCTCTCATGGCCTATGCCTCATACTTTTTCTCAAACAGCGTTCATCTCTCTGGTATGTCGTTTTTAAATGCAAGGATGCCTTGCGTATTTATCATATGGGGTCGACCATTGTCTTAACGTTAATTCTGCAACTCACTTGTTATTTAGGCATCGTCTCGCTGCTGTTTTGCGGTATTACGCTTAAGCACTACGCTTACGAAAGCATGTCCCTTCGGTCCAAGAAGACAACAAAGTCCCTATTCCAAGTGCTGGCGCAACTGTCAGAGAACTTCATCTTCATCTACTTGGGACTGACGCTGTTCACAGAGACCGATTTGGATTACAAGCCTTTGTTCATCCTCTTCACCTTCGTAAGTGATCTTTGGCTTTGCTCTGTGACACTGCGTATGAGAGGCCTTCACCTATTTTCTTAATGCCTGTTTAATTTTTCTCTCGCACAGGTGTTCATTTGCATCTCAAGGTACTCGGCGGTATTCCCGCTATCGTCCTTAATCAACATGGTATCGGTGTATGTTCTCAAGAGATCAGACACGCTCTCGCGACCCCATCAGGTCATGCTCTTCTGGGCCGGACTCCGCGGAGCCGTTGCATTTGCATTGGCGGCCAGTCTGGATGGCGTGAATGAAGCAGCGGCATTGAAGACGACTATTCTGGTCGTGGTCGTGTTGTCAGTGATTGTTTTTGGAGGAACAACTGCGAGGATGCTTGCCATCCTTGGCGTCAAAATCGGCTGTGTTGACTCGGAGGGCGAGAGCGAGGACGATGAGGGATATGAGGAGTATGATCGCGACAGGGAGATGTATTTGACAGAGGATATCTATGGTCGTGGAACAGACAACCAGGCACTCTACCAGCAGACCTCTTACTCAAATTCGGAACTGTCACTTCAATCACGGCCCTCGGATGAAGACTATGTGGGGTCGGCAGGGTCTGGATCAGGATCATCCACAGAGTCCCGCGGTCATCGCGATAACACAATTTTGCCATTACCGGTGGCGTCTGCGAACCACCCAGATGATACGCATTGGTTCCTCTCATTTGACGACAGATATCTGAAGCCGCTCTTTTCACGGTCAAGGCAATGGAATCGAAGCAGGCGTCGATTCTCGGGTCCGACGATTCAGCAGCAAAGAAACCGTGCGCGCTCAGCGTTTGTACACCGTGGACCATCGTCCGGCATGACGACCGCTACGAACTCGACCGGTCAATTTGGTGGACGACACTCTCGATTTTCGTCCGCCAATGGTGAATCACGTACAGTAGGAAGCTATCTGTCGAGCCATGGCAGTAGCAGCAACCTGGCAGCTTATGCCAATGGAGCGAGTAACGCTAACAGCCGGAAGTCTTCTGGGGAGACCGGATCGATGACATTAGGAGATGAACTGGGCATGAATCATGTTCGACGGGAGCTGGATAGGCGAGCAGCAGCGACACAAGCAGCGACGAGTTTGAACACTCAGGGATCTGGCATTCATGACATCTGAGGAAAGGGATCGTCTGGTTCTTTCCCCCCCGCCCCTTATTGCTTCATACCCGCAGCAGTCGACATCTCTATCTCCGGCTGGCCTTTTTCTTCTTTTCTTTCTACGGTCATATACACGTTGCATATGGTGCCTTCCATGCTCTCATACACGGCTACTCGGTAGCTACCCCTCCCCCCACTCCAATCCTTGTATCGCCAAGTACCCATCCTTGACCAAGGAGCTCTGATCTATTATCAGCACAACAAAAAAAAAATACATAAATGATGGTGTAGTTTTCCAAACTCTAGTCTGAATGTTGCATAAAACCTGTTTTCACTCTTCAAATAAAGCTCGCTTTCCAAAAGATCCATATCCACGTCCTCAACTATAGTCTCTTCCTCGCCTTACTTACTTTTTCCATATCGATCATAAATGGAGATGCTGAATGATGATCCATGCCAGCCGCTTCCCTGCGAGCCCATGTTATCAGGGCAGATCATTTCAGGCCTACTCCCTTCAAATCTCTCAAAATCAGCTTGTTAGCAATCTGGATGTTGAATCTGGATGTTGCATCTGTTTTCCTAAAAGGCTACATAAACTTTCAACACACTCAGGGCTTCCTCGATAAAATTTAGATCAGGATAGTAAGAAGGATAAGTGTTGATGAACCTGTATTGAATCAGAGTAGGACTAGTAGCTTGAAAAACGAAGCATTAGACAGGCCGAAAACAATAAAACTAAGTACCTTTTGACGATCTTTTCCGCGGTTAAAGGGAAAGCGTTCCCTGGCTGTTTGACTGACGCGTAAAAGTCTCTCTTTTTTTTCTTTTGCTTGAAGGCCATCTCCTTCTCGTTGATCACCCTTTCTTTCTCTCCGATATCCTCATCCTCTTCTCAAGGTCCCGTCTTCTTCTTCCCCAGATAAAGGGGTTGATCGATCAACTTTTAAAACGAAGGTGGTAACGCACCCGATTATGCAGATGCAGAATCTCTGAACAGAACTCTTTCGGTGGCGATGGCACTTGGTATTGTCTATAACAAAACATCACATTCCTCTTCCCATTGCATCCGCATCACTGACATTGGTTCTTTTTACATATTCTCCAAGAGTCCTTGCGTTCATTTTATCATGATAGTCTGTCGAGTTACTCTTGGCCTTCCTAACAGAGAACTCTCTGATTCATCCATGCTCGTCTCTGGCATGCAGAATGGTCCATCTCCCACTCTTATTGCCTCACGATACTGTGTCTCCTTCAGTACACCATGGCTAACATTGAAGGCATGCGAATATCAGATAAAAAGCAATAAACCAGTAGTATCGATAGTCGGCAAAGCGAAAGCAGATCGAACTTGCTATGCTCCTCATATTTGATGCTGGTTACAGTATGGCGCGTCAAATCAGACGAAGAAAGCATCTTCGTAGTTCCCCGATCTCCTTTTTTTCAGTTAATGACGCCTTTTTGCCTAGGCGTTTTATACTCATCACTCCAATACCCAGAAGGAAAGGTTTTCAGTTTTCAGTTTTCAGTTTTCAGTTTTCAGTTTCCAGTTTTCAGTTTTTTTTTTTTTTCTGCATGTTGACGACGGATTTCTTACTTAAAAACATCGGGGCTATGTTAAGCCAACTTCCACCGCCTTCTCTGAAGACGAATTTTTGGAGTTATTTATTCCTAGACCCTTGGAATCACATTGCTTTGGATCAACACGTACAATGATGCTTCAACCAAGAAAAATGCAGGAAGCGCGCATTTCGGAAGATGAATAATACTATGACAATACGGACAGGCGGTACCTATATAAAGAGATCGACGAGTAGACAGCAGCTGAGATTGTCGTTCACTCGTTTGTGACGATAATTACGGCCGTCAACTGGCGAAGACATCTCTCTATGTTCACGGTGGATACTTTGGAAAAAAGAAAAAAAAGAAAAAAAAAGGTGTGTGTGGAAGGGGACTATATGCGCCCATTGACAGCATCCGAGGAGGGCACTTGACGAAGAGTCGAGAGTAGCTTGAAGATCAATTAGGGTCGTCTGGAGGGGTTGGGAGGTTCTATAATGGACATGAAAAATAAATAAACTGTATTATTCTATGTGAAATCAATCAATATCGGCAAAGGATGAAGATAAAGAGTAGTTTGGCGCGTTCGACCAATCGCTGACGTTTAAATTACGATTGTTTACGCGTCTGAAACAAACTACAGCACAGCACAGCACAGCACAGCGCACTCCGGCGCACACCTCTATCCCCCCCATATGATGGAGCAAACATCTCGCAATTAAAGAAACCTGTTAGTCTTTTTTTGTGGTGGAACTTACCAAAGACCATCTCGTCCTAATTTTTTTTCTTAGCTCTTTGCTCCTTTCGCCCGCCCTACCTCCTCGACTCCTCCGCTGCCCTTCTCTCGTTTTGTATCAGAGTCAGTGCTCAGAGTATGTATGATATTAAAGTTTTCCGAACTGTAGTTACTTCTTTGTTTTCTCTATACCATCACGTCTGATATTGCTTTTATACTTGTTAATGATGTTTAGAAGAGATGTAGAGTCAGCAATGGGATGAAAGCGATGGGGACAGACAATTGTGTTATTTTATTTTTTCCTGGAAATGATGCTAAAAAAATCGGCGAATTCAAGCAGAGAACCAAAGCAAACGCCATCTTAAATTTGTAATCGAGAACTATCAGCCTGGACCGCACAACAGCGTCCTCTGTCCCCGCCAACATGTTTACTTCAAGACTAAAGGACCGGGCAAGTGCGGATAAAATCCTACTGCTAGCATAGAATTCTGTAAAGACTCGCAACGACAAATGATTCTAGCCTCCTGTCTCTCTCTTTCTCTCCCCTCTCTCTCGCTCTCTCTCACTCTCTCTCACTCTCTTTCACTCTCTCTCTATCTCTTTATTCCCTTCTTTTCATTATATACGATTATAGGCAGAAATATCGGATATGCTGCTTTGTAGTAACGTTCGGTCATATGTAAGACTCCCGGTTACGAAATTCAAAGGCCAAAGGAGTACGGCCAAGAACATGGACTCATGAATCAAGGGAGTCTTATAAGAAACTGCGGTGATGCAGCCGCGCAGAATAATGGCGAATGCCATAGTGGTATGGCTGGAAATAAGGAATGATCCCATGCCCCTCGAGCGCGAATTCATAAAAAAAAGACGAAATGCTTTGTGGAGGGGACGTACCAAAAGAATATATATATGGCTTGCAACTTAACCTCAGTGACTCGTAACTGCAAGGTTACTCGACCGCTTACAGTACACCGTTGCTTAAAAGTCGTCTGCAGTGGATTTGTACCTTTCAATATTTGCAATTAACATTGGTGGGAGCCTCACGAAGCCTTTTCACTCTACCAGATTACCCCACATAGCATGATTCAGGGATCTGAGGACCCCTTTCGTATTCAACTAGAAATCGAAAGGTGGTAATCGTCGCATTCTAGCACGGATCCTGACTTAGAAGCGTTCAGCCATGATCCAACAGATGATAACTTCGGGCCATTGCCTGCTCAGGCAGGCCCAAATATCAACTATCCAAATGAACGGTTCCTCTCGTACTAAATTCAGTTGCTATTGTAACCACATTTTATCAATAGGGTAAAACTAACCTATCTCTCGATGGTCTAAACCCAGCTCACGCTCCCAAACAGTGGGTGAACAATCCAACGCTTACTGAGCTCTGCTTCAGTATGATAGGAAGAGCCATTTACATTTAATGAAAACAGCTACTAGCTACTTATGAAATACATATCAGACATCTTCGACTTGATCCATTCTCGACCGCTGCCAAAATGGTTTACTCGTTAACCGGGATACTCACCAGAACATTCACCTTTGTCCATTTTCGACCCATCATTGGTGAAGAGGGGCCATCCCTCCATTCATTTCCCACTTTGATCTCAACAACGCTTCCCCCTGGAACCTTCATTAACTAATTTTCCATCGATGATGGACCCCCATCCCTTGTTGTACCACCATGGCCATCAGGTTATTACACAGTCATTATACCCTGTCTGTGGCGCCTACACAGATGAATGGGATGTTAACTCTTAATCCATGCTTTATAGAGCAATGTAGCGCACTCCTAATTGCATCACATTTATATCAACCAAACGGAGAAACATTCGCCGAATCGACTGGTTTCGCTGAATATGCAGCAGGAGAACTAGCCATGGAGGAGGTATCCAACATACTGTGATTTGATGGCATCTTTAGTTTGGATACCACGGATGCCATGCTGATTAGCTTCTTGCCTGTCTCGCGGAAGCTCGAAGGTGGAATCGGCACACCCACAGCGCCGCGCTGTTCCAATAGTCGCATATTTATCCTGCTCAAGCCTCGGACATTCTGGATAACAGTATTCGAGACATAGAGTGAGTCATGCATTGTACTCCAATGTAGGAGCACCTGGCAGTGATCACCCTCTTCTATGACCTCCCACACGCGTACAGACTTATCCTCACAGCCGGTTGCGAAATAGGTACCATTGAGAGTCGTATTCCAGGCAATACTTGTGATATGTCCGTGGAAACCTTTGGCAACCGCTAAACACTGACCCAAATTCACATCCCACAGCCGCACTGTGTTGTCGAAACTGCCCGAGGCAATCTGGTGGCCGCTGCGCGAGTACACCACATTATCGACAGAGCTAGTATGACCGCTTAAGATGAGACCAGGCGTACCAGTTTGTGCATCCCACAGCCGCACTGTGTTGTCGCGACTGCCCGAGGCAATCTGCTGGCCGGTGGGCGAGTATACCACACTAGTGACAAGGTTGGTATGACCGCTTAAGATGGGACCAGGTGCACCGGTTTGTGCGTCCCACAGTCGCACCGTCTCGTCGTAACTGCCTGAGGCGATCTGGTGGCCGCTGGGCGAGTACACCACGCTAATGACAGTGAGGATATGACCGCTTAAGGTTGGGCCAGGTGCACCGGTTTTTGCTTCCCACAACCGCACCGTGTAGTCTTCACTGCTCGAGGCGATCTGCTGGCCGCAGGGCGAGTACACCACGCTACTGACAGAGCGGATATGGCCGCTTAAGATGGGACCAGGTGCACCGGTTCGCGCGTCCCACAGCCGCGCCGTGTTATCGCCACTGCCCGAGGCGATCTGTTGGCCGCTGGGCGAGTACACCACGCTAATGACAGAGGCGGTATGGCCGCGTAAGGTGTGGGTTTTTGCCCAAGTCGAGGTGTCATACACGCTGATTGTGCCGTCACGAATGCCCACAGCATAGATATCCCCATCCGGAGAATATGCGCAGCATTGTACCTCGTCATCTTCTTTTAGATACGGCCATTCGCCAAACTGTGCGCCTGCCATTTGCGCACCGCTCAAATCGGCCTCACGCAGCCAAATATTACGAAGATTGGCCTTTCTCAAATCCGCCTCTTGCAGCTGAGCAGAATCGAATTGGCCAAAGCTCAGGCCTGCCCCTGGAATCTGGATGCCCTTCAAATCCGCCCCAATAAACCGTATTCCGGCTCTGACCAATATCGTGATCGCATTGGCGGCTGCAACACGCCACCCCTTGTCGGTTTTCGAGTGTTCGATGAAGGCATGCAGTTGTTTTTTGAATAAGGGCTCCTGTTGAATGCGCTCTTCCAGAAATTGCAGAACAGAAGGCTCGCTCACGAAATTCCTCCAGACCAATGGCGAGGTGAGGTCAACAGGCTGTGGCTCTTCGGCAGCGGCGGTCACATTCTCTAAACCACCTTGGATCTCAAAGCTCCAAACAGAACCCGCGCTCCCTCGACGGGCCGGGGTGAGTACTCCACCCAAGTTCTTCTTGCCCTCTTGCGGTTCAAACACTGCGCGGGCTATGCAGTATTCCAGTAGCGATCTATGGATAAACCGGTACTGATTGCCGCTGCGCGTCAGAGGACAGGCTTCCAGCAGGAGCTGGTTCTCGTCTTCTCGGGAGAAAAACTGTTCCTTCCACGTCCCTTTGTCTCGTTTGTGCGAATAGGCCACCACCGGATTACCAGCCTGATGCTTGTAAATTGCACTAGCCAAATCCTTGAGAAAATCGATACCGTTCTGAGTAAAGCCTTCGTCGTTCAGCCTCTCAAAGTCCGTCCTCGCTTGATGGCTCAAGTCTTTGTTCCCAAGCCGCTTCTTGCCACGCTCTAGCCACTGTTCCATGAACTGATCATACAATGCGACTCTAGTGACCCGGACGGCCAAGAGGTCTTGTCCTGGATCCACCATGCGCGGCAGTACCTCCAAGGACAGCGTTAACATAAAGGGGTTCTTGACCAGTTCTTGCAGGCTGGGAATCAGATCCAGGGCCTTCAAGTAGTCCGTCGCCTGCCAGAGCGGTCTCGTCGCGGACACATATTTCCTTATGTATTCTTGAATTTGATGCATAGAGAATGGCGCAATGACCGCCTCTTGAAATGCTGGCTCTACTTGATGATTGCGATCTGCTGGTTGGAACCGATCCCGATAATCGAGGCCAAGGTACTCGCTGCGGCAGCTAATGACCATCTGAGCACTCCATCCCCCCACTTGATTCAGTCGGTTGCTTGTGTACAGGTTGTGCGTCTGCTGGCTCTCATCATACCCATCACAAATCAAGATGAATTCGCGGTAGTCTTTCAGCTCTCGAATCTGGGGCTCGGTAAACTCTGCCCTGCGTAGATGTTTGGCGATCAGATCCTGTTCTGGCTTGTCGATTGCAGGCAAGCTGATAAAGAGCGGAATCCTGCCTTCCTTTTTCTTGTAGGCATCCCACAAGTCGCACTCGAGCTGCCGGTTGAAGGTCGACTTGCCTCCACCCGAATCGCCCAGTAGGAGCATCACCTTACGGTCACTGCTCAGGAAGCCCTCAACTTCTTTTGTCAAGCCGAACAGGTTGTCATCGGACGCTTGCAGGTTAGCCTTGGCTTGAGGGGGGATGTAAACGACTTCGCCTCATTCCTTCAATCGTTGCTTTCTCAGTCGTCTCAGGTCGGCTTCAACATCAGGCTTGCTCTGAACAAGATCAAGCAATGATGGAGACGCGACGGTCGGTAAAGCGACCTGCAGCGGATGCAAGCTTCGATTTCCCTTTCGGAAATCCTGATAAAGAATCCTTTTCGTCTCATCCCCATTCGATTCCAGCTCTTGCAGCAAAGATTCGACACCTACACCATGTATCGCGTAGACCATAATAGAATATAGTACAGCTATCAGTACCTGCTAGGCCGTGAACTCCATAGATCATAATACGACGAGAGCCTCTCATGTATCCGTTCATCATACATACCTGGCATAGCTGAGCCAAAAGTTGAATCCAACTCCATAAGGATGTTGAGGATCCATTGCTTGACGAGGGTCTGCTTGCCCAGACTGCATCGTTTCGGTAGATCTCACCTAGGAATGCAACAGCGCCTTGGCGAGACTCAGCATCCCACAGTGGGTTGGCTGCAAGGTCCCCCAACCGCTGGCATACTCCCAGTTGAAAGGCTAGATCACGCCGGCAAGGCGCTTCACAGACCAGAGCCTTGAACTTGGCGAGTTGACCGTCTCGAAGCAGCGTGTCTGTCCCGCGCAGTGCTGTATACCAGACGCGTTTCTGATTGAAACTGAGACCGTCTCTGAGAGGGTCCACAAGTCCTTGGCCACCTTCGACGAGTGCGCTCACGCTTTCATAACCGATTTTCGCTACCTGGATCACCTCTCCCAGTCCTTCCTGAAGATGCCCGAGTCCTGTGATAAAGCCATCGACATCCAGACCTTTTACCGCGCTCACCAGTCCCGAAACGCCCTTCAATACGATTCCTGCGCGCCGAATTGTTGCTTGCCGGGGTGATTCGTTGTCTGGGACGCACTGCAGTGCTTGAAAGGCGTAGGCAGCCTGGTACACCAAGTAAGGGTCGCTGCTGGCATGCAACCCATTCAAATAGACAGAGAGGGGCTCGTGCAGCTCCACACGCTTTAAGCCTGAGACCTTGATATCGGCCATGGCGTCCAGGACGTTTGAAACCGCAAGCGTCAGACGATGGATTTTATCCGGAGATTGTTTGTGAGTATCTTGTAAGCGTGCGTTGAGGACGCTTAGGATCATGACCAGGTCGTCGGCGTCGAGGTATCTCGGGGAAGCGCCTTGCATCAGTTGCGCCAGGCCATCGAGAGAATGAACATCCAGCAAGCCGGGCCTCTCGATTCCATGGACGAATAATGAGAGCAAGGATTGAAAATCGTCCTTCTCGAGGACCGGAGCCAGGCACACGACTTCTGCGACGACCTTGGCATTCTTGAGCTCATCCCGAGTGAATGCCCGTATAACATCCGTACCCATCGTTTTGAGCCTCTCCTTCTCCTCTGCGTTCTTTTTTGTGGCTTTCACCCACTCGCCTGCGGCCGGTTCAAATGCCTCTTCGGGCGACGGCGTTGCTTGCAGGAGACCAAGGCAGTAAGCGAGTTGGGAAGTGTCACTGAGTCGCTCATCTGCGTCTGGTAACTTGCACTTGACGACGGACTGGCGTAAGTCATCAGGGAAAATGTGCTTTGGGAGCGATGCAGTCTCGCGGCCTGAGCTGTGAGCGGCAGACGAAAATGTGGGACCTGGACATGGGCCTTTTGTAGGATGCAGATGACTGTTGAAGTCAGAGTAAAGTGAAAGGTTCGAGACGCCTTAATACTTTTTTATCGGCGTATAAAACTATGGGCTAAAAACGAATAATTAGAGAGCAACTGCCTGTCACTTACCCCCACCTTTCTGCCTTCTTGTAACTGACCTGTGCCAATTCTCTATTCCCCAAGCTGTCCTGCAGTTCGCCATGTTCAAAATAAGCGGTAGCGATTCCATCACGCAGGGTTTGACCCTCGACGGACAAGGGAGGCGTAAGAGTCTTTTTCGTAGCTCTCTTCACTCGGGATAATGCGGCTACCGCGTCGTCGCACAGCGCTAAAGCAATTTCTCGATCCTTGTTTTGGCGCGCATTCTCCAGAAAGATGTCGACGATCTCCAGCTCCTTTTGTGGCGAGAGAGCGCTTCGCGATGACGAAAAAGCACTACCTAACATACCGCTTCTGAGATTTGCTTTTCCTGTTATCTATCACAGAGCAGATGACGGCGATGTTAGTGAACTTGCTGTCGATTAATATACTTGCGTGCGTAGTCAACGTACGTACTTACACTTGGTATACACTGCAGTAATCCAATGGGGATACAATAGGCAATGCCCTGTGAAACAGCGGACGTGGTGGCAGCTGCATGGACTTTATCATATGTGACTACCCTGCACAACTGATGGGGCCCTACCTCGGAAGTGTTCCTATACGACTCTTGTTTCCTTTGACTGGATGCAGAGGTATTCTTTTCATCAGCTAAAGGAGATGATCCGTCCCTGTGCAATTTTCTCTTCCTCAATTCTTTGTTCAGGACTGTCCGCGCACGAAAAACGCTTTTCTCGTCACTTCTAGCAGAGACGCTTGTCATCATACAAGAAGGGGTTAATATCCATTGCACATGTTTTGCCAACGAGTCACTGCTTGAGTGTGCTTATTGAGATCGAGCAGAGACATACGAGAGACAGATAGAAGAGAGAGAAGAGATGAGAAAGAAGACAGTTCCTGATGAATTGAGGGAGGGTGTAGTTGGGAAGAAAGGAAAACGAGAAGAGCGGAGGGGAGAAAGAGGGCGCAGAAATAAAGAATGAGCGCTTCGAGACACATCCATCGTTGTTGTATTGGTAAACAGACTCATGCTTTCAAGCTCTCGCCCTCGTGTAACGTGGAATGGACTCTCATCAAATGCGAAGGAAAGACCTGAGAAATCTACTTCCTCATTTTTTCTCACCACTCCAGCATCTCCCAGCAATAGCTAGCCTCATATGTATGATAGAAAGACGCTCTGGTGTATATAATCATTACACCCCCAAAGTGTCGATTCATAGTGCAATACATGAAGGGGCTCCATTGTCATGGAATAAGAATACCATGACGGTATGAGGGTGCGAGGGCAAGAAGCAAGGTGGTTCATGAGTATGTGCTGTCTAGAATTGAGGATGCAAAGGGGCTCAGGAACACTGTGAAATCCATTTTAGTATGTATAATCTGTAGATAGAAGAGCCATGCGTCGTCACTTGAATAACATCCGAAAGGCAGAGTCTCATGAGAAGCTGATAACAGCGTGGAACACCTTTAAGAGCACGTTTCCGCATGCTGTCCATCTCAAGAAGTGGATGGAGCGGGACCCCTTAAAAAAAAGAAAAAAAAAGAAGCGCTTGCTCATTCATAATTCTCTCTCTCTCTCTCTCTCTCTCTCTCTCTCGTTAACGGGATTACCAGCATGTCGACACCAGTAACCTGGTGGAGAGCTGGCACAGGACTTTGAAGAAGCAACATTTAGGAACTGGACGCGACATGCGCCCCGATCATCTGGTCGTCCTTCTGCAAGGAGTGGTTGACAGGGATTTTAGAGTCACTTTATGATCAATCAAGGATTGCAGTTCTTAGCGCTCTCTGATTACGGCGGGAAAAGAAGAACCAAGGCGATGGAGTTGACATTCGAAGTTGCAAAGAACATGGTTGCTGGGATGATTGATGATGGAAAAGTACTCGCAAACGTAGGCATGCAGGGGACCAACATACGTCTCAACGCGCAATATACAAGCAAATTCCACTTTGATCATTGTTATTCTCCACAGTATTTTCAAAGCGTGATGGTAGGACTGAAGAACACAATGCTAGATGTCCAGAGAATTAACGCTGTTGGGGCAGAGCGCAATCGCCAGTGAATAAAATAGCATGTTGTCAAACGAGCGTGTCCCCTGTGTCAATTCACAATCCCATATACGGCATGGACTAATGGACGGACCCTGTCCAGACTCGCTGGAACATTTCATTTTGTCAATAAAATAAAGATGAAACCATTATATTTACAGAATAATCAACTAGAATGGGGGATGGAGGGGAATGCTATGGTGTATGTACGGAAATGAACTAAACATGGTCGACGCCACTGGAGTGAACAATGTTTCTCTTACGGCCCCTTACACAAAGTGGCCAATGCACAAGACAGCTGAGACGGGGGGTACAAATGCTCACTAAAACGATGAGGAAATTGATGTTCGTTAATAACAGACTCGTAGGCGTGCATTCATGCATGCATACAGGTCATCCTCCTTGAGGGGTTGCCCTTACTCTGTCATGCGGGCCCAGAGCCGAAGACTGTGTGCTGATTGTAGGACTTCCACCGGGTGGCTGATTCGTGCTTGCATACCCCGCATGCAAGTAGCTGTTGCCACCACTGTTGGCAGACGCGGTGCTGTAATGATAGTGATTCGCCGTATTAGAGAACGCCACCGAATTGGAGAAGACGTCCTCAGACTCACCTCCGAGGAGCTGATTCGAATGGAAGCCTGGATGGGAAGACAGACCCGTCATCGGTTGAGAAGTCGGCGCAGAATGCGGCACCGATCCTGTTGGGTATAAATGAGAATATAGTCTGGCCGATCCGCCTGGACCAGGAGAGCCTCCGGTTCGCCTTGGAGGCTGCGTTGTCGAAGCGAGCTGTTGAGCAGAGAGCATGGGCTGGTAGAATGACTGGATCTCTTGCTTTATGTCGACCGAGTGGGTTCGTTTGATCGTAGGCGCTGGCTCTTGTCGCGAAGACTCGGAGGGATCTAGATCGAATGATAGTTCAGAAGACGATAAATCTTCCTGACTCAGAGTACCCGGGTGGTGCTGCTGCTGATGGTGATGGTGCTGATGGTTGGACGGATGTGGGTGGTGGTGGGACTGCGAGGATGGTTGCGAAAATGAGTTATGGCGGAATGCTGAGGCCATTCCAGAAGGCATGTGGTGGTTGACATGATGCGATTGCTGCTCCTGCGGATGATACTGCAGTTGTTGGTGTTGCTGCTGCTGCTGTTGTTGTTGTTGTTGTTGTTGATGATGATGTTGCTGCTGTTGCTGCTGTTGTTGATGATGTTGTTGATGAGCGTGGTTTGTTCCTGAATGAGGAGGGTATCCTCCGCTTTGCATCATTAGCATGGTCGAGCTACCAGGCATCACGGACGGATCCAAGCCAGGAAGCGTGTTCTGCAGAGGTCCGACAGCCCCTGCAGCAGCTGCTGCTGCCGTAGACATGTCCAGATGGTTCATCATCTGTGTAGCGCTCATTGCTGCACCAAACGAAGGAGCAGCCGCGGAAGAGCCCCCGCAGATTCCATGCCGAGAAAAGCACTCTTCACTGAGGGAGCGTTTGCGGTCATTCACTGGCGACATCCCCAGGCCGAGCCCGTAGCTGGAGTCCACTAGAGGAGAGGGTATGGAGGACGGCCGTCCTTTCTGGTTCGGGGTGCTTTTCACAGAGATGATGCATCCTGGATAAGTGACAACATAATCGGATGTGCTTGGAGGGGAGTTCGAGGAGGAGGATGAGGGGCCGAAGTTAGGACTTGTGTTAGTAGGCGAGGTCATGTTTATGGAGCTGGCACCCCCAAGCCCTCCTCCGCCAGCGGAGGGGGGTGGAGACGTCATGACACGTGAGTTGGCGCCTGCTGGGTCGATGTGAAGCTGTTCGCAAAGTTCGGCAAGGACGTTCTCCAGACTAGAATGCACCTTATACGACAGATTTGGGTCGCCACTTGCTAGACTGGCGACCTTGGCTGCCAGCTCCATCGTGGAAAAAACACGGGTCTCAGAGTCGCGAAGGCGGATCTGCTTCCGCTCCTCCGTCAGTCGATTGTAGAACCGTCGTTCATCCCAGACTAGTTCTGGAAAATCCTCCTTGATGCGCTCGCGGGTCTCTGCTGTCGAGAGGATGCGTTGGTTGGCGTAGTAGGCAATCCGATCAAAGACAGCCGGTGGCCAGGGCTGTCGAATGTCATCTGGCGAGATTAACGGGTGGTTATGGACCATTGAGGCTGGGTTCATGGCTTTTCGAAAGACCCAGAGTTTGGATTCTTGCTGGAACAGGGTAATACGCCACTTGCAGTCGCACCTCATCGACAATCGCTTCCGTTTAATTTCCTTGTTGTTTTTGACAGAATCAGGGACGCCCTCGCGCGAACAGTACAGGTAGACATTCTAGAATAAAAGAAGTATTGTCAATGAAAGAATGGTTAATAGTTAATAGGGAGACATTTGCACTGATATACTGTTGCACCATTGCATCTTTCTAAAAGGTAGATAACGGCTAGACCGATGCTAACTAGTGATATGTTGACGGAGAGCAAACAAGGATAGGAAGATAACATGTTTGTGTTGCACAGTTGCATCATGCCATGCTGCATTAATGTCAACAATAGCAACAACACTAATGGGAATAAAATGCAAACAGGTGCGCACGTATCAAAGAAGAAAGTGTGGGGCTTTTGTCACCCCAGATTCGTATAGACCATAGACCATTGGCATTCGGGGCTATTAAACACCATCCTGTGCCCGCTATTTTTTTTTTCTTTTAATCCGATTGAATAGGAGTATTCCTTGTTTTGTGACCATAGTACATGGCGCTGTGCAACGAAAAAATGGTGGGATATACAAGAGCTGGAAAGTATAAAAAGCAGCGCTCCTCGGAGACAGGACCACTCCTCCGGTTTGTCTGGCTGCATGCTGCAGCCGTTACACACCCATTCTTGTGCTCGATCTTCTTTTTTTCCACACCTCGCCTTCCTTGGCACAATTGCCTCAAGGTATGAGGGCAATTAGAAAGGATGAACTGGCCTTTTGAAATTACTGCTCTTAAACAGTAGGCGAAAGGGGTAAAAAAAAAAAAAGCACTAGTAAAGGAGTACAGGATGACACACTGAACGAACGAAGGGGCCCAGACAGACAGACAGACGAGTTGAGATTATGCAGGACCGAAAAATAAAAAGAAATAAAAAATTGAATTCAAGCATAGAGAGAATCCAGTGCTCTCTTTTTGCACAACAACCCCAGTTACTAAATATGTGGAAGAGCATGCGATTGTTTGCGTACCTTGTTGGAGCTAGTCTCCTGCTTGACTGTAAAACCATGCTCTCGAGCCAAGTCGCGACACTTTGTGATAGCATCACTGGATTGCTCGAAGGACAAGCTCAGGAGTCGGTCATAGAAGTCGTCCATCTAGGATCAGATCCAAGGGGTAATAAGGTTGAAGGATAAGGAACAGGAACAGACAGCGGATGGTATTTGTAGATTATGCAAAGACGTAAAGAGAGAAAGAAAAAAGAGAGAAAGGAAAAGCGCGCGCAAGTTGTTGTGGTTGTGTGTGTTTGTGCGTATGTGTGTGTGACCAGAGGAAAAGATTAAAAGGGTCCCTGGCAATTCTAAACATATAAAGAAATACAATAGGCCAGGTCTAACCACAGAGGAGGAGAAGAAGGCGGAAGGAAGAAGGGGATCAGGTGGGAATGCGGGATCACCACCCGAGGGGAATGAGTGGAGGTGAATGCGGATGCAGAGATGAATGAGTGCAGTCAACAGAACACAGGGCACGGAGACGGAGAGTGAGGACGAGACTAAGCACTGGCGGGAGGTATTAAGGTATGAGGTACAGTTGAGCAGTAAAGGAGAGCAGAAACCCAATTGAGAAATCCAAAAAAAGGGCGCGAAAAAGAACAAAGAGGAGAAGGAGAGAGGGGGAGGAGAGAGAAGAAAGAAGAAGAAAAAGGAAAGCAGGAAGAAGTAAAAGGGAGAGGAGAGAAAGAGGGAAAAGAAGGAAAAGAAAGCGAGGAAGGCAAGAGGGCAAGAAGGCAAGAGAGAGAGATGGCCGATCACATTCAACTCAAGACCCGCGTTTTTCTTCTTTTTTTTCGACAGGGGAATCGGGCGGACACACATACACACACGAAGAGAAAGAAAGAAAGAGAAGAAAGAAAGAAAGAGAGATGGAGAGAGGGGGGGGAAGGTGCAGGGGTCTTGGCACGAAGGAGCAAAGGGCGGGAAAGAGCAGAACAAACGTACACTCATACGCTCAAAACACACACACACACACGCACGCACACGCACACATGCATACACACATACACACATACAAGTACACACATATAGGCAAATCGCATAGACAGACATGTAACAATGATTGCTGACGAACGACGGATGATAAGATAGAGAGAAGCAATAATAACAATAAGAATGACGATAAAAATAAAAGAAAAAACAGAGGATGAGATGGAAGACGAGTAGGACACAAGGAAGGAAGGAACTGGTGACCAACCAACAAAAGACCGCCTACCACCTCCATCCAATAGTCCTTAGTTTGCGCTACCACTGCCACTGTCACTGTCACTGTCACTGCCACCGCAGTACTGCAGTGCCCGTTGTTTTCTACCTTTCCCTTCCATTAACTGCATCCCTTCCTTCGTCCGGGTTGTGTCAAGGGCGGGGGAAGAGTATCAGGTGCAATACAGCTCTAGGGGGAAGCACAAACCAAAGAAATGGGTATTCATTTACCGGCATGGTAAACTAAAAACAACAACAAAGGAAAGGACCCATCAACAACAAGGGCAGTGGCAGATGTCACCACACAAGGATATTGAGTGACAAGGTCAAGAGGGATAAACAACCAAAACGATCGACGACAGAAAGTAAAAAGAAGAGAAAGCAAAGATCTTGTGTGGGATCCGCACTCAAGAAATAAAATGGAAAAAAATGAGGACTTTACTGACGTGTCCTGCTTCAAGTGCCGATCATGGGTGGGATGGGATGGGATAAGATGGGGTTGACTGATAGAAGAGGGCAGGAAGGTGGCCGTGCAAAATGTCCAAGGGGGCAGTTTACGGACGCTTACAGACACACATGGACGTTGATCACTTTAACGCCATCGCATTCACCCACGCTTTCGCCCGTTCATCCGTCCCAAATACACTCTGTCAGAAGGAGAAAATAAAAATGGCGCGAAAATAATAATAATAATAATAATAATAACAATAATGATAAACACAAATCACAAAAAGTCTTCTGCGCGTTGCACCAGACACAATACAAATCCCGATCGGGCACTCGACTCGAGGCACGATGATGGCCTGCTGTTGCACCCCACCCACCCTGCCTGCACCCTCGATCATCTCCTATCCTTGTCATATATTCTTCTTATCCTTCCATTTCCTCTCCTCTCCTCTTCAGGCCATACACAACACATCCATAAATGCACACATAGCTACATATTTGTATACAAACAAACTTTGATATTCAGTGCGCGCAGGGCACATCTGGCTCTGTGCCCCTGATTTTTTTTTGTAGTCGTCATGAAAAATGCCGGTTTTCTGTAGTTTTTTTTTTTGTCCCTTCAAGGTTCGAATCGTCCCTCAAGAATTTCGCCCGACATCCAGCAGCGTGATCAGCGCTCCCTCCTCTGTCTTTTCTTTTCTGTCCCTTTTTTTTTTTTCTTTTTTTTTTGTTTTTGTGTACCCACAACCAGTTCACCTTCCCAGCAGAGGAAAAACATAATACCCCGTCCTCCGATCTACAAAATCAACGTACGTGTACATATACAACGGCGGGAGAAGAAAGTGTGCCGTGATGGATCTGAGGGACGGTCATGGCATGCATAAATGGCTCTTGCCTGAGTATCGGTGGGAGTGGGAGTGAATGGGAATGGAGCATATGAGAAGTAAAAATGGGTAATTGAAGCGAAAAGGAAAACCGCGGGAAGATGCGAACAAAATAAAAAATAAAAGGTCTGAGCAGACGCTGGAGGGACGATGGAGGGACAAGCATCTGCAGCACAAAGTATGTAACAGCCACCGGCACACATCGCACCTTTTTTTATGTGTGTGTATGTGTGTGTGTCCATCTGCTGCATTGCAGGACAGGGGAGACAAAAAACAAAAAGACCGTCGAGGCCATGGACAAAACAGTGGACGCTACTCTCCCAACCTTGATTTTGCCATATGGGTAACCATCACAACTGAACTCTGCGCTTTCTTCCCGCATTTCTGTGTCAGTATGTTTCGCTCGCTTTCTTTATACTGTGCACCCAACTCTCCTCCCACTTCCCATTCCTCCCTCCTCCCCTCTCTTCCCCTCCCCTCAAAAAAAAAAAAAAAAAATACAAAACAAACCAGACCTCGTCCAAATACTAGTCCCGATATACATGAATGTTGATGTACGATCTTGCCGCGTCAAAAGGGTGCCCACACAACCAGAGAAATGAATAGTGTGCCAAATCAGACGCCTTGCATGAATACAATGGTAACCTGTGTCCTCAGGGGGCGGAAAACTTCACCGAAAAAAAGATCACTTTTGTCAAAGGACTAACACAACGGGCGGGGAAGACGGCAAGATGACCATGGGTCATCGGTCTCACCGCAGTAACCGCGACAAGGCCCGTTTCGCAGAAAGGGGAAACGATGTCTTTGAAGAGAAAAAATAAAAAGAAATTATCCCGCCAAAATAAAAAATAAAAAAAATGGCGAAGTTGAGTTTTCTCCTACCCCTATTCTTTTTCCAAGCCCTTGACCAGAGCGCCAGATAGTAAGGACATTATTAATACACAACTTTGTAAAAAAAAAAAAAGGATGCTCTTCACGATCGGCTGTCCAGGCTCGTTGTCTTTTGTGTATGGACTTTCCCGCCATTCTTCCCCTATTTTTGCATTTTGGCTAAGATCTCCTGTCGGTTCTTCCGACCAACATCAGAGACCTCACCTAAACCTCGCCGATCCCTGTGTCATGCACGCTCCTTCATGCTTAAAGCATTTCAATCTTAAAAAAATAAAAAATAAAAAGAGAAGAGAAAAGAGAAAAAACAGAAACGCAAAAGATAACCATAGGAAGATATAGCAGTAATAATTAAAATAAAAATAAAAATAAAAACGCATTGAAAGAAAAAAAAATACCTTCACAATGGTTGTTGATCCAGAGTTGGTATCAGAATCGGTTGTGGTGAAGCTGGTTGTCGATCCCGTCGAACTGGAGGCTATCATAGGGACCCCTGAAAACCCATTACTACCGACATTGTTGTTTAGCTGGTAAGTCGCGCTCGAGGACGTCGAGCAAGTAGACGAGGAAGACGATCCGCGACTCATGAGGAAGGCAGCTTGGCGTTGCTGCTGATCTTGCGGAGAAGGATAAATTGGGGTTGCGGACTGGTCATATGAAAACGGATCATGCGTAGAGTGGGAGGACGACGGCTGCGACTGCGATTGTGGGTGCATAGACATGAGCGAGGAGGCTTGATCTTGAAACATGGCCTGGCCTGGTAAGGACGGCAGTGGAGGTGGTCTATGGCTGGAGCCGCCGAGGTGGATGGATGTAGAGGACTTGTTAACCATTAAACCCCCAGCCATAATTTCGCTCAGGTGGGCGAGGCCAAATTGCTGGTGTTGAGGGAGCGCTGACGACGAATTGTTCAAACGACTTTGTGGTTGAAGCAGACTTCTGGATGGGTACAGTTGCTGATGTTGCGGCATAGAGAGCGACGGCGGCACCGGAGGCAGCTGTGAGGTATGCAAGGGTGCCTTTAACGACGCGATGGAGGATGGTGGCATTGTCAGGGATGGAGTATGGGGCTGGAGTTGTGAAGGATTCTGGACCTGACTATGCGCCGAAGGCATGGACAAAGGAAGAGAATGAGGTTGCGATGTTTCTGTTTGAGGACCTGAATACAATTGAGACTGAGATAGGTTCAAGGTCAAGGATGATCCGCCAAAAGGTGACATGGGCTCAACCTTTAGCTGAGGCTGCTCGCTGGTACTAAGGTCATCCCAGATCTCCGCAGTAGGTGTAGTGGATGAAGCCAGTGGGTTTGTTGTGATTGCGGTCGAGGTGTGAAAGAATGGTTCATGGATACTGGCGGACATGATGCCTGGACCACTCGGCTACAGGACGAATTCAAGCAAATAAAAATAGCGTATAAATAGCAGCAAGAACTGATTAGGACGTGTTGTTTCCTAGAATGGTGGCAACGAGGCGTCTCAGCAAAGTTTAAGAAGAGAAACATAAAAGAGGGGAAACAGGCATAAAAAAAAGTGGAACATGAAGACCTCAGGTCGGGGACCTCGAAGGCATGCCAATGCTCTACGAGGATGAGCTAAGCGCGCAATATTGTCAGCATTCAAAATGGGATTGTCGAGGTAAAGGGGTATCGAACACAGTCAATAGCGGAGTCATCAGCTGCTGATCCAGAGAAGTGGAAACAGAACCGAGCATGCAGGTATCCGAAGCATGAAGTACCGTGGTTTGGGAATGGATCGGCGCTTGTACACTTGAGCCGTACTCCCCATGCACATGCCACATATACTCTCACAGACGCACAACACACAACGTTTCCTATTACCTTGGCGTGGAGCATAACCGTCCTGTGCGATCTTGATTCGAGGGAGGACACGACAGAAAATGATTAACGAAAGTTCTTGGATTGCACGCTGAGGCCCATAGAAGATGAATGAAAGGTGCATGCAAAGGATTAGGAGACTCTGCCGTTATGTCCTGTAATTCAGGTACGTTAAGCAGGAGTGGTGGAGATTATACGTGTAAAAAATAATATAAAAAAATGAAAGAAGAAACTAGCAGGCTGAAAGGGTGCGAGGGTTGTAGAGCAAGGGGTCAGTTTGGAATGGGTATCTGACCACACATCAAGTACCGCTAAAGTGTAGTGACTAAACCACCTTGAGCCTTTGGGCTAGACACGCGTCGTAATCGATGAATAAAAGGACTAGAAAGTGGGCAAGGGCAATATAGAAAAAACCAGGAAGATTGGAAGGGCAATTCCAGACGCTGGAAAACACGAAACTGTATGATCATGAGAAGGCTCGGCTTTGAAAGCCATGACAAAGGAACTGTGGCCTCAGAGTACAGACTGGGCCACTACTGACGCACAAACGCGAGAGCTGCACTAGCACTCCGGGCAGACTCTCTGCTGCATCGGCAGGAGATACAGATTCAGAAAAAAAAAAGGTGAGCCCTTGAGGGGAAAGAATCCGCAAAGGGAGGAGGAAACAACAAAGATGCAGGATGAAAAAAGGGGAACCACTTACTGTGTGGCACTTTGGAGCTTGTCAAACAAGTCGTGCTTAAGCACAAAAAAAAAAAAAAAAAAAAATGGGAGAGCCAATCAGGAGGTAAGCATGCAGACATCCTTGAGCCGCGCTCGCGTTATGGTGCGCTCTAGGTTCCAGGGAGGACAACTCGAATGAATTGAACCATGAAACCCCGAGCGCCAGATCAGACTACGAGGGGAAGGCAGGGGGTTGAGATGGAAAAGGCGAAGTGACGAGGCGCGTGCACGTCCAGTTCAATTGAGACAGATTTCACGACGGCCAAGTAGGTTGGGGTCACAGATAGTACATATAGGAGTTATAGTGCAGCGCAAGAGCCTTGTCTGAGCATTTCGGAGGGCGAATCAAGGGTGGACATGACGCGCGAGGCCATGCAACAGAGCCTCAGCATCTGTTTGTCCATTGGTCCGTTCGCTTTGTTTGTTGTTTATGCGTGTCTGTATTTGTTCAGCTGGGTGTGAGTAAGCCCACAAAAACGGGGTGCGTGGCGATTGAATTGGCGGATGAGAGGACAAGAGGGCGGCAGGGAGAGGGGGAACTGGGGAAATGAAGCCGCCACAGAAACTCGGTGCCATATACTATCTGCGTGGCGTATTATAAAATTATAAGACGAGTATTCACATGTCCGGAACGTCATCAAAAGATATGCATGCGCGTTGGTGGCCCAACCACAAAGCCTACAGATGATCGCCAAATGGTCAATGCACAGCCTGCAAACAGGGTGCGCCTAGGCCAGTCCAATTGGCGAGGGCTTATCACGCGCCAAATAAAAAATATCCCGCCATACTTTCCCAAATATTACAAGGACACCTTGAACAGATCACTCTTTTCATTCCGTGGGTCTCTTTTTCCACGCGCCTTGTACCTAGGCAACCTAGGCAGCCTTAGAGGATCTTACATGGATTGTAATCACGTACCAGATTGGATGCGACGGCTATGTGTCTACTCCGAATTGTAGTGTCAGATTGAATGCTTGCGATGTCTCTATTCAATCGTAGAATGTGTGTTATTATACATAGAGACTCGTGAGGATCAATGGCAATTGCAAAATGATCGCTAGAGTCATCTTTTCTGTTTCATACTGAAGACAAAGCGGTAGGTTTGGAATATATATTTCTATTCCAAGGATTTTTTGAATAAAAGTTGTTGTTTGATAGCGTTCGATCCAAGCGCTGAAGACACCGACAATAGCAAGCAGCAAGCATGGGGATATGAGGCATTGATAACGATTGCAAAGTTGTTTGACAGTGGAGGAATGTAGTCATATTGCACCCACGTAAGGGTTGATCTCGAAGCCACGCTCATTACTGTAAGCATTGTCTGGTCTTGGACCGCAACGCATTTTTCGTACCTGTATAAGTCTGGATCAGGTCGAGCAACAGAGAGACGTAGAAATCAAAGCAGAGAGGGAGAACAGAGAGAAAGTGAGAACGGGTGAGAGAGAAAGAAGAGGGTGACAGGGAGCAGGGTTCCTGGATTAGAGATCGACTCTCCAGTTAAATTAATAAAAGGCGGAGGTAAAAAGGAAAAGAGACAGAGAGAGGGTGAGAAAGCGAGTGAAAGGGTGAAGTGGAGTTAGAGCGGGAAAACAAGAACGGACGATGGTATCAGGCCGGCTCTATGAACAAGTACCAGATAAAAAACAGAGGACCTACTAGATCCGCTCTGTCCCCTTTGTGCACCCTTTAGTGCTCTTTCTTTTTTCCTCGACCGGTCGGTCCTCCGAGGTCCGCATTTTTCTCCAATTGCTCAAACGTCAAAGTTTCCAAGGTCCAAAGGACATACGCGAAGGGCGACGTCCGAAGACGTTTCGAAGCTGCTAGAATTTCAGGAATGCATCGTTCTTGGTGTGATCTTCGATATGACCTTGCACGCCGCAGTGGAAGTAATCTCTACCACGGTATTTTTCGTTAAAGTAAATCGCCTTATACGGTACGTCTGCTCAATTGAATAGCGCTTGTCAGATCTTTCCTGCACGCACGTTTGAGATTGATAGGGCCGAACAGCGAAAAAGTTATTTCATCTAGCGACAGCACCTGGAAACAGGAGTTTTAACGTGGAGTGTTTAATAAACTCCGTGTTCAAGGCCCTAGCAACTGCCATTCTTATCGTCGGATCCGTCAAAAACGATGACCCTTCGCGTGAATGCCCCTCCTTTTGACTTTGAGTATGATGTACGTTCGTGAGCCCGTCTACGGTCTAGAATGCGTGTAGCGAGTGATGCCCCAGGTTCCAGAGGATGCGTTAATTGACAGTCGGCTCCTTGCTCAGGTTCTTTTTCTTGAGTTGCTCAATCCTCCTGGTACCTATCTGCCAGCTCAATGGCATGAATTCTTCCTTGTTGTGGATACGGTTTCCAGTCTATTCAAGGCCGTTCATAGGATGACGCCTGTTAAAAAAATAGTTCTCATATCTGACCGAATGACAAAAAAGGCGGAGCTTGGGGTAAAGGCTGGTGATGAGCCGAGAATCCCTCGCTCTCATAAGAACATATAATATTAAAAAAAGGGAAAAGAAAAAGCTCTTGGCCATTGTTACCTTGCATCAATGTAATAATATCATGCTGATTTGTAAGAGTCTTGAGAAGGATCCGGTAATTTGATGTTACTACTGGAGTTTCAAGACTCCAATGTTATTTATTTTCCGAGAATGACAAGTAAGAACAAGGGGGTTCTATCTTTCGCCTGCGGCCCTTACTGTTTGAAGATGAAGACTTGACCTCACTGCCTCCTGCTGGAAAAAAAGGAGGTCAGGCATGACGGCATTAATAGGCGGTCTGTCATCGCTTCTTTCTTTCCACTCTTTCCGTCCTATCCAGTGCTTCCTTCAGATGAAGCATCGTTACTGCTCTGAGAAAAAAGAGACTCCGGAGTCCCACGAATTTCTTTTTCGCGCCACTAATTTCTTGCGCGCTACCTTCCTTGGTGGCTTTGCACTGCCGCGTCTTTTTCTTTTTTTTTTTACCTGTCATTGCTGATCACCCATTTTTTTTTTTTCAAACACAAACCATTCCCACAATGTCCGACTCTGTAACTACCGCTTTCTTGAACGCCTGCCAGGGAACCCTCGGGGGAGCCGAAGTTGTGGAGGGCAGGACCGATGCTGACCGCAAGGAGGTAAAAAAAAAAAAGAAGTCTCAAACGTTGACTTGGAGTCGCGCCAGTCGAAACAGCAAAGTTGTGAGGAACAGGCGTCATTACCACTACTCGACATATATAACATGCGGGACATATCAAAGCAAATGGACAACTCACCTTCTGAGCCGCAGTCATCATCTCGTCGCTTTCTCTTTCAGCTAAAGACAAGGAAACCTTCAATTACTCTCAGCAACACGCCCACGACCTGTGACTCATAGTCGATTCAAAAGAGACATTTTTTTTTATTGTTCTATTGCAGCAAGAAACTTACATCCTCTGGGTCGTATCATCGCAATGTTAGGTCAAGGACTGGATCGATCGCTTCGAGAGGGATATCACTCCTCTTGCCAAGGTACGTCTTTTGCTGCATGCTCGAGTTTTTTTTTCATTTATTCTGTACATGACGTGAATGAGCTCTATCTTTCTCACCTTGCCTCTTTTTTTTTTTTTTTTTTTTTTTTTTTTTTTGCTGTGCTTGTTGAAATAACTCTCTAGGCATTGAACGACCATCTCGAGACCCGCACCTATATCGTCGGTCACTCTATCACCAATGCAGACCTCTGGTCCTTTGTCAAACTCCACGAGCAGATTGTATGTCTCATATGTCACAGGAATCCATAGGATCCGTTCTACGTCAGCCAAAAAAAAAATACCATTAACATCGATTTTTCGTATGCCCTTACGCATAGAGCGGTTTGTCCAGAGACGGTCAATTGAAGCGTCCCCACTTGACCAGATGGTTCGATCTGATTCAGGAGCAGACCCAGGACTTGGGTCACTTGGTTCCTGTCGCCATTGATCTCGAGGCTCCCGAGTTGAAGATTGTGTCCAAGGAAAAAGCCCCCACAGCTCCCGCAGGAAGCACTGCAGACGAGAAGAAGGCCAAGAAGAACCTTAAGAAGGACGCTAAAGCCGAGGAAAAGAAGGCGAAGAAAGAAGCCAATTCTGCTGCTACTGCTGCAACTCCCACCCCCACCGCCGAAGCAGCTGTCGTTACCCCAGCAGAGGGCTCTGGAGCAGCTGCAGCTCCTGAGCGCAACAACACCCAGAAGAAGGAAAAGAAGCCCAAGGCCCCCAAAGCTCCAGTAGCGCCTGCAGGGCCCACGACCCCTCAGCCTTGGCAGATTGATCTCCGGGTTGGCAAGATCCTGAAGGTTGAAAAGCATCCAGATGCGGATTCATTGTATGTCGAGACCGTTGATGTTGGCGAAGCTGAGCCCAGGACTGTCGTCAGTGGGTTGGTCAAGCATATCCCGATCGAGGAGATGGAGAACCGTTGGTTGGTCTGTGTCTGCAATCTGAAACCCGCGGCCATGAGGGGTGTCAAGTCCTTTGCCATGGTTCTCGCTGCTACGGATGATACCGGCAAGTTGGAGTTGGTGGACCCCCCCAAGGGCTCTAAGCCTGGTGACAAATGCTACTTCGGCAACTGGAAAGGTAAATTACGCTGAATGTAGCTTTTTTTTTTTTTTTTAGTCTTTATTGTCTTCTTCGTCTTTTGAAATGTGCTCGACCTTGACTAAGACCGTTCTTTTGTCTCCTTGCTCTCTGGACACCAAATAGATGAGAAGCCCGAGGAAGTTATGAATCCAAAGAAGAAGATCTGGGAGACTATCCAGCCTGGACTTCACACCACACCCGAGTGCCGTGCAGCCTGGAAGTCGGACGAGGGCGAGGTTCATGTCTTGCACACCGAGCACGGCGACTGCACCGTTCCTTCTGTTGTTGGCGCCAAGATCAAGTAAAACGCTCGACCACATTTGTACGCGTCCTCAACATCATCCCTATCACCCCAGCAATAAAGTCCTTTATTTCTTTTCTGTACGCGATACATGGACTTGGTTCTTGTGAAAATCTCAGCACCCTGCGGTTGTTCGCTGCTTTATTGCGGGTAAATATACATGTGCAAGGGTCGTGGGAGCAGAACTTTGGCGAACGAGGAGAAAAAAAAAAAAAAAAAAAAAAAGAAAAAAGTAAAAAAAAAAGAAGAAAAAGAAAAAGAAAAAGAAAAAAAGAAAAAAGAAGAAAAAAAAAAGGACGAGGGAAGAGTCGCCTACAACTCCAAGGCGTCCTTCTCATCCGTGGAGCGAGATGTGGGCAGAGTCGTGCTTCCTTGTAGAGCACCGCCTCTCGGATTCCGAAGGCGTTCGGGCGATGTTGGAGAATTTGGTTCTGAAGCCGTCAGTCCTTCGCCTCCGACCTTGATGTTCTTGTTGTAGGCCACAAGTCCGCGCAGCATGTTCCCGAGACCTGTCATGGTTCCAGGTTTGACAATCTTCTTGGGTTCGACTGCATCCTGCTCGCGTGAAGGTTCCGAGGCTTTTGAAACATTAGCCGGCGTATCCATAAGGAACTCAGGTTTGTCGATCACATTCGGGGTTGGCGGGATCAGGGTCATAATCAAAGGCGATCGCCTCATGTCCTCGTTCTTGATCGCCAACATCGATGAGACAGAGGGCTGTGCGTCCGTCTGTACGACATTGTCGCCAGTATCTCCAGCCCGCCAGTTGCTTGTCGAGTCCGCTGTCCGTCCCTGTGCTTGTTTACGTTCTACCGGTGGCGATGCGATGCTATGTCCTACAGGATGTCCCCCTCCTCCTAGACGTCCCTTCGAGGCGCTCCGATTTTTGGGTGAAAAGCTGAGAGGCGCCCCACCGTCCTGTTTCTGCCACCCAGTAATGTCAGACTCATAGCCACTCGAGGGCCTCCGCGAGGGGTTGGATGAACTCGAGTTATTTCTTTCATGCCAGTGAGGCGGATGGTACACATTGTCCTTGGGCGCATCTCCTTCTGTCAATGGCATCTTTTCTGCCATACGATTCTTCTTGAGTAGACTAGAGATGCCTTGATCCACAGCCGGATTTCCTTGAGAGCCCTTCCGCTGGCTGGAATCACCTGCTCCCGCCTGGGATTTCGCTTTGCCCATAGCTGATGCGGTTGAAGAAGTGGCATTTAAATTCACAGTAGTCGCAGGGGCTGGTTGCCGCCAAGGTTGACTGGCGGCATCCATGGCACGCAAGTCCACTAGACTCTTGTTACGCTGACCATCGAGCTTCGAGGCAGTGCTTCCTGAACTCGATTTGCTGTGCATCCGAAGTTGGCTGTTCTCATATTTCGGCTGGTGCTGAGACTGATGCTGAGACTGATGCTGAGGCTGGTGATCCCTGTTTACGTTCCTTAGGTCAGACCTGTGTGGTTCAATTTCGCTCCCTGGTGCTCCAGATCCAATTGATGGCAAGTTGTTGTCGAAAACAGTCCCAGATCGGCTCTGATGGCGCAAGCGAGAAGGATTGAATCCAGTTTGAGTGATTGGCGGCGCTGGAGGGAGACCCGACGTATTAGCATTCGGCGGCATTCGGCGTCCCTGTCCCTGACGGTATCGTGGTCGGAACTTGTTCTCCACTCGAGGCGGTAAGCCTGCATGACCATCTTCTTTGTCGTCGCGTCCACGCCGCATTCCTGAGCCGATCCTTCCTCCATTGTTGGCTCCACGCGCTGAAGAATCCTTACGCCCAGGCCAGGTATCATCAATGGATGTCCAGCTCCCTCCACGATGGTGACTCTTTCTCCAATTTGAGCTACGCTCAGCAGTTACATCTGCCTCGATCGGGCGCGACGTGCCAGATTCTGCAGATGGGCCTGGCCAGGGCCCAAGTTGAGACCGCTTGGGTATAACATAGACGCCAGATTTGGTCGGAGGGGCCATATGAGGTTCGTTTAGTCCAGGTCCTTTGTAGTCGGATTTTGCAAGCAACTGCGACATACTGGATTTCTTTTTGGGCTGAAGTGATGGTGTCAAGTTCTGAATACTGTCAGTGATCGGGTTGCCCGATATAGCCGGATTCTTAAGCGGCGGAAAGACGAAGGGCACAGCTTTAACATCCTGTAGATTGCGGGCCGGCTTGCGCATTTGCTGTTTCAACAGAACTCTCTCCTTATTGAGAGCAGATCCTGGACCTAAAGCCGCCTCCATATGGCTGGTCGAGGGTAAAGATGATGCGATCGCATGACCGCCAGCTACAGCTGCATTTTGATTGTCATCAATAGATGCCCTTGAAACATCCGGTTCAATAAATACCAAAGTATTGATTTGATCGTTCGACTCGAGCCCTGGTGATCCACGACCCGCGCTGCGCTTTGAGGAATCCTGTGACGAATGCTGGCTAGACAAATCCAGATCGAGTCGAAAATGCGCAGGGAGCTGCCTCTTTTCCGAGTTGAACATCAGATGTGTCATGCTTGGCGTCGAGGGCGTTTGTCGTCCCGAAGAGGCTGCGCTCGGCTCCGGTAGTGGATCAATAAAGTCGTCTGGAAGAGCCACAGCAAGTCCGCTAGAGTCATCCCCATAGTCGATTTCTGGGGTGTTGATTTGGCCCTCGTCATCGGATTCTTCAAAAAGGATTGGCGCTGAAAAGTCCATTTCGGCGTCCTCAGTTCCTTCCATATCAATCGCGTCCGACCAAGACTCTTGTCGAAGTCGCGCCGGCTGATAAAATGCTGAGGGATCAAACTTGGGCATCGACGACGAAGTGAATGAGCTGTGAATCCTTCCATCGACAGGAACGTGATACGATGCATAGGCGCGTCCAGGATCCAGGTGAAGGTGCTGTTTGTCCTTGAGCGATGATGACTGGATCACAATTGGCACAACCTGATTGTCATCGTCGTCGCTGTCGTCCAATATCTCGTCGCCCTCCACTTCCTGGCCAAGAGAGTCGTTTTCGTACAAGTCCAGATACTCTCGGTACTCTTCCCGGTCGTCATACTCTTCCTCTTCCTCGACATCCGACTCAATCTGGCCCAGCATCCTGGGAACAAAATCGACCATCCATGATTTCCACTCGCTGATTCCTGGTCGGGAGCGCTGTCTTTTAAACCTGTGTGCTCCGACGAATGCAAACACTCGCAGAGCGAGCCATCGTGCCACCGGCCCAGGCATATCCTCGAACCGTCGCTGCAAAAAGTCGACTCGGCTCCTCAAGAATTCTGAAAACGCAACGGACTCTTGGGGACATGGGTCAGACCAAGGACATCGGTGATACAGAAGGTTGATGAGGATAATTCCAAGCGACCAAAGATCTGCCATCTGAACATCGTACATCGTATCCACGCCATTACGGCACTCTAGGTAGTTTGATTTAGGGAAGGGGTGAATATCGTGAATGTGATGAGTCACTAGAGCAAATGAAGGAAGCCCAGTGATATATACCTCATCAAACGCCACCTTGAATACTATCGACTTACCGAAGCTCATGTACGGTTTGCTACCGCACTCAAATTCATCGCTCTCCTTGTCGGTTGTTGCCAGACCAAAGTCCGTAAGCTTGACCGTGTATTGACCATCTGCAAACTCTATCAGAAAGTTCTCCGGCTTAAGGTCTCGATGAGCGACGCCGCACAAGTGAACCTGACCGACGCCCTCCAAGACTTGATCAAAGATGGTTTTAATGACAACGAAGCGTGACTTGAAAGAGTAAGGCTCGCCAGAGACTGGGTCCGTCCTATCTGAGCGCATGCTGATCCATTGATACATGTCCATTCCTGAAGAGTATTCGAGCAGTAGGAAGAGATGATCGGTGGTTTCAAACATGTTAAACAGATGAATGATGTTCCGATGCTTTGGCAAGGACGTATGGATGACAACCTATGTATATCATGGCAGGATTTGGTTAGGAGAAAAGGAGGCGAAACAAAACCGGTCAGATATGGATGACTCTTAGTTTATCTTCATTGTTCATAGTAAAGTCTAGCGATTATACAATGCGGATCGATAACTTGCCTCGTTTCGTTGAATGGCGACCTCTTCCTCTGTTAGTTTGTTCTTGCCCAGACACTTGAGCGCGTACAGGGTACCGGAGGCCACCTCCTTGGCAAGATAGACGACTGCATATGAGCCAGCACCGAGGGCGGAGATAAGGGTCAGACTAAGTCCGGTCTGAGGATCAGCGACGATGGTCTTGATAGGGAAGGGCAAGGGCACGTCCTCGGACTCGCCAAAGTAGTCGTCTGGCACATCTTCGCACTCCTGTAGGGCCGACGGGTGGAGCTGACTGGGCGTCGGTGGCAGTGACTTTGAGAGGTTGCTCTGCTGTTGTGGTTGGTGGCTGTACATGTCAAAGAGAGCGTCCAGGCACTGCTGGTGGTGCTGGTATCAGTGCTAGGTATCGAGTGGGAGGTTGGCTAGCCGCTGGGATGACGGTTATCTGAGTGTAGGGACAGAGCAGAGCAGGAGTAAACGAAGAACGATGGCGGCACGCGTGCATCAAGAACCAAAAAACGAAAAATCGAATGGGGCGGTGTATGTCCGTGATTGTTGTGTACGTGTGTATGTGTGTATGTGTGCGTGTGCGTGTAGTCGCGTGGTCGTGTGGTCGTGTGGTCGTGCGGGTGCTGCTGATCTTTATGGTGCTCGCGGAATCCAGAACCCGAAGGTGGTCATAACATGGAGACGACGTGGAAGGTCATGACATGCAATAGCTTCTAAACAAGGCTATTATAGAACGAGGCCCTTGTGTGGTCTCACTTGTCACGTCAATTTGGTTTGTACGACCTGCTTTCAAGTGGATCAGATATTTTATTTCGCGTTAGATAAAAATACAAGGTGAGGATGAAGATGAAGATGATGAAGATAGTGATAGGGATGAGGATGAGGATGGAGATGAGGATGAGGATGGGGATGAGGATGAGGATGAGGATGATGACAATGGTAATGATAATGATAATACTAATGATGAAGGTGATAATGGTTATGATAATGACAGCGACGACTTATGAGAAGAAGTAGTCGGACTCGGCCACATTGCGCACATCAAACTCGCCACGGTCTGGCAGTGGTGGGAACGAGATCGGGTCCCAGGAGTGGAACAGCTTGTTGGCCACCTTCTTTTTCGTCCGCTTGCGGAGTGCTTTACCCATCGCCTTTGCCTCTGCCTCCAACTCCGCCTCGTCCTCCTCAATAATCACACTCGACAAATCATGCTCATCATCTTCGTCGTCCCCAAAATGGAACATGTTCTCGTCCTTGGCCTTCGTTGGTGACAATGACGATGATGATGCCGTCTCGCTCGTCATCAACTCATCCTCTGGAATCTCTAGATCAGGCACAAACTCGCTCTTGCTTGATCCTGAGCTGCTCTCGATCCTGGCACTCTTGCGACGGACACGCTCGTCGTCCCATGCAATCATACCCTCGCCCACGGGCTCCCCAGGATTGGCGATCACCAGTGAAACAGGGTACAGAAAGTCTCTGTAACGCTCCATGAACTCGGCCTCCAGATTCTTCATAATATTGTTGCTATGCAGAAGGATGAACTGCTTTCTCAACACCTCGTTCATTACCTCGACATCGCAGGCGTGTGTCCAGTACGAGTCGTGGACCGATGCGAACGTCAGACCTGCCTCAACACATCCTGCAGCGGACATCAACATATGAGTAGCATCCAGCGAATGAATAAAATTTGGCGGGAAGGCCGTTCTCTGCTTCTGTACGTTGACTGGGCTAGCTTGGCTTGGATCTTTGATCGTCAGCGACTGAAGGTTGGTGCGAACCTATACAGCAATATAATAAAAATAATGATATTAAAGCTTAGCATTCCCTACATGGTCTCCAATACATAACATCGAGAGCAATGAAACAATGCAACGCCAGTTTTACCTGTTTGTGTTCCATCTTGCGATAGGGCTGGACGATAGGGAGATTGAGTGGTGTAGTCCAGATGACGCTGGTCATTTGCTGATCTGCAATTGCCTGTCTGGATGTCTTCTTCTTGCGTCCTTTGCCCGTGAGGCTTTCCTGGATCTCATCCGTTTCGGGATTGACCACGCTCTTTGGAACACTCTTGGCGATGCGACGGGCACTCTCTGCCAGCCAGTCCTGAATCGCACGCGCACCCGTGAACATCTCTCCGATTGATGCAAACACCTGCTGGGTCAAATACGTGCTGAGTGCGTGAACCTGGTCCTCTGGAATACCCTCAGTCTCCTTCAGCCTGTTCTCGATCTGGGCGCGCGCACCAACAAATGTCACTCCATACACGTTCGTCATAACTGTCTGTTTCACAATCTTTCGTGAAATCCTGCCGCTCAAGATCTTGGCATATTCGACGCCCTCGGCCGCCTGCTTCTCGAGAAGACGCTCCACAGACGCTGCCACACCAGAGTACACATCTTGGGGACGGTCAGAGGGCACCAAATTGACCTGCTGTGCACCTGCCATGTCTCCTCCCAGCGCAGCATAATGCTGCAAACCGTTACAAGTACCGTCCTGATGCACTGGGATCCTGCTCATATACGTCTCGGGATCTCCGCTGCGCACGGCTTCGGTGATCTCAATACAGGTGGCAAGACACTGCCAAGGATCCTCTGCTTTGAGCCACCAGCGATGGCCCTCCATAGGTTTGTCGGCACTGTCGAAAATGTTCTCCAAATTGTCCATCGTGAACTGAGCTCGAGCCGAAAGCGAGTGTTTGTCGAAACCTGCCAAGTTGGCCAAGTGAATCTTTAGCCACGTGAAGCCCTTTGGACCCAAAGGCTTGGCCGTACCAAACATAAGCAGACCACGACAAAGATCGTTTCCAAGATGGTTGAACAATGGAGGAATGGGATATGCACGCCCACGGAAGTCCAGGTTGTGGGGGAAGTACATAGGCTCGTCAGCAAACTAATGAGATCGCAAAACAATAAGCCAAGAAAGTGTTGTTAGGAAAGTGAATAAAATCCGGCATACATCAAAATGGGTTGAAAACTAACAGAGTACTTACAGCTCTAGCAATTTCAACTTTATAATTAACATCGCAACGCAAACTGTGGTGGTTCTTGGCCTCCAATTTCATCTTGCGATTTTCTGCGAGCCACTTGGCCTTGGCCTTGGTGCTTGTCTCAAAATCGTCTGGTTTGGGCAAATCCTCGATCTCGCCTGCAGCGGCAGGAATCTTGGCAAATTCCTTGCCACTGTTCCATGCCTCCAGCACTGTCGACAGTACCCTCTTGTTGACCGCCCATTGCGTCTTGCCCAAGACATCAAGGCCATTGTAGATGCGGTATAAAAGGCCTTCCTCGTGTGCCTTCCGAAGATATTCGTACTGCTGAGGGCAATGGCGAATGCGCATGATCATCGATTCCGTACTCAAGTAACCGCCACTGTTGTATGAGAGCCAGGGACGAGGATGAACCAACATGGGAAGCAAACTTGGATGGATCAGGTTACCAACGGGCTCCTTCGAGAGGATTTCCGTGATATGGTTATGGACCCTGATGACTCCAATGCGCTGTCCTTTGTTGTACTGATATGAGTGATAGAATGCCGGAATCTCCTCCACAATCTTCTGGTTCGTCTCTGGGTTGAAACTGGGGGTTTGAACCTTGGCGCAGTCCATTAAGAGTGTCGTAAGAACAGAGCCCACCTTGGCTCGTGTACTCTCTGGCCACACTGGCGTCCAGTCTGTTGGATGCATAGCCTCCGATCTCTTGGTCTCGACCTTTCGGACAGCCATGTTGAAAAGTCGCCCGTTTCCATAAAGTTGGTGGACACTGAATCGTTGATCAAACTAGGGCAAAAAAGAAGAAAATAAAAACAAAATAGCAAATTGGTCAGGTCACCGAGCGTGTTGTAAGGATCTGTTAAATTGCACCAGACGTGGTGCAGACAGCGAAAAGATAGTTCCTTTACCAGAGCCTTATTGGATTTTTTCGTCATCTGTTCGGCGTTGTACTCTGACTCGACCGCCTTTCCGATACTGATCAAGGCGCGGGCAGACTTCATGCCCTCCATGATGCCTCCAGAATTGTTCAGGCGTAGTAGCTCGAGAATCGTGATAATGGATAGTTTGTCGGGCGAGAGTAACTTCAAGAAGGGGCCGTAAAGCATGCGGTCCTTATCCAGCGCAGCATCGTCCGAGATGGATCGGCGCTCTAGAACAGCATCGATGCGCTTGATTTCAGCCTTGATGCCCTCCTTAAGTGATTGATGCCATTGCCAAAGATAACTACTAAGAGGTCTGACGTTGAGCTGTTCTGGTATACTCTCCTTGTCGTGCTCCATCCTGTCGATGGCAGCCTGGTACGAACGTTCCTCTAGCTTCATCTGTCGATCAAATCGGTTGAGCTCCTTGAGCGAGAGAGCATCTAGGGTGTTGCGCATGAGTTTAACGCCAATAACGGTCTCGTTCTTGGAATTCTTCACAGGATTAACTTCGGCGTACTCGGAGGCTACTTCTGTGACTACTGGGGTCTCAGGCATCAATGGTGCTATGCGGGCGGAGACGGGTTTAAGCATCTTGGCAACACTATCAATCCTTTCCACATCCTCTGCTTGCAAGTTCGGGCACTGCCTTAGGTCGTTAATTGTGAAGCCGGCTTTTTGCATTTCCATTAGCATAACCTTGGCAGTGTGCATGCTGTCCATGCTATTGGTCGATGCGAAGACATTAAACATGAGGTGCGATCAGTATGCTTCATGAGAAAAAAATTGGTGTTCCGTTGCGTGTCTTGATGGCAGCCGCTCCTTACTTGATAAATCCTCTGATAAGGATGGCAAAACTTGTCAGATCGGGCTTGACCCTGTATTTTGAAAGTGACTCGAACCATTTGAGGGCCTCCTTGGTTCTCGGGCTCGGGCTGGCGTTCATATAGCTCTCGATGAAGCTGTTATGCATCCTGATGTCGCCGAGGACCAGCATATCGTCGGGGTTGTTCTTGTGGAGTGTGAGGAAGATACGGCGAGCTCGTTCCATGTCCCCAGTGTTCAAACAAGCGTACATGACGGCCATCTGTTCCGGCAGCTGGTGGTCTGCGAACTTGCCGGATTCTCTGGGTTCATTGGCTTTTACTTCTGGCAGGCGGACAATACGGATGGGATCCAGTTTTCCGGAAATAGATGTGTATGAATGGAGGGCATGGTCGGCTTCTGCTCGGGCGGCGACGCTGGGGACGGGATGGACATGGGGCAGGGGTTGGGTGCTTTCCTGGACAGCAGCAGTGGAATGGAATCGGAATCGAGGACGATGTTTCAGCGAAATAGGCAAGGCTGGCTGGTTCCGTGAAGAACTCAAGCGAGCGCACGCCAGGGTGGCCCTGTTACTCCTGAGAGTCGAAGCAACAGACAGCATTTTTGTGGGAAAAGAGACCTTCTGTGGTTCGGATCAGGCACGGCACGATATGATCAATATACGACTATATGAACAGTCTGAAGCGAGTTGCAGCAACCGAAAAGAAAAGAAAAAAAAGAAAGAAAAGAAAAAAGATTAGGGCCGGGCCTGTGTGGGTTGATTCGAGGACAAACACAGGGTGGAATGAATGTGCACACCTACCTCCTTGAAGCTGTTACACCCAGAGTAGAATCAAGAAAGGATGGGTTCCCCCCAGAGTGCGAGTGGACAAGGACACGGGTGGAGTGGAAGGAAAGGAAAGACGCAGGACAAGAAGGAGATATGGCTGCACCGCAGAGGAGAGACGTTGTAGCGGCGGACAAAGAGAGTGTGTGTCCGTGTAGGAGGATGGGACGAGGAGGAGGAGTAAAGGGGAGAAAAAGAAAAAGAAAAGTAAACAACAGCGAAAGTCCTCCTTCCGCCCACACACGAGCACATTGCAGATTAGGCCCTCCCAGGCTGGAACAAGGAAAAACATTGACTGCTAACTGGATGCTCGATTGTGACTTCAGAATGGAATATTCCTTTTTTGGCATAATGTGTACGTGAAGAGGGCCGCATCCGTTTCGCTTCCCTCAAAGACGGAAAAAAAGTCCGCATGCGAATGAGCAACGAACGAGCGCAGGAGCGCAGGAGCGCAGGAGGGCTCATGGAGGGATGCAGCAGACAGACTGCATGGTGCGCAGCATGGTGCGGCTGAGAGATGAGCACACGCGTGTGAAATGAGACATTTTCTCGCGTTCGCATGTAGCATGTATTTTTTTTTTTGTTGTTGTATTATTAGCGCAGGCAGGCTAGTCTATCATGCGTTTCGTAGCTTTCTTGAACCTGACCCCTTACTCCACTACTTCTCTTTCTATCGCCTCTCATCCTTTCATCCTTTCATCTTTTCATCTTTCATCTTTCATCTTCCCCACCTCTTTTTTCATTTTTATATTTATTTTTAACGTAGCATTCAATAATAGGAGCAGCAAAGAGTATGACCCGCCATAGCAGTGAAGTCGACAAAGCTCCCTCCACTGCTACCACTGCTACAGGAGACGCGCACCACCACCATCACCACCACCACCACCAGGACCACAATCAGCAACAGCAGCAGCAACAGCAGCAGCAACAGCAGCACCATCATCATCACCACCATCATAACCTTCGGCAGAGACCAAGCTCTACCTCAGAAAGACACGATCCCATTTTGGCGACAGCCATTACTAGCTCTGTCATTGAAAAGTGCGACAGTCCAGACGATACCAGCTCGATCGAGGGTTCAACCCCGTTTGAAACAGACACAGCTCCCAACAGCAGCGGCACCAATGCAAACGAATTACAATGCGTGATGAAGGACCTGGAAGAGTTTGAGTTTGTTGTAGGAGTTTCAGAGGACAGGAACAGGCGATGTAGGCGAACAATGGAGGTATATTACGCTGATGAGCAGAGCACTGCACAGAATCCTGTCCTGTTTTCCCGTCTTCTATTCCCTATCCCCTATCCCTATTCATGTCGCCGGCCCAGTATACATTGCTACATGAGTTTTATGCGTGTCTTTTTTATGTGTTGCTATTCTGGCGATATCCCCCTTCTTCCCTCGTCATGGCTGAACACGGGACTAATTTTTCCTTGCAATTGCATAATCTTTTTTTTTTTTTTTTTACTAGGATACCCATGCGTTCATTTACAATTATGAGGGAATTACCGGACACGGCTTCTTTGCTATCTTTGATGGACACGCAGGCAAGGCTGCAGCGGACTGGTGTGGCCTACATTTCCACGAGGTAACCTGTCGCATTCACACATCAATCGCCTATATTTATCCTTGCGTTATTCTGTGGAATGGACATGGCACCTGTTCTACCATGTATTCTTGGACAGGACAAACTTTGGACAGCCGGTCTCGACACCATGGATAGCAAGGGCTAGGTTGGACTGAATTGGACCTGACTCAAGTAAAATGTATTGCTTACATGATCAGACAGGACAGGACGATGAATGATGGACGAGTGGCCAACATGGGCGCAGGCTGAGGTGTTGTTGTGTGTTTCTCGTTTTTAGACTTTAACTTTGAGAGCTTTTTTTTCAGTTGTCCTTGTGTTGAATTTCTATGGTTCCGTGTGGTTTGTGGCATATCACTCGACCCGTGCTAGTATTGGTTCTGATGGAGTATATTGTTCTTTGCATCTTTTGTTATAGGTGTTTAACCGCATTCTGGACGAAAAGGCGGATCAACCAGGCGTGGACTTCCAGGAGCTTGTTAATGATGCATTCTTGGCAGTGGATCAGGAGCTCGCAGAGGCTCTTCAACAAGGACGATCCAGCGGCTGTACTGCCATCATGGCCTACATCCGAAAGGAGGGCGATAAAGTATGTTGAGTTAATGGATTTCCTTCAACCTGGACTCGTTCACACATCAGCGATCGTTTGTTTCGGGATTCGTTAATACTTGTACTGACGTCCGTAACAATTACATTGGATAGCGGGTTCTTTACACTGGAAACGTAGGGGATGCGAGAGCAGTGTTGTGTCACAAAAACAAAGCAGTGCGACTCTCATACGATCATAAGGGTAGTGATCACACTGAGGCGCAGCGAATTCTGGATGTCGGAGGATTTGTCATGAATAACCGTGTCAATGGTACGACTTTGCAGCATCACAGCGTTATCTCTACCGAATGCAGAATGCATCGCCGCGGTTTGATCTGACTAATATTTACTGTTGTAACACACAATAGGCGTGCTGGCTGTGACACGAGCGTTGGGAGACAGCTCGATGAAGGAGTTCATTATTGGATCACCATACACAACAAGGACAGAGATCGGGACGGATAATCCGTATCTCATTCTGGCATGCGATGGAGTAAGTCGATAACCCTTTCCTTATGATCAGGAATACGGAAATGCGTATGTATAGTAAAAAGAAGGCCTTTCTAACCAATACATCTATACATTACTGCTCGCGTTGATTAGTTGTGGGATGTATGTAGCGATCAGGAGGCGGTGGAACTGATCAAGGATGTGGTGTGCCCCACAAAAGCCAGCCGAGTCCTACTAGAGCACGCATTGCAAAAGTTTACCACGGACAACATTAGCGTCATGGTGATCAGGTTAAACGTCTAGTGCCACCTTTTTTTTTCTTCATGAACAAGCTGATGTTTATTTCGCTTGCACTACTCTTCTTTCTCCTCCTTCCTCCTTCGTTCCTTTCATCTCTCTCATTTCAAACGCCTTTTCTATCCGTGTTATTGTTGTTGTTGCTGTTGTTGTAATAAAGTTAGCACAAGAGCGAGGAATGTCTCTATCTCTATAATAATAATCCTTGCTTTTTTATTTTTAAGAAATAAAAAGGCGTTAGGGTTGAGCCTTATTGACCATGGACTTGTGTTAAAGAGGAGGAGGGGGTGCAGCACACAGCAAACAGAGTGAATGTTGCGCCACGTGTTGATCGTGTTGGGATCCAAAGAAGCATGCACAACAATCGAGTTGGACACAACTATGCACACACACGCACACACACACGCACACACACACGCATTCATCTAGTCTACGTAGGTAGCATGGAGCATGCCGCATATTATTTATATGTATTCAGGCAGATGAGCATATGGTCCACCCATAAGCCGGGGTCATAGAGGAGGAAAGCGCAGTGGAAGGAGAATAAGAGGGGCATTGTTGGGGCAGCAGAGAAGAGGGAGGGGTCAAGATTGGTAATAGACATGACAAAGGGAAAATGAGGGGTCCCTTTTCAGTAGCAAGGTAATCCAGGGGTCGATCGGCAAAGCAAAGTAAGCAAAGTAAGCAAAGTAAGCAAAGTAGATCGGGGAGAGAACAGTGTCCCTTTTTTTGGGGGTGTTGTATCCTCGGAAATGATCGAGGGTCGGTACCGGGCTGCGGGGCAGGAGGGTCGTCTGAAAATAGACTCTTTTTTGTTCGTTTTGCGTTTTTTGCTGTGGCGTGGATGATTATTTTGCCCCCACGGAGACACGTTTTCGAGAGTGAAGACATGGTCCCAGAGGCAGAGGCAGAGTGAGGGGCAGCAACAGTTTTTCCGCCTTTCTCTTTCTCTCTCTCTCTCTCTCTCTCTCTCTCTCTCTCTCTCTCTCTCTCTCTCTCTCTCTCTCTCTCTCTCTCTCTCTTCCCTCTTCCTCTTCTTCACTCTTCTTCTTCTTTTCTTTCTTCTCTCTCTTTCTCTCTTCTCATTCCACAGTCACGCCCCCCCTCACTCCCCACTCTTTGAATACCTTTGCATCCCTTGCTCATCTCTCATTCACCATGCCCATCTCTGCCCTCGCAACCGAAACCGCCCTCGCGCCTTCCGCCTCCATCAAGACCCTCGTCGAGGCCATCTCCAGGGAAGACTCCGTCGCCACCCCCCTCACGACTGCCACGCCTGAACCCAGCGCACAGGAACAGCAACTCCAGCAACACCTCGAGGCCCTCGAGATCGTCCAGGCCCACGCCGCAGACACCGAGCACTGGAAGCGCCGTACCGCCTACTCTCTTGTCACGGACGATTACAGGATCCATCATCTCACCGCTGGAACCCTCCGTGGAGACGGCAAGCTCGGGGTCTCGCCCGCACTGTTCCAGTCCAAGGACGAGCGCCACGTTATCTCTGTTCTCCATGTTGGCAAGTCCCTCTGTGGACACCCTAATATCGTCCATGGAGGGCTTTTGGCAACTATGCTCGAGTAAGTGCCCAATACTCAATTCATTCTCTGTCATCCTCTTTGTTCAGCTGTATCTGCATATGCAAACACATGGATCCAGATTCTTTCTTATTCTAAACTCGACGTTTGCTGCATTTCCTTTCTTTGTTCTCTTTTAGTGAAATCACTGCCATGACTGTAAGTGCCTCTCTGCTCCTTTCTTTCTCATTGATCGGTAATCAGGAACATTGAACACGACAATATGTGAATATGTGTGACAGGAACAATTCCCCTCGATCCGACCGATCTCTCCGCCCACGTTACTTTACTGAACGAACACACCGATTTTGAACCTCACTCTTTTCTCTTCTTTTCTTCTTTTCTAGGCCATCCCCAATCTCCCCGGAAAGACTGGCTTCACCGCGAACCTGAACATCAACTATCGCCACCCATGCATTGCGGACCAGTTCATCGTTGCTCATTCTGAGGTCACCTCGGTCGAGGGTCGTAAGGCCTTTGTGAAGGCCACCTTAAAGACCATCGAGGGCACCCTTTTGGCCGATGCTACCGCCCTCTTTATCGCCCCCAAGGTCCCTGTCTCCGAGATCACGGAGCAACTGACCCAAGCAAAGACCTCCCCTAAGCTTGTAGAGTCCGAGGTGCAGGCATAGAAAAAAAGAAGTACTGCACCGACAACCAACGATTTCTCTCTCCCCTCTCTTTTAAACAAATGTAAATGTGTATAAATATATACATACTTGTATTCACATAATATCCCACGCCCTCTGCCAGTTCTGCTAACCGGCTAACCGGATCAGGCCACACGCCTCTCTTTCTGCAATCCCAAATGATTCAATACAATCATGTTCGAGTGAATGAATAAATTGCCATGGCGAAAATGGTTTACTTTATTGTGTGAATTGTGTCATGTCTGATCGCTTTCCCCCTCCCCCCTCTTCTGCCTGTGCATTTTTGGTGGTGCTGTCGACTGCTGCGCTTTTTTTTCCTTTTTTTTTTTCCTTTTTCTCTTTTTTCTTATTTCTCTCACTTCAGTGAATGGTGATGGTACGAATGCCAAAGGGACTGTACAAGGGCATCTATCTCATTCTTTCCTCTTCATCGATCCAACCATCCTTTTCAAACAGTTTCAGGCGAATTCGTCGCTTCCTCCTGTGGCCGATGCTTGGGCCCCCCAGTAGTCTCGACTGCAGTCGGTCGTGGTATAGGGACAGCCGCAAATCGAATCGCACGGTTATGCAATAGCTCTGGTCTGTCCTGGTCACTCTCAGACCCACTCTCGTTCTCACTCCTACTGCTGCTCGAACTGTCGTCGTGCCCATCCCCGTCCCTTCTCGCTCTCGTGCCCCGCGGTCCGCCTTGGGCTGTCGTCGGGGTCGAGAAGGATGTTGAGGGTGGCGCAAGCGGAGACGACAGCGGAGACCTGGTGATCGTGGTCTGTGCTCTCTCTGTGCCGCCGGATCGAGAGCCCAGACCAGGTGACAGGGCATTCGCATTTCCAGCCGCATTCCCGCTCGCAGCTCCTGCATTAGTTGCAGACGCTGCTGCAGCCTCTCTAGCCAGTCGATCATGTTCATCCTGGAGACTCTGTCGCATCGCTTCCATGATCATCAGTTCTTCCAGGTCGGTGCCCATGTTTCTCATCACTGTCAAATAGCCATTGTAATCTGCGGCGGCCGCAGATGAGTTGGATCTCCTCGAGGTGGTTCCCTGTCTGCCCACAGCGAGGCGTCGACCCAGTGCAAACGTCGCGTTCATTGTGGACGATGTTGAAGCACGTCGTGATCCTGGCTGTCGCTGTGCTGCTGCCAAAATCCTGCGATTCCAGTCTGGACGAAGTTCATCTGCAATAACGAGTAACAATGAAAAAAAAAAAAAAAAAAAAAAAAAGGACGTCAGTCAATCGTCTTTCGGAATCAAGAGAAAATTGATAACCGGCAGCACAACATGGTGACATTGGTTTACCTGCAGTCACCACTTCGGAACTCTTGTGGCTAGTGCTTCTGCGACGGACCGATGGTGACGATGGGCTTTGGATCTCTGGCGTCCTTTCGATAGAGTTGCTTGAGGATGAGTTAGACATGGAGGTACCCCCGACCGTCTTTTTGGGACGAACGAGGAGGAAAAGCGCACAGGAACAATTACCGGAGAGAACGTTAAAGGCACGTTAGCATTTGATAATCCGCTTCTAGTGCATGGTGCATGCGTCGTTCTTTCTTCATTGCCTGGCCCTTTGGTCTGTCCGCTTTAAATAGCACCCAGGGCCATTTCAGTAACAGCAATTACAGTATGACAACAACATCAACAACTGCTAGTGCCACAAAAGTGACAGAGGAGAAGGGAAAGACACACACAAAAAGGGTCAGAGGCAAGTCACTAAGCAAAAAGAGTCATTTACCGTTTGGCCAGCCGAGGACGACGAGGATGCGGGAGGCGAGGAAAGGAGGCCGCTGGGCAGGAGGGCTAGGGAATAGATGACGCCAAAGTTGGGTTCGACACAGTAAGGGCAGGCGGGGGATTCGGTCGGTGCGCTCTCCAGGCGCTTGATTTGTACGAAGCACTCGGTGCACATGGGCTTGTCGCAACACCGCGTGCGGTTGATGTTGCGGGGATAGTACTACAACAATCACCAGCCAAGTCAGTCAAATTAGTCAGTCAGTCAGTCAGTCAGTCAGTCAGTCAGCACATCGTCTGTCACCCTCTGTCCGTCAGGGGCGAGGCCATTTAGACAGACCGGGTGGGTGAACCAGTCAAGCAACACGAAACAAAATGGCTTTGCTGAGAGCCCCATGGTTCAATGATACATGATGGGTGCTCACGGTGTTGAGGTCATTGTGCTCTCAAACGTGCACCCGCCCCACGCACGCAAGTGCCAAAAGAAATATCTTTATATATGTAAAAAAAAAAAAGGGCTGACGATAAAGACGTCGGCACAGCGGAAAAAAAAAAAAAGGCAGCAGGGCCGAAGGGATTTAAAGTATCAAAACATATAATGGGCAGATGATACGACGCAGGTCCACGAGTGTCCACAGTAAGAGGAAGAAGGCTATGATTATTTCGGCATGAAGTGTGGAAGAAAAAGTTTTCTTACCAAGAAACAAATGGGACATTCGATCGCGCCTTGGTAAAGTCGCCTCATTTCACGCTCTGCTTCTGACATGCGATGTTGTTGGTGGTGGTGGGGATGGTGATGAGGAGCAGTGCCTGCTGTCGTTGTTGCCGTTGCTGTGTTCGTGTTGAGGATTGGAGTGGTAGTAGTGTTGCTAGCTCTGTTGAGCTGCTGCTGTTGCTGCTTCTCCTTTTCCTCCTGAGCATCCTCGCTATCGTCCCAGTCATCGAGGCCCTTGTAGAAGGGGGCCAGCTTGCGCTGTAGAATAAGTCGTTGCACAATCCGGAAGTCATAGTCTTGTGGGCCAGAGTAGACGCCGTGGGGCAGCAGTGCGCCTCCATCGATGTGGTCGGCCTTTTCCTTTGTGGTGGTATTTCCCATGCTGCGGAGATGGACAAGAGCGAGTGCGATAATGAACACTAAAACGAGTTGGCGGGAGAGGAGGGGGGAGGAGGGAAAAGAAGAAGGAAAGAAGGACCGGTGGAAGAAGAAGGGCGATGGGAGAGGAAGGAGGGGAGGAGAAGATAAAGAATACAAATGTGAGCGGCAGAAAAACGAAAGCTGCAAACAGAATGACGAGCGACAAAGCGATATCCACATGAATGAGTGAATGAATAAATGGGAGTGGCCAGCCCCTTGGCCCACCGACATCTGCACATTTGGGTACCTATTTCACCGGGGGCCCAGGGATCTCCCCGGGATCCCCAGGGTCTCTGGGCTGTCACCGGTCACGTGGCTGGGTACAATAGACACGCCTTCGTCCAGCAGACCATGTGCGTGCTCCTGTTGGCCGTGTGTTGTCCCTATGTGATGTTTTCGTATGTCCTCTCACATGCTCGTTTCAGCCAGGAAACGGACGAATGTCCCAATCCTGCTATACTTCGCCGCGGTGGTTGCTGTGAAATGTGCCATGGTGGATGATAGCACCAAAGGGATGCACCGCCGGCATGAAGAACCATGGCAACGAGAACGACAAAGGGGACCCAGAACAGTGCCAGTCCACAGCAGTCTGCTGTCGGACTGAAATGTGAAAAATGCAAGCCCGAATAAGCCCAGTTGGTCCCTGCCCCGATCTAATGCTTCTGCAATTAAACTCCTCCCCATCATCCATCATCGGCATCACTTGTCGACCGTACTCATCACGATGACCATGCACATCCCCACTCGCTTCAGTCCCGTCTTTACAAGGCGCTCTTTCCTCGTGCCCTCTCGCACAAGGGTTGCACACATCCTGGCCTCTTGTTCTCTACACTCCGTCCTTAATACCCCATGTGCCACCCCCGCCCCTTCGTTTTCTACCCTATCCTCTTCTCCTTCTTCTCAAAGAACAGTAGCTGACTTCCGAAGCGATACTCGCAAGTGCCTAAATCAAACGACTGCTAGCATACACTGAATTCACTGAATTCTGTGAACTAATAGCCTCACTACCCCTTCTTTTTCGTCGACAGTAACGCGCCCAACCGACGAAATGTTTGCGGTCATGCAGGGGGCCTCGCGTGGCGACGACGTCTACGAGGAAGACGATTCTGTCCAATCGCTCGAAGCTCATGTTGCCAATCTCACAGGACACGAGGCCGGACTCTTCTGTGCCTCCGGGACCATGACCAACCAGCTTGCCTTCCGTGCCTCACTCCTCACCCCGCCTGCATCGATCCTGTGTGACACCCGATCGCACGTGTTCAGATACGAGGCCGGTGGGCTCGCGTCCCATTCGAGCGCGACTGTCTATCCTGTAGAGGCCATTGCCACGCAGGGACACCACCTCACAGTCCAGGACCTCGAACGCGAATTCATATCCGACGATGAAGACGTTCACATGGCTCCAACACGCTTGATCTCGCTCGAAAACACACTGAGTGGAACAGTCATGCCTCTGCAAGAGATCCAGAACATCCGTCGGTTCGCCAAGGAACGGAATGTGCGTCTGCATCTGGATGGCGCCCGAGTATGGAATGCAGCCGTAGCAGAGGGATGCAGACTTAAGGATATCACCAGCGAGTTTGACACTGTCTCTCTCTGTGTCTCCAAGGGCATTGGTGCACCCATCGGCAGTGTCCTGGTCGGCGACAAGGGATTGATCAAGAAGGCACGACACTTTCGAAAGATGTTTGGCGGTGGATGGAGACAGGCCGGTGGACTGGCCGCTGCAGCACATTGGTGCATTGAAAATGTCTGGCCCACCATGAAGGAAACACATACATTGGCGAAACATCTGGCAGAGGGACTCGAACGAGAGGGGCGTGGGGCCAAGGTCTACATCCCTGTGGAGACCAACATGGTGTTCCTGGATCTGGCTGGCTCAGGAATTCGGCTGAGCGAGCTGAGTAGGCGGCTAGAGGCCGAGAAGGGAATCAAGATCGGCAATAGTAATGCCCCAGAGACCCAGACACAGGTCAGATTGGTCCTACACTGGCAGATCTCTAAGCAGGCAGTTGACGATTTTGTGGAAGTGGTCAAGGATATGGCTTCCACGACAACTACACCAGCCATGGAGACCCTTGGACAGGATCGTAACAAAGCAGCGTACGGCAGTCGATAAAGACAGAGGCGCCGCATGACAAACATAGCAATATATTACAGACTAGACGGTATATAACATAGATTGAACATGAGATGACTATCCGCCAGTTATTTCGCATGCCAATTCAGGAACATTCAGGGCCAATGGCCGTTATCGGTCCTCAGTAAACGATCCACTCTTGCTCACTCTTGTGGGTAAACTGCTCCAAACCCCTAAGACGCACACGCGCCGTAATTCACTTTTCTATAAAGTAATGCCTGCAGTTCACTCGCGGCACGTTACTAGATCGCGATGTATGCATGCATGCATGTCATCCGAGACATCTTCAATAGTAAATGCTTTTTTTTTTATTGACTTTGGCGTCAACACAACAGACAAAGGGCTCAGCCTCTTCTCGTCCTCCTTCCTTGCAAGTCCAGAAAAATCGCCATTGATTATTGTCAGGATAAAGCGACTTGGTCGCGTCTTTTGTCTGATACCCCAAGGGACATTGTCCGGTACTGCGCCCTGCATCATTCTGCACTCTGCATTGTTCGCTGATGTCTGGAGACTTCTGTTCTGTTCAGAACACACGAACCATTGCTGTTGGCACTCATGATCACTCACAGTGTCGACGTCGCTTTCTGCGTTAGAGCGCGACGCAAGAAGAATTTAGAGCATTAAAGGGAATGTACGTCAGTCATCTGGAGAGAGGGACCGTGGCGAATATCATCTATCGTCGTCAATCGAGGGGGAAAGTACACTTCAGTCCTGTAATGAGGGCCTGGACTCGACTGAACGACGACATCTGTCTGCATACTGACCGTCAATTCTTCTTGACCATCTTAGGACTTGCGCAAAGTTCGAAACGGCCGCCCCAGGATTGTCTTTAAGCGTGCTTAGTAGTTACTCGTAGTGCCGTAATATATTGTCCATCTGCAAATGAAAAAAACCGGCGATGTTTAACAGGCATTTGGATAGGTATATATTTCTAAATGGAATTGAAAAACCCATGTGGAGGGTTAAATGCACCTTGAGTGTGTCAGTTTCGCACCATGTGTTTTTTAGATTTTCCCCAATGAAGCTGAAAAAAAGGGGAAACGGGGGGTCTGATTGGCCGGCACAAACATGCAAGGGCACCGTTAAGCTGGTGCGTGGCAGACTGAGGGTCGACAAACCTGCTCATAACTGCTCTCACTTGGCCCTGTGAACAGAAAAAAAAATTCATCATCGCCCTCATTCCAATTCTACATCTCATTCAGCACCTACACCACAGCATCACCAATGGATCCCAGCGACACCAAGGCCACCTCAATCTCCTCGGACTTTGAGGTCGCCTCGCTCAAGAACCCCGACTATGTGAGGAAGTTTGACCGGGTTATTGACGACCTCCAGGATGTGTACTCTCATAAAATCCGTCCGCTCGAGAAGGCCTACAACTATGAGCACTTCTCGTCCTCGGCACCCCTGGGTAACGACGACATTGCTGCCAAGCCCATGGTCCTCCTGATCGGACAGTACAGCACGGTATGACTCCTCAATTGGTCTCAATTGCTATTAGCAACAAGCAGTGCTGCTTCAATTGCTTCCTCTGGCAACGAGTATTATCACTTTAATTAGTCTCTTTTGCTACCGGCTGTAAGCATTTACCACCTCAATTGGAATAGGAGCAGATGCATTGCTTGCGAATCTGACCCATTTTCCTTTGACATCGCTTTTTGCAATAGGGTAAAACGACGTTTATCAACTCGCTCCTGAAGAAGTCGTATCCCAGCTCACACATCGGAGTCGAGCCAACGGTACGTCCAGCTCCATCTTTCTCGCCTTCAATTGCTTGCTCTCACCATGTCCAATGAAGACAACATCTTGGCAGCATCTAACCTATACTACTCAACTGCATGAACCACAACACAAACAATGGGGTTGTAATCAACATTTTATCCAACAACTACAACATGGCGACACTGCAGACGGACCGATTTGTGGCGGTCATGGACAACCCGACGGAGAGAGTTATCCCAGGAAACGCAGCGGCAGTTAGTTCAGCCTTGCCCTTCAAGGGTCTCGACAAGTTTGGACAGGCATTCCTGTCCCGCTTCCAGGTCTCGCAGACGCCGTCCCCAGTCCTGCAGAACTTTACTATTGTCGACACCCCGGGTATTCTTTCCGGAGACAAGCAGCGCGACCGTGGATACGACTACACATCTGTAATCGAATGGTTTGCAGAACGCGCGGACCTTGTCCTCTTGCTCTTTGACTCACACAAATTGGATATCTCGAACGAGCTCAAGGCTGCGATCCATGCACTCAAGGGACATGAGGAGAAGGTCCGGGTGGTCCTTAATAAGTCCGACATGGTTAACCAGCAGCAGTTGATGAGGGTGTAAGTTTGTTCATGGGCAAGGGATCGTCTATTCAATATCACTTTATCTCTTGGAAATTAGATACCATTGCCTCGACTCAAATATTTTTATTATTTTCCCTGCACAGGTATGGCGCATTGATGTGGTCACTCGGCAAGGTCGTCCACTCACCCGAGGTGATGCGCGTGTACCTTGTCTCGATCTGGCTGGAGAAGCCCGCGAATGCCTTTGACGACTGCCGAGCACTGCTTGACTCTGAAAAGAACGATCTGCTGCAGGATCTACAGCAGCTGCCCATCAACGCCGCCATCCGCAAAGTGAACGAGATCGTGAAGCGAGCCCGTCTTGCTCGAGTGCACGCATTGATTGTGGCCCACTTGCGTGAGCAGATGCCATCGTTCTATGGCAAGGCTGCGGCATTGAAACAACTTTCCGAGAACCTGCCACAGGAGTTTAAGATCGTGTCCAAAAAGTACCGTCTCCCCATGGGCGACTTTCCGGATATTGAAAAGTTCAGGGAGGGGCTTATTGGCATGAAGTTCGAACAGTTTGGCGCCCTGAATGAGAAGCTGCTCCTGGCTTCTGATGAGGTAAAAGATGCTTCTGTTTTGGAATAGAAAAAAAAGAAAAAGAAAAGTTGTTGTTTGATGCAATCTCTAACGCGTTGTATTGTTCTAACGTTCATCTAGGCATTGGGCACAGACCTTCCAGAGCTGTTGCAGCGTCTGCCACATCATTCTTCGTTTACAGGAACAACGGCAAAGCCGCAGATGGATTCAGAGGACGAGGATGATTCGGAAGGGCGTCCTCTCAAGCGGGGCCTGTCACGGTTGGGCACACGGTCGAGATATGCACCCGTGAAACCGGAGCGGGATGTTTCTGCGATCGTGTACAACATTGTGCTTTTCACACTTGCGCTGTTCTTTGCGACGGTTGTCGGCGGTGCGATTTCGATGAAGATGGGCTGGGTCGATGGCATGGGTCCATTGATCGAGCTCTTGCGGCCTTGATCCCCCATTGCACATAGAAGATGGATTGTGATATTATATACAAAATATAATTATTCTTTTACTAATGCATCTGTGGATTGATATATGAAGGAGAGAAAGAATGGGGAGAGGTTAGATAAGAGAACAATATGTGTCTTTGATTGCTGACCAACCAGGCACGGGCGACTTTTTTTTTTTTTTTTAAGCGCAGAAAGTTCATGGGAACTCAACTGCCATTTTTGGTGAACAAAGTGTTCTTTGCTCCGATCACTTGGACAGCATGCCAGTTGGTATTTTCAATCAGCCGCAAGCATGAACTATTCGAGAACGAGGACTGATTTTTTTTTTTTTTATTTGCGGGTAGCGCAAATTATCGTCATCGGTGGTCGGGGAATGAGTGGGATGATGTACATTGGACAAGGCAGCCGTTCAACGGCCATCCCTTGCACCTCACTAATATTGTTGGCTGTTTACGCGGGTGCTCTCCGATCGGAGGGGAAGGTGTATGCGATGCACAATTCTATTCGCGCGATCACCCACAGACATTTTGACGGGAGGTGTGGATGTAAACGAGTGTTGTATGGATGAATAATCGACTGAATTGTGTGGGTTTGAATGGAAAAGGGCGAAAAGTGCGTTGTCTGGTGTTGTGCGCGAGTGCGAAAGTGTGTGAGTGAGGAAACGAGCGGGTCCGTTCATTTTCATTCGGCATATGATATGACGCTCTGCCGCCTTAATAATGATAAAAAAGACGATCGACCACGTATTCGGTTGCACGGGGCTGTTTCCGGTCCCTGTACGTCGTTATGTCACCGTCCGTTTGTCTCTTGACGAATACAAAAAGGCACCATTCCTTCTCTCCATCCTTTCGAACTTTACATTCATTTTTAACCAGGCCAACTCAACCAACTCAGCCAACTACCACCAACCACCAACCACCAACAACCACCAACCACCAACAACCAACAACCAACAGTAACAATGGCTACCCCCAACTTTTTCGCTCTTAGCGCCAAGGACAAGAAGCACGAGGAGATCTCGATGAAGCAGTTCGAGGGCAAGGTCGTCCTCGTCGTCAACGTCGCGTCCAAGTGCGGCTTCACCAAGCAGTACGCTGGTCTCGAGGAGCTCTACAAGAAGTATAAGGACCAGGGCTTTGTCATCATTGGATTCCCCTGCAACCAGTTCGGTGGTCAGGTACGATACATTCCTCCTCTTTTTACTACTTGTTTTTTCAATGCTATTGATGCTGCTGCACTTTCTCGCCGGTCGCAGTCTGAACTTCACACTGCTTCCTCTTCGTTACAGGCGGTTACATCTTGCTAACAAGCATTCTCTCTTGGTCTTACTTTTCTTGTGCAATGGGTTTGGCTCAATTTAGGAACCCGGGGACAATGACGGTAAGCCAACACAACAGGATTCCTTTATTTGACATAATGGACAAGTTGATAAGTTGGCAGTGCACCAAATGAGACCAAAAGTACTCATGCGCATTTTTTTTTCTTTGTATCTCAGAGATCGAATCGTTCTGCCAGGTCAACTTCGGAGTGACTTTCCCCTTGATGGACAAGGTTGATGTTAACGGCGACAATGAGGATCCCGTCTATACCTACTTGAAGTCGCAGAAGAAGAGCCTCATGATGGCTCGCATCAAGTGGAACTTTGAAAAGTTCTTGATCGCCAAGGATGGCACCGTGTATGAGCGTTACGCTTCTACCACCGCCCCCGAGTCCATTGCCAAGGATGTCGAGAAGTTGCTCAAGGCTTAAAGGCACTTTTTTTTTTCCACTTGACAACAGGAAGGCATACGGGGCATCAATTGGGCTATACTCTTATCGCAATAGCACATCCTTTTATTTGTAAATAAACATTGTAATAAAAAGAATTGGTTCTCTTGAAGCACATCTGCACTTTCAGCTACCGCGTTGCCTCTTCTATCTTGAAGAAGCAACTGCGTAATGCTTCTCCTGGTCGCATCGTGCTGTATCCAATATGGATGCAACTGCTGCCCCGTTGGTTGTAATTGTTTGGTTTACGAGTAAGGATAGAAGGATGTGCCAAAATGCTAAATTCCAATCCAGCTGTTGTGAAAATTGCAACCGGGTCGGACTCATAGCCTGGCATGGTTTGATCTACCAGATCCCAACAATGTCCGGCGGGTGTGTCCCTTGCGGGAACAACACCCTACCAGCCGAGCGACAGTGATCCAGTGAAGATGATCATAGTACAGCATCAAGGGGACAGGATGGTGAGAGATCAGTCGATGCTGTTGCGTGCTGCTTTATATAACCTGCTGCAATTAAGGGCTTGTTGTTTTGTTGCAAAATGCCTTTCTGAGAACACGAGGGCTAAAAAACCGTATTTTTTCTTCTGTCATCGTTGGGAAACCCCATCCTGCCTGCACCTTCGAACACCCGACATATCCGTCCGTTCAGCCCACATTCGCGCCACCAAAACAACACCCGCCCAGCCAACAGGAGCCTCGATACTCCAACCACAACCCAGTACATGTTCAGCACACAATTAGCCCGGCCAGGAAGACAGTTCTGGGCAGCGGCCGCTCGTCGCGCGGTCTGTCCAAGGTCCTCTCAGCTCCTGTCCCAGACCCAACCGCGACAACGTGCTCTCGTGATCGGCCCAAGCATCTCCCGCCGCGTTCGCTACAGCACCACCCCAGCCCTGTTCCGAAAGTTCGAGGACCACCACAACCATCCCAACATCAACAAGGCCGCGTCCTCGCCCGCCTTGGATACTGACGCCAAGTCCGAGGATCGCGATGATGATAGGTTGCTCTCAGATGTCGACGATCTCATGGTTGGTAACGAAGGCATCGAGGCCATCGATCCCAAGGACTTTCCAGAGCTCTACCCAGGCGAGGAGGATATCGAGGGAATCCGTCAGGGTTATGATTCGGACAGCGAACCCGAATCTGAGACAACCAAATCAGCATCGGTCCTCTTGTCAGACAAGGATCGCTCGGAGGAAGAGTTCTCATGGTTCGTGGACGATTCCTTTCCGGACAAGGCCGCAGGACAGCAACCGCAGGCGGGCTCGACATCCGATTTCGTACCACTCTGGCAGAAGAATGCTCAGCGATCACCCGGCGAGGCAGTTGATGGACACAAGGATGATCATGTGGAGGAACACCATGCGGACTCCATTTCAGGATTGGTCAAGTTAATGGAGTCGGAGCGGGCAAGGAATATCAAGGTCATTGATATGCGCGATAAGTGCGACTGGACCGACTGGATGGTCATTGCAGAAGGATTGAGCGAGAGACACCTTGGAAATGTTGCAGATCAGGTCTATAGCGCAGTAAGTTTTTTTTCTTCTTCCTGATGTGGGCTCGGACGGGATCTTTTATGGAGAGTTTGAGATGAAATCATGTTCTCACAATCCTTTGCTCGCTCTTGGTCCTCTGTATAGCTGAAGAAGAGCTCACCCCACACTAGTCCCCCAGTCATGGAAGGTCGCGATACCTCGGATTGGGTCGTAATCGATGCAGGATCCGTTGTTATTCACTTCATGACACCCGAGGCAAGAAAGGAAAGGGATTTGGAGGGGTTGTGGGCCTCGGTCAAGAACCCATTAAAACTCAAGGATGCGGAGGAGCTTTCATGGGATGATGTCAAGGGCAAGATGACAAAGAGCTGGAAGGAAAACCCAGGTCGGTCCAGAGGTGAAGATGGCAAGCGTGGACGTCGTGGTGAAAGAGACATTCCTTTGTCCGAGGTTGTCAAGTGGTAAAAGGACAGACCGCTCTTTTGATCTGTGAACAGATTCACAGCAGCAAGCGAGCCATAGGAGCATATCTTGATGCGCGCTTTTTTTTTTTTTTTTTCTTCTTTTTCTTTTTGTTCATCGTGATAAAAACAACCATGGCGTGTGTATTATATATAGGATTGGCACAGTTATATATGAAGTTGTATTGGTTATTGCATATTTTCTGTTGTCGTTTTTCGTACTGTGGTCTAAGTGTAGGGTCTCTACTGCCAAAAGTAAATGTTTGCGATGATGCAGAGGAGCGTGAGAAGGACGGTCTGGGTGAGGATCTAAGAGGTATAACACATTTGAAGATGGGTCGTCAGTCCAGTGTGCTCCAATTGTAACAATGTCCCTCGATCCTATGCTGACATTCAAACGAGTTCATTACAAAGTACTTGAACTTTGGATCTATTCGAGTGAAAAAAAAAAAAAAAAAAAAAAAAAAAAAAAAAAAAAAAAAAGAGGGGCATGGTTAGATGTCATGTGCAAATCCTAGCGCAGCAGCAGTGTAACGACGACTTACCCAAATCGCCATTTCTCCATGCCCTGAGCTATCCATTGCACCAAGGAAGCCCCAATAGGGTATAACAACGCGTTAGATCCAGTACACAGACATATTGCATAGGCTCCTGAACAGCGATGTGTCCATTCGATCCGTGAACGTAAACGTACCAGGTGTCCCAGACAAAGTGCGAATCCAGTGATGATAAAGCCCAGCATGAGATGTGCTCCCGATTTATGTGTGTTGATGATCGAGAAGAGGAGCGTCAGCGAGACAAACACCAGCACAGTGACCCCTAATAAGTCCAAAAAGGTTGGCAGCGAGTTGGTTAGATACGATGTAGGGCTGTATTGATGCATGCCTGCATCATCTGATCCGAAGCTCCGGGCTAGAAAACGTTACCTGCTCCTTGTTCGATCATCCGCTCCTTTATCGCATCATGAAGCAAACGTGGCAAGAAAAGGCGGTAAAGAGAGGTCAGAGATCCATATCCTGCCTAATTCACATGCCGGTGTTTGTCTTTGCTATGTTGGCTTGACATTTGGCGGGAAGAAGATTGATATGACTGCCCGAACTAAAGTCATTGCATTCCTGAGTTGATATCCATGTTGTTTTCCTGAAGCCGTATCCCTTGAAAAACTATGTCGAATGTTGAGTTCCAGAGGGCTTCATATGGAGCGCGACCACCTTGCCCCACTTTCACGGGCGGTACCTGGTCACTTGAGCCCAGGAAGAGCACGTCATGCGAGCTCCAGGACTGAGAGTCGTCGATGGGCTGATAGTCGCTCATAGTGAATATGTGTGAAGAATGAGGACGAGAGAGATAGGGAAAGAAGAAGGAGGAAGTAAAGAAGGAAGAGACGGAAGAGGGTGCTGTGTGGATGAAAGCGAGAAAGGAGGATGGAAAAGAGGAATGTGCAAAGGTCGAGGTCGAACACGAGGACCGAGCTTGGCAGTGCACACAAGCAAGCGCATGGCATTAGCTTGACCTACATAGAATGAAATGTAGAGGATGAGAGAGGAGAATCCCTCTATTTCAAGCCATTTCAGGATACACAGGTTAGCCAGGCATCCACCCGCGACGTGTCATCATCCCAGGTCCAGTTAGTTTGTCCTTTTTCTCAATCCATCCTTTTGCCATCACCTCTCGCCTGCACCCTGCATCCTTCCGCACCTCTCATCTCTCTCTTCTATCTCTCTCCCTCTTTCTATCAACGCTTGCACGCGACCGTCTGCTTTTCCGGCCAATAATCCCTCTCCTCGATCCTCGATCAGCCTCATCTCGCCCCAACCACGACCCACACCACCACCGCTTCTATTTCGAGTGATTGGTTTTCATGATGAGTTATTCCAAGAGAGATGAGGACTCTGGTAATCACGAACAGCCCGCCTTTGCTCAATGTGCTCCCTCTACCCGCTCCACTTTTTTTTCACAGGAACATGAACATGTTTCTGATGGTAACCCCTGTTACTCATCTGAACCATCTATCCTTCTCTCGCTTGGTGATGCAATCTTCCAGGCAGGATAGGCTACCACCACTACTTCGACAAGACCACCGTGCTGCAGGAGGCACGCGTCTTCAACGAGTCGCCTATCAATGCCCGCAAATGCCGCGCCCTTCTGACAAAGATCCTCTATCTCATCTCGTTGGGAGAGACCTTTGGCACCACGGAGGCGACCGAGCTGTTTTTCAGCGTCACAAAGCTGTTCCAGTCCAAAGACGTACGTTCGCCATATCACGATCGCCCACGAGCAATCCATCGGCCATTTGCTGATCCATGCGCTTACAATTATCCCTGAACTTCTTCTCGCGCGTGTTCGCCCTTCGTCTTCACTCTCTTTTAGTCTGCCCTGCGTCAGATGGTCTATTTGGTGATCAAGGAACTCTCGACGGTCGCTGAGGATGTCATCATGGTCACCAGCAGTTTGATGAAGGACATGCAGCCCACATCTGAGGTCATGTATCGCGCTAATGCTATCAGAGTCCTTCGCAAGATTACGGACGTAAGTCGACTTTTTGTGCCTGGGCGATCGCGCGCGCTATTTTGAACAGACAAGTTCAGTGGGATCATGGTGTCGACCAGACAGGATCGTTGATATTCAATGCTGGATTCTTGATATCTCCTGATCTTTAGGCGTCAATGTTGCAAGGATTGGAGCGATTCTTGAAGGCGGCTATTGTGGACAAGAACGCGAAGGTTTCCTCGGCTGCGCTGGTCTCTTCCTACCACCTGTATGCCATCGCTCGTGATGTTGTCAAGCGTTGGGCTAACGAAGCGCAGGAGGCCATCAACGCCAAACCCCAGTCGGCTGTCTCGGCCGCTACCTCCTATGTGACATCCTTCGGCAATGTCCCTCAGACCTACACAGCTGTTTCCAACTCCAACATTGTGCAGTACCACGCCCTCGGTCTTCTTTACGCCATTCGCCAGAAGGATCGCATGGCAGTGTCCAAGTTGGTTCAGAACTATGCTGCCAAGAGCGGTTTAAGCGGCTCTGTTCTCCGTTCTCCATTTGCTCAGTGTCTTTTGGTCCGCTATGCGTGCAAAGTCATGGAGGAGGATCCAAGGTGAGAAATGATGATCATGAATGGATATGTGCTTATGAGTTTGATAACTTTGCCATCCCTTTAAGCTACATACTGATCGCCTGCTTTTCATCTTGATTCTGTAGCTCCACCCGCGCTGTTTATGAATTGTTGGAGGGTTGGTTGCGTCACAAGAGCGAGATGGTCAACCTAGAGGCAGCCAAGGCCATTTGCGAGATGAAGGATGCCACCATCAAGGAACTGTTCCCTGCTGTTACCACCCTTCAGAACTTCTTGTCCTCAGGCAAGCCCAGCATTAAATTCGCAGCCATTCGTGCCCTGAACAAGCTGGCTATGACCCAGCCTGCGGCCGTCGCACCCTGCAACATCGACATGGAAAACATGATCACGGACCAGAACAGGAGCATCTCGACCTTTGCTATCACCACTCTATTGAAGACTGGAAACGAGGCTTCGGTGGAGCGCTTGATGAAACAGATCAGCGGATTCATGTCAGAAATCACGGATGAATCCAAGGTGTTGGTTGTCGAGGCTGTCGGCTCGCTCTGCATCAAGTTCCCTGCCAAGCACCATGTTATGCTGAGTTTCTTGAGCGGCGCTCTTCGCGACGATGGCGGCTACGATTTTAAGCGCGCTGTTGTGGAGGCCATCTTCAACTTTGTCAAGTACATTCCCGAGTCCAAGGAGGCAGCTCTGTCTCATCTTTGCGAGATTATCGAGGATTGCGAGTACTCTAAGTTGTCGGTCAAGATTTTACACTTGCTCGGAGTCGAGGGACCCAAGTGCCCGCAGCCCACGAAATATATCCGCTACATCTACAACCGCGTCATTCTCGAAAATGCAGTTGTCCGTGGTGCTGCAGTGAGCGCCTTGGCCAAGTTTGGTGTCAACGTGGAGGACGAGGAGGTCAAGCAGAGCGTCAAGGTCCTGTTGAGCCGCTGCTTGGATGATGCAGATGACGAGGTTCGCGATAGAGCTACGATGTACCTGAAGGTCATCAAGACTGGTGACGATCAAGGATATGTCAAGGATGGTATGTTCCCGCACCGCAGCTAAGAGGCGAAAGTATATCGTTCCTTGGAATATCCTCTTTCCCGCAACAACTAACCCATAGCTTTTCTTGGTCTTTGTAGATTCGACTTATGCACTTGCGTACCTTGAACGTCAACTCCTCAACTACGTTTCAAACCCTGAACTGGCTGATACACCCTTCGACCTTTCGGCGGTTCCCAAGATCTCACGACAGGAGGAACAGGAATCCAGAGGAATGCAAGAGCAGGCAAGCGCCATCCAGAGTCTTGGTGGAAAAATCTCGCCGCCTCATTCGGGCAGCGCTTCCAACGGGGCGGGAGCAAGACCAGCGATTTCCACGGCCCCGTCTCTGGATCAGCAAGCTATCTATTCCCAAAAGTTGGCAGAGATTCCCGAATTTGCTTCATTTGGACCATTGTTCAAGTCGACTGCTAAGCCTGTGGAGTTGACCGAATCCGAGACAGAATACGTTGTTACCTGCGTCAAGCATGTCTTTGCGCACCACGTCGTCTTCCAGGTACCGTCACCGTTCGCTATTGGTGTCACATATGAACTTTATGTAGATTCATTTGCTAACCAATATTTTGAATCGGCTATGAAATAGTTCAACATCAGGAACACGTTGAACGATAGTGTACTGGAGGATGTGAACGTGCTGATGACACCCGATAACGATGAGGTGTCGTTGCTTGAGAAGGTGCTGATCCCTGCTCCTCAGTTGGTCTACGACGTTCCTGGCGTCGCATACGTCGCGTTCGAGAGAACATTATTGGAGGAGTATCCCGAATGTAAGCTGATTGGAGTCAAAGCAATGCATTTGCCTCGTAGTTCCTTCATGGCGACAGTAATCTGACTCTTCTATTTTTATTTTTATTTTTATTTTGACAGGCACGTTCTCGAACGAGCTCAAGTTCATTGTCAAGGACTGTGATCCACAGACGGGCGAGCCAGACGAGGAAGGATTCGAGGATGACTACCAGGTTGAGGAGGTGTCGCTGGCGATTGCCGACTTTGTGTTGCCCTCATACATCCCTAGCTTCAACAAGGCTTGGGAGGAGCTCGGCATTGATTATGAGGTTGTCGAGACCTTGGCACTGACGACCTCACCAGGTCTCCAGGAGGCGTGCCGTGACTTGGTTGCACTTTTGGGCATGCAGGCACTTGAGAATACTGGAACTGTTCAGGGCTCGAACGTGCATACGATGATTCTGTCTGGTATCTTTATTGGCGGCATCCGTGTGTTGGCCCGCTGCCGCATGACATATGACTCGGCAACGGGAGTGACCCTGCAGTTGGCGATCCGCTCCGCCAACGGCGATGTCAGCCAGATCTTGATTGGTGCCATTGCCTAAGTGGATGGAAGGGAGACAAGAGGGCAGGAACGATACGTGGTTGAGTATGTTTTTCTTTTTCGATTTTAAAAACAACATTAGGTCTTGAAGTAGCAGTGCTTTCAGGTCTCATAATTCACAGAGCAAATATAAAAACAAAAAATATCATAGCCAATGCATGTGTGTGCATCGACACGTAATAGTTTTAGTATTGGTGTATAGCGGATACCATGCCTTTTGAAGTCGCCGTGTCGTTGTCCTTTTCGGACAGAGAGACGATAGAATGTTGGTCATGTTGATCTTGGCCTTTTGGTGGTGCGTTTTGGCCCTTGGTTTCGACCCATTGTTTGAGCCAGCCTACCATGAACGCACCACTGAACGGCTGCTCGACGTGATAGATCAACAGCGGGGTGGCCAGCAGTCCGGCCAAGGAGGAGCTCGGGTTATTGGCGTAGAGGATCTTGATCAGTAGGATGCCCATAACCACCGACTTTGTTCCGTTGCAGAACAAGATGGCGGCAGCATCGGTCTTTGAAATGAGTTCAAAGATGCGTTGCAGGGGTGTCTGTGGCAGGGATGATAGTCCATCCGAGGATGAATACGAACAGGCTTCCGTGGCTAGCTCTGGACTGGAGCCATGTCCTTCCTCTAATTGGGCGTCGCTTTGGCGGTGGAGTTGTTGCTGTTAGTCCAGGATCTTGAGGACACGAAGATGACATGGTCGGATGTGGGAGATGCAGCCGGGAAGGAGCCAGTTTTTCATCCACAGGTCCAGGGTCTTTGTCTTCCTGGAATGGATCGGCGAGCCCTGGTTCGGCTTTTGGTTCAACGACCTCTGGGATGACAGCGTCGCCGGCAAAGATTTTTTATATGGATAGTCTAGAAAGTCCAGCTGTCGTAGTCTTTGGCAGGATGAGATACCTTGTTAGCGACTATGGTTCCCCCGGAGCAGTTTATCTTTATAATGCGACGACACTGACTCCTTCCGAGGTCATGGTCTATCATGCTGGTCATCGATTATTAATTCGAGATCTGCAAGGGATGCGTATGTTCGCAAATGCACAGCAGCCATATGTGGAGGCTCAGTTGCTCAATCCTCTGGACGGGCGCGTATCAAGGGACCAACACGCATTTGAGACATCTCGCGCTACAGACATGAAACGTGGCGAAGATTCAGCGTGGTGCCCCTCCCCTGGGACCCTTAAGGGAAGAGATCTTTTTCAGGGGTTGGCCATCGTTGACCGTAGCGGTACCGGTCCAGCAGCACCAACAACAAAAGGCGTCCACTGCCCAGAAGGGGTCAACGCTGAGTATCAGTCGAGTGCTACGGCATTGGAGGATGAAGACATGGGGATGTCAGATCCTAGCGGAGTCTAGCTCCTCCTCCGCCCCCAATGACGGGACCCCACCATCCTTGCTGACATACATCCATTGGAACCCACTAGACCATAACCAGAAGAAAACGAAATAAGATCTGAGGTTGTGAGCCTTGGCGGGGAAACAAAGACGATCTTTCCCACATCCCTACATCGCCTTCTTTCTCCATTCGCATCTCCTTCCACTTGATCCATCCATACAGACACACCCTTATTCACCATGAAGTTCGGCAAGGCACTCGAGACGAACGCAGAGACCATGCCCGAGGAATGGCGTCCCTATCTTATCCAGTACAAATCACTCAAGAAAAAGATTAACGCCATCGTCAAGGAGCTCGATGACCGGGGATTGCCTTCGCCCATTATCAAGGACCTACTCTCTCAGTCCATGTCGGGAGATATGCATAGACTCGAGTATTCCTTTGACGGTAGGTCCTCTTCTTCTTGTTGACGTGCCTATCAACGGGCCCCCATTCATTCGCCCGGTGTTTCTCACTCCTCCTTTGTCGCTTGCGAACCGCTTTAGAGGACAAGGAACATCTCAAGACCTGTATCAAGGTCGTTATTGGGCCAGGAACAATCGGTGCAAGTGCGTTTGGACCACCACCTGCAACACAGGAAGGGCACCTTTCGAAATTCTTTGCCCATGAACTCGCTTTTCTCAACTCCTCAGCCTCGTCCTCCTCGAGCGACCTGCATGAAGGACTGGACCGCGCCCCCAACGATAGCGCAGAGGACCCTTTGGACGATGTTACAGCCAACTCAGAGGCGCCTGAGAACTCTTCAGTCAGTGACGAAAACAGCGCAGGGGTTAAGGGCGAAGCAGATGACCATATGTCTGCAGCCAATAATTCCATTGCTACAACTGCAGGAACAGTCGAAAACAGCAGTGCGCCAAAAATGAAAGATCGCCCGCACGGACCCATTTCAGGCACATCCCTTGCCGATGTCCTTTCGCCGCTCTCTCAACCTCCCATCCAGGCTGGCGACATCCAAGACAACCCGCACGAACAGCCTACCTCAGCACCATCCTCACCCGTACCAACAGCAGAGCCACCCTTACCTTCTTCAGCATCCACATCGCCAGGGCCGTCATCGCCGTCGTCCACGGTCGCTTCAGAGGCAATATCCATGGAGACCCTCATCACTCCTGGTGCTATGCACGGGAGGACAACTCATAATCAGCCTCACGTCGGTCGGTCGAGAATCTTGACAACAGAAGAGGACGGCAAAAAGTATGTCAGAGCAGCCTCGAATATTCTGGCGAACCTGGTTTCTTTTGATGGAAGGGGACGTTTGTACTAACATTGTGCCTACTTTTCTCTTTGACCCAACTCACGTTAGGGTTCTCGTTATTGAGCTCACAGCAGACACGGCGTTTTTCGATCAACTGGGAGAGGAGGTTTCACAGCTCAGCAAGCTGCAGCAGGCCAATAAACAGGAGTTTGAATCCAAAGTCGAAGATCTCAGCAAGATCCTGACTGTTGTGTCTTCGCCACAGAACAAGGACATGTACACATGGAGAGAGATCCTCAAGGTCTATTTGGATGCCCAGGTCTTTGTCGGCGGCAACGAGGCGGACCGTTCCACACGATCATCCGAAAAGGCACAGCAGCAGCTCCAGTGGTTCTTGACGGAGATGGATCGCAGCAAACTGGTTCAGAAATTCAAGCAATCGAAATCCAAGATCGCGTTCAACGCCTTCTTTCAGTTGAATTCGGAACTGATCACGATGAAGCAGTTCAGGGAACTGAACCAGATGGCAATGACAAAGATTCTCAAGAAACACGACAAGCGGACTAATCTTACGTAAGTGGTTGGGATGGGTTAGGCTGAGTTGGAGGGGAGGGAGGGGCTCATTTTTCGTGTTTGTGTGCTGTGCAATTTTCTGTTGTTTTTTGTTCCTCGTGTAACATGTAAACGCGTTCAATTGTGTGAGGGGAAGATAGTATATACTGATTTTTTTTTCTCTTTAACTAAACACGATGAGTAGCGCGAGCTCTGGTTTTCCAAAGCATCTCCAGAACGAACCGTTCTACACCGATAACATCTCAAAATCGCTCACCTACACGATTGGGAACCAATTGGTGTCGATCATCCCTCAACCGGACGATTATTCGTGTCCCATCTGCATGTGTACGTTATCTGCAACTTTGTCAATTTCTGGCAGCTGACGATGAATTCTACGACGATGGTGTTGTCAACTCCGGATTGCTAACATGTATGGTTTTTTTTTCTTTTGTTCTCTTCTCCTCCCTTTCCATCATTATTAACTTGACTACATTAAGCTGTGGCATGGAAGCCGATTCGACTGCGATGCAAACACGTTTTCTGTGTGAGGTGCCTAATCAAGGCCCAACGGAAGAGGATGATCAACTGTCCGGTGTGTCGACAGACCAACTCTGTGCTCGAGGCGGACGCCAGCAACTTGGACGTGTCGATGATGAACTTTATGGAGATGTACTTTCCAAAGGAGATCAAGGAGAAGCGTAAGGAATCCGGTCGCGAACAGGCCAAGGAGGAAATGGAGGCATTTACGGGACAACGGTGGTCAGAGGTTCCGGATACTACATGCATTCTTATGTAGAGTCCTTGGCCCTCCCCTGTTTATTTTTCCTGTATACTTCATGGTGTCGACTGCATCTACCTTCTTCCCTTTCTTTATACCACTACCATGTATACACACCTGTAATCTATTCAGCACAATCTACTGCCATAATAAACGCGTTTGACGGCATTGAAGAGACGTTGCAAGCTCCTGGGCATGAACTTATTATGGGGGATGGGGACTGAGTGTGTAGCTGTATTGGTAGTTGGTGTCTTGGGCTGAAACTATGGACGTTTTAATTTATCGTTTATCGCGCTTATTTCCATAAAAGGTTTACATGGTTTGGGAAGCAGTGATCATCATGCACCACAAGGACAAACATGAGGGAATCCGACTTGGAAACAGTCGCTGCTGCTCTTTAACCTGGTGAGGTGCATCATGGCCGGACCCAGTTTCCTCCTCCCACTGTACGGCCTGGTGCTGAGTGGTGGGTGATGACGCATCTGGTCCAGGGGGTGAAAAGTGTGACGCGTGGACAACGATGTGGGTCCCAGGCACATGGGCGAACCGGGGCCTGGTTACCCGCAGTACCGTGAAAGGAAAAGGAAGGGGGTGCGTGCGGGAAGAAGGTTTTGTATAAAATCAAAAATGGGCCTTCTCTGTCTTTTCTTCTTTTCTCTTTCAGCACCCTCATTGTCCTTCTTTTTCTTCTGCTTGCTACTGCTACGATTATTGCTATCGCTGATTTCTCGCTGCATGCTGCATTCATAACCACTGCATTCTACCTGCCATCCACTTTCCTTACCAACGATGTTTTCCCACAACGCCACCAACGCCTATGGCAGCACGCAAAACTGCCGCGTAAGACACAGCCCCAAGAGAGACAGGGATGACGACGAAGAGTCGGCCCTGGACGAATACGGCCACCCGTCCAAGAGAAGAGCCTCCACAAATCCGTGCACGCCCGAGCCATCCACAGATATGGAGATCGACACCGAGCCTGTGCGCGACAGCGAGACCACGAACACCGCCACGAGCTATTGGCTGTCTTTGTCTGCGCCACCATCCCCACCACAACAATCCTCCCCATCCCACAGCTACGCCGCGGTCCCCGCCCTTGTCACTTCACTATCCACGTCCAGCACGGCCAGTCAGGCTAGCGATCTGCAGACTGTCCATGCCTATAGTAACGATCCTTCGGGCGACGATGTCACAGCTCTCCTGTCCATGACGCCGACATCACAGCTGAGCGTCGATGCACCCTGCTCCTCCCGCTTTCTATCACAACAGCAGCTATCGCTGGTCGACGACCATCCATCCGAGCAGGTCCTGCCAACTCCTCACCCATCCCAAGACAGCCCTATCCGTGCACTCGAGAGCACTCCGTCCGCAGTCCTATGCAATACCGAGTCGGCCTCATCTGGACCTCTCATCACAAAAGCCCAGTATCCGCACCGGTTCCCTGTCGAGATATGGGAATTGATCGCATCCCATCTCTACCCGTCCCAGTTAGCGAGGCTATCGCAAACATGTACGGCTCTATACGACATGGTGGCGCGTCTGCCGCTGTGGCGTCTTTGGTACGGGAACCTGCTCGAGACCGGTCGGTTCGACGGTCTCCTCCCGAACCCTTTTTACCCGCCGGATTTGCATCCATCGGCCTATATGATGTACATCTACGCGAGGAGCCTCAGGATTTGTGAGAGATGTACGTACCTGTACAGGGGAAAGCATTATAACGGACCGTTGATGCAGTTCCCCTTGCCTGTCATCATGCCGTCCTCGACCGAGTCATCCTCATCTTTCCCATTGTCGTCGTCATCGTCGTCATCATCATCGTCATCATCCGAAGAGCCGGATGAGGACCAAGTCCAGGCGGCAGAGGACCCGTGGACCGTCCGAATGTGCCTCACTTGCCGAAAGGAACACTACACCATCCACCCAGAGCCCCCAATCGAAAAGCCCGAGATGGAAGAATACCTGAGCCTCTCACAGATGGGGACGAAGTTTGGGCTCGGGAAAGGAACCGGCCAGAGAGTGTTGGGCCGAAGGATCAGGAAGAAGGCAGGTCAGACGTGGGTCGAGTACCCTGTTAGCGTGGCCCGAAAGATCGCCAGGGAAGAATACGGTGGGGACGTGGGGATCGCCGCGCTGGGCAAGGATTTCAAAGCATCTTTGGAGGGAGAAGCCACAAGGATCGAGCATTTAAACCGGAAGGCAGCCAACATGGAGCTCGTGGACGACAAGGAACCTCCGTTGCAGAACCTTTTGTTGTCCGTTCCGACCGCGGCCCCGGAAATCGTTCCACAAGACAAGCTCCAGCAACGATTGAAGATTTATACTAAAGTACGCGAACGATGGCACACTTGGAGGGCTCTCTCGAAGGAGCGACGGACGCTTGCCTGGATGGGAAGGTGGAGGTTTCTGGCCGAGGAGCGGAAGGGCGAGCAAGACAGCTTGTTGGAAAAGGATTATCAGGAGAGGAAGAGCGAGCGATGGGGTAGACATGTCTTGATAGAGCCACTGAGGGACGAGGATGTGCAGAGGCAGCAGAGGTTGCTTGAGAAGGAGAAGAGGCGGGCGAGGAAGAGCAAGCAGGCGTCGGATAAACATGGGGGTCATTATTTGCAGCCTCAGGGCCTGAGCCCGTGGATATATCAGTACAGCTGGGGCGAAGAGTAAGCGGACGAAAGGAACGAAACCCGAGCTGGACCTCAAATCGCTGAACGCGTCTGCGTGAGCTGTCGTCCAATGCGGATATGTATTATTGTTATTGTTATTATTATTGTTATTATTATTGTTGTTATTATTGTTATTATTATTGTTGTATTCAACATTAGTTTAAAACCGCCAGAAGTGTTGGATTTAGTCATAACCTTCTGCGGTTTTGATTGAAGTAAAACATCACTATCACCATCAGAGAAAAAGGAAGAGAGAACAGATGAGGATGAAGGTGAAGAGGAAGGCAGGCAAGAGGGTAAAAAATACTCCCCCTCTCAATGCTCTTGATTTGAAACGACGCTCGCTTCTTTCCTCTCCAGAATGCAATATAACGCAATGGGGGAGGGGAGAGACGGTGCGCTGGGGGTTTGAGACAGCACGCCCGAGAAAATTTGCGCGCGCGCCGTGAGCTGTGTGCTCTGCTCTGCTCAGCTGTGCTCGACTGGCTTTTTGTGGTTTCTCAATTTTATTTGTTTATATTGTTTGGTGAAACCACCGAGATGTTCAGGGCCTATGCTTTTTTTTTTTTTTTTATTATATATTTTATTGAAGAAGAAAAGAAAAGAAAGGAAAAAAATATATGGTGTATATTAGGAGAGGTAGCGGTGGTAGTATAAGAGCCTATGTAGCCTATGGATGTACTGTTTGCTTGTCCAGGAGGGAAAATAGGCCGTGGACAGACAGCAGAAAAAGATTATTATGTATGTACAGTAGTATATAGAGAGCAGTATACATTGCAGAACGAAAGAAAAGCAAAAAGTATGATACACTGGTATGGGTGATTCTCAAAACAAATTGATGGAAAGAAAAAGAAAAACAAGAGGACAAGAGGCGATAAGGGTCGGGCTAGTCAAGGAACCCTCCCTAAACTCAAAGGTCGATAAAAAAAATCCCTCTTTTTTTACATGGTCTGGCTAAGCATGCTCAGGACCACGGCTGCCTCTTCGACCTTGCGTCGCAGACGGAACTTGCGAGCCCAAAGTCTCTTGCTCTTCCGGGTTCGCTCCTTGCGGTCCTTGTCATCCTTCACACGGCCATCCGGCAGAGAGTCCCACTTGCACTTGCGAGGGTGGATCGTCGGTGACATGTTGTGGACGTTCTTCAGGTGCCGTCGGAGGTTGCAGTTCTGGTTCTTGCTCGGCTTGAAGGTCCGGCTGCAGACAGGACACATCAGCAGCTGCGGGTCCGTGGAGCTCGAGCTCGTCGTCGACGACGCCAACGAGGCACTGGATAAGTTATTGCGCGATAGCGAGGACGACAGCGAGGACATCGAGGCCCTGGGCGTCAACGCTGGCGTGGCCAGTCCGCCGTGACTGGGTCCCATGTAATACCCCTCGGATGAGAAAGGCGACAGCTCGGGCGAGAAGTGTGAGTGGTCCGAGGCCAGCGAGGGAGAGCGTGACATGGGACGCGAGCAATCCTCGTCCATCATTACCATGCGAGCGCCAGCCGAGGGAGGATTGGTATATGCGGTCGAGTGCACAGATCGAGTCGAGGCCTGGAGAGGAGTTAGAGGCATGGGGGAGTTTGAGTGCAGTCGGGAAGAGATGGAGTCCATGGAGGTTGGGGTGGTTGGGGTGGGAAGGTGATGGTGATAAGAAGACGTAGTGGTGGGTCTCGAAAAGTAATCACCAGGCCCATTGTAGGGAGAACGATCGCCTCGGGCATGATAGGGCGACTCGCGGTGATGGTGCTCCACCTGGTCCCGCGATGCGGAGGAAAAGGATGGGAAGAGGTCTCTGGGCGAGGGCATGGTTTGACCGTGATACTGCTGCTGCCTTGAGGCGGTAGCGGGATGTGGAATTGACGCAGATGTGTGGACGGGTTGCTGGAACGGATGGATTGATTGGTTATCCTGATACTGGGACGAGTGGCTGAAGAAGCCCTTTGGCTGGGGGAGGACTGAGGAGAAAGGGATGGACATCGGGAGCCTCTGGGGGGTGCTCTTGTGGAGACGCTCGTGTGAGAATGAAGGGGAACGGCTCATGAGGTCGCGGGGCGTCGATGGTCCGGGCGAGCAGGACAGGGAACGGTCGGAGGAGGAGCTGTATTGGCTGTGCAGCGACGAGCAGGAGAGACGCGAGGAGAGCGAGATCGAGGGTGTTGAGTAGGACCGGGTCTGGAAGTTCATCCTGGGCGGTGGTGCGGTGGTGTATGAGCGAATGGAGGGGGAGGGGGAGGGGGGGTAGGGCGCGAAGCTGGGGTGGATGGAAGGTGGATCCATGGGGCTGGACATGGTTTATATAGTGGGGCGGTGGGGCAAGGAGTGTGGAACGTGTGTACTCTGGAAGTTTCCGAGGGGAGGGAGCAGGAGCCGAGGATCCCAGGGAGGAAAGAAGAGGGATCGGTGATGGGCTGGGGGAGGGGACCAGGAGGCTGATGGGTGCGGTTGTTGTGGAAGGAGGAGCGAGGGGGAGTGGTGGAAATGCAGGGAGTGATGTGGATAAGGGCCTTGTGCTTCCTATGGGGCAGGCAGGGGGAGAGGAGGGAGAGGGGGGCGAGATGCGGAGAGATTGAGAGTCAAAGAAAAAACGCGCATGGTTAGGTTAGGTTAGGTTAGGTTATTCTGTCCTAGCTCACTCGAATGCCTGTGCCGTGTGCCGTGGACAGGGCAGGGCAGGGTGTAACCCGCCGGTGTGGAATCACAGCGCACGGTGTACACAAGGGCCGCGTTGTATTACCAAAGGCAGAGTGGAGGGAAATTCAGTTGGACAACGGCCGTGAGGGGGGACGGAAGAGAGTGAAGAAGAGGGACAGTTGAGGGGAAATAAAGCCGGCGTAGACAGTCGACCGAAAGGCGTGAGGATGGCGAGGGAGAGGGGGGAAATGGTGCTTGCTTATAAGAGGGCGCAAGTTTAAAATAAGATGGAGTAATAAGGAAAAGGGAGATGGGACTATGGGCAAGTGGAAAAGGCGCACACAGCAGCAGCAGCAGCAGCAGTGCGAGGATGAGGAGGGGATATAATTAGAGTACGTTCTTTACCTGTGCAAGAAGAAAGAGCAGGTCCCGAGAGCAGGAGGCGGGAGACAGAGCAGAGCGAGTGTTTGGCACACCAACGAGGGAGGGTAGAGAGGTAGAAAATGAAGAGATGGCGACAGCAGCACCGACTGAAAGGAAGAGGGTCGGCGACCGAGCGAGGAATGGGCGGATGATGGAGACAGGGAGGGGGAGGAGGAGGGACGCTGGGCAGCGGTGGACAGAGGCAGAAGGGGGAAGCGGGAGGGCGAAGAGGAAGGGACGAACACTCGACGACGACGACGACAGTGAAGGATGAGAGAGAGAGAGAGGAAGACAGAGGAAAAAGAGAAGACAGAGGAAGACAGCGAAGGCGGAGGAATGAGAGGAAGAAGAAGAAAAAGAGGATCCCATTTAAAGGGAAAGGACGAGGCGATGACCCGAATGAACGGGCGGGCGGCGCTTTCTTTTTACTGTACGTTCTGTAAGTATAATGCAATCGCCCAGAAGCAAGGGACACACACATACACACATACACATGTGCACACACACCCACACACATGTAGACTATACACACATAGACTACAATTGCTGTATGAATACCCTTCTTCCTGGTCTACAATGGGCCTTACGGACTGAGGGATTGGGAGGGAAGGGAGGGGAAAGGGAAAGGGAAGGAAGGGAAGGAGGGAGAGGGAAGGGGAGGAGTATGGTGGTTGGCTGGCAGGTTGGTTGGTTGGTATGTTCGAATGCGTACACGAGTCCATAGAGACATGTCCAACCTTTATTTGAAAGTTGCACAAAATACCTTTACTCTATACCATTGACTACTGAGTCTATATACCATCGTCCTTCTCACTCTGCATGTCGCACAATTCAATGCACTACTGAATCTCTAACAACTACCACCCACTGAACATGGTCCGTCACACTATTGTAGACTGACTACACTCATGCACACACAGCAATGTATTCGAACAATAGTAACAATAATAAGAAAGCAGGAGGGTAAGAAGGACCCTCTGCGAAGCGGCGTAGATCTTTGTCTTCACAGCTCTGCATCATTTGCGCCGTAGACCTCTTGGCCTCAGCTGGGCGCGGCAACCATGCTGGGTGCTTGTAGAGAAAGAGGTGATTGAATCATCACTGCGCCGATCGCAGGCCATTGTAGTGGTAGGTGATTGTTGCTCATCCTTAGTTTTACACGCAAAGCGCAATATCATCTTCAGAGGATAGAATCCTGTGAGGGAGCATAAAATGCAAGATGGTAAGCGGTGCGATACTGTCATTCTCCCTCTCTTCGTCCCGTCAGCATTTAATCGGTGGGTTGCGATCTGTCATTGCTGCTTACACAGCCTCACTGCAGAAATCTCGGCGCTTTCTGCTTTGCGTGTCGCGCGAACAAAAAGCCCCATTACAAATTTCCAGTCGACCAGTCCATCTCGTTGGGAAAATGTTGCAGCAGCTATACCAGCCGCAACATTGGTGCGGGTTCCGATTTCCTTATATCCCTAACTGAGTTTTATGCGGGCCTTCTTGCTTTGCTCTGTTCACATTTCTCTTGGTGCCTTTCACACTCGCTGCATTGTGTCTACGGCAACGCGGTCATCATTTTCCCTAGCACTCTGACTGGTTGTTGCTCCATGACGAAGGAGGGGTTGGAAGTATGGTTGTTCGATCTGACGTCGCATCACGACCTCAGGAATGAATGGTTGTTTAGCGATATAGAAAACACCAGATTTTGCACATGGGAAAAGAATTTGTCCCAGTCGCACGCGAAAATGTTCCCGGTAGGGCTAAGGCCCATTCCCATGCACCCGTCCAAATACAGAGCAGGGACGAGGAAACGACAGGGAGGGCCGAGGGAAGGAGAACGCACAGGCACCAGCTGGGTTAAGGGACGCGAACAAACGCGTCCCTTCGCAACGGGACACGGCTGAGGCACGCGTGCCGTGCCTTGTCCACCCTCTCCTAGATCGGCCTCTTTCCCCTCGTAATTCCTGTTCCTGCTCCTGTTCCTGTCTTTTTTTTTAACCCCTCAGCATCGAGCAACTCCCGTCCTTGCACATCTGGCAGGGAGTGTGGGCTGATTGTTTAAGGAATTATTCAGATCCTGCCCTGTCAACCGAAGAAGAGCACTTTAGATAATAGCATATCATTCCTAATAACAGTATTATAAACACCTATTCCTGAAAAAACTGGATATACTGATTTACCCATGCTCGATCTCTTGGGTTGATGATCACAAACTGGGATCGTTCTCTGAGTTTTGGTTAGCGAGACGTCAGGATGGCGATCCTTGGCTGGCTTGCTAGAATTCAGGGGCAAGAAGCAGGAGGGAACAAAGCAAAAAAAATAAAAAAAATAAAAACATTTGAAAAGAGGGGGGAGTAAGCATCGACAGACTAATTATGGGACAGGGCAACAAACGGAGCATGGACCAACAAGTGTTGATGATGTGCACCAACCAAGCGTCTCATTGTGCCTTCTGTAACACTGAGTGCTGAACTGTCATCTTTTTTTTTTTTTTCTCTCAGAGTTGGGACTAATGCAATGTACCTAATAGGATACATGCGATGCGTCCTGTGGATCATGCAAACGATACGATGCATCTTCCCGGTCCGTTGGCAGGGTCATGATTTTCTCCACCGCAGCCAGGCTGATGTCCCAGATCCCGTTGTCTGTTATTCGCTGAAGTGAATGACCCAGTCCAAGTTCGCCCTTTTTTTTTTTTCTGTTATGCACACAGTACCTTCCTCGTTACTCTAACATAGAGCTCACAAAAATAGAATGCATCGAGAATCTGAAAGATGCGTGGATACTCCAACGTCTACATGCCCCGTGCTCCAAAAGGCTGTGAGGGTTCCAGCCCTCGAAAGCCGTTTCCCCTGGCGGCCAGTTCGTTCCCCTCGAATTAAGGCATGCTCCAAGAAATATGTGCCGAGACTTTGGATGAGTGCCATTTCAAAGGGAGAGCTGCACATAGACATGGGTGTTCAGAGAGGAGCAATTCTCGCCTTGCCCTTGCCTTCTATCAAATGGCACCTCGATTGCTTGCAGGCTGCATACTGTTCTCCTGATGTAGCCCCCCTCCCTTTCGGCAGTACTTTCTTTTTGGCGGAACAACTACGCAGGTCGTATATGCACCACTGCGGATTAGTCTACAGGGATTCATCATCTCAGTCCTAGTGCGTTTAAGGTATGTACAACGATACTAAACTAATCTACATGTCGTTTATGCTGTCTCCCACCCTTCAGTTCGCCCCTTGCAATTTTTTTTGTTGTAGTACGAACGTTGCAATCTCCCAGTCTCCCGAAGACCCGGATGCGGCCCATGCGCTTTTTTCAAGCCTCTGCGAGTCTTTGCTGCCAGGTTTAGTCGACTAGGAGGCAGCAAGTAAGTGATCGCTATTCGTCTGACAGAAATCTCCGGCGACGGATGGTGACCGTGGATAGCCACGAATTCTTATTTTTGGGGTACCAGAAAACGCGAACTAGCGCAAACAGAAATATGGGACAGGTATAGATGGTGGCAACAACAGATAGCAGACGCATGAGGGTGCCCCTGTTTCGTACGATAATAGAGTTAGTGTCAATAATTAGCCCATAAATGGCGCATTGAGATGGAGCGGTATGCACACAAACGTTACACCTCCATGGCTTTCTTCTTGAGCATCGCCTTTCGTCACATATAGACTATTCTAACGCGCCTTTCATCATCGCAACAAATGCCCTTTTGTTGATTTAGGGACATGGGGTGACTATGCATGCAAAGCACAATTTGGACACAGACCAACAACGATCAACTACCAACGACCAACGAGAAGATGCGCGCTTAATTGCGTTGCGGCCATAGCGCCTCAAAGATGCGACACGAAAACAGCCCCCGCATGTTTACCGTCCCTGGACTCGACAGCGTATTATTGTAACAAACAATGCCGTCTGTCTGTCTCCCCTCCTCTTTCTCGGGTGCCGAGTAAAGCCTTCGACACGCCGAGGTCGACTTCAACGTCGCGTTACATCTGTTCCCTTGCCGTTGTAGCTTACCATCCAATGTCCAGCGGTCTCCAAGGGGTGACTCTCCTGTCCTTTGCCTTTGTTTGCATATCTCTCACCCCGCCTTTGCCACTCCTTTCGGTAGACTCCTTGAACTGGTTGCTAGAGTCGAGATATTCTTCGTTTGTTTGTATTCATGTTGCTTTCGTGTTGATTATTACAATCTCTCCCATCTGCATGGCACAAACACAAAAGAGGGCTATCCACTACGGCGCGGCCGAGGGCCTCAATCCAAATTGAGTACCCCCTGCATAGAATGCCCTCTGGCGCCGAGCTTTGCCATTGCAGGGACCGTACCCATGCTGGATGTATCGCATGACAATTATCTCAATTAATAATCAACGTGTCCATACAAGCCTGATTGGTACATCTTCTTCCTCCTCCCCCTCCCCTTTAATAGACTTATCTTCAAGAGTCTAAACAGCTGATGTCCTATCTAGTCATTGGTCTGGACCCCGGCCAATTTCTTTTAATTCTTTCGAACCGTTGGGCAAGGGGGTATAGTAACAAAAAAAAAAAAAAAAAAAAAAAGGCAAGCGTTACCGTTGTTGGTAAGTGAGATACATTCTGCACGTTTGGCGCCGGTTGAACGGCCGCCAAACTGGAAAGACGCGTGAAATCTGGAGCGGATACGGCTTCGCCCACCAAATAAAAAAAATCGACTGGAGACCCGACTTCAGTCAACCAATGATCGTGGAGTAGAGTGGACTGCCGTTCTTCACAAGCCACGAGCATAAACAACAATGCCCAATATGTGGCCTTCACCCGATCACCAAACCTACGGCCTCAACTCCTTCGCCATCAACTTTTTTTTTTTTTTTTTTTTTTAATTGTCTTATACACAGGAAGCACTGCACACGATGTTCAAATCAGCTGCCGCCCAGTCTGCACCGGCGTTGGCCCGTGGATATGCGACCAATGTGACACGTACATTGTTCCCTCGACACTACCGCCTTCGACACAAAATCCAGAACGAGTCCGACGCGACCCCTCTCAAGGATGGCTCGGTGTTCGTTCGTCGCCCCACCGCCGGCCCAACGACTTCCATCCTCTCCTCCGCAAACCCTTCCCCCGCCTCAGTTTCTTCAAGGGTACCGGGATCCGCCACGACCACCCCTGTCTCACATCCTGATCTCCCTCCAGCATTGAACGCCCACAAGGCACCTCGTCCAGAATTCGCAAATCTGACCCCAGAACAGATTGCAGAGATGCGTGCGCTTCGACTCGAGAACCCCACCAAATACACACGCTCGTATTTGGCCAAGAAATACAACGTCAGCGATATGTTTGTCAAGTGTTACATCCCAGCATCAAAAGAGGTCCAGGTTTCGAGGATCAAGGCTCAGCAACGTTCGTTCGAAAGCAAGGGATGGAAAGCACAGGAGATTGTCGTCCAGAGACAGAAGCGTCGTGAATTGTGGTAGAAAATAAATAAAAAGAAGCAAGGAAAATGAGGGCACAGGAATAAAAACGATGCCAAAAATATAAAAAAAGTATGCCATTGTATCCAAAACGAAACTCTTCAGGATCTCAAGCAGGCAGACCTCATTCTTGATGACTTTTTATATCATGTTCAGGATGTACATTTGGATCTGGTGCTTTGCTTTTTTTATATACAAGGGCGAAGGGATAGTCTACAGTTGTTGAGTCGCACATTGGTTAATCATGGTCCAGGAGAACGACCGATAGTATCACTGTGGTTCAAAAGAAAATGCCCGAGGTATTCCAACGGGTTCTGTGGCCTATATAACAATCGAGTAACATACGAGTATTGATTAGCGCTTCTGATATCATCCTTCCTGGTATGTAATTGATGCAGTGGCAGGGACGTGTGTCATGAGAGTCGCTGCCGTACCTCTCTTTGGCTAATTGCTTCATTCCTTCTAGTAGGACAGGTAGTACGGTCTGGTCTAGATAGGGTCTGATAGGCATGGCGGTGAGCTCTGCCTTAGATAGGCCCGCCAGTGGATTTGTAACACCTGTTGCTGAGGATGCTGTAGAACCCTCGCGGTCTGCATTCAATATCTCCTACAATGTTGCAGCAATGGATAACAACCGAAGTTAGCGTCGTTGATCCTGTGTTTGTACAGGGCGGGCAAAGAATAGAGTTGTGGGATGGTAGATCTCCATGGGACGATGCCACATACGCCGATGCTTTTGACCGCTCCACGCTGTGACTCAGTCTTGACTCGCTCCTGTGCTGCAGGCGAGTTCCTGCTGTCGTAACCTGGTGTTGATCGATCCGAGTCCATGTTGCGTTCGCGTCTGTGTCGCCAAAGGGAATCGGGGGGTTCGAAAGGCGCGCTTCTTCCTTCAACTTGGTTTCTGTAGTAGTGGCTTGCCACCAAAATTGACCGACCCGTTTGTGTTGCAAGAAACGCGCTCAAGGGCCCTTTCTTTTTTTTTTTTTTTTTTCAGGCACCCGAGGCACTCAATCAGTTCCACAACCCTCATCTACCCAAACAAACACAGCATGGCCAGGCCGAAGAAGCAGGCCACAATCGAGTCTACCAGCGGTGCGGGCACCGGCGGCAGCAAGTCCTCAAGCACATCGACAAAGCCCAGGAAGCAGAACGCCATCGACACCCTTCGCACCGTTGTGCCAACCATTTTTCAGGAGTCGCAAAAGACAGCGGCCAACCATCGCAAAAACGCCATCATGCTTCGCAAGATTCAGGAGCAGTGCGCCGAGATTGCTGGGGAGGAAGGCGAGGAGGCATTCAACAAGGAATTCATTCGGAACTTGAACGTCGTCTTGGCTATCAAGAAGAAGGAGCCCGCCGCCGACAGGGTGATCCAGTTCGTGTCCTCCTTTATTCTCTGCACGCGAGAAAAGGGTGCGTACGCATGCCAATAGACCTCGAAGCAGGATTTTTCTTTTCTTTCTTTCTTCCTTATGAGGTACTACATCTCACACAGACAACCCACCCATTTGTCCGTAATCATAGATATGAAGGAGGCAACAGAAGACGACGAGGAAGGCGCAGAGGGAATCTCATCGCGGTTCGTCGAGTATCTGATGCATCATTTACTAAAGGGCGTCAGAGTCAAGGAGAAGCAGGTCCGCCTGAGATCATGCCAGCTTATTGCTCTGAGTACCAACTCGCTGGGCGCCATGGAGTATGTTGACAGCTCAAGGAACTGATTTCGTCATACATGAGCTGGAAACAAAAAAGAAACACATCTAATACTGGCGCTGTTATTCAATACGTCCCATGACCGTAGCGATGATTTGTATACACAACTCAAGGACAGCCTGATGGAGCGAGTCAGGGACAAGGAAGCGGCCGTTCGCGTCCAGGCTGTATTCGCTTTATCAAAACTGCAAGGAGGCGGCGAAGAGACCGAGGACAAGAACGATGACGATGATACTGTGGTTCAAAAGCTTTTGGATCTTATGCAGTATGACCCTAGTGCGTAAGTTCTGATCGCGGATATTGCCTTGATCTCAATAGATCCTGTGTATACTATTTCTGACGTCTTGAGCTCTTTTTTTTTTTTTTTTGCTATGTAGCGATGTCCGTCGATCAGCACTCTTCAACATTGAACAGACAAAGACCACCCTGCCTTTCATTCTCGAGCGAGCCAGGGACACGGATGCATACAACAGGAGAGGTGTCTTCACAAAGCCCATGGAGGAACTCTCGGATTTCCGTATTCTGTCTATCGACGACAGGGAGAAATTGCTGCGCTATGGTCTTTCAGACAGGTACATTGTCTGCACAAAAAAACATGTTTGATGTTGTGCTAAAGATTACTATTGGAAACCTAACCTATGTCATGTCTGAAAAAAATACTGAAAATAGAGATGAGGGCGTCAAGAAGGCATGCACGAAAATGCTTGCCACTAAGTGGATTCAACAGGCGGACGATAACCTTCTAGAGTTTTTAGAGCGCCTGGATGTGATGGGCAGTAATGTAGCAGATGATGTGCTCAAGGCGTTTTTTGGCTACCGTGCCGATATCCTTGGGGGTTTGATGTTCAACGGTATGTTGCGGACAATGCTACGGGCGTTTAGAAAGAACATAACTGTTCATGTACCAAATACCAGTGGTTTCTAATGCGAATTTTTCTTGTATGTCCTGTAGATGTATTCTGGGTAAACTTGACGGTGGAAAGCGCATTTTTAGTGCGGGCCTTTGCAGAGTTCTGTCGTAGCAAGGACGACGACATTCAGTTTGAGAAGGCGGTACCGGAGGTGACGCGCCATGCATTTTACATTCAAAAATACAGCAACATCATGCAGGAAGCTGACGAGGACGACCGGCCCGAAGCCGAGTTCATTGTAACGCAACTCCTAATGATTGCCAAGCTACTGGATTATGCGGACGAAAATGGTCGCCGCAAAATGTTCAATTTGCTTCGTAAGTCTCGACCTTTTTTTTTTTGCAGCGACTTCGAAAATCCGACGGTGTTATTGCCACCAGCCTAAGATCAATATTTTTGCTTTTTAGGTGAGATGTTGATGCTGGACGATATCCCCGATAAGCACCTGGACTGCATCGTGGAGACAATGGGAAAGATTTCGCTTAACGAAAAGGATTTCACGCGCATTATTATCGAAATCATTTCCGATATCCGAACCGGAATTGATGAGCAGGAGTATCTTCGGAATCCCGAAAAATCTGATGTGCGTTGCTATTTTATTAACAAAATGATATCTTTTACAGTTTACATGAATCCAATGCTGATGTTTAGTCCCCCTACTGCATTTTATCTAGGATGACGACGACTCCCCTGATGACCAGACGATGGATCTGACAAGCACTCCACGGAAACGAAAGCGCAGCATAGTAGACAAGACACCAAGCAGAAGATCTTCGATTGCAGTAGAAGACATGGGGCAGAGCACCAGTGAGATTGATGCCATGTTGATCAGGCTGCGGTGTCTAACGATCACAAAGTTCATGCTGGAGCGAAGCACAGAGGTAATTGATTATAGCTTGAATGGCTCAAAATGAAATCAAACAGGTCCTTTTCAGCAACTTATGGCTCTTTTGTATGTTTTCTTTAGCCACTCAAGGAGAATTCGTATATGTACGGACTATTGAACGAATTGGTGATCCCCGCACTGGCAAGGCAGGAAGAGGTCATGCAGGAGCTTGGTCTTCAATGCTTGGGCCTAATCTGTGTCCTGGATCAAAACCTCGCCCAGAACAACTTGGAGCTGTTTCTGACGTGTATCTTTGCAGAGAACGCAAACGCTCAGATTCATGTGCTTTCTCTCAAGGTATTAATCTAAAGACAGCTTCTAGATTTAGGTCCCGGTGCCCTTTCCAGAATGCTAACATTCCATACTCCCCGTCGATGAATGGCCCATAGATCGTGTTTGACCTAATCCTATCCTATGGATTAACAGCCATGTCCATTCTTGTCACGGAGGAAAGAATCATTCAGGACCTGACTAGGAGCTTGGAGAGTCCTATACCAACACTGCAGGCTGTTGCCGCGGAGGGCATCGCCAAGTTGATGCTCACCAAACTGCTGAAAAATGCGCAGGTATGTCCAGCGACGACTGTAACCCGTTTCCTTACTAATAGGACAGTTTGTATTCTGACGAGTCCTTCTGTTCTCTTCTCTCTGACATTACCATAGATCTTGCGCAAGTTGATTATCCTTTACTTTGATCCCACGACTGCTGGCAACAACCACCTGCGCCAATGCCTCAACTATTTTCTGCAGGTTTACTTTCACTCATCTCACGACAATCAGGTCACGCTCAGTGAAATTTTTGTCCCGATCATGGTTCAACTTATTCAGATGCAGCAGGAGGCAAAAAACGAAATGCCAGTACCGGCTATCATGGCACAGCAGTTGTTGGAGTGGTGTGAGCCCCGCCGTGTATTAGGGTATGCCATCTGTTTTTAAAAACCACGGTTTAGCGACCACACCAACTGTGTAGCGGCCTTTGAAGCTAAACTTGCGCAAATCTTCTCCATTTTAGAGCTGACGACGAAAATATAGCAGCTGATGGCAAGATCGATTTCGGCTTGCAAGCGAATATCGCGATCGAAATCGTCAAGGTTATGTTCTCGGAAACGAACAGTAAGGTTCCAGGCATTGGAATGCAATGGTCAGGTCTCTGCAGGCTCTTAGCTTGAAATATGAACTAATGATCACCAACTTCATTGTTCGTTTGGTTGCACAGATATTCGCAAGCACCTGCCTCTCATCCTGTACAAGACACGACTGGATGGGGATGCAGGCGAGATTCGCCTGAAAAAGTTAACGCTCCTCATGGGCAACTTGAAAGCGGTAGGCTACTCGGGCGTTCATACATCTTTTCGAACACAAAATCGACGTGATGATGGCCATCCCATTGAGCGCTAAAACCACATACTTCTTTTGATTGTTTCTATAGAAACGTCCTTTTACAGAACCTATGAGCAAAAAGTACCTGCTCTCGGTTGAGAAGAATATCTTGAAGATGTTTGAGGATGCACCCCAGTCCCTGGATGATGCAGAGTTGAACAAACTGGTAGAACTTACAGAAGAAATCTCATTTGTCGACAAGTTTGAATTGCCAGAAGGTACCTACTTGTTCGCCTTTCAGATAACAGAACGTCTGAAACTATTATTAGAGGGTTATTCGCTAATTGTAATGGGACAAACCCATGTTTTTATCACTTCCACCGAGTAGAACCAGACGAGGTCATCCCAGCACTCGCGACCACTAGAGGTCGCAGGTAGGTGTTGTGGCAAAAGCTTACCCAGCAAATCAATGCGATTACAGGTTCTTGTTTATTAACGCACATTTTTTTTTTTTTTTCAATAGGACTCGGTCCAAGAAGGCCCCAACGAACTCAAAGCTGGCTAAGATCATCAAAGATATCGATGCCATCTTGGAGTCTTCAGAATCCTCAGAATCCGCGGAAGAATGGGAAGCAGAAGATGACGACGATGAAGATGATTGAATGCGACTCGGACTATCGATATCTCTCTGTAATAAAACACTTCGTTTCTGTAGATGCAACTTTATTACAACGTTGTCTGGTGAACGCACACACGCTCTTAATGACGGCCTCGCTTGCGATCATCCTCACGACCGCTAGAAAGGGCGCTTCTTTTTCTGTTTGCTTCATCTTCGCGATCCCAGCGTTCCTATTGATTAAAGCACATCCGCATTGTCGGGTATATTTGTGTGTGTGAATAAAACGAATCGATGGAGTACAAAAGAGCAGGCAAGAGTACGCGTTCATTATCCTAACGATATCCACCAGTCGCATGTACCTTGTCCTTTTCGGCCTGAGATTTCTCTTTACTGCTGCTGCTGCCGTTACCACCTCGACGATCATCTCTGTCCGACCGGTCAAACCGCTCCGACCGGTCTCTGTCTGAGCGATGGTAGTCGCGATCACTACGGTCCCGGTCACTGCGCTCCTTGTCGCGGTCGCTCCTTGAGCTGCGCTCTCGACTACCGCCCCCTCCGCTCCCCTCTCTACTTGACACGCGACTATTGCTATCACGATGGTCGCTGCGGTCGCGGTCGCGGTTACGGTCTCGGCTGCGATCGCGATCCCGATGGTCTCCACGACTACTGCCCTCCCGAGAGTCCCTCTGGTCGCGGTCGAGACTACTCGGCCGTGGGCTCTGACTGCGTCGGTCGTCATGATCGTCACGATCATTTTGTTTTCCCTGCTGATGACCCATGGACGGCATCATCTGTCCCCCAAAGGGAGGTCCTTGTTGAAAGCCCATGCCCTGGTTGAACGGAGCCCTGCCTCCCTGAAATCCAGGCCCACCGCCAAAATTATTTGCACCGTCCCACTGGTTCATATTGGGTCCGCCTGGTCCTCCACGGCCTGCCTGTGGTCTGAATCCATCGGGTCCTTGAACCATGGTCGGTCCTCCTCTTCCACGGCCAATGCCTCCTCCACCTATCATGCCCCCACGCATATTAGGTGTACCAGCTCCACGCCCATTGCCTCTAAAGTTACCTTGGTTGAACCCATCACCCCCAAAGAAAGGCACTCCGCCCTGCTGGAATTCATTCTGGAATGATGCGCCGCTCGGTCCGTCGCCGTGGGAATCGTCGCCGCCAGCAGGCACACTGCTGTTCCGTTGAAACGACGGACTTCTGTCATTACGCCCCCCGCCTCCTTCATGATCCGCACCGGATCCAGCCTCATTTGCGTTTCCACGGCCACGCCCAGCATTCGCAGGACCTCCGGGTGGACCATTAGGGCCACCAGGGCCACCGGGCCCTATAAACCGACCGCCACGTCCAGCGCCACCAGGGCCCCCTCTTTGGTTCATCGCATTCATCATGTTGCCCATAGGCATACCCATACCGGGCATAGGCATGCCACGACCCATCATCCCTGGCATCCCTGGCATTCCTGGCATCCCTGGCATTCCTGGCATTCCTGGCATCCCTGGCATCCCTGGCATTCCGGGCATAGACATCATTCCAGGAAGTCCCTGCATACCTGGCATAGGCATACCCAATCCGAGTTCCGGAGGCAAGTCCATCAGTAGCTTGGGATCCATATCAAAGCCCTAGATATACAGATTAGAGATAAATAAAATATTACAAGATTAGCAAGCCAACGCATGTTTATCTTCCGGCATCGTGTCCAGCATTCACGTTTGTTATCGACATGGCGCCTTACCGCAAAGGGATTCTCGCGCATCATCTTTTGTTTATGGCAATATGCCCTCCAGATGTTTTCGTTGAACCCATAGTTGAAATAATCTGTCAAATCCGCGCCGGGCTTCCTCCAGGGTTTATCCTCGACTCCATCTAGATCCACATCGTACAATTCGACGCCGTCGATTGAGCCCACAGCGTTGATGTCGACCCCACCAGGTTTCGTGGCCGGGATCACATCCACGGTTCCATTGGCGTTTGTTACTGTTGTCGTCCCTGATTTCGCAGGTGTGTTCGTCTTGATATTCACAACCGTTTGTCTAGAATGTGGTAAGGTCCGGATGCGCCATTAATAAGGAATGCTTTGGTACGATGGAGGCGGAAAAATAAGAAACCCTACGTACTTTGATGGCCCTGCTGATTCCTGTCTGTTCTCCTCGTTATCCATGACAATTTCAATATCCTATCCAAAACAACAACGACAACAACGATCAGTCGATCGGTAGTCAAGGATCCTAAAACCATCCATCTGGTACCAAGTACTCAAAGAGATCGTCTTGGTAGGAAGCTACTTACCGACTCGCTATCCTCTTCTTCTTCAGACTCGTCTTCCTCTTCCTCTTCTTCTTCCTCTGCTTCTTCGTCATCACCATCTCCCTGACCTGATCCGCTTGCACCTTCTTTCGCATTCGTGGCCCCAGTGACGTTGTTCTTTTTGTCTTCTGCTGATTGTGTGGCACTCGTCGTTCCTGATGTGATCTTGACCTCCGTCGATCTGTGTAAAATCCAGCAAAAAAAAAAGAAAAAAGAAAAAAAAAGGGCAGCCCGAACAAGGAGAATCATTCAATTAGACAAGATATAAGCATTATGGATCCAAATTCGTATCTAGCCCCAAGAACATGGAATACAAACACCTACGAGGATCCTCCTTCACCGCCTACGCCATAGAGATCAAACGATTCGCTATCTTGACCTAGAAGGGAGAGAGAGAGAGAAACGCATCAAATTGTTTTAGTGCACTATAGATGAAGTGAAAGGAATATCATGCAGTCTACTGCCTTTTGTCGTATGCGTGAAGCAACGTCGCGATCGACATTGTCTTTTTTTTTTTTTTGTCAGCGGGGGAGGGAGTGCAATGACATACCTGTGGTTGCTTGTGTAGGGGCATTCGTGGCGGGTTCTGACGAGCCATACAAGAACTCGTCATCATCGTCTGCTATATGCGAGCTCATGTTGAAAAGTGTATGGTACTGGTGCTGGTGCTGGCGCTAGTGCTGGTCCTGCTGGGGGCTGCCCGAAAGTTGAGTTCAGAACAAGGACGATCCTGTTAGGGTCCTGCGTAGGCTTTGTTGGTTCTTCCTGTGAGCGCTCTGTTGACAGTATGAGGCGTTCCTCGAGTCCAATGAAATCCAGTCGCAAAAGGTCGGTGTCCAGATGAGAGGTGTCCTGGATGGATGCAATCACAGGTGGTTGGCAAGAACGGTCGAGAGGTCGCAAAAGTATTTACGAGGGAAGGGGTGCCAGGTGCGTGTTTCTCGTGTGTTTGCTCGCGCCAGGACCATGTCTCGAAAACCAAGCCACTCAGTCTCTATCCCAACCTCCTTTGGTCCAAGTTAGTAAAAAAAAAAAGCTGGAAAGCATACTTTATTCATTTGATGGTATTTAACTGGTATCTATGATGTATAAGTGAATGAATGCAACAATTGTGTATCTTCAAAGATCGTCCTTCGCGATATCAAGCCTCCGTTTGACCGGTGACCGGAGTTCCCGCCGCTCAATGCCCGGGCCCGGGACAAAACCTCGTTGCTCGTCATAATCCTCCACGTTCACCTCTCGCCCAGCCCGAGTGATCATAAAGGGCTCTTTCTTATTCGGCCTCTTCTTCTTCTTTCTCCCCCTCAAGGCCTCTGCCTCTGCAGTGCATCCTTCGTGCTGGACCACCGTTGAGGCCTGCATCTGACAAAGCGCCTCCGTCTCACACGCAGATCCCTTATGGCAGGGCCTGGCTTCCTCAGACAGCTTGGACTCGTACTGAAGATACGTTTCAAAAAGCTCTCGATCGTCCTTCATTCGCTCCACAGCGCGGTGCCAGAATGCAGGTGATAGCGGTTCTTCAGGAGCCAGGGGAGCACCAGGATCGCTGTATGTTTCCCGAGCAGAGTATTCCAGTTTCCATTCAGGATTCATGTCATTTGCCTCCCAATATGCTGCTTCGCTGATGATGTCGGCAATCACTGTATGCGTGTTGAGCACTGAAAACGTCTTTGCGTCGATATCATACCACCGGATGGCCTAGAAAAGAAAAACGAGCATAAGTAATTGAATCCCTTGCAGATGAAGGACTTGTATGAACAAAAAAAAAAAAAAAAATAGAGAATAGAAACTCACTGGGTTCGATCTATCAAGCGGTGTGATACTTGGTCCCTGATAAACGACATTGACAGCCGACTCCTCATTCTGCTCAGCCGCGTCTGGATCGTGCACGACGATGAACTTGTCCTGGTGATAATGGCCTGTAAAGATCCCCGCGATAACGTGTGGCGAATATCTGGCGACGATCTTCTGGAAGAGTAAAGACGATCGGGGCAAAGTTCTGGTGACCGGAGCCATGTGTCCCATGATCCAAACTATTGTTATACACCGTATAAGTGCGTTAATAAATACAGCACAAATCATCCCAAAATTTGGTCCGCAAGGCTAAAGCCCCGATATTGATCGTTATTATACCTCGCTCGTTACGATCCTCGCTATCCTGGAGCTCTAGGATCAGGTCATGAAACATCCCACTGGGATCATCCTGCTCCGTGTCCAGCATGGTGAAAAAGTTACGGACATAGTACAGGTCGGTATTCAGGGTAATCAGCTTGAGACCAGGCATAGGTCTCGTCATGAACATGGCGTTGTGTGAGCGAGCATACTCGGCTTCCACAGAGGTGATCCAGTTGTTCTTCTCCCAAATTCCTGCAACATGATCGTATAACCTACGCAGCAGCCATAACATATGATGTTTGTGAATATGGTCAACGATTCGTATTCTAACTGACCCTGTAATGAGTTCAGCCAGGCATGTTCCAGTGTCTAGCCTACTTACCATTTATGGGTGATGTACGAATTGGGCCGCATCCGACCTGGCGCCTGGTCACTTGGATAGGAATCATGGTTGCCCATGGCCACATACAGCTTCAAGTCCTGAAGATATTGCTTGAATAACTCGTAACTCCTCGTCTCCTCGTCTGCAATATATTTCTCCGTGATCATCCAGGAATCATGACTCGCGATATCACCCGTAAACAGCCCGAAGCTCGCATTCGGAACAAACCTTGGGATGGCCTCTAAGGCACTCAGCCCCAACGCAATGGGCGTATCACATTTACCATCGCCCCATTTCGATGCCGGCTTTTTTATAGGCCCTGGATCGTTCCATCGCCCATAATCACGACAGCAGATATTATGGCTGCACTTTGCTTCCGTTCCTGGTTTGTAAAGCGGATCGAGATGCCAATCTGAAAAGTGTAGGACCTGAATGGTCTCGCCACTGGGCGCAGGCTGCTGAGCATTCGTTGGCTTTGGTTTGGGGAATTCAATGGGCTTGGGTCGGTGAAGCGGGACGGGACAGGATCCGGGGAAGGAATAGGCGCAGGCGTAATATCCATCAGATCCATCCAGATTCATCTCTGAAAAGATGCCGACCAGCTGCGGTCCCAGTCGCTCCATCAGGCCTGTTTGATTTTGCAAGAGTAAAAAAAAAAAACTGTAAGACAAGATGGATGGTCTCTAAAAATCTTCCTGATGGAACATGAAGCGAAGGCCGTACTTACCTGCGCAGGCATCTAGTCGTTTGAAAGAGTACTTGGCACAAAGAACTCTAAGGACTCCAGGAACCATCTCTGGTGCCTTTAATGAAAATGTCTTGGCCATCCTCATACCCTGCTGACACATCTGGCAAGAGTCCAGTTCTGGAGAGTCGAGAAGATCTTCGAGGTCACTGAAGACTTTGCTTGCCAAATAGAGATGCTCCCGATGGATAGCGACATCATTATTGTCTGTGTATTGTCTCTTGCTGTTGAATTGGCCCATAGAAGCGAGGGGCGTAGCCCGGACAGGCACAGCGATTGTTGTGAGCAGACATGATATATATATCGCTGTGAACAGGAGGTATGCCACAAGAGCAGCTGTTCCGGCCATGTGTTCTAGCGAAAGTCTTTGCTGGAGCGGATTCAGTGATGTGGAAGATGAGATGATCAAGGTGCAGGTGCTGCTGTTCCTGATGCGAGCACTCGATCATAGACTGAGTGATGAGCAATAGAACTTGCGCCCCAAGAGATAAAAAGAGGGTTGCAAGGGCACCGGTTGCAAGGGCACCGGTTGCAGGGACACTGGTTGTAGGGGCACTGATTGCAGGGGCGCTGGTTGCAGGGGCGAGCTTATAGACTAGCACAGCCTCGTGGGATAGACACGCCCAATCAAAATGGAGAGGTTTATTAAATTAGCGCTGGCAATGGCTCAGTAGGGAAAACTTCTGACGAGAAAAACGGCTTATGATGTACCGGCAACAGCGAGCCTAATATGGAAGAAGCAGAAGAGAACACGTTCGAGTGAATAAAACGATCAAGATGAAATGCATAATACCAGGCATCAGACAGATACGAGAAAGACTTACTTCTTCAAGTGCTCCATAAAGACCTGGAGGGACACATCGTCAGTGAAAATAGCCTGACCGGCCGGTGCGCTACCATACTGTCCTCCAGAGACATGTGTTGTCGATGGATTCAACTTTGACAACAAGAAGCGTGCTTGAGATCCATTTTGGTCGCACACAATGTATCGTGGAATCGGAGAACGATCGACCAACAGCTCCTGGGCATTTGCTACTGGTAATTCCAAGAGCTCCTTGAAGTTCTCGTATCCAGCCTGTTCATGGTAACCAGCCTTTCTCCATGCCGCAATCGTCTCTCCATGGAAAATAAGGATATAAAAGAAGGTATCCAGCAGCAGGATAGTGTCAGGCTTAATGGATATACTGTCCAGCAGAACTGGTACGGGTTCGCCCTCGAACCCATACGACATGAGTGTTGGCTGGATCATGATCAAAGAATTGTTCACATCCTCATGATTCAGTACGTGTCGGTAGTAGGCTGTCTCGTCAGGTGAATTGTTGAAGACCTGCAGGAACTGTGAACGGCGGAGATGGAACATAAATTGCGGGTAGATCGAGAAGTTTTCAGAGAGCCGGAACGACTGGGGTTCCTCCTTGCGGTAATCTGCAAACCTCTGGCAGAGTCGGATCAGCATCCTGTCCAACCAGCGCAACACGTCTGGGCCGTCATCAATGTCAGCTTTGAATACAGCAATACGGGCCATAAGAACAGCTGCCGTCTCTTGATCGAATGACTGACCAATGATGGGGCTATTTCCCTCTACCCAACTATTACACGTAAAAGTAATTGACGAGATCGTATCCGCATTAGTATACTTTCCTAACTTGCACTGGTCGATGTTTTTTTTTGTATGCCTCATTAACATAGTCATACCTGCGAGCGACAGTGGTGACGCGCAACTTGAAGTGTCCGCTTGAATGCTGATAGTGGGTTACGAACTGGATGAGCCCGCGAGAGCCGGGCTGAAGGGACTGCCCCTGCTGGTTGACCACCTCAAAATAGATGGCGTTTGTCGTCCTAGAATTGATACCGCACATCTTCCATGCTGACGTGTTACCGATTCCGATTTCAGTTTCGCCCACGGATGCTGTCTTTTTGTTGGCGGATACTGCATGGCCAATCAGCCCACAAATCTTCAGCTCCTTCGTTGTCTATTCAAAGAGAGACAGAAAGTTATCAGCATCGTTGACTCGTCCTCCGAACATCAAAAAGCAGCTGTTGGGATTGTCGAGGAGCACTTACTTGTACGGCTAATGTGCCATTGAAGCCCATCTTCAGGTGACCTTCGCCGTCCTTCTCAAACATCTTCTGGAAGCTCTGCTTGAAAATAGCGGTGGTGAAGGAGTCCGAAAGAACCATGGTGCCTCCAGTAAAGTTGACCATCGCCTTCATTTCCAAGAGTCCGATTTGATCCAAGCATCCTCCGAAAATATCAATGACATGTCCATTGGTTGATGCTCTCGTGGCAAGTCCCTCATAAAACTATGTTCAGATGAACAGGCCATCAAGAAAATATTAGCAATGATCATTCCGCCAGTTGCCAGATGGACTATACGGCAATCATTCGTCATGCCTACCTTGGAAGCCTTTTTGTAATGCTTGACGTTCTCCTTCTCAATATCATGGTGAGACCGAATAGGCTCCTTGAGGTCTGGTCCAACGACCATTCCAGGGCCCTCTGTCCCCGCACCGCCGACAAACAACATCACGCGGCCACCGTTATTTTGATACGCGGTCTCCAGCAAACCAACAGCAACACTCATAGCGACACCGGTGCAGCGCTGAGGACGCTTGTCGGTGGCTACAGGCCAAGGATCACGCTGGAGCTGCTCCAAAATTGACGACAGAGTGTACTCACACTGTTGAATGGGCAGCAAGAAGCGAGAGTTGCCGCTGGGGACAAACGGTGCTGGCTGTCCAGGTCTGACCGGCTGCTGGGGGCGCATCGCCTGGGCGGTTAGCCCAAGCATCTCCTGAATTTGCTTGGAGGTATAGTCCTTGTTCCCGCGGAATACATATGACTTTGGACATTCACTGTACCCCAATTCGTGGACCTGGGTCTATGGATTGGAGAGCCATATGTATTTGATTAGCCCTCGTCTCTTGTGAGAGTAGACGTAGCATCGACAACATGCAGGTGGTACTGTACCATAGTGCCGTAGGTGATCAGACCAACAAGAGCATGCGGAGGAAGCAAACTCAAGCTGACGACTAAGGAGTCCTTCAAGGCCTTGAGGTCGTCATCGTCAATGCACGTATCTACAACGTAAAGGAAGATCGGCGGGACTTGGGCACTCCTGGCGAGTGTATATTCGATAGTCGTGTGCTTAGCGAGCAGTTCTGCAGGAAGATTGGTGTTGGAGATGTCACGGTAGTGAGGAGGGAATTGGTTGCGGTGCAAGCAGAAGGGGCAAATCCAGAGCTTTCCTCGGGGATCGATTTGACTAAAGATCATAATAATAGGAAAGGGTCAGATTACGTCGCTCGTGATCACGCTTAGCGCCCCCTTGGGTGCCATGGATGCACTTTACCAGTAGGGGTTGAGGATGGCACCACATGTATGCTGCTTGCAGGTGACGGGTTCGTAATAGATCAGCGGTAGATCTTCGCGTTCCTTCAACGGGGTGTACAGGGCAGCGACGGGGACGACTGTCCTGGTGGCCTCCAGTCGCGATGAGGGCCAAGCGTTGAAGGAGAAGCGGATTCCATCCTGCTCTTCGATTTCCTCGAAGTTCATGGTCGTGGTTATTTGAAGTAAGGCAGAGAGAGTATGGGAAGTGAGATGAGGTCGATGGTGTGCGAACAAGATGATGCCAGAGATGATCTTTATCTTCGAAAAAGGGCAGGTATTGAACCGAGCGCATCCCAGCCACGTACAAGTTGCACAAATTATATCCAGATTTTACGTGTCATGCCATCAACACGACACCATAGAGCCGCAGGATATCTTTTCTGGATTGCTACTGTACTAGGCAGTGGGTTGATCCCAGGCTGAATGAGGTCTTTTTATTGCAGACCCTGTCCCTTCTACACCGATACGAGGATTGCGGACCATGCGTCGCGTGCTCATGGGGATTTATGTTAATAAAAAATAAATAAAAAAATAAAAAAAAATTCTACACCGATACGAGGCGATTGTGGCCCTGTGTATCTCGCGTCCAAATCCACGCCAGCGCAGAACATCGGTGTTCCTGATGCTCTTCATCCAATATCTCCGCATCGACCGAGTCTACAGACTGCACCGAGGATTCTACATCCCACGAGCACCCATGGTCCTGCGATTGCATCATCCCAAATTCAAACATCGAAACGCGCCCGTCGCACAATGTGCACATCAGCACAGACCCAGAACTGTTCACCTTAAATGTATGCACTGTGTTCTCGCCCCGATCATCGTCTCCAGCTCCAACTCCGGTCACGACCATACCCGCCCTTCCACTTGGCTCGCTTGCATTATGGGTTACCATGTCTCTTAGCTGAACACCATCCATCGATCCTGTCGACACCGCAGGAACCCTGCTTCGAGGACAAACACGGATCCTGTACAGAAACCGTCCTGTCTGTCGGCTCCACACGCACAACATCCCCTCCAGCTTCGAGTTCGTAACCACGACCGCATCCGTAATCGCCATTCGAGATGCATACTGCTGATATAACACAGACTCGAATTGAACGTGATCTTTGGCCGGAAGAGGCTCGTCCAGATCCATGAGAAGCTTTCCAGTAGTAAAGTCATGGATCTGATAGCCCTCGATCACGGATCCAGAGCCGATGAGCGATCCGTGGATCGCGACCGCATAGACGCCAAGGCCAATCTCGCGGGAGAGAAAGAGGTTCGGGATCAGACGGAGGAGCGTTCCAGAGATGGCATCCCATACGCGGACGGTGTGGTCAGACCCACCACTCACCACGGTGGTGTTCTCGATAGCGACCGCTATTAGTTCAATAGGATGAGCAGTGTTAATACGTAACAACGATAAATAAAATAAAAATAAAAGAGTGGATGTTAGGCGAGTAATTACCGTTGACCCATCCGATATGCCCTAACAATGCGCGCCGACTCTGGATCGGACATCCATATTTTGCCACCAGGTCCTTAAAGGACTCCTCCATCTGACCCCCATTCACAGCACAGCACCACCCTTGATGAACATCCCACACCCTAATAGCTTCATCAATCGAACAGGTAACCAGCAGTGTCCCTTGTTGATTCACCGCCATCCCCGAGACCAGATCCTGATGACTATTAACGGAATCATCGATGTCGACTGACTCCTGCATGGACCAGTCCAAGACCTGGATCAACGGACGAGATCGGTCGCGTTGCGTTCTCACGCACACGCGGGCTTGAGGGATCATACAGATCTCGGCGTAGGTGCAGAGACTACAGCTCATCGTATCCTTCAACTTAGACTTGAGGCGGTGATGAGCGACAGGGTAGATTAAAAAAGGCAGCGATGAACTTGCGTCCGTGCTTGTATTGGATATGGCAGATGTCACCATGGCCGAGTCAAGAATTAGGACGGAGCTGCCGTCTCGAGCGAGTACAGGCGGCTGCAGGGCGTGATCGTGGAGATGATGCTGGTGCTGATGATTATGGGACTCGTGGTGTAGGGTTTCTTGAACGTGATTCTGTTCAGAAGAAAGTGACGATGGAATGTCTGTGTTCTGCGTCAAAGTTTTAGTGTCCCGATAAGGCTCGATAACTAGAGCCTGCGCTTGCTTGTTCAACCATCCAGAATGGATGCTGAAGGTGTGCTTCCAGTCTTGTTGTTGCTTGCACACAATGCTGCTGTCATACCATGGTTCATCCAACGAATGAGAGAAGAAAGAGCCAGGAAATGCAGCAACAGTAGCATGTCGCCAGAGAAGATCCTCGTATGTCCTGATGATGCGAAGCCAATCTCGACAGACAGAATAGAGCTTTGGCAGGGTTGTAGGATGGCGTCCAGCGACGTGTAGGAGTATATCGAGGACCAGTTCATTGGGGAGTCGCAGCGACGAAGATTTTTCTGTTGTGAGCTGACCCATTTGGAGCGGCGCAGAGGAATGGTAAGTAGGGTGCATGGGTGTGGTAAAGCGGAAGAGGGGGAATTGGGGTTGGGGATCGAGTGGGAGACGCTGTTCTTGATAAAGGATCACAGAGATGCGAGATGCGTGTACCCCATGGGTTATGTCAAAACACAAATGCCGCACCATTTGATTTGAATCGAAATAGCATAACTTTAATAATGGCGATTCGATAAGTTCATAATAACGTTACAGATAGACTAGAGACCCCACAGAAAACAACAGCACCAGAGCCAATACCGCGAGTGCCGGGCGACCCGCACTTGGATAAAAGGACATAAATAATGAAGCGGCACTCGTCATTATCATTGTTAGACGTGGTATCTCAAAAGACGCGGTGTCGTCTTTTACGCATCGCAGCCGTTAGGAAGGATAAAGCTCTCAGAGCGGATGCTTCCGAATGGAGAATTGGCACCAATGACCCTGGCCTTAGGGCCCAAACCACGCTTGGCGAATGCCTTCCAGATGTCGCACTGGTACTTGCCCTCTGTCAACAACTTCTCGGCCTGCAAAATAGCATCGCGGGCCTGGATGAATGAAGGCATGCATGGTTGCAACTTCATGCCATCGACAACCAGCTGCAAGACGAGCGTATTGGCATAGCTGGTCTTGTCGTTTGTGTACCAGATGTCAGTGAAAGGAAGGCGGAGATGCAGGTTTTGGTAGACCTCAAACAGCATCTGTGCCCAGACTTCACCCTTGGCATGGACTCCCCAATAAGCACGACCGTCCATGGTTTTGAACGTTTCGGGGTTGGTCTTCATTGAGGTCGAGTATGGGAAGCGACGGATACCGCGACCACCGCTGGCATAGGAACCCATTTCGAACTCAGATTCATAATTGTGGGTAGCGTTCTGGCGGAACATCGTCGCAAAAAAGTCGCCCCATCCCTCACCCATTCCACCGGCCTCACCCCATCCCAAACATCCAGAGTTGGCGGGGCCTCCGGTTAAGCGGGTCGAGATACCGTGGGCGTATTCGTGAATGATGATACCACTCTCGAGGTCTCCATCGCGGGCTACTTCAGTGATATCCCAGACATACATACGCATCTGACCGTGCTGACCATCGGGAGGTGTAGCAAAGTTGGCGTTGTTGTACCCCGACCCATCCTGCGCATTGGCAATCACAGCGTCATTACCCAATCCTCCGCGCCCAAAGTTGTTCTCCTGGAAGTTGCCAGCCTCTTCGTCGAATCCGTAATGGTAGAAGATATCATGGACCTGGTTATTCCAGTAGAACAAGTTGGTAATGGCTGCATCGACATAGGTCACTGGATCTTTCTCAAAGTCAATCTTGAAATCAAACGTGAGTTGATCGTCCTTGCTCAGCTTGCCTTCAGGCTTGGGGTTGTTCTGCCAGTCGTTTCCATTCCTGCGGTTCTCGCCAGCGTAGACATTGTTGCCGATCGTGGTCGTAAAGTTCTTGTTCTGCCCCTGACGGTTCCATCCCAAAGGAGAGGCGGGCAAATGTTCAGGATCGACAACCAACTTGCGCTCGCCATCAAGGGGATCGTTCACGCCCATGGGGAAGACGTTGTAGGTGGCATCTGAAACCCAGTCGACGACTTGCATGACGTTTCCAGTCTCAGCATTGACCTGGACATGGAACCAGTTGTCAGTATCCTTCATCTCGACCTGGAAGCCATAAACGAGCTCGAGGGTGCCTTGCTCTGTTTGAATGTAGGCCTGATTGACGGGGACCTTGCCGTTGGCAGTAAGTGGGCAGTTGGTCATGATAACCTCTGCCTTGTTTGAATTGAAATTGTAGGTCGTAATGATATCCATGTCCTCTGGGCGAGGGATCTTTACATTGAGGTACTTTGCGAACGACAAGAGAGCATCTTGGGGCGAGAGAGTGGCCTTAACATCGGGGCCTTTGATGGTCGACATGTGCTTCTATTAGATTATGGCGGAACACGCATATGAGGGTCAGTATTGTGCTTGACCGTCTATGCTCGTCATGCTAATCTCCCTAGCCAGGTTCGTGTGCCTCTTCGTATCCTATCATATAGATGCTACATAGGAAGGAGCTACTACAGTTGCCGCTATCCTGGTCCCAGCTGGTACTCAGAAGCGTGGTTGGTGGTCCGTCATATGCTTTCTGACACATACACAATTGGCCAGCCATGGGGTCCTATGGCCGAAGTGTATATTTGCGCCATATCCGTCTTGGCATTCTTTTTTTCATGTAGAACAGTTGAGCAGCAGCTACTATATACAAACTACTTACCAGATGAAGACTACCGCGGCGTCTTCTGCCTCCAAAGGCCAGCTGGCGACCCTGCTCTGCAAGGTTCTCAGCCTCCTGCTTGATCCAGTCCTGAACCGACAACGAGTCGGTATCCTGGCGAGCCTTGTAGAACGAGTCACCATAAGAGATAACGTTGCCGTGCTTGTCGACGTTGATGTTGATGTCGCCATTAACGACCTCGAGACCATTGACGACCTGGCGAAGGTAGACGTGCGTCACGCCATTGTGCTTGGAGGTGTATGCGTTCTTGACGATGTAGTCAGATGAGGTCAAGTGCTGCTCCACAAAGTCGGTGGCAACCTTTTTTGGGTTCTGATTTGAACCGGTGAAGAAAGAGTGGCTGTCGGCGAATCCAGCGGCGGTCGAGGGGGCGCGGTACTCTTGGTGGGCCAGTTCAGGGCCAAAGGGCAGAACACGAGCACGGTGGGCACTGGCCACAGCGAGCATGGCAGCGAAGAGGGAGTAGGACTGGGTCTTGGAGAACTTCATGTTGGTACGGTGTAGAGTTGAGTAGTAGTGAAGACTGTTGAAGCGACACTGACTGAGGGTAGTGGCGGTAGTGGTGGCGGTGGTGGTGGTGAAGCGAAGGCGCTTGGAAGTAGGTATTTAGAGATGGTGAAGATATATACAAAGCAATTGACGAAGAGAATAAGGAGAGTGAAGAAAGGTTAAAGAAAGGCGAAGAGATGTGTGAAGAAAGCAAGGTGTGAGAAAGTAAGGTACAAAGGCGGGTTTAAATGAAATTTGGTTGTCCGTCTACACCCCATTACGCATTTCTCTTGAGGTCTAAAAGAGGAACCATGCCGTGCATCACTATACACGCCGTAAACACTGCACTGTCTCCCAGATGGACCTTATTCCCTCAAAAAAGGACACAAAGGAAAGGGAAGGCTTTATGTCGTTCTTGTGTGTACGGGAAAAGGGTCCATGGGACCTCATGGATCCATCGTTCATACTCGTTCATGTCCACACTCATATCTATACCTGCATTTCACCTCATTAACAAGACGCAATGATCACTCACAGTGCTATGAGTGCTACCGCTGCTCCCTTCATTTCCATTCCCAGCAACTATCCTTCTCTTTTGCTGCTCTCTTCTGTGTCATTGGTGAGGTATGCTGACTGCCTGTAGTCTTCTTTGTTTGCCCCGCAGTCAGGAAGGAGTGGAGAAGAGGCTGTGAGCAACAGCCCATTTTTTGATGGTGTCCAAATCTGGATACCATGATACCATCGATCATTTGGCCATCACGCCCATTCCTGGGATGACGCTTTCAGGGCTCGAACGCGCGATCGTCTATGTCCTCTTTTTTTTTTTATGGCTTGTAAGTGCTTGTATAAAACACGGACTACGTAGTTTCCCCCGCTACTACCACTACTGAACTTTCAGCTCCTCGATTTCAAGCTGGTGAGGGCCCTGCTGGAAGGGTGATTCAGTCAGGCCCAAGTCGTACATGAGACCCATCATATCCCCACTCCAGACCCGCATCATCATCGCCCGAATCTTTTCCTTCGCATACATATCAGCTGCTTCATCTCCCGTCATTGACTCTACGATCTGCTGTACCCATGGCTTGGGCTTGGGGAACGTTTTGACGACAATATTCTCGACCTGCATGTCCGAGGGTAGACGGCCAGCATTCTTGTGCGCCTCCAGGCCATAGTCTCCAGCCAAACGCACAGCTTGGGACAATCCACCCAACTTGTCCACCAATCCAGCTATAGAGTTACAGCAAGATTATAACGTAATATAACACTTCGGTTAATTGTCCTATAGCTGACTCAAATATACAGTGCCGGTGTCAATGAACTTGCACTTCTTACCTTTCAGTGCTTCTCTTCCGTTCATCACGCGACCTCCCGCGACGTTCTCGACTTGCTCAATGGTCAACTTTCGGCCATCCGCAACGCGCTTGATAAAATCGTTATAGGTCGTGTCAATCTGTCGCTTATAGCGTGTCAAAGCAGCACCCTCCAAGTCATGCAACAGAGAAGTGTCAGATGAACCAGTGAAGAACTGCTCCATGCTAACCCCAATCATTTTGAAGAACTCTGGTGTAAAGTAGGGTCTTAACGAAGCGACTCCAATGCTTCCAGTTACAGTCGTTGCTATTTTTTTTTTTTTTTTTTTTTTTTTGGACAAAAAATAAAGTATTATCGTGGTCAGCATCACACAGCGGGGCTCTTTCAAAATGACAAAAGTCAAAGGTGAGGAACATACGTTGAGCCATAATGGCCTTAGCGTGGGTCGAGATAAAGTAACCTCCACTGGCAGAAGTGTTTCCAAAGCTGACGACGACAGGCTTCTTCTTGACGTCCTGACACCATCGAATGGCGTCTCCTATCGTGTCGCTAGCAACAACATCACCTCCACCAGAATCGATTCTTAATACAACGGCATCCACGGTAGGGTCGTTTGCAGCCTCTCTAATGCCCTTGACAATAGTATTCGCTCCGAAAAGGCCGCCACCCCTGTAAAAACAGATAAGACGAAGTACTCGGTCAGGAACCACTAGCATGAACTGCGACATCAACAATTTCCGAGATTGCAACGGTGAATTTACCTCTTGATACCGCCGACGAGATAGACAATACCAACGACAAGACTGGGCTCACCGGTCTTGGCCAATGCGTCCGTGTGCTCCTTGGCTTTGACGCGGATGTAGTGGGCCATGCCGAAGGCGCCGTTATCCTCAACCATCTTTCCGCAATCTCGCTTGTAAAGCAGTCCATCCACGAGTCCCTCATCCTTGGCCTCAGCTCCCATAAATGGTCCAATCTGGATAAGGTGGTTCAGTTTTTCTACGGGGTCGCTTCCAAGTGTCTTTTGGCGCGATTTTGCAATATCGGCTAGGATCTGCGAGTTCAGGCCCTTGAGGAGATCAAACAGGTTTTGCTTCTGCGGTGGAGGGAGCTCCGTCTCTGTGAACGGACTGACCATGCTTTTATATTCTCTACGAGCCTCAGCGCGCACTGCGAGGGGAAATTACGGATACAGCGATTAGAGTGATGTCGCATGACATTACAGTATAGTTTTCTTCTGATGGCAAATAGTAGAGCATATAAAACTCAGTATTACATTACCTTGAATACCAAAGCGACCTAGCAAAGTCTTAAAGAAAGGCACAGTGGAGGACAGACCGACCAAGGGGATGCTTCCGCTAGGCTGCATATACACCTTGTCGAACACAGAGGCCAAATAGTATTGCGTTTGGTTGTCTATATGCAATAGAGGTAGGTTAGCACCTCAGGTCTTCGTAGTATAGTGGTACGGATCAAATTCTTAGTGCAAGAGTGCAATACCAAAGGAGTCAGTGTAGGCAATAAGCGACACCTTGTCCTCGCCGCCGAGAGCCTTGGCCTTAGCTTCCTTGAACTCCTGAATAGCACTTCTGAGCTCCTGTATTTGAGCAAGTCCAAGACCTTTGGCTTGCTGGGTCTTGTTGTTTGCGGTCGAAAAGTTGGCCATGATGCCAACGATCCTTGGGTCATCCTTTGCATGTTTGATCGCAGTTACAACGTCGATTAGGGAGGAAATTGGTGAGGGCGAATCGCCTCCTGCAGCCCTGAGCAGCTTTTGGTAGCCGCCCTTGTCGGTATCAGTTTCTACAATTGATCTATGAAGAAATGCCGATGATCAGACTGTTAGATCTGCGAAGCGGAGCAAATGAAAGCCATCGATGCACAGAGCGAATCATGAGCGCTGTGTCTTACCCGTCCGTGATCCTCCAATGGAGCACTGTGTTTGGTGGAATGGTATCTCTGATCTTTTGCAACCTCCAATTGCTGTTGCACAAAGAGGCGGTTGATAACGTTAGATAGTAGATCGGGCGCTGTTTGATCTGATAGGTTTGCCCCATACTGTATAAGACATATGGCGTCTGCACTTAATACTTACTAGAAGAAGTTGGCACTGCTGTACATGAGAAACAATCCAAAGGTGATCTTGCCACGGTTTGCCCAGGCCTTTGAGAGCATGGTTGGTGGAGGTGTTTTCTTTTGCCATTGTCCAGTATTGGAACCATTACCATGCGCATGTGCATTCTGCGAACCCAGAACTGACCCGCCTACTGATCCCGCAGACGCTGGCTCCGGTGGGGTTGGAGGTGTTGGTGGAGTCGGTGGGGTCGATGCCATATTGCTTTTAGACCTGATACGTTGGAGGGAAGAGCGTGGGGCAAATGAGGCGTGTGCGCGTTTCCAGTCTCTGGTGGCTTTGATAAAAGGAATTCAAACAGGGACAGGGACGGTCCAGTAGCAGTCTGGACCTGGCGCGCTGAAGATCCTCCCCAGCTCCAAGAATACATACGTGTACATCCTCCTTTTTATTTCTTCTTGAACCAACAGGAGAGAGCCAAGGGGGGAAGGATATGTAGAAAATCATACTCTGGAGGGAATATCGAGCGAGGCGCGTACGGTTGAGGATCGGAATATAGTCTTCTGGCAAGGGGCGCGCGGTGGGTTTCCAGAAGAGGAGGGGAGGGGGGCGACTGACATGTCTTGTTCCTATTTGCTGAAGATTCTCATCGGATATTGATCTTTGAATATAAATACCAATACAATAAAAGCCCAGTGGAATGAAAGGTAACTCTGTTTTTAGAGTTTCCTATTCGCCCGTTGCCCATTGGAGACAACACAGCCTGTCCACCCACACCCAGCGCGCATATAACACGTCCCCCTCTGGCCCTCCCTCATCCTCATCCTCATCCTTCATCTCTTTTCTTCCTTCTTCATCTTTCCTTCTCCCCTCGCTCCCCTCGCTCCCCTCGCTCCCTGCCTCTTCTCCCCCGCACACATAAACATCCCACACACACATCGCATCATCTCCACCATGAAGGCCACACTGTTGCTCGCGTCTCTCGCTATCGCCACCGTCGCCTCGGCTGCTGGTCAGACCTACCTCGAGGAGACCTTCTCCGATAACTCCTGGGAGGATGTAAGTCATTTCCATCATCGTCCTCGCTCTTCTGCTGGTGTTGCTGCTCTAAAATGTGTTTCTCTGAACTTCTGCTGACCTGAATCTTTACTTTTCATCTTCAATTGCCTCGCAACCCAGCGCTGGACGACTTCCTCATCAAAGGATAACCTCGGCAAGTTCGCGCTCTCCTCTGGGACCTTCCACCCTAACAAGGATTACGCCCAGGGATTGCAGACCACTGAGGACCACCGCTTCTACTCCATCTCGGCTCCCTTCTCGACCGTCGCCGACAATTCAAAGGAAGATCTCATTGTCCAGTACACTGTCAAGCAAGAGGTCGCCCAAGAGTGTGGTGGATCATACTTGAAGCTGCTTCCCGAAGGTTACGACGCCAAGACCTTCAACGGCGATTCTGAATACGCCATCATGTTCGGTCCCGACGTCTGCGGTCCCGAGAACCGCATCCATGTCATCTTCAACTACAAGGGCAAGAACTATCTCACAAAGAAGACCCATCCCGTTCCCAGGGATAACAAGACCCACTTCTACCGCCTGACTGTCCACCCCGATCAAAAGTACTCGCTCGTGGTCGATGGCGAGACTCAGGCCGATCATGTCTCGCTCGAGGAGCACTGGGAGATCTATGCCCCTCGCACCATCCCTGACCCTGACGACAAGAAGCCTGCAGACTGGGTTGATGAGGACCAGATCGAAGATCCCACCCACGTCAAGCCCGAGAACTATGACAATATTCCACGCTACATTCCAGATCCTGACGCCACCCAGCCTGAGGACTGGGACTCTGAGGCTGACGGCGACTGGGAGGCACCCGAGATCACTAATCCCGACTTTGAGGAGTGGGGCCCCAAGTACATTCCCAACCCCGAGTATAAGGGCGAGTGGAAGGCCAAGGACATCCCCAACCCAGAGTTTAAGGAGGATCCCGAGCTGGCCCACTACAAGATCGGCGGTATTGGTTTTGATCTCTGGCAAGTCAAGGGCGGCAGCATCTTTGATGACGTTGTTGTCACCTCAGATGCTGAGGTCGCTGACAAGTTCATGAACCAGTGGAAGGAGAACTTTGCCAAGGAGAAGGAGATTGTCGCTGCCTTGGATGAGCGGAAGAAGAAGGAGGAGGAAGAGGCTAAGAAGGCAGCGGAGAAGGCAGCTAAGGAAGCCTCTGAGAAGGACAAGCACGACGAGCTCGATGAGGACGACGAGCCAGTCGCCAAGAAGGCTGAGCCTGAGGCCGCCAAGGAAAGTGAGCCTGAAGTTGCCGAGGAGGAGACTAAGGAGGCCGAACCGGAAGTCGCCAAGGAGGAGACTAAGGAGGCCGAGCCGGAGGTCGCCAAGGAGGAGACCAGAGAAGAGGTCAAGGAGGAGCCTAAGGCTACCAAGAAGGAGGAGAAAGACTCTACTGAGACCAAGCACGACGAACTGTAAACTAACTATAATTGCTTTGATCAGGAAGAACCAAGAGGGAAAAAAAAAAAGGATAACCCATTGTTTGTTTTCAAACACCAAAAACAATAAATAATTGACACACATAGAAACCATGGCACCATGCAAGCTTAATTGGCCAGAGTGGAAGTGTAATTCAGGGCGTCCTTGAACTTCAATTGACAGAGGTGTGAAGCGTGTGTTCACAAGAGAATGAAGGCTGTCCGCCTTTGTGGCACGATGCATTCAATCTTAATTGACGGACTGCTGGCCAATCATGTTGCGCTACCTCTCCCTGTTGGTTCCTGGCAGCAAAATAAGGGAAACGTGTTCTCTCCAGGAAGCGAATCAGCCAAAGGGAAACAGCACGGGCGCTTGCTTCTGTAGAGTGTTTCCGTGAAGGGAACGAGAAAAGAGAGCTCAGAAATTCATACGCGCAAACGTGAATGATTATTCGACGAAGGCGCCCACAGCCGGGGCCAGGGTGCCGCACGTGGTGCTGAACATGGGAAGATTGGATGTGTGATTTATGTAGCCCAAGGTCTTTTGCCGGCGCCAGTTGTCGTTACGCGTAGACTAGTGCTTACTATGAATATGGATAGCTTCTACAAGTGCATATGTATAGGAAGGAGTAAGGAAAACGGCAGGGGGAGGGATGCATAGAACAAGGTTTCAAGGTTCCAGATGCTAATAGATCCCTTTTCGCATCATCATTATCCCCTGTTCCCATCGCCCCTTCACATCCTCCTCCTTACTCCCTCTTCATTATCCCCGCCTTGGACCGAGTCTGTGCCAGCCACCCAGTACAGTCATTGAAGAAGCGCTGTCGATCCTTGTCAAGCGTCTATACCTCTCTTTCCCTCCTGAAGGGTCCTCATCCTCCAGCCAAGGAAACTGCTGAACCAGGTCCATCGCCAGCAACACCGTCACTATGTACAATACTCACCAGCACTCTCATCCACCCACGGACTATGGGCTCGCACAGGGACAAGGACACGTTCACGCTCATGCACACCCACACCCTCACACCCACGGACACACAGCCTCTGGACGCAAACCAGGGATGATCAACTTGGACAAGATTACGAACCACTCTCCATCAGGGTACTTGCTTCTTCATCTTTACAGCCTTGCATCTCATGTGGTCCAGAAAGGCGTGCTGTTGGAGCTCTTGTCGCAGCTTGGATATCTAACACTGTTTCCTTCCAACTGCTAACCAGGATCCCCTTCAATCATATCGCCTTTCTTGGAATTGCCAAGCTGATCCAGGCTGCTTGCGCGCATTTTCTGAAGGAATGGATCCGAGTGGAGCACAAGCCTCTGGCAGTTGTTCTCTGGTGGATCTTGTTTGCAGGAAGCGCTGTCTTGCTGGTCATTGAAAGGCCATGGTCAAGACCAACCACGGGGAGCTGGAAGGTACATAAATAAGAACGCTCTCGAGAGTTGTCTCGACCAGAGGCACTTCTTTCATTTTACGCCATATTGTTTGCTAATATCTGCCTGTCCTTACTTTCATCAACATCACACGACAGTGGAACAAAATTACAGCGTACGGTGCGGCACTAGCAGGACAGATGTATCTTTGGCTGTGGGGTCTATCAACACTTTCGACGCTCAGGTACGATGCAATCCAAGTCTTTGGAGGCAACAGCAGCAAAGGGAATCGATCAGGACTTGGGATACTAATTTTGATTCTTATTGTACGGATCGAACCTCCCTAGGGTTCTCATGCTGACCCAGTACGCCAATATCTGGATGGTAGCCGTGCTAGCAGCCCTGGTCGGCAAGCGTTCGTCAACGCAGGTAAAGAGCCTTTGAATATCCACATGCTCATGCCTTCGTGGTTCTGAGCTTCTTTATGACTAATCGCTTCATACTTTGGGGCTGTAGGGTCAGTACTCGTTTGTGGTGCTGGGTGGACTTTTGGCGTGTCTTATTCTGGACATTTGCTACGCGCCCGCAGGATCCAACTTTCTTCTCATCATCTCAGGATACATCGCGCTCTTGATCTCGACTCAGCTTTCGATCTACCAACGAGGCGTCGCACGGCGACTTTCAGCAGAGATGGGCAGCAACAGGGTGCTTAACGCAGTCGCCGTGGCCGTTGCGGCGGTGGTGATCTGTCCGTTAGCGTTGTTCCAGAGCATGGTCTCGACATATTCTGGCAGCGCCTATACTCACATCCCTTCATGGTTCGCGTACCTGCTCCTGGGCATCGGCATGTTTGTCATCGACTTTTACGTGAACCAATCGATTAGCCAGCGTGTCGTTCCTTTATGGCATGTCTTGACTGGATGGCCCATTGTGCTCATCAGCTCTTGCTTCACTGGATTGATGCTAACAAAGTCGGTCGGTGCCAATTTGCTGGACCTTTTGATCGCGATCGTCATGCTTTATGGCATCCATGAGCTCTTGAGTACGGAGGCTATGTTGTCGGATTCGAGGTTTGATTCAGAGGAGGGGGGACGACTTCATAATGACCTTCCGACGCATGGTGATCGTTCAGGACACAGTGGCCAGTATTCATCCGGAGGCGTGGGCGATATTGGCATTTACGTCAAGGCCATCCTGGCGGATCAGGACTCAAAGCAGATCTTTTACTTCTTGTTGCTGAACCTGAGCTTCATGTTTGTTCAGATGCTATATGGTGTTTGGACCAACAGTTTGGGACTCATTTCTGATTGTATGTTCTCGGTACAGGTTTTTTTATTTTATTTTATTTTTTGCTGTTATCATCTGAATTTTTTGCTCGGTATTCTAATCTTCTTCTTGAATTATTATATTTTCTAGCAATTCATATGTTTTTTGACTGCCTGGCTTTGGGCGTCGGATTGTTTGCATCGGTAATGAGCAAGTGGAACGCCAACAAGTCCTTCACCTACGGATACAATAGGATCGAGACCCTTTCAGGATTCTCGAACGGTATCTTTTTGAGTCTGATCTCGATCTTCATCGTCATCGAGGCCATCGAGCGACTGGTCCACCCTCCGGAGATGAACACGCATCGATTGTTATTGGTCAGTTTCCTGGGCTTTGTTGTCAACATGGTCGGTATCTTTGCCTTCAATCACGGGCACGGTCATGGACACTCGCACGGACACGGACATGATCATCATGGCCATGATCATGGACATGGACACAACGCGAACATGCAGGGAGTGTTCTTGCACATCATGGCCGATACATTGGGATCGGTCGGTGTCATTATCTCGACGCTCTTGATTGATTGGTTTGGGTGGACTGGATTTGATCCGATCGCGTCCATGTTCATCGCTATCTTGATCTTCTTGAGCGTCATCCCCCTGATTAAGGACTCGGCCGCGGTGCTCATGTTGGAGGTCCCAGACGCGAACTTGGGTAGCATTGAACATGCTCTGCAGGAGGTTAGTTTGCTGTTGTTGCTGTCATTGTTGTTGTTGTTGTTGTTGTTGTTGTTGTTGTACAAGGTTGTAATGCATCAATCCTTGTGATACACACAGATGATCCTGACCATTGTTTTTTCTTATTTCTTATATAGCTCACTAACATCCCTGGAGTGGCATCCTATTCATGCGCGAGGTTCTGGCCCAATTCGCCAGAATCGATGATCGGCAGCATTCATATCCAAGTTTCTGCGACTGCACCTGGTGCAGGAGGCCAGGGCGACTCTTCTGTGCCGGATACGAAGGCGATCCAACAATCAGTCGAGCAGACCCTGCTATCGACGATCCGGGGCTTGAGCGAGGTCGCTGTACAGATCGAGAGAGAGGGCATGGATGGATTTCAGTCATGTTTCTGCAACGGGTCACGGTTAAAGAACGCGTCGGCGAAGAGGGACAGCTACCCTGGCATGGGCTGGTCAAGCTAGTTCGAGGTGGGCAGGGCAGCATACATATATATATATATATTAAAGAAAATGAATATATTGACCGTTCATATACGATTGCCCGAGCTTTATTGCTTCAAAGAATCGAATGGAGACGGAAGACCAGACTGGATCACAGCTCCACCGAGGCACTCATCCTGATCGTAAAGCACGATTTGCTAGACATGTTTGTACAAAAGACAATGTTAGTGTATAGACTCATATGTTGATAACCAGAGGAAAAAAAAAGCCATGGGCGAGTCTTTACCTGGCCAGGAGCTATGGCTCTTTGAAGATCCTTAAAGTGCACCCTGAATAGCTGTGCAGACACGGCATCTGACACCCTGCCCGCAGTGTCCAAGATGGGCTCGATTTTGCATGGTTCTAGCGAATTGAGAACGAAGAGTAACAAGGTCGATATCAGACATCTTTGTCTGCTAATACACACGAAGACGACGCGGTGTTTGAAGAGAGTTCACAGTGCGCAACTTACGAGGTGCTTGTCGGTGTCGGATCTGTGCTGTGAAGGGATATTCGTCCGATGATGGCGAGTCGGATTCTCCGACTGTAGACTGTAGCAGTCTCTGGGGTGGTTGACCAGCAATCCAATGCCATGATTCTGCAATTAGTCCTGGTGAAAAAAGCCTTGGGTTTTGTCTATAAGGTGATAAATGTAGAGTCTGGTTAACAGGTGGGCCCTCCCACAATGCCAAGAGTAGGTAAAAAACACACTAGAAAGTGTCCTTATTGTTTTAAACTTACGTTCCCTCAACAACAATCAGGGTGTTGGATGGCAGGTCCGTCCTGAGCACAACCCATCTATTGATATTATAGACAATTGAGTGTTGGTAAAAAGTTCTTTCATACAGACCTCAGCATTCCACATTGTCTTCTCCCTCAACTCCGTTATTCCCTTACTTCTGGCACCCATGCGTAACGCCAGAGGCCTGGCCGACTGTATATCTGACCAAGCCTTTATGCTCTCCAATTATCGGCCCCTCCAGTCCATTGACTCTAACGGGGCCCCGTCTCGTCTCCAGGTACTCTTCTAAAAACTCTCCGAAACGCTTCCGCTGTCCGACAAAACAAATTCCCATGCTCTCCTTCTTCACGGCCGCGTTCTTGAGTTGAGCTGCTCCGGTGGTCAGGGCCATTTTCTTGATGGTCGGTTTGTCGTATTGGGCCAGGGGGAAAAGTACATGTCGGAGGACTTCTTCTGAAAGGGTCGAAAGGTAATAAGTTTGGTCTTTGTTGCTGTCAAGCGCGCGGAGGAGCTTTGCCTGGCCCGTGAGAGAATCGCGTTCGACACGGGCGTAATGTCCCGTAGCCAGATAATCCCATCCCTGTAACATCGTCATCGGATTCGTATCCTGTGCTGACAAATTGTTTGCATTCGCATCTTTGTTGCTAGTTCTACCCCTGTCCTGGCTCTTGTCCTGGTCACAGAGGTGACGATGTCGATCTTTACCAAGGCCACCGTTCCGATGACACCATTCGATCAGTTCTCCGAACTTGATCTCACGGTTACAGGTGATATCCGGGTTCGGGGTTCGTCCACGCTCGTACTCTGCGAGCATGACCTCAAACACCTGATTCCAGTACTGTCGAGAGAAGTCGAGCCGACGCGCCGGGATGCCGATCTGGGCACAGACGGCTTGCACGTCGGCCCAGTCGCGATCAGAGGTGCAGACCTTTGGACGGGTTCTTGCCGTCCTCGGGGACCGCGTGCTTAGTGAAGTTATTGTCATTGCTGGGGAGGTCGTGGGATTCGAAGGAGGGGTGGACTCGGTTAGGTAAAGGGTGTCGTGCTCGCTACCGGAAGGTTGTTGGCGTAATGATCTGGACTCGGACTCAACTTCGTCTTGGGTTTCTTCGTCGTGGTTCCAGTTGTGCATGTAAAGTCCTGTGACGTCGTAGCCCTGGTTGTGGAGAATGTATGCGCACATGGAGGAATCGACGCCGCCGGACATCAAGAGGAGGACGCGCTCTTTCGGAGCTGGAGCGTCGTCAGGGGAGGCATTGTTTGTGTTGTGGGTCAAAGGTGGATTGTAAAATAATGGTAGTTGTGCGGATGTAGCAGCAGCAGAGGTGTATTCCTGACTACAGAAAAGGCTTGAGGGAATTGAAGCTGGTCGTTGACGAGAGCGGTAGTTGCGATATGATTGAACGAGAGAGGAGATCGCATGGTGTTTATGTGAGGATGCTGTTCCTGGAGTAAGGTGCAAGTTCCTGGGTCGGGAGTGAGCAGGACATCGCAGGTTGATGAACTGTCGGAAGGTCATTAAAAAATGGGCAGTCCTCCTTGCTGCCCTTGTGCCCGAGTTAAGATTTGACATCCTGAAGATCGTTGGGGATCGTCGGTGGTGTTCCTGAAGATCATTCCCTCCCAGCAGCTTTCCGTTTCCTTTTGGGCGATTCGGTTGGGAGGCATCTTCAAGCAGTCACCTTCCCGTAAACAATCCTCCTCAATGGTTGCACCGACAGAAACGAATCCCATTTCTTTGCTCTCATCCTCACCAACAACACGACTAAACCATGGATTCCGACTCGGACCTCGAACTCTCACCAGAGACTCTCAGGGCTCTTCAGCAAGTCATGCAGGAGCAGCAGGACCAACAAGAGCGGTTCGAGAAACTCCGTCAGCAAGCTGAGGAACGCTTCGACCAAGCCCAGGAGAACGACACTGAGTCCAAGGAACTACCCGCGGTGACCATGGATTTTTTCAGAGAAGATTGGCAGCTCAGTCAATTTTGGTACGATGATGCGACCTCGGAAAAGTTGGCGCGCGAGATTCTGGACCAAACGGACGCCAACAGCGTGGTGTGCTGTATCAGCTCCCCTACGGCCTATGTCAAACTCATGGTAATGCTCTGGATCGCTCTTTGCTACGATACTCCCAAGACGACAAAAGGATTGCCGAAGAACCTCTGAAGATAGCTGACGTTGTTTCATTTACTTTTGCTGGATCAATTTTTCCAGTCAATGAACCCACCCAACACCAACAACCTGTTCTTGTTCGAGTACGACACTCGCTTCGACGTTTACGGCAGACAATTCATCCACTACGATTACTCCAAACCCCTCGAGTTCCGTCTCTCAGAAGAACTCAAAGGATCCATCGATATGATCGTGGTGGATCCACCCTTTCTGAGCGAGGAATGCTTAACAAAAACTCTCGAGACCGTGAGGCTCCTGTTGAAAAAGGGCGGAAAGGTTGTCCTGTGCACCGGTGCGGTTATGTTACCGATCGCAAAGCAGGACGGCCTCGAATTAACAACCTTCCTTCCTGGACATCAGAACGGACTTTCCAATGACTTTAGGTGTTATGTCAATTACAAGTCTGAACAGTTTCCATTGAAGGAGCAGGAGGGATCTGAACAGCCATGAAGAAGATTAAAGACAACAGCCAATTCATGAAGATCATTGGTTCTTTACTTTTGCAGTTAAGCGGTGGATTTTATTACGAACTATTGTACACAGGAAGAAGTATAAAAGGTTGTTTGGCAAGATCGGAGGGAAGCAATACTGAGCGTTTTGCCATAATGTATCCTTGTTTAATTTATCAGCAGCATCCTTCCTTTGCACTTGGCTGGTTCAATTGGATCCTGCCTGCCATCGCTGCTGCATCCTGAGCCTGTTGATTTGCGTGTTCGACCTCCCGGTTCATGATCTCCTCCAGCAGAAACCGGGCTGCATCATCAATGTTGCTGTTGTCCTTGGCCGATGTTCCAAACCTAGAATGTGATATAGAGAGAAAAAAATAGACATTAGGGTTTCTGGTGTTCTGGGAAAGATTCAAAATGGCGATGCGTCCCGGGTCGTAGATTACCATTTGAGGATCCCATTCTCTTCACAAAATCTGTCCATCTCTTCTTCGTCGAGACTAGCCGAGCCTTCTTCCTGCAAATCGATCTGTAAAAAGTCCATAGATAGATTGTCATTAGATGATTTTTTTTTTCGCATATTAAGATGAAAGAAGCATCCTCGACCCTTATAGCCACGCTACCTTGTTGGCAAGAAGCACGACAGGGATCGGCTCTCCGCCGGGCAGCGAGACCTTCGTGTCCAGATCTGACTTCCACTTGGGCACTGCTTCGAATGTTTTTGGGCGAGTGACATCGTAGACCACCAATGCGGCAACTGCTTCCTTATAATATACCTATGGAGGTCAAAGACAGGGCACGAGTATAAGTCAGAGCTACTTCCCGAGGTACCGTTCAACATGACATAATATACTCTTTCCCCTTTGTATTCTTGCGCTCTTGTGCCCTTCCCCCTTTTTTTTTCGCGGCAAATGCCATAGTGGTGAGCAGACACATGTTCAGGTTGGACATGATAAGTGCTCTTTCCGATAACAATGACAATGACAGCCAAAAAAGGGCAAGATCACTAAGGACACCATGCCGGGGACCCATGCTGGAACGCAAACATATCGGTAATGCACCCGCGAAGCGGTCCCTTGGCAGAGACGAGGGTGTCCAAGTTCATTTGCTCGGCATGGCTAATCGCGATGGTACAAATGGGGTAACATGGTCCCGAGTCCTCTCTGTCCCACCCTGCTGAAACACAGCCCTTTCCCAATTTGTACTTTACAGAAAACGGTGCTTACCCTAGTCAATCCAGAGAACTTTTCTTGGCCAGCAATATCCCAGAGCTGCATCCTGATGACGGTGTCGGGTGACCACTGAATGACCTTGAGGGCAAAGTCAACTCCAATCTGCCGAGGGGAGGCCATATACACAATACGCAGTATGGATTGCGATTGCAAGTGCAAGTCCATCCGTAAGTCCGTGAGTCAAATATGAGGTATGGTCCACAATGGCAGAGGGAGGTTATCATCGGATCCGTATGTTTCCATGTGCCCAATGATTCCATTGTGATAGTTATTGTGCGTCGTGTGGTATATACCAATCGAGGGGTCCAGAGACATGGACGGAGAATTCAAGTTGAGAAAGGAACAGTGAGATTCGAGCACACAAAACACAGGCGAAGGAGAGCAGCCGCGGCCTTGGGGACTTACCGTGGACTTGTAGTTCATGGAGAATATATTGTGGACATAGCGTTTGATGATGGAGGTCTTGCCGGTGCTGAGGTCGCCGATGACCAGGATCTTGTAGAGGTACTCTCGAATGTCGGTTGGGTAGGGGGTGTCTTCGTACATTGGTGCCTGGGGGAGGAGAGGGGTATGGATGAGAAGGAGGGATGAGGAGCTGTTTCGAGAAAGAGATGGTCGGCGAGGGTGCGGGCGAGAGAAAGAGAGAGATGCTGGAGTGATTGCAGGTGGTTTGAGGGAGTGTGAGGGGAGGTGAATGGAGAGAAAGGGAAGGCGACGAGAGTGGAGTCGCGGTGTTCTTATCGGCAGCAGCGGAGGGGATTGCCGCGCGACGCTCCTTCCTTTTTGGGTGCAGACGCACGCGGAGTTGGAGGCACAGGAGGCACGCGGTGCAACTCAAATACAACGGTGCTGCAGGGCAGTTGCCTCTGCTGCGGACACTGCGGACACTGCTACTACTGCTATTACTACTACTATTACCACTACTGGCACTGCTGCTACTATTACTGCTACTGGTACAACGCAGGAGCGCCTATTCTCGGGAAGACAAGACACCTGCCTACGCCTTGGTGGTCGCTCCTTATTGCCCGTTCCAGAACGGTGCTAATCGGCTACCACATGACAAGCATTGCTCAACTGAGGTGCATCCCTCCATTTGATATGCTCCCATAGAGATAAGGGAAGCACGCCCTCGTGGTAAAGTCTTGAGCTGAGGCTTGTTTATGTGGTCTAAATATCCTCATGTCTAGGACACGCTTAAAGACCTGCAGCCGGTCTGTCAACATCCTGTGCGAGAATCCAGCCGCAAACCTGCTTCGCAACCAACGGTGCATCCTCCATATGAACCGAGTGTGACCCTGGGATTCCCTTGACCGTAACGTTGGCCTTCTGTAGCCATCCCACCCTTTCATCAACGGCTAATAAATGTATGTAACAAACACGTTTGAGTATTGTCGTACAACTGCCAATTGTTCAATAAAATAGGTAGGTAGTATCAGGTACGATCCGCTTACTCGTCTTCATAGTCATTAGACCCTCTGAGGCCAGCACACCCAAGACCGGACACGTAATGCGGCTCATGAAAGCGCGTACATACTCATTCGATATTGACTGGGGAATCCGGATGGTCAACAATCGATCCGTGCTCCAGGTCCATCCTTGCGCCGTATTTCCATGTTCATCTGTTCTCTCGACACGTCGCAGTCCTCTTGATACCAGAAGCTTGGCAGGATCGGGGTGAAGCAACACACCGCCTTTACTTCTCGCGTTGCATGCAGATTCAATAGTCGGGTGGAAAGGAAGTCGTTTGTTGACCAAGTTCTTCTTCTCCTGGATATATTCCAACAGATGTTGAGGCTGGTCTTCTACCAGAAGAGTGAATGGTCCGAAATTATCTAGCAGGATGCAGAGTACCACTCTAAAGGTCGATTCAAGCAGCCATGTTATTACGTCGATGCAGTGCTTCATATCGAAGCCATTCGAATAGCTTGAGGACGTGTACCTGAATTCAAAGAGTCCAGCGTAGAGTGCGGAAATGGCTCCGCCCATTGAGTGCCCTATGACGGAGTGCTTTTCCCAGCCCAATTGCTCAGACACCTGGTCTACATCTTCCACATATCGCCAGAAACTATAATCCCCGGTCTGGCGATGGGACGATATACCGTGCCCTGCAAGGTCCAAGGCCACGATTTCGACCGGTTCAGGACCTAATTGATGGATCATCAAGCTATCGGTGGCAATTAATTAGGGTCAAGGAAGCAGACTCTCTGCATCTCATGCTGGTCCGCTGAATACAATAGGCATTGCAGCAGCTTCAACTGTTAGTGAAGCACTTACGGTGCCAGCCTATGAGAGAAATAATATACAAAGATGTTAATAGAAAGCTCGCACACAACTCATCCCATTGAGAAAGAGAGAGAAAAAGGGATGGCATACATGTCGAATGAGTTTGCATTGTCGAGATGGCCATGGAATGCCAGGAAGCGTCGGCTGGGTCTCGCTTGGACAGGAGCACCGGCAGTCCTCCAGTGCTTTGCAGCGAGGACAATGCCGCTTTGGAGCTCGAAGGAGCGTTCCTCTGTGGCGGTGATAGCTTTGGTGGCCATTTTCTTCAGTTGACTGGGGGTAAAAGGGTAACAATACTGGTGGCAGGGCGGCATGGGAGGTATGAGCAGTATGCAATCCATACGCCATGTCCTCGTTGTGCCTGGACCAGGCCAGCTCCGTGGGACATATCCGAGATAGAGATCGATCTTGCCATCCCCACTGCTCTGACCCCGATTGCTATCGTCGGTTGGATGTTGGATGCGACGAGAGCGCCGTGGGCTTTGAAGGGGGCGAGAGGGCGCTGGAGGGGGCGTGGAGAGGGGGACACGGTGCGGTGCTTTCCATTTGGGGAGTCGATGGCCTTGGCTCAGTTTCCCATCAGCACAACACCCCGAACCTTATCTCACCTCGCCTGCGCTTTCTCTTCCATCCCCTTCTCTCTTTTTATACATTCGTCTCTCTCCTCCTCCCCCATCCAGCCGATCCCTCCTCCCCATCCCCCCAACACAATGTCCACCGCAACCAACACCACCGCTCGCGTCCAGAAGCTGCGCGAGCTTATGCAGAGTCCCGAACACAACGTTACCGCCTTGTAGGTGCTTCCTCTCAAGTCGAAAAGCTGTCAGCATCCGAAAGGGCTGTTTCCTCATTTTTCTCACGCTCGTCGCGCCACTATCTTCTCAACGGCAATGTCTCTTTCATCATAGTGTTATCCCGTCCGAGGATGCTCATCAGGTATGGTGTCAATCCCAACTTTCTCGCGTTCTACTGACTCAAGTCTCTTCGCTCTGTCGAGTATCCAATACTAACCATTCTGATGCTCCTCGATATAGAGCGAGTACGTTGCCGAATGCGATGAGCGCCGCGGCTATATCTCTGGATTCACCGGCTCTGCAGGATTGGCTGTTGTCTCGCTGGAGAGTGCTGCCCTTTTTACCGATGGTCGTTACTTCTTGCAGGCTTCCCAGCAATTGGATTCGAACTGGACCTTGATGAAGTCGGGTTTGCCAGAGGTCCCCACCTGGCAAGAGTATCTTGTCAAGGTATATTCAACAGTGTACCCCAACTCACCGATCTGTCCGGCAAGAAGGCAGTATCAAAAGACTGACCAACGGGTCGTCTGTTTCTCTCCTTTAGAACCTCCCTGCTGGTTCCCGAATTGGTATCGACCCTCTCGTTTTTACTGCCAGTAAGTTCCATGAAATATTTATCCTGTGACTATTGTAGCCGGTCGTGGTTGCGGATGGCATCATTACATCTAGGCTGGAACCATCGTTTCGTCCTTGCGGAGCTTGCAAAACTTCATGAGCCGAGCTGTCTCGATTGACATTCCGACATCGTACTCTCTCTTTCTTCGTATAGCTGATGCCAGCAAACTGGAGGTTGATCTCGCCAAGGTCGGCTCTTCCTTGGTCCCCACTGCCAACTTGGTTGATTTGATCTGGGAGGACCGCCCTGCTCGCCCCGCCAGCAAGTTGATGATCCTCTCCACCAAGTCCACCGGCCGTACACACGCCGAGAAGATCGAGCAGCTGCGCAAGAATCTCGAGAAGAAGAGCGTTGCAGGCTTCGTTGTCTCTGGTCTTGACGAGATTGCCTGGTTGTTCAATCTGCGTGGATCAGATGTCCACTGCAACCCCGTCTTCTTTTCCTATGCCATCGTCACTCCTGACTATACCAGCTTGTATCTGCAGGAAAAGTCCGTCTCGCAGGAAGTCAAAGACCATCTCGGATCCGAGGTCGCCATCAAGCCTTACGAGACCATCTTTGACGATCTCCGTGCCATGTCCTCGTCTTTGAAGGCCAACAACAAGAAGATCCTTCTCGGAAGCCGCACCAACCTAGCCATGGCTGTTGCCCTCGGGAAGGAGAACACCGTCGAGGCCCGCTCCCCCGTCACAGATGCCAAGGCCATCAAGAACGAGACCGAGTGCGAGGGCATGCGTCAGTGCCACTTGCGCGACTCTGCCGCCCTCATCAACTACTTTGCCTGGCTTGAGGAGCAGCTCGCAAATGGCGTGGAAGTGGATGAGGCCGATGGTGCTGAGCGTTTGGAGAAGTTCAGAGCGTACGTGTGACCAAAATTACACCGAATTTTTGCACCAACATTTTGCGGAGACTATGTACTCATTCTCTTCTTTGCCGCGCTTAAATCACATAGTGAACAGGCTGGATTCGTTGGTCTTTCTTTCGATACCATCTCGTCGACTGGTCCCAACGGAGCCATCATCCATTACAAGCCTGAGAAGCCCAAGGCTGCACGCATCAATCCCGACCTTGTCTACCTCTGCGACTCTGGCGGACAGTACATTGATGGGACGACTGATGTTACTCGCACCCTCCACTTCAAAACCCCCAACGCCCACGAGAAGCGCTGCTTCACCCGTGTTCTCCAGGGACACATCGCCATCGACTCTGCTGTCTTCCCCGATGGAACCTCTGGATATCTCCTGGATATTTTGGCTCGTCGCGCTCTTTGGGCCGATGGTCTTGACTTCCGCCACGGAACCGGTCACGGTGTCGGCGCTTTCTTGAACGTTCATGAGGGTCCCCATGGATGCGGCACCCGCATCGCCTACAACGATATTCCCTTGGTTCCTGGAATGACCTTGACCAACGAGCCCGGCTACTACGAGGACGGCGAGTTCGGTATCCGTATCGAGAACGTGATGTTGGTCCGCAAGGCAGACACCCCCAACAACTTTGGTGGACGCAACTATTATGGCTTTGAGCACGTTACCCTGGTACCTATACAGATCAAGATGATCGAACGATCCTTGTTGACGCACAATGAGGTCGACTGGATCAACGCTTACCACGCAGAGTGTCTGGCGAAGGTTTCGTCTTTCCTGGCCCCAGGTAGCCCTGGTCTCAAGTGGTTGCAGCGCGAGGCTGTCTCGATCTAAAAAGGGGTAAAGCACCGTAGAACATCAGCAGCGTCCAATCTTTGTTGTATATAATATATATATATATATATAAAAAAATGGCGAAAAGACAGCAATTTCGCGGTGCTGATTGTGGAGTGAAGAGTATTGTGCCGACTCTTGATCATAATCAGCCTGAAGCCGGCCATCATATCAAGCCATCGGCAATGAAAGAGCATTGGTTCTGGTTTTCCATTTTGCGGTACGCGAGTTTAAAATAATGTCTCTCTCTTCTCACTTTCATGCTGTGGTTCCTTTCTCTTCTCCATTTTCTTTGTCCACCTCTTTTACCTTGACACCCTTCATTCACTCCTTCTACGCTCTGTGGCCTCCAAATATCATGAAAGGTCACGATCCTAGCCAACTTCTACATGAATATCCACCGTCCAACCTATACTTCATACGTGAATGTGATACCGCAGAATTCACGTCCTGCGAGCTTGAATACTCCAAGACATTCCAACCAACATTTTCCTTGGACAGCAGTCGATCCTCAGGTTCCCCTGATGATGGTAGTGGTGTCAATGGGCCAGGACTGGTTGGAAATCCGTACCCCTTTAGCCGTGCAGCAGTCGCTCCTCTTCAGCCCACGTTTGGGAATCCAACTCCATCGTTATCATCCTGCGAAGAAGATGACGACGACTGCTCCCTTGAGCACAATCCGTCTCCTCCAGAGCATCTTCTATCCTCAGCCGTGCCTTCTATAGAACCATCGCAGTTTACTGGGACTGGACTTCAAGTCAGCACATCCCCCAATACCTCTGTACACCGATCATCACCGTCCATTGAAGGGAGCGGCTCCTCCTCGTTGTCACATCAAGGGCCTTTACCAAGGCATTCGTCCGCTGATTACGCTACAGATATCCATGACAGACATGAAGGGTGTGGAGACCGTGCCATTACGATCCACAACGATGCAGAGCAGGTCTGCATGTCCAATAATGACATCGTCATCGCACCGATTGGGCCCTCGGATCCCTTGTCCAACATATCCCCGCGCGTCCATTATGCGCCTTCATCTCCGAGCGCACGGCCTCAGGGGCACGCTATAGTCCATGGAGTATCTACGCAACGCCCAATTTACGCGTCGCTCTCCAATTCGAAATATGATGTGTCCCACCACAACCACTCACCGTGGCATCGTTACTCTTCAACATATTTTCGACACATATCAGCAACTCAGACGTATCCTTTCCCCCCTCGGTGGAGCCCTGTTTCCTTCCGCGGAGCAACGGATAGTGGTGCTCAATACCCTCTGGGAGTCTTAGCACAAAGACGAGCCATCACGCAGTCAATTCTATCAGCTGGAGCATCCGAAATACTGTCGTTACAATGCTCCCCCGGTCATCGGATATGTCCACCAGTTGAACCTGGTCATATTCTTGGTGTCCGACGTGCGATACGTACGCAACAACATGTCATCTACAATGTGCCCTTCTATGGCATCGAGAACGTCAAGACCTCGCCTACTCGACACAGTCTCATAATGGAATCCCATACTTCGGTGGGGGCGGGCACAGGTGAACACCAAGCACTGGGCAGTAGTGCCGATTTTCTGAGTCGACATCGCGAGCACATTTGGGCAGTAGCTCACGAAGACGAATACGGTTCAGGGTCAAGCACTGGACGCGATGGTTGCGTTGACCACGACCCTTCGCAAGGTCGATACAAGCGGCTGCAACGATGGGTGGCTATTTCGCCTGCCAGGGCTCCCAACTCAACGAAGGGCTCGAGCTATGATCGTGTTTCGATTCCAGGGACCAGCTCGCGTGACCCCCTTGTTAGCATTGATCGAGCACCTTCTCGGACGTCGGGCAAAACATCTGACGCAAGAGCTAACGTGCGAGATGACCGTTTGCTGCGTCCGCAAAGGCTAGTAAGCGAGGGCGTCTACGGACCAGATTCATTCACAGAGTCACTCGAGCATCCAAAGCGGATCGAGGCATTATTGAAGGGTCGAAGGAGACGATTTAAAGCCATGGTACATAAGCACTGGAGAAATTGTCTGTGTGTGCTGCTCTTCCTGGCAGTGACAATCGTCGTCCCTGTCTTGCTGCTGAGCAAAAAGGCGGGACATTTGGGTGCTACGGGCAGCGTCAACAACGGGATCCTTGATGGTGGAGCTGAAATGCAGCCAAGTCATAGTATCGGGGAAGGACATGCCGTGACACGAACAGGTGCTGTTACGAACCAACCTACGGCGGCTCTGGCTCCCAACGCCCGTATCACTTCCACACCAACCTCGTTTACTAGTACTGGAGCCACGAAGTCGTCCTCAAAACCGGCAGCTCAGACCACGCAGATTCAGACTCAAACACAGACACAGACGTGGATGCAGACACTAGCACCCACACAAACACAGCCAGAGGTACAACAGCAGGGACAAACCCAATCGCCTCAAAATGCTACTTTGCCCTAAAACATCAAAAATCCCACGTTCTTTGACGCGTGTCCTGTCCTGCCCTGTCCTGTTACTGTAGTCCACATATTTTGAAATAAAGTTTCCCTCCCCCGACGCGTTTACGCCACTATTCAGCCCACATCTCCCGCCCTAGGAGTGCTGTCCCCACGCACCCATAGACATTTCGCTCACCGCACCATGAACCAATTCACCGAAACTACTCGATCGACCATCAACACCATCAAGGCCCATGCTCTCATCGCCAAGGCCCTCTCGAATGACCCCAAGCCCACACCAGGCTACCTTTTCCCGGAGATAGCACGTAAGCTAGAGAAGAACCTGTGCGCAGCTTCACTCTTTATTTATCTATTTTATTTACTGGAAACGACTGACTCTTTACTCTTGCTTTGTTCGCTCAATAATGCACAAGGTCTGACCCAGTCTCCGGCAACCAGCTCCGTGGTGTTGTCCCAGCTTCTCAAGATCATCACCCCCTCCGGTAGTTTGGCCTCGTCCAACAGCCAATCCTTCGTCGTCGGCAACAGCAGTAGCAGCAACAGCATTAACACGGGTGCCGGCGCAGCTGGTCCTTCAGGAACATCTCTGACCTACGCATCATCACCACATGTACTACTCAAAGCCCTCAAGATCCTCCGACAGCTCGCTCAAAGCGGTTCAGTCGAATTCCGGACGAATTTGGCGAGACGGGGCAAGGGTCCCTTGGCAGAGATGGTTGGATATCGGGGACAGTGGGATGATACTCACGGAGACCGGTTCAACCAAGATGTCAGGTCTGTGGCCGAGGACTTGATCGAGTACATGCATTCGAATCCCGTGCAGGAATTGGACGAACCAGAGGAATTGGAGAGCTTTACGGAGAAGGAGGTTGCGGTGTTGAAGCAGAGTACACAGGATCTGCGGGGGTTCGGCAATCCTGGTAAGTGGATATCTGGTCGATACGGAGTATTTTCCACTATTTGAGATGTAATTGATGTAGTTGTTCATATTGTTGTGATTTTTTTTTTTTAATAGAATACGATGATTCTGATAGCGACCACGACCATGCGTCCCAGAAACGTGTCTCCAGGAGTAAGAAGGCGGTGATGGAGAGGGCCCCGCCACCATTACCAGGGTTTGGTAACCCAGCCTTTGAAATGGATGATGTGAACAAAGGTATCTCGCCCTCCTTTTTTTTTTTTTTTTTTTTTTTTTTTTTTTGCACGCCTTCACATTCACAAGCATCTTGTTCTCGACAGGAACTAAACCCTATTACGATTATTACATATCATTTAGAACCGACGTTAATGACACGCCTGGTTGATAGGCTACAGGATATGGCAGCACCTCCACCGCCGATAGCTATGCGTGCCGCATATCGACAACAGGAACAACGACGACAGAAGCTGTTTGTGGGCGAATACAGTATGCGCGAAGACGGATCAAACACTCACGGACGGACCAGGGACGGGGCCATCACGCTCATGGGTACCAACCCGTTCAAGCGGACGACAAGGATCCAGGGCATGGTTGCTGGCGGGTGGGGAGAGAAGAAGGCTGTGGCTGAGAATTCAGGAGACATCAGCTTTGGTGGGAATCATACAACAAGCCGTGTGTTTCCTGTTGCGCGCGTGACGGGAACTCGAGGAGTACGGTTCAGGAATGCGACGGCGGAAAGTGTATATGGATTGGCTCAACATATTCAAACAAGTTTGGTGCGGTCGAAATTGCTAAGCTCTTTACGAACAAAAGATAATGGATCGCTGGCGAGAGATTTATTGGGAACTGAGGTCCCAAAGATACCGCAGGAAGGCACTTCTGAGGATGATGGGTTGCTCTTATTTTGGGGAACTGCGAAAGAAATCTGCGATGTTGTTGCTGAGGGATTGAGGCGGGAAAGGGTAGAATCGTCGGTAGAGCATCTTGACGAGTCTGTTCCTTCGAGTGCTGGCCAGAGCGTATCAATGATGACGGGGCTCGTACGAGATATGACTGACTGGATTGAACGAGAGGACTGGGAGCGACGGCTGGTATGTTGTTTCTCTCTCTTGAGTCCGTTTGATCTTGTCATGGGCGATCTGAAATCTTGTTAATAGACATCTTCGTGTGAATAGAGACATTTGTTCGTGTTGGATGCTCTACTCGCTCATCCGGAGATCGAATCGGATCTGCTGAGTTGTTCTGCGCTGCCTAGGCTTTCGGAAACCCTGACGGGCCCTTTGTGCGAAGGTGCTCCCCAACGGTCCGTCCAAGTCCTATCGGCGCATGTAAGAATGACTGCGGTACTTTTAAACAAGGCACGAGAGTCTTGTATTCTTTGCTTCACTCAACACTAACTGCGTTTGTCTGGGCTGTCCCATCTAGCTTGCTGGCTATATCAAGCGAGTCTATAGCAAGGCATCTCGGCCAAGAACACCGTCTGGATTGACTAGTGGCAAGGGTTCGTTGGCTTCCGAAGCGGCGTTGCCCAACATGATGCTATTGGACATTGGTGCCTAAGCACTAAGGCGAAGCAGGCACCCGACAAAATAAAGATTTCCCATTTGGTGGCAACTCATTTTGAGTTCAAGCGGTGGCAAAAGGCGTCGTCGAAAAAGAAAAAAGACCTACAAAAGGACACCCAGCACTCGACGTTGGACATGCTTCATTTGCTCAACTTCATCCTTCACACCCGCTCATGAGAGCCATCATTCCATCACTTTCTGTCAAAGGTACTATAGGACAACGCGCGACACGGAATCTCGACAAGCTGAATCGACCTTCAAACGTTGCATGAGTTTCTGACCTCGCTACATAATATCCCCCTGCGCGATAAACCAATGGATGGGTAGGCTTCCAGGCTGTACTGTCCTGCCTGGACAAGATTGGAGACGACATCATTGTAGAAGCCCGGCCGGACCGCTTCACCCTCTCGACCCTGAATATCACCCGCTCAGCATTCGCCAATTTCACATTTACGCGCACGTTCTTTGAGAGCTACCATCTGGACACGTCTGCTGAAGCAATAAGACATGATGAGCAGGGACCATATCTCCGATGCTCTGTTTTGGCCAAGGTATAGAATATGAGTCCTTGTGGAAGGTTTTGCACTAGTGTTCAGTCCTATACGATGAGGTTGGTTAATTTGTTTCGAGCTCGCATTAATGCCATAGGCCCTGGTCTCAGCATGCAGGATACGAGGCAATGTAGAGCAAAAGGTCGAAAAGGTATGCCTTTTCATGAACGCTGCGGAGGGCGTAGGAGAGTCCTGTCGACTCACAGTGGAGATCATTTTCAAATACGGTACGATTCAGCATTCCCTCTTGGCATTCCATCTCGACTTGCAGCAAGCAGCACAATGATATATTACAGGAAAAAAAGGCCTACAGCTAATATCGTTTATTTTCAATCGCGACACATCAGGCTTCATCAAGATCCACAAGCTGCTATACGAATCATGTCCGGAACCCTTGCATGTGCTTGATTCGATCGAGGCCTGTCCCAGTTCGTGGAAACTCCCAGCTGTGGCGCTAATCGGGTTCACGGATCATTTCTCTTCTAAGGCGGAGGAAATTTCGATGAAGTGTACTCAGGATGGAATCACATTCAAGACCGCGTCGAGTGATGAAAGTACAGATTTGTGTACTCTTAATTCATTCTTTAAAAAGGATGTTTTTTTTTGTTTTTTTTGAAGACTGAGTAATTTGACGTTTACTGACGAGTTTTCGGACTTTATGGGGCCTTGTGTGGATCGATATATAGGCGGATCAAAAAAGATTGGCACAACAGTCGTACCGATAAGCAGGAGCGCAATGGAGCTGTATAAGCTGCAGGATGGTATTGAGCTTACATTCTCGATGAAGGAATTCAAGGTGCGTGGAATATGCTAGATGTGGACCTCATGAGAGCGTGGATATGGTAACTGCTTTATAAAGATTTAATATCTGGTGCTCTTCGTTGTTCTTCATCTCCGATATACTCCTCTATGCTAGGCAATCATTGCATTTGCTGTCACTCTTCGCCTACCCTTGGAAGGATATTTTGATGCTCGGTGTCGGTAAGAAAGAGAGAAAGAAAGAGAGAGAACAAGAAAGAGGGTAATGGTATATGTGGACAATGGTTGATATGCAGTAGTCTGAAATTAATTCTTATTTTTTCTTGATATCATTGTTTGTAGACCTTTTCTTTTGGCAGTCGAAGCAGAGAACATTGTGAGCGCGGTAAGGAGCTTTATTTTTCTTTCTTGGGAACCATTGACTGCGGGCAAGGAACATCCACTGGCCGTTCAGACAAATAAATGACTGAACTATCTTCTTACATGTCCACATGGCCCCCCTTTTTACTTTTTTTTTTTAGAATTTTGCACTGGCGACGGTTATCGATAACAACGACCTACAAGGTCTCCCTTCGAGCGAGCAGGCTATAAAGATGGAGGGTATTAAGGTGAGTCCAGGGACTGTTGGTTTTGTACTTTTGAAAAATTCAGCGAGCGATATCTGACCATCTCTTCTTTTGTAAAAAAAAAAAAAGTCTTCGACCGCAGCAAACGCCTCGCGTAAGAATTCACATCCGGATCTGGATCTCACTCAACCAGAGAATGCACTCTTTTTGGACGATGATGAGGACTGGACTGGAGCGTTGGATGATCTGGAAATGGAGGAGGCCGCACCAGCAGTAGCAGACAATGTGGGCAGGAATGTTGTGGATCCTTCTCCTGCTAACCCTGGCACACTCGATATGAACAATGCTCCTACTTTGTCGGCGGCGGTCGACGAGAATGTGCTTGAGATCGAAGAGGGTTTCTTGCCGCGGACGAATAAGCGAAAGGTGAGTTGGGTATGGGTTAGTTGATCGTGATGATGGTCTGAACGATGGTTATTGACCTGAAGTTCTTGTTTATTTTACGAATTTTGTGTCAGTCCAAGAGAGCTAGGTTCAGTTTCGATGAGGATGACTGAACTAGGCGGGAAAGACATGATAAGATAGAAAGAATGACGCTGTGCTTTTTTTTTTGTCTCCTATAACGTAATAAAGAGCATGGGAAAAAAGATTGTGGGGATGAAGGACTCCATGTCCTCGCTGTAAAGCAGCAATTCATGTGGAATAGACGAGTGGGGCAAAGGACACAGAGCATGGTTGCTCGTCTGCACCTGGCAAAAGCTCCCCTTACGCTGGCTCGTGCGCACGGTCGTACAAGTTTCATTACGCGGGGGGACAAAGTCTTCTCTCTCTCATTTTCGTTCCTTCTTTTCGTCCAAAGTGAGATCGCTAAGAATTCCAGCGATTCTATTGGCTGGAGGGCATTTTCTATCAGTCAGAGCCGCATTCAAGGGGTCCTTTTTTTTTTTTGGAAATTTCCCGGAAAACTGTGAGTTTGGCCAATAGAAATAATCCAAGTTTCCTCATTTTTTGTTGGAAACTTCTACTCGCTCCCTATTTTTCCTTCTCGTTCCTCCTCGCCCTCACCCATCCATAATGAACAACTACCCTCGCCATCAACTCGCGTCTCCTCCACTTTCTGAGCGTTCTTTCGTCCCTTCCTCCGAATTAGCCAATCGTGGCAGCCCTACATACAAACAACACCCTACCGCCCCACGATTCAGCCTTCCTAGATGTTACATTCTCTACAGTCTCCACTCTCTACTCATCACGTCCCATTATCAACAATGTCAACGGCAGTCTTAATGAAACGAAGAATCGATGAAATCTCTCAGGATTGTACTCACAATGGTGTCAACCAACGTCAAAACGCTCCTATCACGACATTTCAACACACTCTCAAAAGAAGGCGCGAACAACCGTTTCCAATACTCGCAAAAACGACTTTTGGAAAAAACCCGGAATGGATGCTTTGCTGGATTGGGTGACAGATCCGGAAAACGATGCCCGACTAAGGAATGTAGGGAGAGTCTCTGGCACCAAACTCTGCGATATTTACCGAGAGGTGGCTCTGCTTGTCAACCAGCAGTGCGGGACAGAGTGGAAGTCTGATGAGGTCAGAAGCAATATCAGAGGCATCGAAAAGAAATACAAAGACGCTCACACCTTGGCAGCCTCGACAGGCGAAGGCCATGACGGCTCCAAAGGATTGCTGGAACGAATACGCGAGATTTGCCCGCCCTATGACCGATTGTATCTAGTGTATGCGTCTAGCGTTGTCAAGAATCCTCTTCCTCTTAAGCAATCCGTGCCTGCTCCTGCTCCTGAGGAAAGCTTCTTCGCCTCCGATCTCGACAATGACGACGATGCTGACGATGCGCCTGAAGATGGTAAGTGGGTTGGGTCCTTTTTCCTTTCTTTCTTTCTTTACACACCGAGGCTGTCGGAATCATCCCAGGATTACATTCCAGTTCAATTAATGGACACGCTGAACAAAATAGAAAGGAGAGCTACAAGGCAGAACGCAAGGGAGGCCAGTGTTGCGACCAATTCATCCGCAAGGTCCTCCAAAGCGAAATCGAGAACTTCAAAGGCGAATAGTATCGATATTCTTTCAAATCGACTGCAAGAAATCAAAGAGATGTGTCGAACCCATGGTAGCGCCGGCAGTTCCTCTTCGACCTCTCAAGTTGACTCATGGATCCAGCAACGCTTTCATGAACTTAAGGAGGAACTAGACGAATATAAGCGGGAGAATCGTGAGCTCAAGGATCAACTTGTCAAGATACAGCTGGATCATTGTAAGGAAAACGAGAAAATCAAGTGCGACCTTGCAGCTACAAAGAGGGAACTTGAACTGAGGGTTGCGCAAGTGATAAAAGAAACGCAACCGAAAAAAGAGGAAAGTAAACAGCAATAAACGTTTATTAGAACGTTAGAACGTTCAGTGTCTGCGGCAGTATCAGTTGGTTTTGTTCTTATTTCTCAAAACAAATGCCTTCAGCCCATCTCTCTTCCTCCTGGCCGCATCCCGATCTTCGTGCTCTGCTTCAATATCCCCCTCCCAATTCTGCCTCAAATCCTCGTTCTCTCTGTCTGCAGCTGCCTGGCGGACGGCTTGAATTACATCGTCTTCCACAATCTCCTGGGTTGCATCTTCGCGCACGAAATTGTGCAAGACGACACAGGCGCAAATCCACTTCGTGGTCTTGTCGACATCTGCGCTTTTGATGAGGATGGGTAGTTTTTGAAGAGACTTGAACTTCATCTTGAGCATCCCAAAACCGTGCTCGACTTTGACGCGAGCGGCTCCATGAAGGGTGTTAAATTGTGCCCGATCTCCCACGGCGTTCCTGTATCTTGGTATAACCGTGCTTGTCAAAGCGTACGCAGCATCGGCTAGTATGTACTCTTGACCGTCAAAGTAGTTGTCCGGTTGGGTATATAGCTGGGTTCGCTTGTAAGCCAGGGCATCATGGGTTGATCCGACGTAGCCAGTTGCAAAGTAAATAAATCGTCCCAAATGGTCGCAAACAGCAGTGGCTCCCATGGCGTAGTCGCACTTTCTTGTTATCCATGCGTTAGTCTCCCACGACGGACCCACGGCAAGAGGGAAAGGGACACCGTCGACAGCACCAATGCATTCAGCAAAGCCGTGCTCGCGTTTATACCAGTCCTTGATTACAGCCTTGCGCGCATTGTCTGGCCACACGACAGCGCTGAAATAGCTCGTCCAGTGCATTGATACATCTCCATGTATACGCTGTAACTAAGCCGACACTGACATCTGTAACCCATGCTGTCATCAGAACGGAGATCCCTTCCGAACCAAGGCGGAGGAGCGCAACCTTCAACTGAATAATGATGTCCTCCAAGGGCACATGTTCGCCTCCACGTTTGAAGTGGCCGCTTCTGCTGAGTATCAATGCGATCCTCTGGAACTGGTCTTTGGTGAGACGCATGATGCCCTTGAATCTGACATCATTGTATGCGTTGAGGACGCGATCCCTTAAGTCCGTAGATGACGGTACCTGAGTTCTAGGGTGTACATATCTTTAATGGCGTAAAAACCATTGTCTTCTATCATCACACACACATTGTAATCGAGAGAGTAGCTTGTGTTCTTACCTATTCCCATGAAGGAACTTCAAAATCTCGACAGTTGCTTCTAGCATTCGTAATCGAACAAGCCTCCTCTCCTTCGGGGTCTGCACGATAGCGATAGCAGCATCGGTAAACTCTCTCTCATACTTGTTAATGAGATGTTGCTTAGCAGTGTATTTTGGCATCGTGCGAGGTGTTAAGAATGGTGGGTAGGTGAGAAAAAAAGAAAGAAGAGACGCCTCTTTTTCATGTTTTTTTTTTTCTAGTGATGGATGCATGCATAGTGCGACGTGCATGGTCAACATTTTCAGGAACTTTTGAAAGATCTAGTGTAACAAATCTGACCAATCAGAAAAAGTTCCCGGTAGGAACTTTCCTATCCTTGTGTATTTCACCTTTGAATGGGGCTCAGGGTGAAGATGTGTGCGTGTGCGTTGACACTATTTTCAGTGTTTGCCAGCTGAAGAAATTCATGCCAGATAACCTCTTTAATCTGCAAACTGAACAGGTTTTTATCGCATTAGAAACCCCGGCCTAAAAACGAGTTTCGACTGTATTGTATTATGTTACCATAGCAAAATAAAACAAAAAAAAAATAACAGCTTCATAGCGGGGGACCTCAAGAGGACGTTCTCGCCACCAGTTGAGCATGGCCCTCTGAACCAATCTCTTGGACGGATCTCTTGCGACCGTCCGCAGGAGAGATCGGCAATACACCCGCCTTCTGCTCCTTTACGATCTCCTGCGCAATTAACGAGTGATAATCCGCAACCGAGTCCCCTCGCTGCTGGGCCTCCCTCAACTGCATGCTCACCCTCTGCGCAATCTGTAGCACCAGATTATCTCGGTCCCTTGAATTGACCGAATCGGGCACTACCTGCGGCTCAGACTGCAACTGTGATGGAGAAGTAGTAGAAAGGCGGGAGAGAGGAATAGAAGCCATCCCAGTGTCCTCAACACCTCCAACCCCCTGTCCAGGCATGGGCGCCATCGGCTGATAAAAACTCATGCTGCGGACGAACCGGTCTTTATCTGCATTGCTCTCCGAGCTTTTCGACAGGCGCTTGACGCGATCTGTCATGGCCTCTTGAGTTTGCTGCTCGCGTAACTGTCGGATCTCATGTGTAGCCTCGACCATCGCAGAACTGATATCCTGAGAGGGCGTCTGACGTGGTTCCTCTCCACCGCCGGCACCGGCACCGGCACCGGCACCGTTGCCGTCATTGTTTGCCCCTCCGGATGGGCCACCATGATGGCCATCTCGGTATTCGTTCTGGACAGAGCCCCGTCTGCCACCGATCGAAGGGACTGTGATAGGTGTGTTTTCGAGATGAGTGAGTCCGAGACCAGGGCTCGACGTGGGAGGCGTCGGAGCAGCGGCGGAGCGGGATAGTAATCGGCGGAGGCGACGGGGATCAGAGGAAGATGACGGGCCTTGCGGAGGAGCAGATGGGTTCAAGGATGAGGCGGGGATGGAGGCGAGGGATGCAGAGAGCGAAAGATCGATTTCTGGGAGGTATTGGTCAATAGAGTGGTTGGTATGGCGCATGGTGACCCGGAGGATGAGGCTTTGGGCTCCAGCCCCGGCTTGTGCGAGCGTTATAGATTTGAGACCTTGGATTGAATTGTACTATCACGAAGAAAAAGAAGGCAGGGAGGAGCCCCGAAGGTGAGCGAGATTTTTTTTGTTTGATTGTTTGGTTATTTTAGGCTTCATGCTAACGGTTGAAGTTTAGGCACTAAGAAGCAACAGATCAGAAACGCGTGTTTTTACTAACCTCTTGCTCGAGTATGGTAACGACAGGCAGCATGTAAACTTTTCCGGCGGCCCTTCCCTTTTTGGAGAGTCGCCGATGGATGGTGAGGATGTTCTTGGCCGACAGGGGCTGTGTTCCTGTGCGTCTTGTCAGATTTAGTGACCTGGAGAGGATGAATGCAGCAAAAGGAGATCAACGGCACTCAGTGTCAATATAATAAAATAAATAACAAAGTCGCCTAACAGCAACAACATAGAAGAGAGGATGTTTGGTTGCAGTACCAATTGGAGGCTCGTTCAAACCCCAGCAAGGCATCCCAGAGCGTGGCCGTGGAGTCAAAGTCTTGAATCGCTCCATTTCCGTCTTCGAGCAGGAGGGTTGCCTTGATCGTTGCTGCTTCAGTTAGATGTTTTGAAGGAGGCGAAGGAGAGAGATAGAGAAGTTGGAATGAAAATTAGAAAGGCAGCGAGATGCGGCGAGATGGGCCGAGAAGGAGAGGGATAGATCATTGAACGAGAGAATCATGATCAGCAAAATAAAAATAAGGTTTGCAGGAGGACATAACCAAGGAGGGACTAAGCGCACTTCTCTGTTGACTAAACTAATGACAAGGCGCGCGCACCTCAGACCCTTGAATAGTCCATTAGTTTGCTTTGAATAACAATAAAAAAAAGAAGAAAAAAAATTGTACCTTTTCGGTTCCTGTAGACCTTAACAAGATTTAGTTTTGATCCGGACGTGATTCTCGCGTCCTGGACTGTCAGGGAGAGGTCAACGATCATTGCTCCGCTCCTAGAAAACGCGAACCAAAAAAAAAGAGGGGTCAGCAAAAACCGATTTGCTGTTGTGAATCTCTTTTTTTTTCGCGCTTTGAGAGCAATGGCAGTGCATCACAAAAGATGCACTGTTTTGTTTGTCTTGGTCATGTTCACGATTATTTTTTTTGTACGACCGGAAAAAAACCGTTTTTCAGGTGGAATAAACACAGGACTGCGTACTTCAGTGCATAGGTCTCACGTTCTGCAAGGGTCTGTTGACTGCAGACAGCATCCAGGACATGTCGAAGGGCCGTTGTAGGCGCAGTTCTCACACTGAGGGTCTTGCCGCCCTCCACTGAGACCACGATGTTGACCATGGCAGAGGAAGGCACAGAGGCAGTTGCAGCAGAAGAAGTAGTAGGCCTAGCCGCCATGGTTTATAGCGATGCGGTTGTCAATTGAAAATTGATAGGATATGTTTTAAATTAATTCAAGTAGATGGTTGGATTTGATGTATGTCTGTGCTTTGCTATATGCTACTCAAGTCAGAGAGTGAAAGAGGGAGGGGAGAGTCAAAGTGATGAGATTGAAGTTGAATGAGGGAATGGAATGGAGAGAAATGGAGGGAAATGGAGAGTCAGCATATATATAGTCTAAAAGGGCTCGCGAGGTCAAGCCGAGCGTAGGAAAAAAAAAAAAAAAAAAAAGAGCATAAACAAATGGTGTGCAGCAAGCAGGTAAATAATGCAGGCAGACAAAAGGCGGGAACCGTGTGTCACTTTGTCTGCAGGTCGTACAGAAGACAGAGATAGATGTGCATGCGCATATTTGACGTGCGCGCACCAAAAAAAAAATGAAGGGTGCATGTATGTAGCAGCAAGGGTGTAGTACAGTGCAGTCTACGGTGTTGTGTACCTGGATGTGCATCTGACACTGGGTAGTGCAGGGTGCATCGGTTTGGACAAGCGTGTAGTCGATGGTGTGTATGGAATGGATGTGCATAGTCAGTTCGTAAGCTATATAGTCCATGCGTGGTATAGAATAGCCAATAGGCGTGTATGTCTCTCATAGAGGCATAAAGGGCAAGTTGAGGTGACGGCGTCATCTTTGTTTGGTGCAGCGGCGTCCATCCCAGTTTCAGAACCCAACTTTATCGCGTACTGCAGACGCGACTTTGCTGTGTCCCACACACGGGCTACAGGCGAGTTTTCTGAACTGTCGTATGACGTGCCGCCAATTTCTATGCCTTCACTCCCATTCCCCCTTTCCTCTGGACTAAAACTGACCCACCTCCTCGACTCGGTTGTAATCAACTAATCAGCTCCACAAAAAAAAAGTCCCCCCTAATCTGATCCGGTCATCATCCTCATGTGGAGAGCCATCGTCACTCCTCCCTCAACTCCTTCTGCCAGGCTCTTGCTCTCATCCATCCGCCGTTCCTATTCTGCAGCTGCAGCTTCTTCTTCAACCAGTCAGGCAGGTGACCGACCATAGCCCACCAACAAGCTCTGTTAGTCCGTCTGTGGATCTAATTCCATCTCATTTCGCTTTTGAAGCAGCTCCATGCATCCACCAAAATGACTTCATGAGCCCTTGTCATGTATACTATGTTCACACGTACAATACAAAAACTGTACTTTTTTCTATATTATATTTCTTCGTGTATTCATGTACAAACTCTACAACCATGCTACTTCTCCTTCCGCTCTTTACATGCATCTTGCTTTTTACCCCCTCCCTCCTTGAATTGCATGTTCATTTCGGCTCTCTCCTGGTCCCTTTGTTTTTGTTCTCAACTCGCCTTATTCAACCTTTTTTTTTTATCTCCAGACATCAAGACCACTTGTCAATACTCTGACATTGATCCCAGGGGGTACCCGAGGCATTGGCCTGGCGACTGCAAAGCTCTTTGCGGCCAATGGCTCCAGAGTCGTGATTCTCGGGCGGGATCAGGATCGAATTAATCGTGTTCTTGACCACGACCTTGCCCCGATCTCAGCAGGATCGGCTACCCACGTGGGCCTCCAATGCGATGTGTCCAAACACGAAGACGTGGAACGTACCGTCAAGGTAACAACCCAAATAGATCTCCATACAGGAGAAAATGTCTGACCGCGTACGTACAAGCGCGTCCCACTCCTCAGCCGATATGCAACGATATGCAACGATATGCAGCCAACATGCAGCCGATATGCAACCAAAACGGTTACCTTTTCCCCCCCTCTATTTGCTTATTCAATTAATTTGATCCGCACTTGTGCTCCTTGACGTATTGCATGACCCTGATGTTTTCTCTCACTCTTGCTACTGCTCTTTTTTTCTTTTCTTTTCTTTGCATGCAGGAAGTGAACAAGATTGGTCCTGTGGACTACTTGATTATGTCCGCAGGCATTGCCCGAGACTCGTTGCTCATCGCACATAACGCAGAAGATATGGAGAACGTTATTCAAACAAACCTTATGGGCACCATTTGGATTAACAAGGCCATCGCGAAGGGCATGATGCGACGCAAAAAAGGTACTCTATTTTATTTTAATCATCATTATTTATTGGACACGTTTTTCTGTATCCACCCATGACACGCGTCATCTCAGTTGCTGACCATACTTTGCTCTAACGGCTATTGTAACTTCTGTGCTTTGCTTAAAATCACGTAGGCGCAATTATCAACATCTCGAGTATTGTAGGCGTTCAAGGAAACATTGGTCAAACGGTCTACAGCGCTACCAAGGCTGGCATCATCGGTAAGACTATGATTGAATCGCCTCTTGTTTGACAGCACGCAACGCACATAACATAGAATGGACTCAATATAGGGTAAAGCAATGACTAATTTGCTGAAAATTACTCTTTTCTTGCCAGGGTTCTCAAAGTCGTTGTCCAAAGAAATGGGATCGCGGGGCATCACCGTGAACGTGATTGCGCCTGGATACATTGAGACAGATATGACTGCCAGTATGTCGTCAATGTCCTCCTGTTGGCCGTCAATGACAGCAAAGAAGGACATTGCCTATCCAGTTTCCTCTTTCTAATAGCTTCTTCTGTTATTCGTTGATAGGTCTATCCGAAGATGCCAGAAGGCATATTATCGGCAGAACCCCGATGGGTCGCCTTGGTCAGCCAGAGGATGTTGCAGAGACTGCCCTTTTCCTTGCGCAGGCAAAGTTCATCACTGGACAGGTACGCATTCATCCTTGCGTTGCATATAATCTTGAAAGCGATCTGATGCTCCTTGAGTTGCTTATTCTCCAGACTTCTCTCCTCAACGCATATAGGTTATCGGTGTCGATGGCGGCTTTGTCTTATAATCAGATCATATTTAAAATAAAGAACATCGTCTGCACATTCAACAGTACCGGAATAATCTTGTGAGAATGTTTTATGAAAGTGATTGACTGACTATGCTAAACTTTTTTTTTTTTTTTTCTTGAACAAGAAAACGGGCGGGGAAAAAGAGACAAGTGTACATTAGAAGGAGCGAGAAGGATGGATGACAGGGACCGAAAGAGAAGATCTATATAAAATGGAAGACGGAGCAGATTTTACAACAACATCTTCAAGGGGTTCTCCATGTAGCCCTTGAAGGCCTTCAAGAACTGAGCGGCAATGGCACCGTCAACAGTGCGGTGGTCAGAGCTCAGGGTCACAGCCATGATCGACGCTGTACGGACCTCGCCCTCATCTCCAGGGACGACGCGCTTCTCAGTGGAACCAACAGCCAAGATGCACGACTGAGGAGGGTTGATGATGGCAGTGAAGTGCTTGACGCCATACATGCCCATGTTGGAGATCGTGAAAGTGCCACCCTGGTACTCGTGAGGAGCCAGCTTGTTAGCACGGGCGCGGGCAGCGAGATCTTTGACCTGGTTAGAGATCGTGGCCAGTCCCTTGGTCTCAGCGTTAGCGACAATTGGCGTGATCAAGCCGGAGGGTGTAGAAGTGGCAACACAGATATCAGCAGTGTGGTACCTGGAGATGTAAGAATAAATGAATTAGAACACGCGCCATTAACATCACACGCCTGCCACTTATAACTTGCAGAACACTTACTGTCTGATAGAGTCGTTCATCCAGGAGCTGTTGGCCTCAGGAACAGCCTTAAGGGCAAGAGCAGAGGCCTTGACAATAAAGTCGTTGACAGACAGCTTGTACTTGTCCTCCGAGGACTTGTTGAGAACCTCACGCAGCTTCATGACCTTGTCCATCTCGCACTCAACAGTGACATAGTAGTGAGGAACGGTCTGCTTGGACTCCGTGAGACGCTGGGCAATGATCTTGCGCATGTTGGTGAGAGGAATATCCGTGTAAGCAGCACCAGCGGGAGCGGCAGGAGCGGCGGCAGGAGCGGCCTTGGTGGCGGGAGCAGAGGCGGACTTGGCTATAGGTCGTTCGATAAGATGAGGTTCGGCGTTAAAGAGCTGTTCAATGAATCCGACGTAAGGTAAGTGAAAGCTGATGATTCCAGTCCATGAGTAGTCCACGTACGAGCAGGGGTATAGCCCTCAACATCAGCCTTCAAGATACGGCCCTTGGGTCCAGATCCGGTGAGGTCGCTCAAGGAGATGTTCTTTTCGTTGGCGATCTTCTTGGCGATGGGGCTGGCGAAAATGCGCTCTAAATAGCACAGTGGTGACCAGGTAGATTTGAGGGCGCCATTCTTGTCGAACATCATTCATTTTCAAAAAAATAAAATAAAATAAAATAAAAATGCATTTCGAAACGAAACAATGGCCGTTATCCTTACCAGCATCAGAGCGGGAAGGAGCAGCGTTGGTGGTATCAGCCTCCTTCTTAGGGGCTTCCTCCTTCTTGGGTGCTTCCTCCTTCTTAGGCGCCTCCTCCTTCTTGGGCGCCTCCTCCTTGGCGGCGGCAGGTGCAGCGCCAGCATCAGCGGCGGTGAAGTCAGCGAATTTGTCGATATCCTCCTTGTTCTCGACCATAATGGCGATGGGCTGGTTGATGTTGACCTCCTTAGACCCAGAGTCAGCCAAGATCTTGGCGATGTAACCCTCCTCCTGACACTCAAAGTCCATTTGAGCCTTGTCGGTCTCAATCTCGACAAGGACATCACCGGCGGCGACAGCATCGCCGACCTTCTTCTGCCAGGTTCCAATGTTTCCCATGGTCATGGTGGGTGACAGAGCAGGCATGTTGATGGTGATGTGGGTGGGGTATGCTATCATAGCGCGGAATAACAGTGTGGTTAGATAACTATGTGAAATAAGATTTTCGTTATCGCGATGTACGTCCAGTGTAGCAGCGGTCCCATTTTATCGGTTAAGGTTGGGACAGCGCGTATCTTGGGAAAACAAAAAATGCAGAGCGCTGAGTTGGACAGATCAGAGACGTACACTTGGAGCTGTAGTAGCGGGCCATGTTGGTCTTGAGCGAGACAGCCGAGGCAGTCAAGATGTGGCGAGGAGCGCTGCAAAAAGCGCGAGTACACGCACCGCACAGACGAGAGAAAGAGGGGACGCAACGTTAGGATCGATCAAGTAAATATTTCGACCGGCGATACTTGGGGATAGAGCAGGTTAGGGGAGAGTGAAGATGGTAAAAATAAATTCAAGGCGTGCACGCCCAAGCAGGGCTAGCAATGAGGATGTTGCTGGATTGCAAGCCTGTCAATGGCATTGACATTGGTTTCCTATCGCCGTTTGTTGACTGTGATCGTGGGATCTCCAAAATATATTTTGAGCGCGGTGGAAGGTGCGCAAGCTGAACAAAAGATCAAATAATAAATCTGTTGGGGAGAGCATTTTTTTTTTGCCACCCTGTTTCCACTCGTATACCCTTTTTTTTTTTTTTTTTCATCCCGGCTTAATGCCTACCCGCCTTCCTCTTTTCTTCGTCGAGAGTTCATCCATTAGAGGACTCTAAGACGCGTTCCCTTCGTCATATCGGCACAGCTTCTGCATTCAGATCGGCAATACGCCACATTAACCGAATGGTGACGTATAGTATCGTCCAACCATTAGAACATACTCCCATCCAGTCAGATCTGTCCTCCTGCGAACAAGATGTTGCGGATAATGGAGAGAGAACAGGACAGTCATTGTCGTCGGTGTAGATCGAAGATGAAAGGGTTGATATATACTGCGCGTAGATGTATAAGGGTGACATCTCGAGCCTTGCCACCAAATTCTGGTTCGAAGAAAATCTTATCGCTCTGAATCTTGGGTCAAGTATGTCGAAATTGATAACTGCAGCGATATGGTGGATGATATCGAGAGTCGGTCTGCATGTCCTGTCTTCTTTTCCGTTGCTTTTTTTTTTTTTTGTTGGGTTGTGTTGGATAAAAAGCGGGCAAACGGTGCGTTACCTAGGGGTGACCGAGAAAGCGCGGACGGTGTTATGGGAAGCGATAGCCCTGGCCATGGGGACGAGGGTGGCGGCGCGCTGGACGGTGCGACGACCGGTGGCGAGAGCCAGGCGAGAGACCGATGCAGAAGAGATCATTTCTGTGGAGAGGAGGGAAGTGGAAAGAGGAATGAGACAAGTTGCGGGAATGAGAGAAGAGAGGGTGTGGGAGACAAAAGCAGAAAAATTATTTATTTGTGTTTTGGTGATATGTGATATGGGGGAAGGTACCACCAGAGATATGATAAGTCAGTTGTGGAGATTGGAATCCTAATTCCGCCTCGGCGGCATCCCTTTTCCCCCTGTGTTCGCACGACGATAACGATTACCGCTGCGACCCATCCTGGCGTCCGTTCTCCCCTCTACCTCTAATGCATACATATGCTCTCGATGTGTGGTCTACACTCTCTCGGTCGATTGCTCCGTCCTTTGTCATACTCGCGTTACTTGGTCTTACTGCCGCTGACACTCTTACCAGAAAGGGTGTCGTCGATGAAAAGCTGAAGTCATTCCGCCTAAAAGCACGCTGAGCGGTGCATTTGTCGGAGTACAAGCGCAGTTCACTCATCTCTGTATTTGTTGTTTTTCGAGTTTCCTATCCTTTCCTAGGCCTCCATCTCCCCAGCCATTTTCTTTACTCCACTCCACTGCCTGTCCGTTTCCCATCCGCTCACATTTAATCATTTCCCAAACCTTGCTTCGACCTAGGCCGGACAATTGAGGATGGGTCGAAAAACGACGGGCGAAATAGCGCACAGAACGATCTATTCTACCCTTTTCCGCTCTTTGAGCACAAGCCACTATGTTGGCCGCGCGCGGGTAACTGGGTCCTTGCCAAAACCGGCTTTCTCCGAGTGTAACTGGTTCATTTTTTTCCACGCTTTCAATGGGGTCGCGTTTTTAGGTGTCTTCTCCACAGCTCCGCATACGCACCGTTTTGCAGGAAGGTGCATGCCCTAGGATAATCGCCTATTCCCTCTTCTTGCAATAAATATGCAAGCACCAAGGTGCCACATTACTGAAAGCCCCTCGGTAGCTGAATTAAGGGTATATGACATGGGGCGATCCCACCTGGAGCTCTATCCTTTTTTGGCGCAGAAACAGGACGCAGGGGAGTTGCACTTGCATCTTAAAGAATGGTGAATAGGGTAGCCAATAAAAATAAAAAATAAAAAAAGTCTAGCTTCCTGTAATTGCAAGTATTACTACCAATCGCACGGAAATTTCGCCATCGTTGAATGCAGGGCGGTGCTGTCCAGCTGGCCCTTTACGCCTTCACACCTTCATTCGTTTCATTCACTTCGCCTTCCACTCTCATTCATTCACCAGCACGTCATCCACCCACCTCTCTCGATCCAACCATGCGCGCTTATCTTTACGACAACCTCGACACCGACTGCAGAGAGCCTCACGAGCTCTCGCCCTCAGTCCCAGTATCGGCCGAAGAGCTCGCGGCCTCCGGAGTTCTGTACTGGCGGCTTAAAGACGAGAACTTTACTGAGCAGATTGACAAAATCTGCGAGGAGCGCAACTACAAGAACCGCGACCAGGTATTGCGATTATTTATACTGAGAGAGTCCGCCGTTGGGCTTTAATTGCATCAGGAGACGGATATGGGTTTTCTGCAGACCTTTCTTGACAATGATGATGCGCTTTGCTTTATGTACATTTTCAGGGTCCATTGGGTTTCTCACATCGGTCTTTCACTCTATCTCGAATTCAACTCTTTGCGTGTTGCATAGATCACTGTCTCCAAGGAGGGTCTCGGTGACCAGTTTGACGCAAAGATCAAGACTTTCTTTGCCGAGTATGTACTCTATCCTGTCTAGCCCACAGTTGCATGGCTGCAGCTAAACTTCTTTTCTTATGCAAATGCCTTTCTCTACCAAGCCCCTCTTTCCCCCTCCTCCTTCGAACAAAACGCGTCCGTGGTCTCATTATGGGCTTCATTGCTTATTTCCGTACTGCTTCGTTTCTCCTGGGTCGATTTTACTTTTAGGCACTTGCATGAAGACGAAGAGATTCGCGCCATCCTCGAGGGAACTGGTTATTTTGATATTAGAGGTGACTCCAGACAACTTCTCTGTCATGTACCTTGCAGATCTGGCGTAGTTGCTCATTTCAACATTAACACTAATATCACCCACTGCGCTTCTTCAATCGGACATTGCTGATATAGATAAGGATGACCGCTGGGTTAGGATCAAGGTCGAGGCTGGCGACTTGATTGTTCTGGTATGATAGGTCACTTCTAATGGCTCGAGTCGCCTTTTTTCTTCTTTTTTTTTTTTTTTTTTTTTTTTTTTTGCAAATGCTGACCACAATATGTTTCTTGGGAATCATGGACATAATGCATCTAGCCCGCCGGAATCTACCACCGCTTCACTCTTGATACCAACAATTACCTCAAGGCCATGCGTCTCTTTAAGGAGGACCCTGTCTGGACCCCTTTGAATCGTAAGAACACGCAATTGACTGAAATAATCCCAAACCGTCCCCTCTACTCGATATTTGCAGTGCATCTAACTTGGATCCTCTTTCGATAATTCTTTTCTAGGACCATGCGATGATAACCCTTACCGCAAGGCTTATCTTCAGACCGTCACTGCCATTTAAATGGAACAGATCGTTTACTTTGTCATGGAATGACCAAGGGGGTTATACCTGCACTTTCATAGACGGATTGCTTTCTTCCGCCGTTCCATCTTCAGCTCATTATAACACACCTCTATCTCCATTCAAAGGTTGCAGCAATATCTCGCGGACAAAAATAAAGCGAGTGATGTTCAGCATAATCGTCCTCTAACTGCCCTTGTGCTGTGCAGTTAACCATCGCTTGGCCCATTTTCATCTCGTCTACCCTTTTTTTTTTTTTTTTTTTTTTTGCTTTTCCAATTCGGTACTCTCTACTTACAATGATATCAAAACATCTTAGTCAATATAGCTGCGTGGAGATGCAGCGCTGCTGTTTGCAGGAGGCGCTAAAGGGCTTCATGTCCCCGGACCGCATGTCTTGTACCCACTTTTTTATCCGCAGCTTCTTGAGCCAAGAGTCCTCATCACAATCTAGTAGTCTGACATATTTAGCATTTAGTGAACTATTGCTATTGAAAGCAAGCTACTGCTTCTTGATGTCATGAATAGCATTATTCGTCTCCGTAATGGTACCGCATTGCGCACCATATCTCTTGCCAAGGGCTCCATTTTTTTAATTTTTTTTTTATTCAAATCGTATTATGGCACCACTTCAAAGCAAAATCGGCTTTCGGTCGGATCATAATCCCAGTGCAACCCAACGACTGCGCCCACAGATGCCGCATTAGGTGAACCATATTTCATGTCTTTGATTTTCCGAGACTCCTCTGCTTGAACAACACTGCTCTGGGTTCGTACCCAAAGACATAGGGAATCTTTGGATGCCTCATCATCCGGACTCACGGGTTTGGTGGGTGAATCACCTTCTGCAATCGTTTCCTGGTTATACATCTGCTGCTGTTCGTATTCCTCATCTTCATCTTGGAGATGTCGCTCCTGTTGCTCAACCACTATCGTGGCATCTATCCAGAATCCAATGACCTTTTGAAGCCATTGCTCTCGTGCGGAGGGGGGTAGTCTTGAGACACTCTGTGGGTTCTGATGTAAAGGCTCAGTGTTCTCGAATATCATCACCCCTATTTTTTGTCCGCTGGGAAAGATTCCATTTCAAGGTGAACAAGGCCGGCGGGAAAAATTATGTTAGCGTTGAATTGTACATTCTGAGATATCAGGAATGGGGTATTGAGACATTATATAATACATGGTCACTCACGACGCTCGCTCGAGCCACTGTTGGCCATCCTTGACCTCGCTCATAGCCTGGCTTACTACTTTGATGTATTCTAAGCGCTCACGGTTTTCGTCCGCGAATCTCGTTGCCAGGGCTTGTAGGGGTGTTACCGTCCGCTGTGCGAAGGATGAGTATGCCTGGGAATATTGCAATGCGTCATATTCACGATTCTGCTCCTGCTCCTGCTCCTGCTCTCGTTCGTGTTGTTTCCCTTGTTCTTCTTCCTGGCCCTGGTTCTCCTGCTGCCGCTGCTGCTCCTGGTCCCCTTTTCCTTTCTCTTGCCCTTGTCCTAGCTCTTGCTGCTGATTACTCTGGCCTTGTTGAACTTTACCCCTTTCCTGCTCCTGCTCCTGCTCCTCCCCCTCTCCTCCTTGCCCTTGCTCTCGTTTTCGGTCCGGTTCCTGCTGCGTATATATGGACGTCGACGGCTCAACATATTCCTCTACATGACCCTCACCCTCGGTAACATGGACCATCGCTCTATTATAAGGCAGATGAGTCGGCAGCACACAAAGCGATGATGCCGAGAACTGGCCACCTCCGATATCTAGAATCCGGTCTGGAAAGCACCCGACCAACATGACAAGTGTCGGCGGAATGGCCTGGTAATCCGAATCCTGCTCTACACCATGTTCGTCAACAGTCGGGCTATGGCAACGACCCTCCGCGCTATGTCCAAACGTCCGACCTTGAGTCGACTCGGAATCCAGATGCAGGCATCGAAATAGAGACTGGACATGCTCTACGGTGGGCGCGTACCGTATCTGGATCCTGGACCAAAGTTCCGGCTGGAATTTGTCGTTACTGGATTGTGCCGGGTTGCTATCACCCGTCCCTGACGTGGCCTTTGTGTAGTCCATCCTGGCTTCCTTGTCCTGGCTTTTTTGGCTATCGAGTTGCATTGGTACCTCCGGAGGCACACTCGTTTGGGTCTGGGTTTGGGTTTGGGTTTGGGTCTGGGTCTGGGTCGCGGTGTTGAACTCATCCTGGACGTCGGAACCGCGCTCGGAAGGAAACAAGTGCCGCCAAGGGTCCATTGAAGAGTCTGGGCTGGCTACTGAGCTATCTCCTGCGATCGGTGTCTGGTTCGATTGCTCGCCCGCATAGAGCTGGCGCTCTTGACGCATCCATGCCCGTAACCTGGCCTTGGACTCGGTCACGATCAGGACAGTTCGTTGTTGTCTCCGCGAAGGTGCTCCTTCCTGCTCATGGCCCTCGTCTCCTCGCAAATGGTTCAGAGCGTACTGGAATATGTATCTATAACGCGTTTTTTTTTTTTTTTTTTTTTTTTGTTTTGCGGACCGTAGGATGGACATGTAAAACTGTCAGTATCCCAGCCCTTTTTTTTTTTTTTTTTTTGCCACTATTTTTGTACTTGCTGACATCACACAGTGGGTCGTACCGCAATGGAAGGTCCATCACCAGAACACTGGACGAGTTCTCGATGACGAGTTGTGTCCTCTCCTGTTCCGTGACATGTCTTTGTGCGTGCGCTGGGAAAAAGTTGACGACATTCACCATGGAAGAGGTGCAACGAATGAAGGAATGAACGGGCAGGAATAGGGGGTACAAAATTACAGCGCCAACTTTCTTTTATTTTCTTTTGACTAGACGCGAGCGCTATTGATGGATCTCCACATAGTTGGCTAACAAGAAATACAACAATGAAGAAATATCATCAATAAGCTTCCTGTCAGTTACAGCCCCAATACCGACGCGAATATCTATAAAAGACGAGTACTTACATGGGAAGAGACCCGTCGTTCCGTCCCGAGCCTGACCGCTCCACCAGTCGTCCGTCACGAACTATGGACGAGAAAAAATATATGAAGTGATCGGATTAGATCCCTGAGATGTGCGTCTTTGCAAATACGGAGCACAGAGTCGTGCTTCTAGGAGCTCCACTTACGTCAATGTCCTTAATGATATCTCCCTCCGAGAATGAGATCTCGTTTGGCTCCCCTGCATTGTAGTCGTAAAGGGCAACTGCCGTGGGCTTGCCAGAGAGCGCATCGTCGGCCGTAGCATGTCCGGCCGAAGTGGGTTCGTGTGCATCCTGTGCAGCATATGCGTGGTGCTCATCGTCATGCTGCTTAGTAGCAGTAGTAGCAGCAGCAACAGGAGCTGCCTGTTCTTGCGACTGCTCTATGACCTCGACATAATTGGCTATAGAATCAAGGGTAACGTAGTCAGAAAAAGTAAAAAATGTACCATAGCTCTTAAGCGCAACATAAAAAACGCAAGGCGTTCATACCAGGGAAGAGACCGCTCCTGGTACCATCAATACTTTCACCGCTCCACCAGCCAACGTCAAGCTCGGTGACATTGATGATAGTCTCGCCCTCGATCAGCGACATCTCGTTCTCCTCGGCCTTCTCGTAGGAGTAAAGGACAATAGCCGACACTGAATCAGGGGCACCTCCGGTATGCGCGTGCACGTCCTCTACACCGTGATCAACTGCCTGAGGGGCAGCAGTGGTCGCCTTAACCTGCCTGCTGCGCTCTTCTTCCTCCTCTTGCAAACGTCTCGCCTCCTCTTCTTCTTCCTCCTGCTGGCGTCTCTGCATTGCCTCTGCCTCTTCTTGCTCTCTTCTCCGCTTGGCCTCTTCCTCCTCGCGCTGCTGCTTCAAGCGTTTGTCGGCAGCCTCATGCTCCTCCTTCTCGCGTTGACGCTGCTGCTGCTCTTGCTGTCTCTTGTGATCCTCCTCTTCCTGAGCAGCCTGATCGCGGGACTGCGCCTCCTCTCGAGCCTTGGCAGCCTCACGCGCAGATCTCGCAGCATCTTCAGCGTCGGCTCTCTCGCGCTCCTCCCTTTCTCTGGCTGCACGGTCTTCGCGTGCACGATCCTGGCTTCTCTGAAGTTCCTGCTGCTCACGCTGCTCCTGAAGACGCCTCTCCTCAGCTTCCTTCTGAGCGCTGGACTGACCATGTGCCTGTCGTTCTCTGGCCTCGCTAGCCTCAATCTCGCGTTTAATGCGTTCCCTCTCCTCCTTCTCCCGGGCCTCGCGCTCCATGCGAATTTGCTGTGCCTTGTTCATGCTTGCTCCGGTTCCCCTGTCTCTGGCCTCACTCGCCTCGATCTCCCTCTTGATCCTCTCTCTTTCTTCCTTCTCGCGCGCCTCGCGTTCCAGACGGATCTGCTGAGCCTTGTTGACAGTGGGCTCAGGTGCGTCTGATCGACCGTAGCTGGACAGGGAGCTGGGAGGAATGATCTTGTTGAAAGTCGCTGGTCCTGTCGATGCCGAATACGAAGATCCTGCAGAGCTCTTCCACGATCTTTCGGGAGTGCTGGGTTTTGGTGGGGTCGAAGGAGCAGATGTTTCCAAGGGCTTTGACGCGCCAATTCCGTACTACAATATGTTACATAGGAACTCGTTAGAAAAAAGAGCATTCAAAATAAAAGTAAAAAAGTTGGAATGGTCACAACTGAAATGAGGTCGCATGGTTTTTCTTATTTTCTTTTTTTTACCTTGGGCGCAGGCGCAGGCTTGCTGGGGTTGCGCTGCATGGCCGCAATGTCTGGGATCTCGGTCTTCTTGTATGCGGACTGGAGAGGAGAGATTTTCTCCTGCTGGTAGGTCTCCTTATGAACCGAATACTTTGAGCCAGAGCTCTCATTAACTCTCTTCATGATTTGAGCAGGTGTGACATCGTCCTCGCAGCGGGCATTGATTTGCAAGTGATATCCCTATATATATATATATATTGGACAGTGTGGAGAGAGCAACGAGTTAGTTACATCCTGTACTCGACAACGACCACTCAAACAAAGGGAACCTGGCATCGCATATAGCCATCTCCTGAATACTGAATACGGTACCTTGAGGAACACAGAGACATCGGCCAAGTGGGAACTGAAAAGTCCCTTCTTGGACTCGGGGACACCTTCGCCGCACTAGAATATCCAATTAAAAAAAAAAAAAAAAAAAAGCAATTGGAGATAATTGGGAGCAATTGGAACGCAATTGAGGACCTTTTTTAGTCAAAGTTCTTGCCGTTTATCAACCGCAACCGCAATTCGAAGCAGGGCTACACGCAAGCGCTCCCCCCCCCCCTTCTTGTTCCTGAAAATAGAAAGCTGCGTTGAGGACTTACCCAGCCGATGAGGATAAACTTGTTAAGTTGGGAATTGGGGTCGACGACACGAACAAACGCGTACTGGATCTTGCCATCCATAAACTCCTCCTCCAGCTCCTCGAGTCCGCCATTGCCCTGGCCGAGGACTTTGAGGTCGTTTGTGGCCTTGTCGTAGCCGAAAAGCGCCCAGTTATCGCCGTTCTTGGGGTCTGTGGGTCGGAGGATGGATTCGTAGGCTGCCTTGAGATCATGACCATGGGTCGTGAAATTGACTTGGAGACTCATTGTTGATAAGCTGAAATGTAAAAAGGGGTAGTGATGTGTATGTTTTTTTGTTGATGGCGAGTGTGGGGAGGATAAAAGGTGGATGAGGAGAACAAACCAGGTGTAAACGGGCTCAGCGCACCTCCTGTACTAAAAACGTCACAGGTCGCGCACATACGCGGTTAGATTTATTCGCGGCAAAACGCGTCGCACGAGTGACAGAGTACATTCATGCTATGCTTCTTTTTTTTTTTTTTTACTAACCACCAACACAACATGGAAAAGTGTGTAGAATGGGTACAGAAATGGATATCAAATACAGAGATGAATATTCTACATACACACTAAGTAAAGGCATCTTTCTACTCAGAGGTGGGTCCAACCAGGTTCTCGATCGACATCATATTGGCCGTGCTTCTCCTCCGTCCACCCAAATACCCGCTCTCTTCCTTCCACAAGGCCTTCTTCACCTCGGCCCCGTCTGCCCCACCGATTTCCATCCCGCTGTCATCACCGTCATCTTCATCATCCGTAGTCTGATAGCGACGAGTGAGCCGGTCTTGTTCCGGCATCGCCGACAAACTGTGATATGAAACGTGGCCAACAATGCCCTCCGTAGGCAGCTTCTCTTTCGCTTGCAGCAGCGTCAACGGCTTCGGCGTAGAAAATGAGCCAGAACTTTCCTGATCAAGAAAATTATCACGAGGTGAGATTGGACTGGCAGGCGTCCAAGGCGTCGTAGTCGGACACATGCGGCCTGATGATGACAATGATGATGATAAAGGCCCTGAGCGAGGTGAAGAGATCCTTAATGCAGACAGGCAACGTTCTCTAAAATCCATCGTCCAATGAGGCTGCTGCTGATGAGAATATCGAGAGAATGATCGAGATAATGACAACGGCTCCTGTTCAGCGGACGCATATCCAGGAGCAGGCTGGACAAAGGATGAGATACCAGGCAGCGCTGTGAAATGCCTAGGGGCCGAGTGTTCTGTAGCAGATTCAGTGCTCCAAGGCCACTGGCCCTCAGTCCGTGATACATCAGGGGTCCTTGGAGGCGATGGAGGATACATGTGTGAATGAGATGAGCTGGAACTGGACCGAGCAATGGTCATCTGCATTGGTTGGATAGCATTGTGCATAGGCAAGGAATGTCGACGCTCATACGGCTGAAAGCGTGCCATGGAACCAGACATTGTTACAGAATAGGATGGTGGAGATGAGGAGGTCCTTTGTAGCGAAGGAGCAGCGTTGACTTTGGTGTACCGCTGAGGGAATGGAGGGCTTTGATGCTGTAATGCATGTATACGGTGGTCTTGGATCATGATCGAGGGCATACTCATACGCCGCTTCTTGCGCTGCATGGTAGTATTGAAATGGTTCTTGATGGCATTATCTGGACGACCTGGCATGTACTTGGCCATCTCCGCCCACCTGGAACCCATTTGATTATACAATTCCAAAATACGTCTATCTTCTTCAGGTGTGAAAGGGGTCTTATTGACTACGGTTCGCGTTTGGATTGGAATGTGAACGCGTTAGCTCCAGACATAAGTGCGATCGCACTACAGGCGCATAGCAACATGAAACTTACTGGTGGGATCGAGGTGGTTGTGCCACCGCTCTCGGCACTGCTTGCCGGTGCGCGATCCGATTTTGGTGGCAATGAAGACCCATTTCTCAGGGCCATACGTGTTGACCATTTCACTCAGCTTCCGATCCTCCTATGAGGTGCCACAATCAAGCTGAGTTATTATCTATGATACATTCGCGATTCATCTGCCCTCATGACATTGCGCATCCGCATTATTTTCTCCTCACCTCTTCTGTCCAGGGGCCTTTCACCTGCTTGGGTCGTGAAGACGAAAGTTCACGCCACCGATGCTGGCATTCGTTCCGATCTCGTGAACCGTCTGGAAAAGCATATTCAGCTACCGACCTCCACAACTTTGTGCCGCAGGCTTTCACAGCCTCGTTTAGAAGCTGATCCTAAAGCAAGCGAAACAGTAAAATGTGAGTTCGTGTCCTTTCCCACTTTGCTACAAATTGAAGCGCGTATTGTGTTTCCCACAAGTAAATGAAAAACAACACACCTCGTGTCGTTGCCAGGGCCTGCTTCTATAAGAGCCTAATTCATGTACTGCTACATATCGGGGATGATCTGAGTTTTCAGGGTATGAGATAGAGGGATGTGCGGGGAAAGAGTGGGCTGCTCCTGCGGGTGGCGAGCAGCCGGGGGACTTGAAGCTCATCCGCTTCATCGACGCCTCCATGGCCAGATGCCTCGTGTTCAAGGGGGATAATGTTGACGGAGCCTTCATATTGTGGTTTGAACAGGAGTAGTTGTTTTCGAGTAGAGTCGCGGAGGGAGCACGGAATCGAAGGTTGGTCCTTAGGAATGAAGAATTTATAATGGATTTTGGAATCGATGATTCAGCCGGGCGAAGCATATTTTGGTTTTAAAAAAGTTCCCGTTGGCTAATGTCCAGGAAAGAATACGCCGGGATGCGATAGAATGATCTGAGGTGGGGTTAGAGCCGAAGAACGAACAAGAAAGAGAAGAAAGAACAAAATATGGCTATATGGCTCCTAGAGAGGAAAGAGAACATGCTGTGGCGCCGTGCCTGTACCTGGGAAGGAATGGAATGAAGGAAAAAGAAAGTTGAACGAAATGAATTGGGTCTTTCTTTGTGTCTCGGCATGGAAGCAATGCAGACCGGGAGAGGAGTAGTACCGACTGAGAGGGCAGGGAAAGGCAACAGCGAGGAGTCGCCCGCAATAGGAGCCATGGGGTTGACATCCACTCCATGGCATAGACCCATGAACAGGAGAGCGATATTGCTGTATGCTGAGTCGCATACGAAACAAACAAAGGGGCGAGAAAGCTGTAGGGAAACGGATTGATATTATCCATAGACAAGGGAAGATGAATCAGACTGCAGGAGCGGCTCGTCCAAGAAGCGTTCCCTACTTCAAGGAGACGGACATCTTTGGATGGACAGTACCGATTTTACGAGAGATAACCACGGAAGGAAGTTTGTCGTGCCTTCGGCTCATGCAATGGCCAGAGTGGGCAATCTCGTCTTTGCGGCAAGAGCACGCCCCGGATACAAGACATGAGCCCTTTATTTCTACGCTCCCATGTCGATGATCCCGTCCTCAATCAATAACGTCGTTACCCAGGATGATGCTAACCAAGACTGTCCTTGAAGTCCACGTTTCAGGACACACTACAGCAGAAAGTAGTTTCCACAATCAGCACGGGAAGCATCAGCATGCTACAGAACCAGTCTTGTTAGGATCAGGCCCTCTGGCAACAGCGCATGGATGCGATAAGGTAATGGTTGAAGCCTGCATGAGGTACACAGGTAGTGTTTCCATGAAAGTCCTAGCCTTATAGCTGTCATATTAGAAATGAATACATTATATGCGAGACGATCCAATGCGTTGTTCATCCACGTAGAACCATAAAAAGGAGCTTTCCATTCGCTCACTATTGGTGAATGGCAAGAAGCATTCTTCGATTGTAGAGAATAGAAAATGCCCGAAAATGGGCCAGGAGATGTCGTTCATCTAAGGGGGGTCAGCCAGGAGTTTAAGCAGACGCGCTATTTCCACGCCTGCTGCTATTAAGACTATTCATAACGGCACATATAGAAGGACACTGAAGGGGGCGAGCGGTTGTGATGCATTCAAGCATTCATGAGTAACGAGAACCTGATAAAGATAACCTGATAGAGATCAGCGAAGACACGAGATATGGATGATAGATAAGGGCAAAGAAAAAGAAAAGAAAAGACTCTGTTCTGTAGCCTTTTCGTTGATGCAGATTTAGGAGGCTGTCCATCAAGGGTCAAGGCTAGGGCGGACCCTTGAGCGGTTATGACATATGGACCTGCTAGTGCCTGCTGAAAAAGAGGCGCGCGCTCATTTAAACATGGCTGGCGTCTGCTCTGCGTTGTATAATACAGGAAACACGCACCGTCTAATCATGCATTATTAAAGGGGAATTTATGTATAATAGTTCTAGATAGTTCAAAGGTGGACTTTGATCATGAACGACGAGCGTTCTCGAGTAGGATGGGCTCGTCCCTGGCAGGGAGAGGGGGTGGTGGCACGGGGCGCTGCTGGCCTCGCGCTGGTAGTGGCGGTGGTGGTACGGGGCGCTGTTGGCCTCGCACTGGTGGTGGTGGCGGCAGTGGTGGTGAGACCGGCGATGAGGTGGCGGCATCGTCTTCACTACTGCGGTTGATGGGTCTATTCAGGTTCTTCATCGACATCTTGTACGCGGCTTTCTCGGCTTTGCTCTTTTTCCTAGAAGCAGCCCAGGTACGGATCTGTTCGCGCTTACGATAGCAGACGATAGCACCAATTGCAACTGCGACAAATATAGACCCGACGATGATGAGAATGATCTGCCAGACCTCCATGCCGTTGAGGATGGGTGGCAAGTCAGGTCTGCCAGCTGGAACGATCACATATGGAGGAGATTCCTGAGATTTCCAAACCTGATATGCCATCAAACCATTGAAGGGCGCATTGTAGTCCAAGGCAACCTGTATAGCATACAAAGGATTCTCGGTTAGCGAGCAGTTTTTTCACAGGCGATTTATCTCAGATCCATGAGATGAGACACCCACCTCATTCTGTCTCCAATCACTGCGCTGGTCCTGGAAACGATCATTCTTATCGGGGCCTCCAACAAGCGCGCCGTAGATGGTGTATGCTTCCTTTTCAGGATATGTGTCGATGGTGTCCGCATTATTGCCTCCAGAGGCAGGGGCAGAGTGAGGATTCACAGGTGAATTGGGATGCACACCCACGACATATGGGGTCTTCTCGGGATTGTCGCCCAACAGGTAATTGATCTGTCCAAGTGCAAACGATCTGTAGTTGTCAATCTTCCCCTGAGTGGTCGAGTCAATCTTAGTGCCTCCAGCCGTCGTCATCTGATTCGCCAACAGATGCAGTGCAAACGCAGCATTGGCTGCCACGACTGCAGAGTCATCGCCTGAGTTTCCTGCACAGTAATACAGTCCGCCTTTCGTAAACGCGCAGGGTTTGGAGGCCCTCCTCGTAAAGCCCGCGAACGCCTCTGCCAATCCTTGCCACTTTGTATTGTTATCGCTCGTTCCTGTCGTCGCCCCGGCCATGAGGATATACACCAGTCCAGTCTTATCATCCCATGTAACCGGGTTCGTCTGGACAGATTGTGCATTGAGTTGATCAATGTATTTGGCGGCCTTTTGGGCATAGACAGAGTTCTTTGTCAGTTTGTACATCCAAGCAGCGCCCCAAGCCAGCTCATCCACGAAACCAGACGAGGCGTAGCAGCAAGTGACTGCAGGGACAACAGTCTGGTAGACTTGCTGAGGCAAGGCTGTTTCTGCCAGGAGGAAAAGGGAATCGGCATGGGTCTGCAGAGTGTTGGAGTAAGCTGTGTCGTTGAGTTTGTCGCGATAAAGCATGGCGCACGAGGCGAAAGCTGCAGCCGCATCCGCCATCACATCCGTGCCTGGTCGCGTGTTGTTGACCTGGAATGTTGGGCGTGGCTTTGGAATAGAGGTATCCGGTCCCCAGTAGTCGTTATCGACCTCACTTAGACCGACCTATAGAAAAGATGATGAGAAGCCATTAATCATAAGAGATCATGATCCTTTTAAGACGGAAGCTGTTGAAGCAGATGAGATGACACGGCTCTGATACCTGGACATAAAGCGTGTTGTTGTTGGGATGGGCCTTGATCAGCCAATCCATACCCCAGCGAACCATCTGGTCAAGATATCGTGTCTGATTGGCGAGCTGGTATCCGTCCCAGAACTCTATGCCACCCCAGCAAGTCTCTGACATGGTGAATGTCAATGGAAAGATGAACTTGAGATAATCCCCTGCATCAAAGTATCCCTATCGATGATAGTTTGACGAAATTGTTACGACTGTTTCAAGACATTTGGTTTCCAATGAAATAAAAAAGATGTCAGAACCTACCCCTGAGAGATCCACACCGACATCCTTGCCATCATCCAACACGGAATCGTTGCGCTACGGGGGGGATGAAAATAGGCTTATGTTATATACGGCAGGGTACAAGATAAGATGAAACAGCGATGGGCTCAATTGAGTTGCTGTTGCTTACCCATTTAACACGCTGATCTGCAGGGAGCTTGCCTGCGCGCTGGGCTTCGTAGAACAGTAGTGTGTAGTCGAGCAGCCTGCAGTAGGGATGAGCGGGATAAAGGTGTCAAGTGGCATTCACAGATTTAAAGAGCAGCAGCGGTGTATCCTTTGTCCGAAGTTTCAGCAGGAAAGATGGATATAACAATTATAATTATTATAATAATTATAATAACTATAATAATTATAATAAGAGCTGGGCATGTATAAAACATTATTTCATACTTGATGTATTCGGGATCCGGGTACGAAGGGCTCGATATGTTGTCCCGGGGCTGGTCTGGGAATGTGGGGTTCAGGGGCAATGGCTGGTCATAGGGAGTTGATGTGGGCTGAGCTGAGGGTGGGGCAGCTGTGGGACTGGTGCTGGGTGGGGCCGAGGCAGAGGGGCCTTGTGCGGCTGCCCCGACGAGGAGGGCGACGAAGGCAGGCACGACCCAGAGCGAGGGCCGGGAGGGAAGCTTCATGGGAGGAGGGTGATGGGGGGAAGAGGAATGAAATCAGTCCAGCACAGGAGGGAATGTTGAATGCTGGTATAATGGAGATGCGTTGGAGAGATGTGGGCCACGACCAGGGGGACGGTGCGATGCAGAGCGTGACAAACGAGGGGAGTGCGTGCGAGAGAGGGAAGTGTGGGCAGGGAAGAGAGCTCCACAAAGACCACAAAGACCACAAAGACTGTTGCTGAGAAGAGGAGGGAAGAGGAGGGAAGAGGAGGGAAGAGGGAGGGAAGCAAGCGAGGGGAGAGAAGGAGCAGAGGAGCAGTCGACAGAGGGGAAACAGCGGACGGAGCGAAAGAAGGAGCGAGCGAAACGAGATGTCATCCCAGCCATGCGCTCAGTCTCATCGAATCTGAGGCGGAAAGCATCCAATGCTACACGAGGAAACGAGGCAACAACAAACACTGTGGGCATAGCCAAATAACCTTCCACGCCTGCTGAGAGCGTTCCTTTGGCGAATCAGTCCGATGCAATCGATTGTCCAGAAATAACTCTGTCCGACAAAGACAAGAAACGAACAGACACTGCGACCCCTCCTCGTCCCGTCTCTCTCACCGTGAGACGGAAAGGCCACGCATTAATCGCCAAAAACATTTATCCGCACAAACACAGTAAGAGCCGTGCAGCTGCCGTTTCTTCTTTTTATGGTAGGCCTCGGATCATTTTTGTCCACTCCTCTCTCTCCATTGCACCCACGCTGTTAAAGTGGATGGTCCGTCCGGCGTCTTGGGCTTTTGCTTCTACTTTTACCCTCTTACTTTTACTCTTACTTTTACTCTTACTTTTTTTGTTTTTTTTGTTCTTTTTGTTCTTTTTATTCTTTCAGGCACATTTCTCACAGGCGCCGTAACAGGTAACCGGTCCGGGGCAAGACAGATATTGCCGTTTGAAACCTCACCATCCTACCTCGTCTCCAAATAAAACTGCCCCTGCCCCTGAACCAATAATGAAATCGATCGATCTGCAGACAATCTCTTTCATTTCAATGAGCAGGCCACACATTCTCCGCTATAGCTTTTTGTTACTTCATACAGACATTCACAGCAATAGGGTCTCACTGCCCCATAAGAAACAAGTCGCTCCGCTCTAACACACTCCTATCCAGCGCATTTAGCGATCGAACAGACGCGGCTGTTACTACAATACTTCAAAGACCGTGGAAATGGGCGTCGCGCGGAGTAGGACGAGCCGCTTATCCGAAGGAGGTACTATTTCGCTCGGCTGTTACCCAACTCTTCTAGTTTACCGTACAAAGGCGTAGGATGTTCCTTTGATCCTCTTCATCTCAAATACTTGTATCTACTATGCTGTATCATTAAAATAGTCATACAAGTTTATTTAATAAGAGAAAAAAATGCGTTCAAAGCTGATGTATCTTGTCGCAAGTAAGATTCAAGGGGGCCACTCTTCCTGGATAGTTGGTTTCACGGCTTCTGCACACAAACGACTCTGTTATCCCCTAAAGTTACGTTTGGCAACTTTGAGCGCATTTTTTTTGTAGTCAAGCAGATAAAACGCATTTGCCACTGTGACAAAAAGCGTGGGCCATCTCCGTGTAGTCATTGTGCTTGCTTGAATCAGGATCTCTTTCCTTTGCTCAGACTATCCACACACTCAATTAAGTATCCCACTATGTACTGCAGGGGACAGTTGAATGCTGAAAGGCCTAGTATTACTGAGTACTCTGCTTTATTATTCTCTTGATCATATATCCTCATGCAAACAGGAATGGACTGGTGCAGATGGGCATCCGTCTTTTGATTGCAAAAATGTATGAAGAGTACCAAGGATAAGGACTATCATTCACATGTCGGTATAAGTTCTAGCAAGGAGGATGAATGGGGTGTCATACAGATGTGGCTGCAACGTCACCTCTGCTTATTTCCCTGACCATTTTTGCAAAGGAGGTGTGCTCATTCCCTTCCCCCACTTGCACTTGACGAGCCATCTTTCTGAGCAATGTGCCGTCAACGATTTCCGGCCGCTACCTTGTGAGAACTTACATGAGACAAGAGAGAAGAATAATACTGTTACCTACAGAACGATGTTTGGGGATACTTGGAGCGTACGGACGACGACGAGGAGGAGAGGTGTACCTGTTTTTGATTAGAACTTTAGACAGTTGTCAACCCTGGCTGGATCGATCAAATGTACACTATTAGACTATCGTGCGCACGCACCCGTCACATATAAACCTTCCACTACGTAGAGGTTGCGATGGATGATTGGACCAAACCTAATTGGCGTTAGTCAAGATGCCTGTAGTCTATTGCCTCTGTCTGTTTGCAAGCAGCCCTGGAAGTTTGATGCAGTCAGTGGTTGAGATAGAGGGCGCAAAAAAGACGGATGACTGCAGACTGCATGCACGAGATAGTCCACGAGGGGGGGGGGGTAGTTGCCAGGACTAAGGGTTGTCTGCAAAGAAAGCTCTTGAGATGGTCCATGCGACGGCGGGTGGTGTTATGTAACAGCGGCAGGGGCAGGGTGTGCAGATGAAGGAGTGTATGCAAGCATATATGTAAGCCCACAAGGGGGAGAGGAGAGGGGGGTTGCCGCCAGTGCTGCAGCAGTCGAGAACAAAGGACGATAGGGTTTAACTAATTTTCTCGTGCCTGAGGGGGAAAGGAGGTTCGTGTAACCGCAATTTGGCGAACATTTCCCACTCGTGCTTGGAGTGCAATGGATGGATGTTGTGGATGTTGTTTGTTCTCCTCCACCGAGCGAGCCTGACCTCCAGCTCGATTGTGTACATGTACACATTATTACCACAAAACAAAGGCGCAATAAACAAACAATCGGCTCTGCCCCCCGTCACTCGCATCGGAGGAAATGGCCGGCTCGTTTCCCTGCTGCCTGCTGTGTCTGCGCGCCTCTTCTTACTCCTTTGCCATTCCGCCATCCCTTCCTCCATCACGCCCCCATCCCCTTCCTCTTCCCCATTCCCCATTCCCCCTTCGCATCCGCATCCCCATCCCCACCCTCCCATTCTCCTTCTCATCACTCGCCCCTTCACGGACTGGCCCCCCTCCTGGGTTCTCACACTACTCCCTCCTCCTTACCTCAGCCTCTCCTTTCATTCCCAGCCATACTGCGTCCTAGCCCTCTCATCGACATCGGACCTATCTATCCGCACCCACCGTCCCATCGCTTCCTCTCTTCCTCTCTGCTCTTCTCGGGTATGCGCAGCCATATCGCTCAGTTACTGTCCCACTAGTGTGCCGCACATGCACTGCACGCTATAATCTGCAATCGTCTCACATCTCACCTATTGTTTTGCTGCCTTATCTTGGTTCACTCAGACCCCCCGCAGAAGAAAAGAAGGAATTAAGGAATTCGGGCTACTTTTACGACAACAACAACAAACCTTTACGACCTAACGGACATCACGCCTCCGGCAACTCCACTGCTATCATGGGAGCTCATTGGAAGCGCGAAAAGGTGCAGGACCACAAGTTCGACTTTATCAATGTCGATGACTTTATAGACAACTCGTGCTGGCTACAGTTCCGGTACATGCTCGTGTTTGCAGCCATCATGAGAGGCATTCTCGTGTACTGTTCCGACATCTTCACCGCCGTCAACTTGCTGACCAACTCGAGTCAGACTTCCTTTATCCCCAAAACCGGCATCGAGCTCGATCTCCTTGGCAAGTTGCCCTTCGACGTCTACAAATATCTGTTCTCGGTCTGCATTCTCCTGGGCTTCGTGCTCTTGGGCTTGGAGATTCGTAGGGCGAAGATGATCATCGCCTCCAGAGATATCTCCTATGCGTTTACGTCCCTGATCGCCAGTCGCTATTACACTGTGAGATCGTATCCACATTTTTGCCTCTTTTCTCAGATCAACAATTCGAAGAAGACGGTGGATGAGATCGCCTTTTTCTGCTTCTTTACTTTCCGAAGTAAGTTGACTGTGAAGGAGACTTGGATGTTACCCTACAATAGACAGCAGAAGCCCCCGGCTCCTCACTAACCATCTCTCTTCCCTTTTACTCTCTGCACAGACTGGAAGCGACTCATGTTGGCAGACGCACCCCGACAGGTCATCAATGCAACCGTTCTCTATCAGGTGTTCCACAATCATCTTGATAATACTTTTTTCGATTGGAACATTGTAGTCGGCAGGGGTGACGATCTTATCTTCAAGAAGATCACCCTCGGAGCCATGATGTTCACAGTCGCCATGTTTGCGCTCTCGTTGATTATGCTCATCAGCGCAGTCATCCTGTATATTCCCTTGGTCAGCCATATCCAGGGTAACCTGAAGGAATACTGCTGCCACAAGATTGATAAGCGGTACGTCTTAGTCCTTGCTCAGGGTCATGTCCTCAGTAGCAAACAAATAGACTAACCGTATATTTTTTTTGTGTCATGGCTGTTAGTATCGATGAGTTGATCAAGAAAAAGACAAAGAGCAGAGCAACAGAGGCACTTAACGCCCAGGCAAAGGGAGGAAAGAACAACAAGAACAACATTGCGATGAACAACCTTAAGCAACCAACTCTGCCGCAACTGGACCTGCTTGAGGCTCCGCCACCACTGCCTGCTACGACCCCGCGGAATGTATACAACCAGGTTTCGACGCCATCGCCTTACCCTTCCCGAGGAGGAAACGGAGGATACGGTCAACAGCAGGATCATAGCTACTACAACAGTCCAAGTCCACAGCAGGCAGGATACACTGGTAACTACGCTTCAGAGGACTATTTCCAGGCAAAACCTCCTTCAAAGGTGCAACAACAGCCGCAGCATCAAGCCACCGCCTTTGACCCCTATGCCGAATCTGCGTTCACGACCGAAGACATTTATGATTCCTACAGCAACAAGCAGGACCAGCAGCAGCTCCAACAAAAGCCCGGCCGTGACATGTATGGCGACTACTATAATACAAATCCTTCGGCTCCTCAGGCTCCATCGCGGCCAAGGCGATATGATGACCATTCGTTTCAACGAACTGCGTCGCCCGTGCCAGGGTCCCAGCATGGCTCAGACATGGAAAGTAGCCACAACGGAAACAACGGCCGGACCTACGTTGCAGGCAATAATGGTTATGGCGGCGGTCATTATGGTAATGGCGGCAATTACAACAACAACAATGATGGTGTATATGGTGGTTACAGCAACGACTATTACCCGTCCAGTGGTCAGGGCGCACCGAATGCGGCGTTTTCGCCTTCTCAACGTTCTCGACGACAGGACACGGCACCTTCGCGCAATCAATCGACCAGGAACGGTGGATACTAAGGCGCGGTATAGAAGTAATGCTTATATATTTATTTATCTATTTATTTATTTTATTTTACTTTTTGTAATTCTCAATAATAATAACGACCGAAATGGACGTCTTTATGGCGAATGGCGAATGCTTTTTTTAACGAGGCTGAAGGCAGACTATAAAGGAGGATGTGGCAGAGTGAGAAGGAGGGGCGTGGGCTGCAGCGACTGGTGAGTTTGGGCGTCAGGGCTCTATTGGGGGAAATCAAAATAGCGTTTGTTTGTTTTGTTTGTTTGTTTGTCTGCTTGATGAGCGCGTTTTGGGTGAATATCCACCTGTAGAATAGTATAGTATGGATATGATATATATCTATAGGCCCTCTACACGCACTGCAGCTGTGCCTGTGCACGCTGATTGGCTGGCAGTATTCTAGGGACAAGTGTGTGATGTGATGAGATGAGATGAGGATGGATGCCTTTCTGTCTCATCGAGTCCTTCTTCTCCCACTTCCCCCCACATCTTTCTTTTTTTTTTTTTTTTTTTCCTTTTTTCCAACACTCTCCCATCCCTAACGATTAACGCCGCCATCCACGCTTCTTCTCTCCACTCCCTTCCTCCTCTCCGTTCGGGCACATCATCCCCCCTTCCTGGACTAGGTTTGTTTACGACTCTCATCAGGCTTCATCTGTCCAACATCCTTCAAGACCCCCCAAGCCCAGCGAATCGGTCTCTCCATCGCTCAGACAACCCTCCCTCTCCTCCTCCAGGGCTTTACCGCTTTCCTTCTTATTTCTTTTGCAGCAATGTCCTGGACACTCATCTTGTCGAGTGTTGTGATGGGCGGCCTCATCTGTGTAAGTGTCCGCATTCTTTACATCACGTCGTGAATGGATGAAAACGCATAGTACTCAACAGAGACCTCTTTCTTCTTGTTTTTCCCTTTTTCACAAAAACGATATCCAGGCCATCTCGGTGCTGTATCTGATGAGTCCCAATCCACGCGAGTCCACCGAGTCTGAAAGATGCTACCAGGACTATACCCATCTGTCTTCCCTGATTAAGGAAGAAAACGACTACCAGCAACGTCTCAAGGATCAGGCCTCCTCCTCCGCCCTCTCCTCTGCATCCTCGCCATCACCATCACCAGCACCAGCACCATCCTCGACAACAGCACCAACAACGATCCCGCCCACAACACTAAAGAACAAGAAGGTCGCAGGAGGAGCGACCCGATCTGAAAAGTACAAGACCCAGCTCCCCCGTTTGACTCGCACAGATGAAGGATCTCCTCAGAGGACTCTATCGGTCGTCGTGCCCGCCTATAATGAGTCTGAACGGTTGCCGATCATGATGAAGGAAACACTCGAGTTCCTGAAGGCGCAGTCGCAAAGGGATCCCAAGTTTACGTACGAGATCTTGATCGTCGATGATGGATCGCAGGACTCGACCGTCCGGGTTGCGCTCGAGATGGCTCAATTGGAGGCCAATGTCGATATTCGGGTGCTGAGCTTTGAGAAGAACAGGGGAAAGGGTGGCGCTGTGATTCAGGTAAAAAAAAAAAAAGTTATTCATGGAATCGTTATGGATCCTATCAGATCGTGAGAGACAGCAGCGCCGAGATCTAATTATATTTTTTTTTAAAAAAAAAATAGGGCATGCAATACACGCGCGGAGAGTACATCTTGATGGTCGACGCTGATGGCGCGACTCGGTTCTCGGATCTGGAGCAGCTGGAGGTCAAATTGAAGCAGGCTGAGAAGAACGGACTTGGTGTCGCTGTCGGATCTAGAGCTCACTTGGTTCAAACGGATGCTGTTGTCAAGGTGTGTTCCCCCCTTTCCTTCCATTCAGCTTCCTCGCATGTCCCGCCTTGATATCTAATGTGCATTCGACGCTCACCTGCACTTTTTTTTTTTTTTTTTTTTTTTTTTTCCTAGCGCTCGTTTATTCGAAACTTTTTGATGCACTCGTTTCACAAGGTCGTGTATATTCTCGGCATCCGCGGCATCGAGGACACGCAGTGCGGCTTCAAACTCTTTACACGCAAGGCAGCCCAGGCGATCTTCCCGAACATGCATGTGGAGGGCTGGATTTTTGATATCGAGGTGCTCATGATTGCTCAGCAGCTCCGGATCCCGATCGTCGAGGTGCCCGTGGCCTGGCAGGAGATTGATGGATCAAAGGTCTCGTTGATGAGAGACTCTATCCAGATGGCACTCGATCTGTTGATCATTCGGATGAATTACATTTTTGGCATCTGGGCCATTCAACCGCTCAAGTCCGCATCGGTATCATCGGATCAGGATGCCGCAAAAACGAAATAATTAATGAAGCAGTGGCTGCAAGGGATGCGGAATGTCACCGCATCCGGTTACCAACTCAGGATCGGATTTTGGACACTAGCCCTCCTTACTCTCTTAATGACCATTCATGAGCATATTTTTTTTTTCTCTTTCTTGTTCTTGCAAGAACTTGCAAGAACTTGCTGCATTGAATAAAACATCCTAAAAAAAGACTGGCGTGACAAGAGCTGATGATGGATCTCTAAGTTTTATGGCACAGTTTAAAGAAAATGAAAAAAAAGAACATACAAGCACAATGAAAACACCCTTCCGCCTCACTCCTGACTATCCATTTAAGCACCGATCTTCTTGTTGAGGGTACGCTTAAGGACACGGGCAATGACCTCTGTGTCAGGGAAGGCAAACATCTCCAAGTTCTGAGCGTATGGGGTAGGGACATCAGCACCGGTAACACGGACAACAGGAGCATCCAGGTAGTCAAAGGCCTCGCTCTCCATGATCTGAGCACAGATCTCGGATCCGACGCCGAACTGAGGCCAGCCTCCCTCAACGGTCACCAAGCGGTTGGTCTTCTTGACAGACTTGATGATGGTGTCGATATCGAGAGGACGGATCGAGCGCAGGTTGATGACCTCAGCCTTGCAGACGCCCTCCTTCTCCAAAAGCTCAGCAGCCTCCAATGCGAATCCAACCGCGCGCGAGTGCGCAACAATAGTAAGGTCCGAACCCTCCTTCTCGATCTTGGCCTTACCAATCTCAATCACAAAGTCCTTCGACAGCGCAGCCTCGGACATGGGGAAGTGAACACCGTACATGAGCTCGTTCTCCAAAACAACAACAGGGTTAGGATCGCGAATAGCAGCCTTCAACAGACCCTTGGCATCCTCAGAGTTCCAGGGAGAGACGACCTTAAGACCGGGGACAGATCCGTACCAGGCAGCAAAGCACTGCGAGTGCTGGGCAGCGACACCAGCAGCAGCGCCGTTGGGGCCACGGAAGGTGATGGGGCAGGTGACGTTACCGCCAGACATGTAGTGGGTCTTGGCGGCAGAGTTGACGATCTGATCAATGGCCTGCATAGCAAAGTTCCAGGTCATGAACTCGCAGACGGGCTTCAATCCAGCAAAGGCAGATCCGACAGCGAGACCACAGAATCCAGACTCGGTAATGGGGGTATCGATAACGCGCTTGGGGCCAAACTTGTCCAAAAGACCCTTGGAGACCTACAAGGAAGCAATGCAAAAAAAAAAAAAAAAAAAAGGACGTTTGTCAGGTTCGTTTCCTGAGCAACATTGCTTTGCATCTTCGTATCTATTCCCTCGCAAGAGCGTGAGAAATATGAGGAGATATAGGGAGAGGCAAGGCAACAAGGTAGCTGAAACCGGTGCTGAGAGGCCTTGGTGAGCGGAACCCGTAGATGCAGCTGTGCGGATAATGAAAGTGAAGGGCGGGATAACGAGGATGGGTCCGCGATGCGGACACAGTCCACATCTTTGCCGGTGCTGAGAAAATTATTTTGGGGCAAAACCTTAAGCGCCCTTGTCGTCCGCCGAAAAAGATCAAACCAAAAAATGCCCGCTTCCAATCACCTCGAGAACTCGACGTCTCTGGAGGACAAATCGGACGGGTGCAGCACATATCAGCCCTTGTGATTACCTTGTAGGCTCCGTTGTACTGACCGACTTCCTCGCCCATCAGGTAGACCCTCTCGTCTGCAGTCATCTCCTCCTCCAAGGCAGCATTCAGCGCATCACGGACAGTCATCTGTATCGAAGGAGAGGAACAGAAAACAGTTAGAGACAGATTCTGGCCAGTCTTGGGTTTCATTTCGCTGGACCATGTTGGTGGCAATGGACTCCAGCACAGTGTGGTCGAGTCGAGTCGAATCGATAGCCCTCTCCTTTGAATTGGGCGATTACTTTTTCTATTCCAACTGACCGTGGGAGTCCATTTGATTAATGTCGTCGTTGTTGTTGCGCAAAAAGAAGCGATGGATCGAATTCCATATTGGTGGGTAAGTAAAAAAAAAAATGATCTGAAGAGATAAACAACCCAAAAAAAATAAAAACAAAGAGAGCCATGGTCACTCAAACAAAATGGGCGGTTCCTAGCAACGCGCGCCCGAGATCAGCAAGCAGATGGTATCCCTGCCATCGACGTAAACCTGCTCGTTCCAGCTGCGCGCCCATCTGATACCAAGAGAACTAGTCCCAGACATTGAGACTACGTCTGAATGACAATTTTTTCAACGATGTAGCATTTTGTAAAAGATAGCCATGCCGTATCCTTGACGTCAAACCTTGGCCGAATAATTAATTATTATTTTTTGTTCTCCCTGGTTGGTGAGTCCTGTCCTTGGTCCGTGAATAGACAATTTTTTTTGTTGTTGCGGGGGGAGGGGGGCCCTCTGAGGACAAGGACGCGACCCCAGATGGTGTGCCGGGCATAGTGGACTTGTATGGAAGAAATGGTTTGTTTGTTGTTACCTCGATGCCACCCTTGGAGTTGTAGGCGCGCTTAGCGAGGAGGGCAGTAGCAGCGACGGGGTTAGTGGAACGCAAAAGGGCATGGCGGACGGAGGGGATGGAGACCACGGCGGCCTTCTTCAGCATAGAGGACATGGCGGTGAAGTATGAGTGGGGGGTGAGTAGAGGGTGGGTGGGAGTGCGTGGATGGAGAAGGAAGGAAGGAGGGGAAAGAAGGAAGGAGGGAAGGAAAGAAAAAGATGGAGAGTGGGCGAGGGAAGAAAAGAAAGAGAGATAGACTATCGCCTCTTTTCATGACGCTGAGATGTAATGTTGATAAGTTATCCTGCCTCGCTCCCAGTCCCATCGCAGCGGAGTATGCTGCTATCACTTTCCACTCTCCACAACCGCAATACGTCCACACACACGCACATCCAAACCCTAACCTTCAATTGCTTCCCCATCACCACTACCACCACTACCACCACCACCGCCACCGCCCGTGCTGTCCCTTCCCCTTCCCTTAACTTGCCCATGCCCTATCCATTGCCCCGTCTATTTTCCCTTCCCTCAAACCTCTTACCGGCCACCCATACACCGCGCTGTTATCATTCTCCACACCGACCCTTATCCGCGTAGAATGAACACCCACTGCTCCGCACACTTCACACATTCGCACAGACATACAGTGGAAGCAACCCAGATTTCCGATTGTGTTCACAGTTGTACCAAGTTCCAGCGCGCTCCGCACATAGCCCCGGAAACGAGTGTTTCCGAAGACAAATGAGCGACCCTTCCCCTTCCTCTTCCTCATCCTCTCATTCCCATCCATCGGGTGTAGTAGGAAGCCATGTGGAGAACCTGAGCTCGCGATCTGAAATCGGGTTGCACGAAAACATGCCCCTAAACCTTCTTCTATTACTAACTGTTCCCTTGCGGCGAAGCAATTGAAGGGAAGGGAGGAAGGTTTTTCTTCCTTTCTAATTGAGCATTCATAAGTCCGCGTTCACTGCACAACACGCTGTTCAGAGTTGATTTTCAGCTCGCGGTGAGAGTGTGAGAAAATTGCCCGCCATTTTTTTTTTTTTTTACATTTTTACAGGCGCCTTTGTCACACAACGCGCAACGCATCCAAGAAACACTTCTCTCCCCGCGTCTATAATCTTTGCAATAATAGTCGACACGCGCAAAGTGCGCGACTGACTGCTACTGCGCGCCAGAGTACCCTCTCACAGAGACATGTCAGTCCAGCAAAGCAGGCCTCGCCTATTGCTAGAGCCATAACGACCTTGCTCATGAATTGTACAGGACACATTTTGTTTTCTATGGCCAAAATGGCTGTTTACTTTATTTTATTTTTAGCAATGAAGATAAGAAGTATAAGTGTACAATAAACGATGGGTGGTAACAAAGGAAAAAGAAGCAATATGACAAAGAGTTGAAAAGTGCAATGCAAATGCGCTGTCCTCCAGGTCCTTAAACCAAAAGAAGGGCGTTCACGCAGCCGTCCAGCTCTGGGTTGTTGGTGATCTGGGCGTATTTACCCCACACAACCTTGCCTCCTGTCGTAACCAATCCCAATTCAGACACATTGACCTCGATGACCGTACCCTTGGTCAAGACACCAAGCTGTGTGTACAATGGGCTCTGAGGGTTCTTCTTGACTCCAATGATCGGCAGGCAGAACGTCGCCTTGAGCTCAGGGTGGGTGACATGGGCCTTCTTGTAACGCAAAGCCGAGGGACGAATGAAACGCTCGTACTTTGGAGGCTTACGGGTGAAGCCATCTCCAACGAACGTCGCCTTCGTAACCATGCGCTTCCATGACTTGCCCTTGGTCTTTCCTGAGCGGAGCACCTTGAACATCTCATCCTCAGCAATACCGCGCACCTTTGGCAAGGGCACGTTCCATTTGCCTGCCTTCTCCTTACGCTTCTGCTTGATCATGTTGCTCAACACCTTGGCGCGTTGCTGACCCTCACGATCCAGCAGATAACCAGGAACAGCACCTTCGGGAACAGCCTCCGTATCCTTCTGTTTGGCGTTCTTTTCTTCATGCTGCTTGATACTGTTGAGTCGTCAAATTGAATTTGAATGCGCCGATAAGAGAGGAAAAAGAAAAAAAGAAAATCAAGTCAGCAAGCTGCTCTAATGCACAATTTCGAGCATTCCTTCTATGATCCAGCTATTGGAAGTCCTGCTTAGTGGTCCTTGTATTCTGTATCTCCTGATTTAACTGATCACGATCCATTTTTTTTTTGTCGCCTGAGCTCACTCATGCTCTATGTATCGGTCTGTATATGCCAAACTGCTGTCTTTCCGTTGATTCTGGACAACCTGTGATGTCTGTAAGGCGCTGGCATACATGGGTTGATATCCTGGTTGTCAATCGATTCCAGCTTCCTGTAGTCGTCCTTGGTAAATACAACTGAACCCTTGCAGCGGCACGCTGAAGGACAACGAATTTTACGTACGTCTTCTTCATCTGGATCTTCTCCGAGTGTCTCTTCTTGTTGTACATCTTGGCTCTCAGACCGGTGACCTTTTGCGCAAACTGAGAGCTCTTGTGGGCCTCACGGGCCTCTCTCTTACGTCTATACAATTGCACAAGGGTAGCAGCAAGATAAGTGTGGTGAGTAATGGCGTTTAGAAGAGACAACGAAAGGCAAAGCATAAGCAATGCGTTCCTGCTGCTTTCATCCTGACATAAAGCAAAATTGCGGTCCTTACTTGCGCTCAGCATAGTCGAGCCTGCGACCATTCTTCTTAATGGACTCTTCGATATATTCGTTCTGAGGCTGTTATACGGAAATGGACAGGGGAATCGATAAGAGAAGCATGTTAGCGAGGTGGATGAAGGCTGAAGAAAGGCTGCCCAAAGATAAAGCCAGCTGCTCCATGCTGCTGTTGAGTGATTCAAATATGCAGCGATGTAGAGACGAGTCAAGCAGTCAAGCCGGATGCGCTGTTTGTAATGTAATTGCTGTTGTGCACTGATGAAAGGGATATAGTTTACCATGGCGAGGTGCGGTCTGGAGCGAGGAAGTGAAAGGAAGGATTGTAGTAATGCAGGTCCAGTTTACTTCCACATAAAAAAAAAAAAAAAAAAAAAGCGGAGACGTGGCTTTGTGCCCTATTCAAAACACAGACCAGTTGAGAATTAACTGTGATGGGAAATACCTCTGTTGTAATGTGGAATTAGTAGTCTGCGTGACTGTTCGCTCACTTCACTTACTTCCATTCAAGACCCCAAAAACGAATAAATAGTCCTTGCACCTTAGGGAACTTCGTTTCCTTTCTCTTGTTCTTCATCCCATTACTCCTAAAATTCTATCCATCATGTCCGTTCCTACTGCAACCTTGGCCACCTTCAAGATCCCCTCTGTCACCAATGAGCCCATGGTACGACTCGACTTATCTATTCTTTCATAAGTGCATCGTCTAAGCAGAGATCTGTCTAGTGCACATGCCCTGCGCTCTCTCTCACTCTAACCAAACAACCGATTCCCCCCTTCTTGAATCCATTACTTAGAAATCCTATGCTCCTGGCTCTGCCGAGCGTGCTGCTCTCGAGGTTGCCTTGAAGGAGCTCCGTGCTCAGCTTCCCCTCGACATTCCCTGCATTGTCAACGGACAGGAGGTATGAAAAAGCTGCTCCAACTACCCGTTTATCTTCCACCTATCTCATTCAGCAGTCTATTCTAAATGGGCCATGACTGACGACGACATTCTCTTTTCGAATGAATTAGGTCCGCACTGGCATCATGGAGAAGCAGGTCATGCCCCACGAGCACAAGACCGTCGTCTGCAACTACCACAATGCCGACGAGGCCCTCGTTGCCAAGGCCATTGACGGCGCTTTGGCTGCCAAGGAGGACTGGGAGAACACCCCTTTCAGCGACCGTGCTGCCATCTTCTTGAAGGCGGCTGACCTCGCCTCCACCAAGTACAGGTACAGTGAACTTTTCTGGCAGCACCCTGATTACACCGTCTACGAATTTATTTATTTTTACGTTCAAGACGTACACTGGACGGATTGGCCCCTGTCCCCTTTTTTTCGTTTTATCCATGGCGCTCCACTTCCACCTCAGAACTCTATTGCTCTTTTGTTGAGGAATGGTGACTCCTCATGGAAGTTAGTGTGCTTGTGGGTCACTTAATATTTGTGTGATCTGATCGTTTGAATGAGCCCATGGGGTGTGGGAAAAAAGAGGATGTTGTTCCCGCGCAGACAAAAGAGGAAACGATTCATTTTTACCAAAGGATCCAGGGCAGAAATCAGCATTTTCGGGTCCTTTGGGCATTTTTGCGCTGCAAAAGATTCTCTTGGTGCTGTGCGTGTATCCACTTATGAATGACTTGTTATGGACATTTCTTTTTTTTTTTTTTGGATCCCCGTTTTGGCTAGCTGGTTACCCGGTCGGTACCTTCCTGTCTTAGCCTCATCTTTTGCCTTGGTATTCATTCTCAGTCCTGCCTATCTCGATGTGGATTTTGGCCGTTTATGCCAATGACGCCACTTTGCCCCTACTTGAAATCCCGACGTTTTCTATGACCCATACCTCAGTCAAACACCACATTTTGCTTGCTAAAAACGTACTTGATCTACTGAATCATTGTTTTCAACTCCAGCATCCAATGTACTAACTAGCACTCGTAAATTGCTTATGATGCATCTAGACACAAGATCATGGCTGCCACCATGCTTGGTCAGGGAAAGAACGCCTGGCAGGCTGAAATCGATTCTGCTGCAGAGATGATCGACTTCTGGCGCTTCGGTGTCAAGTTCGCTGAGGAGCTCTATGCAGTCCAGCCTCCTCAGAACTCTGCCGGTACCTGGAACCGCACTGAGTACCGTCCCTTGGAGGGATTTGTCTTTGCTGTCTCGCCCTTCAACTTCACCGCCATCGGTGCTAACTTGGCTGGTGCTCCTGTCTTGATGGGCAACGTCTGCGTCTGGAAGCCCGCCCCTGCGGCTACCTATGCCTCGTATGTTGTCTACCAGATCATGAAGGAGGCTGGTCTCCCCGACGGTGTCATCCAGTTCATCCCCGGTCCCGCCCCCGAGGTCGTCGGCCAAGTCTTGAAGCACCCCGAGTTTGCTGCCCTCCACTTTACTGGCTCGACCCACGTCTTCCGCAAGCTCTGGAAGGACATTGGTAACAACATCGAGAACTACAAGTCCTACCCCCGCATTGTCGGAGAGACCGGTGGCAAGAACTTCCATATGGTCCACAAGACCGCCAATGTCACGTCCGTTGTCAACAACACCATCCGCTCCGCATTCGAGTACCAGGGCCAGAAGTGCTCTGCCTGCTCCCGTGCTTATTTCCCTGACAACCTGTGGCCCGAGATCAAGAAGAACATTGTTGAAATCCACAGCCGCATCAAGGTCGGTAGCGTTGAGAAGGCTGACAACTTTATGGGACCTGTCATCAACCAGGTCTCGTTCGACAAGATCAAGGGCTTTATTGAGTGGGCCAAGGCTGATGCCGAGTCTGAGATTATTGCTGGAGGCACGTATGACGACTCTGTCGGTTACTTTGTCCAGCCCACCATCATTGTCACGACCAACCCCAAGTCGCGCACCATGACCGAGGAGATCTTCGGACCCGTTGTCACAATTTACGTCTACAAGGCCGATGAATATGAGAGCACCTTGGACTTGGTCGCCAACTCGTCTGCTTACGCCTTGACTGGTGCGTTGTTCTCCCAGGATCGCTATGCCACCATCTTGGGTGCCAACAAGCTCCGCAACGCTGCCGGCAACTTTTATATCAACGACAAGTGCACCGGCGCCGTTGTTGGCCAGCAGCCCTTCGGTGGCGGACGTGCCTCGGGCACCAACGACAAGGCCGGCTCTGCCTCCATCCTGTCCCGCTTTGTCTCTCCTCGTTCGATCAAGGAGTCCTTTGTCGACTTGGAGGACTTTGTCTACCCTTCCAACTTGGTCTAAGATATTTTTTTCATCCACCTATCACCATTTTTTTGCATATAAACTTACACCCCCAACACGCATCCTTTAACTATCACCGCTCTGAAAAATATTAGCCGTGTGTCCCGCGGTAATAAATTAAAGCCAAGCGTTTGAATGCCTTGAAAAACACGGGATGTTGACAGATCGCATGGCCTGATATTCATCGCCTTGACACCTGGATATCTTACAGTCTCGCTCTGCAAAGAAGGGATACGCTTCTAAAGGCAGAAATGGAAGGGCGCTGAGTAGGTGCCTAGATATTACAATGAATCGAATGTGTTTCTCTTTATCCGTTTGTGCCCATCGTCTTTAGCTACTTTTACTATCTCACAAGATACGACACAATGAGGCAGAGAGTATAACACGGTACCCACTCCGCTGATAACACAAGGCATGACTCACGGCGTGTATCTTACATCAATGTAAGGGACCTTTACTGTTGCTGTTCCTTAGATACATAGACGTATAAACAAAGTGATAGGCAATAGGTGTTGATAGAGTCTTTTTTATGCGTGGAAAATATCATGGATGAAGCCTGCGGTAAAAGACATGTGTATGATGCTCTGTTTTTGCCAAGGTACATTATCCGCGACCGTGTTACTGTTGTGCATGATTTACAAGGCGTGATCAAGAGAGCCGTGGAGAGACGATATTGTGGCAGCACGTAGAGGAAAGGCAAGCGCAGATGGTATGATGATAAGCGAGATCTATGACGATTTTCAACAGAGAAAAGCATACTCTCATAGTCCTTACTGACATGCAGCTTAGTTACCCCGGACTATTTGCTTCCGCAGTAGTTTCTGTTGCCACGCGAGGCGTCTGGTTAAAATTGGTGGCAATCCATAGCCCTTAAGCAAGATTTGCCGCCAATTGTCGTAAACAGACGCGGCGCCCATTGGCGGGACTTGCAGAAAAAAAAAAAAAAAAAAGAGTTGAGGGCGGTGCTTACTCGTCATATATACATAGCATACCCTTTGTTCACCCTGCCAATCGCTCCTTCCATTGTTGCCATTGACACCCTCTCGCGTTTGCTTCTCCATTCTGTTTACACGAACCGAAGGTGCTTCTCAGCGACGTTTGCCCGTTTTTCGCTCGATTAAGAACAAAGTACATGTGACCTTTCATTGAATCTAACAGGCTTTTTTCGTTTTTTTGTTAAACTTGACATAACCGAGTCCAGCCTGTCCCCAATGCCAGCTCCAGCTACACTTTCAGCGAGCAAATGTACAGCCTCGAGCTCTAGAATGCTCGTTTATATTGGCTGCAGGGGTCCTCAAGGGGTCTTGTCGATTACCGGCAAACGAACACCCTGCTCCTCCTCCGCCTGGCAACGACAGCAACAGCAACAGCGACGTCTCGGACACTCTTGGATTTCAGGACACCCTCGCAGCATCCTCTACAAACCGTCCACTGCTAATAACAAGGCTAGCAGTGCTGGCTATACCGGTGGAATGAGCGGTTGCAATTCAGGAATCAGCGGATCTCCCTCGAACGGTGCTAGTAACAGCAGCAGCGGGAACTTCTCTACGTTCCTAGACTTTGCGGGCAATGGTCGGTACCAGGCGTACAATCTCGCGCGATTCTCGACCTTTTCGGCGGTATCCTCGTCTTCATCCTCATCATCTTCATCACCGACTTCGTCGGCCCCGTCAAACCAAGATTCGGGTGTCGCTGGCTCCTCCACGAGTTCCCATACGGATAGAGCCCATTCAAACTCCGCACCAGCAGATGCACAGTCACCATCATCATCATCACCGTCATCGTCAACTTTATCCACACCACCATCGCCTGTGCCGTCTTCTGGAGCAGGACTCTCGACGTCAACAACAGCGCTCTCTTCCAAAAACTCTCATAATGACAAGGAAGACAAGGAAAACAAGGAAGATAAAGAGGATGATTGGGCTGTCAACGAGAGCTATTCTGGACACGGCGGACACAGCTTTACATCATCCACCACCGAACCGTCGGACGCGTCTTCGTCCTCATCGGTAATAGTCCCCTCGAGCTCAAGGATATCTGGTAGATTCTCTCATAATAACGATAGTGATGCAAGCTATGAGCAGTCCCGGACCGCACTAGCGCCTTCGCTGTTGTCGCCCAAAAGTCCAGAGGCCATTGAAGCCTCATGGCGTCGTACATCCGAGACATTACCTTCTGTAACAAGTCCGCCTCTGAACTCCATCTTGTCACCGGGTTCTGCAAATAAGGCTGGCGGTCTAGATCTGAGCTCGAGCACTTTGGTCCAGCAGATGCTCTTTAAGGAGCGGGCACCGCACGCCGATAACCCTGAGAGCGAGAATAATGACGAGAAGCAATCAGACGAAGGTAATTCAACAGTCTCCAACTCGCAGGGACTAAATGGCAACTATGAGGACTGGGATGACCTGGACCATTTGCTGGATCGGGAGCATAGCCATGGATGAGGACGCAGCACGTCAGATACAGCATAACGGATTTAGTGCAGCAAATATACTCTGCTTTACAGTCGTATCCCACACCTTTTTTTTCTTTGCTGAGTCTTATTGTACGAACACTACAATAAAGCTGCGAAATCATCACAGCGCGGGCATCAACTCAACGATTATTTAACGACTCTCCTAATTCTGCTTGCCGCATATTTTGGCACTTCTGCGTATGCGTTAGAAAATGGCTTGGCCCGCGTAGATCAGTCCGTACCTGTAGCACCAGCAAGTCCTTCTTTGACCTCCATGATGTTGAATCAGAGTAGCGTGGACAAGTCATCATCTGGCAATGAAGTGATTTCCTCTCAGACGACCAAACCTAAGACCGCGGCGAACGCTGCTGGCGCACAGGAGGAGGAAGACCATATCTCCAAGCTGGATATCAGAGTCGGAATTGTCCGTTCGGTCTCAGCGCACCCTGGTGCCGAATCGCTCTATATTGAACAAGGTGCGTAGCGCCGCGTTTGATTGTTGCTGTGTTTGTTTTTACTCTATCATACCCATGAATCTAACAAAAACCTGTTTTTATTGGTGTGCATTCTAGTGGATGTTGGCGACAAAGATAGTGACAAGGACAAGGAGACAAGGACGATTGTCAGTGGTTTGGTGCATCATGTGCCCAAGGACTACTTGGAGGGTCGCGCTGTCATTGTGGTCGGCAACATGAAGCCATCAAAACTGCGAGGAGTTGTTTCAGAGGGTATGTTACTGTGCGCTATGGAAGTCGATGCAGAAGATGAGGTGACCAGGGTCGCATTACTGGAGCCTGCAGAGGGAAGTCAGCCAGGAGACAAAGTCATGATTGATGGATACACTGACGAAGGTAACGAATTATTGCGTGCTTCTTCTTTAAATTGCGCTGCCTCTGTTTGAACAACGAAGGAAAGAAGAAGAGGAAGAGGAAGAAGAGGAAAAGTGGTATGGCGCTAACAAACATACATCTATGCTGTCCATGGCGCAATGTCACAGCGACAGTTCCTGTGCCGGTGCTGACACCGAAGCGCAAGTGGTTTGAGAAGTCGCGGGTACACTTCTCTGTCAGAGACGGAGTGGCTTACTACAAGGGATCTCCCTTCAAGACCGTCAAGGGCCTGATCCGCTGCAAAACCATTTCCGAGGGTCAAATCTCGTAGTAGACTTATTTCGTGCGATGGACACTTTCTTTGCACAATAAAACCATCCATGCACATGTACATACACAGAATCTATACACAATACACAATACACAATACACCAATACACAATAATATCATATCCCGGTAAGGTTTGAGTGCCTAGAGTTGGCTCGAGCGGAGGATGAATATGATTGGACCGCGCTGTTGCCATTTCGGACAGGCAATTCTTCGCGGTGTTTGCTTGAAGGCTGCACTCTGAGATGAAGAAAATGGCGCCATTTTCTGCTGTCATTTTGAGGGTTTAGTGCCACCAGGGCCGGTCACACACACAGCGGACCATCCTCTTTTAAAAGCCCTTTATGTTTTTATCAATCCCCAAACCCACCAACACCTCCTCCGTCTTGCTTTTGCCGCTCTTCTTCTCGCCCACCCTCATCTGCTCTTCTCCTCCGACTGTAACGAACCCCTCACTCGACTACACATCCCTACTTATCGCTCCTCCACCTTCGTCTCCATCTTCCCCTGCACTCCCCCCTCCTACTACCCACAATGGCCTACAGTGCACCTTCCCCTGGGAACTCGTCCGAATTGTTGGCCCCGTCGCTCTGCCTCAACCCTGACGCTATGGCAGACCTGGCCCCTGTCCAACCCACAACCAACAACCTCCTCCCCGCATCCTTCCCAACTCTTTCCTGGTCTGAACAGTCCTCTGCACGAGACAAGGCCTCCAAGTCTGCAAAGAGACTGTGCTACCGACACCGGCCAGACCTACGATCCAAAAGGGCTGCTGATGGTATCCAGCTCGAAGAGCTGCAGCAGGTAAATAGTCCTGCCCATTCTTCTCTTTCCAATTGGGCTTTGTGGTAACTGGAGAGAAGACGACTGACAGCGCAAATATTTGTTCTCTTTCACAGGACATGGAACAGCTCCCTCAGCAAGACCAGCGAATCATCTCTCACATTTGGTCCCTCTTTGGGTCCGCACCAGCAGCCCATCGCCAGCTCGTGCTCAGCGGCCTTCTCACCCAATGCTGTGTGCCTCAGCTTTCCTTTCTCTCGAACCATCTCCAACCCCTGCTCAGGATCGACTTTTTGACCATCCTTCCACCAGAAATCGCTCTTCGCATTCTTTCTCATCTCGACGCTACCTCACTCTGCCATGCTGCCCAAGTATGCAAGAGCTGGAGGCGACTGGCGGACGACGACGTGGTATGGCACCGCATGTGCGAGCAGCACATTGGACTTAAATGTACAAAGTGCGGCTGGGGCCTGCCTCTACTTGACAAGAAAAAAGTTCGAACAAGACGCCATCTGGAACAGCAGCAGCAACAACAACAACAACAACAATCCTCGTCGCAAGGCAGCCAGGAGGAGATCGATGCAGGAACGCATGCATACGGGGCGTATATTCCATCGCACCCAACACCCCCTCCTTCACTGTCTCCTACCGAGGAGCGATCATCATTCAACTTGACAGGTAGACGCCGCAGCCTATCAAGCGACATTGAGACTGAAGACCGTTCACCAAAGCGCCCAAGACATGATACCCGTTCACCATCTCCTGGATACGAAGGATCCAGCAGCCGTCCAACACCACTATTCCAAGCACCGGAGCCGCCAGTCAAGCCCACTGGAACAACGAAGCGGTTATGGAAGGACATTTATTCGGAGCGATTGATTGTGGAGCGTAACTGGAGGAAACGAAATTTCAAGGTCAAAGAGTTTCGAGGCCATACGGACGGCGTGATGTGTCTTCAGTTCGACGACTCCTTCCTCATCACTGGATCCTACGACAATACTGCCAAAGTATGGAATATCGAGACGGGTGAATGCCTCCGCACATTGACCGGACATGCGCTTTGCGTACGAGCACTCCATTTTGACGAAGCAAAACTCATCACCGGCTCTATGGACAGGACTCTCAAGATCTGGAACTACCACACTGGCCAGTGCATTCGCACGCTTCAGGGACACACGGACGGCGTCGTCACCTTGGATTTCGACTCCCGTATTCTCGCCTCTGGATCAGTCGACTCGACCATCAAGATCTGGAACTTTGCTACGGGCGAGTGTTCAACTCTCAAGGGACACAGCGGCCTCGTCAACAAGGTCCAGATTTACAAGAAGACGCTGCTCTTTTCAGCGAGCGACGACACGACCGTCAAGTTGTGGGATATCGCAACAAGAACATGTCTCAGGACGTTCACTGGACATATCGGCCGCGTGCAGTCGCTCCAGACATCTGGGGACGCACTCATCTCCAACCTAGCTAATCGCAGACATAACTTGTCAAGGGCTATTGAAGGCGGTCACCAATCGCCCGCGTACGACAGTGGCTCTTCTGATAACGAGACCCGAACCATGATGCCAATCATTGTCACCGGTGGTCTGGATAACACGCTCAAGGTGTGGAATGCTGAGACAGGTGAGTGTCTGAACACCCTCTTCGGACACGAGGAAGGCGTCTGGTCCCTGGCATTTGACAAGCTGCGAATCGTCTCAGGCAGTCTTGACAAGACTATCAAGGTGTGGGATACGGAGACTGGCGACTGCCTCTATACCTTGCCTGGGCTGAACAGCCCAGTAACGTGCGTCGACCTTGGAGACACTCGAGTCGCAGGTGGATCGTTCGATGGTACCGTCTTTGTGTGGGACTATGGGATTACCCGTGGTACAGTAGCTAGCCAACCTGCATAAATGTAAAATAAAACCTCTGTATATTAGCATAATAAATCAGCCGTCGTCTTTGGGTCAATGTCTGCTCTTCACCTTCTCCTTCTCATTGACACTCATACGCCATGTCTGCCATCCTTAACACCCTTACCAAGGTCGCTATCCCTGTTGGAGCTGCTGTCTCGTTCTTCCAGTACAGCATGTATGATGGTAAGAAATTTGTTACGGCTTCCGGCCCTCTCGGATCGACAATTGGGGCACAACGGACCATAATAAGGGACGAAGTGGTACTGGACAGCAAGCCTCGGGCAAGGAATCAACCACTTTGAACAATAACGGCAGTGATCTTTCTCGCTCGTTTCTCAGAAACTCCTTGCGCACGCCATGAAACTATGAAAAGGCAATCCCACTGCGCCGTGCGCTGTCATGATCACTTCACCAGGATCTGATCAGTTTTCGACTTGTCCAAACATGCCTGTGGAGTTTGGCAGGACTTCAATCCTTAGCCTCAGTACCACTGAAGAACCGATTATAACAAATACATCGATTTGAGTCTGCGAGCATGAAGTCGAGGGCAACTGCCCAAAGGATCAATACGATTGACTATTTAACTAACCCTTCACGTCTTTGTCCGAATACGATAGTCCAGGGAGGACATCGTGCTGTCATTTTCGACAGATTGGAGGGAGTGAAGCCCAACCCTATTGGCGAGGGAACCCACTTTTTGGTCCCCTGGTTGCAACGTGCGATCCAGTTCGATGTCCGCACTAAGCCCCGCAACATCTCAACGACGACTGGATCCAAGGATATGCAGATGGTCACCCTGACCCTCCGTGTCCTTCACCGTCCTGATGTTAAAAACCTTTCGCAGATTTACCAAGGATTGGGCATGGATTACGACGAGCGTGTCCTGCCCTCGATCGGAAATGAGGTCTTGAAGTCGATTGTCGCACAGTTCGATGCTGGTGAGCTGATCACTCAGCGTGAGCTCGTCTCGTCCAAGATCCGCGAGGATCTTGCCAAGCGCGCAAGAGAGTTCCACATTGAGCTCGAGGATGTTTCCATTGTAAGTTGACATGTGTTTAGTACGCAACCCATGGGAACAAAACCTCGGCTGAAAGATGCATGTATTGATTGAGAATCTCTGTGTTGTATTTTTCTTTTTTCTTTTTTTCTTTTCTAGACTACTATGACCTTCGGACGTGACTTCACCAACGCTGTTGAGCAGAAGCAGATTGCCCAGCAAGAGGCCGGTAAGACGAATAACACAATGTGACCGGGCGTACTTGAACAAGTCATAAAACCCCTCTAACAACAATGCAACATCTCAACTGTTTAGAGCGCGCCAAGTTCATCGTCGAGAAGGCTGAGCAGGAGAAGAGCGCCTCGATTATTAGAGCTGAGGGTGAAGCGTAAGTTGTCATTGCACTGCCCCTGGATAGTCGCTCAAAGTCGACAAGCGTATTCAAAGATTCGAAAAATCTAATTCCCATCTCGTTTACCGTTGTTTAGCCATGCTGCCGAGATCATTTCCGCAGCACTGGAGAAGGCCGGTGCCGGTCTTATTGAGCTGCGTCGTATTGAGGCCTCGAAGGATATCGCTGGTACCTTGGCCCATGCCAAGAATGTTACTTACCTTCCTAACCAGAAGGGCAACAATATGTTGTTGAACCTCCCTGTCTAAGCGTCTCTAGCGGATCGCGTTCAACTACGAGGAGAAGGACAAGTTGCAGAGCAGAAGATCGGCTGGATTTGGAGAGGCGAGTTCCCAGCAGTGTACAATTGAAACTAGAACCATCTTTCATTAAAGCTTCCAAAAACTATGCTATTGCAATGGCTCTTCGATGTCAATACTGGTGCCAGAGCTATCCAGGCGTACAAGCATGACGGACTCAATAATGAACCGTTGGCGTTATAATCACGTGTGACCTCTTCCAAACACCTTGCGTTTTGCTATTCGTTTCTGGCATCTCTTTGACAAACACGACCACGTCCACAGTCCAGCATCTACAGAGAGCCTCCTCATGGCAGTTCCGACAATCCCCCATGTGGAAGAGGCAAGTTCAACTATTCGACTTTTTTTTAACTCCGCTTGCTTCTACAGAAAACGTTTCAGGACCTGTAGAATCAGTAGCAAGCCATGAGGAAGCGCGCGTTAAAGGACAACACTCGCATCGTTTGCTTGGCTTGCAGTTGCGTACTGATCAGGAGGGGAGAACAAGTAGGAGCATGCGTTGCAGCATCAGGATTGCATTAACGCGTGGATATGACCGTTTATGGTCCTGTCATCCTCTCTGCGTTTAGGTGATCCGACAGTTCTACTCGAGCCAGGACTCCGCCTACCAACGGTCCGCTCAGGAATATCTCCACAACCTACAAAAGGAGACGTTCGCATGGGACCTTGCTCCCCATCTTTTGTCGTCCCAGGTAAGGTTAACTGACCCATTCGAGCGGAAAATGCCTCCTGTTCTCGACATCCCCATTCTGCTCAGACTGGCTAACATGTTACATTTTCAATTTATGCTCATGTAGAGCGAGAATAGCCAGTTCTTTGGAGCGCATACCTATCAGGTCAAAATTTCAAGGGACTGGTAAGAGTTTCTTGTATTCTCGTCCGTCTTTTATGTTGATGCAAGGGGGCAGGGATCTCATATTCTGAAGTATACCATCATAGGAACACAATTCCGGATGACAGGATCGAATGGATACGAGAGGAACTTATCCGATGGATCGTCCGATATTCTAATGGTCCAGCATTTATTCGGACAAAGTTGTGCTTAGCTGTAAGTGGTTTCACCTGAAAGCGCCCAAAGGATCCCGGCGATGATGACAGCAACTCATCATGATACCCGACATTTGGTCTTGCCATACCATAACATAGCTGTCTGCCTATGCCATTCGAGCAGTGCCGAAATACTGGCCAAACTTTATCCACAGTCTCTACCAGGACTTTAGATCACGGACCAACCAAAACGTGGATGGCGTTTTCATGTCACAGCAGGCTATGGAGCTGGTGTGCCTGGAGTTTTTTACTCTCATCGCAGAAGAACTCGGTCGTGCAGAGATTGAGCCCAGGAAAAGGTATTTACAGGCTTAACGACTTGAATATAGCTTGGGGGGCTGCACTTCATGGCAATTAATCAACTTTCAATTTCGTAGGGCGCAGCTCACAGACGAGGTTTCCAAGGGCGTTCCATTGATCATGTCGTTTATTCAGGAAATCTTGGTGGGAAGCAACCCAGCATCAAAACCAAAGGCGCTCGTGTGTTTTAAAAGCTGGGTCCAATATGGCATTACGTTCGAGTAAGTTCATGGTCAACCGGTCACTGCGCTATCAGGTTGCGGATCAAATTCTCCACTGTCCGAAATTCAATTAACACCTGTATCTGAACAATCGTAGTGTCATCCAACCACTTTTGGGACTCGTGCTGAATTCGCTATTGGATGACGAGACATTTGACGCTGCAGCTGAAGTGTGGACCGAGATCATGTCGTCGTCAGCGGCAGCTAGGCATCAAGACACGATCTGCGAGGGCCTAATGCCCTGCTTCGCAAGCGAATGGGCGCGAGCCAAGCATCTGGAGTCTATTCAGGCAGAAAATGAGGACATCAGCAAGAGTCTTTGCCAGCTCTTGTCTACGTTTGGCGACAACTTCTCGGACTGGATCGCGGCCAAGTTCCTCCGACCGGACATTGTGCTCTACTTGGAGATGATGATGGGCTTTGCAGGATTTCCTGGATACTATGCGGAGGACGAGACCATCAGTGACTCGACGCTGAACTTTTGGTACATGCTCCAGGAATCTTTGAGTGAGCTGCAGCCAGATGACTCTGAGAACAGTACTGGCAATCGCGGGAGTCTGGACGATGACAGACAGGTTATCCTATCCACTATTTCCTCCGCCTCCAACATCACGGGTCTGGATAAGCAGTCTCTGCAGGCAATCCGGGAGGCGTCCATCCCCGTCTATATCCGACTTACGGAGGTGCTCAGGAAGAAGCTCGAATATCCCTCACAAAAGGAGTGGCTCACCTGGGCGCGGGATATTCGACAAGAGTTCACAGGACATCGGCAGGAGATCGCCGACACCCTTATCAACTCGTATCACGTCCTTCATCAGCAGATCCTGTCGTTACTCATCGATACATGCATCGTGCAGTTGGACGGGATCCAGAAGGTATCGTTGTCAGGCCTCAACATTGCAGAAAACACGCAGCTGGAGATTGGTCTTTTGCAGCTGGAGGCTACGCTTTACTGCTTGAAAGCTCTGTCCGAGGTTGTGCCACACAGCGAGAGCGTTCAGATGCCTCGGTTCTTCAGCGACCAAATCTTTGGGCGACTGCCCACGAACGTCGTGTGCCGAACGCGCGAAACAGCCTTAAGCCTCATCGGTATGAGGGATCCAGCACGGCCTCAGCATGTTCTTGAAACTTTCAACTACACAATCTTGATCTAACGTTCAGTGGTGAATGGACAATTTAGGTTCTTATGCCGATTGGTTCAAGCTACACCCACAGTTCCTGCTGCCTGCCCTGAATTTCGTCATCCCGGCTCTGGAAATCCCTCAGCTCGCCCCATACGCCGCCAAGGCACTGAAGAACATCTGCGATACATGTCGCGAGTCTTTAGTGGAGGCCATTGATGCGTTCATGACTGTGTTTGCGAACGTGGAGCGTGCCATTGACCCAGCGATCAAAGGCAGCGTTGTGTTTTCTATCGCGACAGTCATCCAATCCTTGCCTGTGGAACGTAGCATTAGCCCACTCGTGGTAAATGCCGCTGCTTCTTTTGTGCTAACCGACAATGTCTGCGACTGCTCCATGCATCATTCGCTAACAATACCTACAACTCTACACAACAGGGTCTGTTGGGTGACATCTTCACGCGTTTGAACGAGTGCCTGGAAACCAGGAAGCAGCGGCTGGCGAGTGGAAATAGCGAGATGATTGCAACTCAACGTCAGAATAGTAATGGGGAAACCGAACTGGAGCCACTTTCGGCCATGATGCTTCAACAACTTGATTTCCTGTTATCATGTTGCAGAGGACTTCAGTCGCCTTTGGAAGAGGAGGTCCGGACGGCGGATGAAAGAATTCAGTTATATCAAAGAACGGTAGAAGACCGAGTGAGGATCATAATTTCAGGAGGCATGGCAGCTGAACTCGCACAGTCAATGGAGCAAGTTATCCAGGGCGTGGTTATGGTGTGGCCACACGAGCTAGAGATCATGGAGGTATATTCAGCCCAAGCTATGGTTGCTGCGCAACGCATGGGTAGCTATCGACACTGACTTTGCATTTCTCACTTTTTTCTTTGTCCTCCTTTATTCCCGTCACTTCATGTACCCTTGATAACTTTAGAGGACTAGCCAGATTGTCAGGGCCATGATGACAGTATCCCAGTTCTCGCCCCTCTATTTGCCTTTCCGGATACTGATTCGTGTTGTTGAGACCGCATTTCGACAACATGCTTTCCCATGCTGGCTGGATGCTGCCGCCAAGATCGTGTCAGTATATTATTTTGAAACAACGGGCGGCTCATTGGCATCAAAGCTCGGCTCTGGGGCACCCATCAACAGCAATGTTGGATCCAGTTCTTATTCTGGCACATCGTCGACGCAGGCTGTGGATGTCGATAGCCTGTCTGCATCGGCTAGTATGGCTCCACGAGGAAGGACTTCAATCGAACATGAGAACGAAGCCGCGTTTACGCATTTGCTTTCAACATTGGTCGCTCGCACCATGGAGGGAATGCAATCGATGGCAGGTATGTATACGCTAGAGGCATCTCTCTCGGCAGAAATCTTAACAAGAACCATGGTGTTAACGGATCGTTTCGCTCCAAATCATGTAGATATGGAGGAACATCCGGATGTTGTCCACTCATTCTTCGCAGTGCTTTCTCAGGTACGGTTATTTTGATGCATAATTTTCTATATCGCATTGCTGGAATGAGATATTTTGTTAGAATACTAATGTGCTGCTATTTTGATATTCCACAGTTTGTGCGGCATGCGCCCCTTGCATTCTACAACATTCCACCCGAACAGACCGAGAACTTGATGAACTTTGCAGTGGCTGGCCTTGCACTTCAGGAACGCCTCGCCTTGAAGGCAACCTTGCTCTTCTTGGTACGTAGACCATCTGTATATGATTCCACTTCAGGACGGAAAGAATGGACCTGTATGTACCTGACCACGAGTTTCTTTGTTGCGCTGTTCAATTTAGATTGAATTTGTGAGCCAGAATTATGACTACCCAGAGCTGAAGCAAAGAGTCGACGAAATTATGACCAGGATAGGACCGCAGACCATGCGCGCTATCTTGCTTGTACGTCCTATAAAAATGTTTATCAGCCTTCTGTCTTGAATGATCTCAATAGTATGTTACTGATACGATCTTTGTGATTTGGTCTTTCTAGGGCATTGGAGGCCAGGTACCAAGGAGCATGGTACCGCAGCTGAACGACTGCTTGTATCCACTGATTGGAAAGTATCCTCAGGAATGTCGCAGTTGGATGCAGACGCTGCTTAGCGAGGTAAGGTGGTTCTACAGGTGTATCCTTCAACCCCGTCAACGAGAGCAAAGTAGATTCGTGCGTTAAAATTGGTCCTCTGCTTTTCTTGATGGCACATAGCCTGGATTCCCATCAAAATATGCTGACCCAGCATCGAGAGAAAAGTTCATCAAAGGGGTCATGCAGTAAGTGAGCGTATTCTGCGAAGTGTTGGATCGAGGAAACGAATATTAACCCCGCAAGAGTGGAGGCTGATACTCAATTATGCGTTTATTATCCTTCTAGAACCAGGAGTCCTAAACGGTTCAAGGACGAGGTCCACCAGTTCTCGAACAAGTGCCGGCAACTGGACGGCTCTGTCTACGGATCCGCCATATGATTCTACTGCATGTTGATAAAATATTGTGGGCGATTAGGGTCGGCGATCAAAGACACGTTGCGTGCAGGCCCAGTGTTTCACCTTATTTGGGATAAGCTCTGGGAAACGAACGCCTTTTGCTGCTCGAGAATATCAACATTCCGTCGTCTGCGCCTTCTCGAATAAACCAGAGGAGCCTAGTACCTCCCTATATTCTTCTACAGGCATCTCTGATGTTCTAAATGGCTGTGCAAGTTTTTTATTGACGTTAGATCCTCCCAGGTGTGCAGGCGTGGCAAAGGTTGCATTGTTAGCCGGCCAATAGTTTCCTAAAGATAGAATGGCTGTGCAAGCGGGCGTTTTTTTTTTTTAGTGACGCCAGATCCTCCCAGGCGTGCGGGCGTGCCACAGGCTGCATTGTCCGAGCCTCGGCTTGGACTGCCAGACGACTGTGCAAGCGGGGGCTGAGCGAATACCCATAGTTAAATGCCGATTAAGGGATAACTGTTTTCGCGTTATAAAAGCAAATCAAATCGTCTTCGTCCTTCTACTATCACTTCTGTCCTTTTCACCAACCCAATGGAACCCACTCACCAACAACCACAAGATCAAGCCATGCAACAGGCTCTAGGTCTGCAGGAGCTGCTAACGCATATCGCATCCTATCTGGACAAGGATGCCATTACGCGATGCTGTTTGGTCTCGAAACAGTGGTCTCAAGCCTGGAAGCCACTCTGCTGGAGAGATATCAAGTGGAAAGAACCCAGGGATTTCGTCCGGAATGGCCATCTAATTAGGAATCTAACGCTGCGGATGTCATCGTCATCCTCTTCATACCGACCGGTGGAGGAGATTCGGGACCACTGCCCAAATTTGCGCTCACTACATATTGTCGATTTTCAGTTCAACCGCGCCGAATTCGAGGAAAGGGTGCTGGGGATTCAGACAAGTCCATCAACCACTGCTGCCAGCAATGCGGCCGCAGCCCTGCAGGAGGGCGAAAAAGCTTCATCGCAGGGCGCCGTTGTTTGCTCTAAGAATCCGTTCATCGACAGCATTGTTGCTAGGAATAGTTATCTATCCAACAGCTTGCATACACTTCAGTTTGGAGTGTCACCCGAGGTGTGTGCTATGCTGTTGCCACGACTCGTACAGGCGAAAAAAGCAGGACGGCTACAAGGGTTGAAGTCTTTCCGTATGGGAGAGTCTTTGGCGCTAGGCATGCGTCTTGAGGCGCACCCATCGTGGCATTGTACGCTCAAGTTGTCGGACATACTCGCGTTTCTTGATGAGTTCCCGGACCTGACATGTTTCTCTACAGGTGACATTAATATCATCAACGATATCGGATCAGAGGATACGGATTCGAGTATGGCGGCCAAGGACGTCAGCATCAGTAGCAATGAGGAAGGGCAGCAAAAGAGACAGCGAGAATACAAACGGATGACCGAGCTCGAAATCTCGTCATCCTCGTCCGTAGTACTGGAGCCCATTTTGGTCAGGATGCCTCAGCTGAGGGTACTCAAGATGGGCTACATTAGAGACGCCAGGATATTTCCAAAGATTATACAGCACTTCCCCAATCTCACATCGCTACATTTGGACTTGGAGTACTATAGATTCTTCGACAGGGCCTTTACGGCCCTAGACCTCGATCAAACGAACCAGGACGGTATCCAGGGTTGGATCCATCTCTTTGAGGGGCTGCCCGCACTTGAGCACCTTAACGTCATGAGTGCGCAGTTGTCGCTACCGATCTTGAAGTCCTTGACAATGTCGTGCCCTCGTCTGTCATCGCTCAAGGCCAATAAGGGGTCGCGTTTATCTGTACTGGGGATCTTGTTCCTCCTGAATCACGCCGCGAACCTGAGAGAGCTTGAGGTGTCACAGAAGTTCGACGCACAGCTGTTTGCGGGCAACCAAGAACCCTGGAAAGCACCGTTGGAGAGGCTACATCTTGAGGAGGTGGACCTATCGAACGATGAGGAAAACGATTGCTTCCGGAATCGGATGCGTCAGCTGCCATGGCTCAAGTCGCTTGAGACGTGCGCGCGTAAAATATCGCATAGAGCTTTGCTGGATGAGGAGGAGAATGAGGTGGCGGCGGCGGCGAATGGAGTTGTTCCCTATCCTCGCTTGGAGAAACTGATAATGAAACAGAATGTCAGCGCTTTTGAGGGGTTCATTTCGCGGTTGGTGAACACCATGCCACGTCTCAACATTCTAGAGCTAGATGAGGACTATTCAAAGGAGGATATCCAAATAGCGAGAAGAGGTCGACAAGATCCAACAACAGCTGCGGCAAAATAACTCCAGAAATGAATGGTGAGCATAGTTATGGTTTTTTTCTAGTTCTGTATTTGTGTGTTGTGAATGCATCATTAAATAGCCTGAGCGCTGCTACGATGCTTGACACGGACGGGCAATCCGTGGGCCATTGGGAGAGTGAGCGATGGGTAATATGCTGGCTCCTTGTTGGGATCGACGAGCTCGAAAGTGAAATTTTGCATCAGCATCGACATGATCGTGATAGCCTCGATTGTTGCAAACTGCTGTCCCAGACTATATTGACCCATATTAAAAAAAAAAAAAAAAAAAAAAAAAAAAAAAAAAAAGAGTGCGACGTTAGATTCCATGATTTGAAGGCTACGGTGTAAGACAAAATAAAGGAAGGTAGCAATGTAGAACAAAGTCGCACTTACCAAGTGCGTGGTCCCAAATGGAAGGCCACAAACTTTGCCTGCGAGGGCTTCTCGCCCGTCATCCAGCGCTCGGGGTTGTACTCTTTGGCGTCTGGTCCCCAGATGGAGGTATCACGACCCATCGCCCATGAGCTCCATGCAACCTTCTCGTTCTTGTAGACCTTGTAACCCCCGGGCAAGACATCGTCCTCGACACAGGTCTTGATGTTCTTGGGCACAGAGGGGTACAATCTCAAGGCCTCATGGAAGCACGACTCTGCGTACTTTTGCTGCTTGGTCGAATCGTATGTGGGTTCGCCACCCTGAAGAATGCGATCTGTCTCCTCGATCAGCTGCTTGGTGATATTTTTGTCTGCCTGCTGACGATGCATAAGGTAGAACATCCACGAGAGCGCCTGAGCGGTCGTATCGCGACCAGCCAAGATGAAGTTGTTGAGCGTATCCTTCAACATCTCGTCCGAGAGCGGCTCTCCATTCTCGTCCTGGGTGTCCATAAACAACTGCATCAGATCCTTGTACTGCTCTTGGCTTTCACGGTTCTGTCGGCGGCGATTCTGGATGACTTTGTATGCAAAGCTGTTGACGATCTCGGTGTCCTTATCGACCTGGTCCAGCTCGCCTCTCCACCAGTCCCGCAGTTTCCAGAGCGGGAACATGAGGCGTTCGGAGCAGGCGTGGTTCAGGCGGTCGAAGGCTGCGGCGAAGGGGACCTCCTCGCCGGGCTTGTTCAGGCAGCCGAAGGATTGACCGAATGCAATCTCGCCAAAGGAATCTACAATAAAACTCCCGGATGTTAGATCTTGTAAACCATCCCCTTTAAAAAAAAAAAAAAAAAAAAAAGGGAATTCTTTGGATGTTGTGAAGGGGGAAGGAAATATGCGCATACCCAATGTATATTTGTAGAACAGCTCCTGCAAGTCCACAACTGCGCCCTGGTCAGCCTTGATGGAAAGATAGTCGATCACCAGCCTTGCCTCCTGGACGAACACAGAACTTGTGTAGGAACGGAACGCCTTGACGTTGAAGATATGACTGGCCAGCTTTCGTTGCCATTTCCAGTGCTAGAAATGAAGGATACAAATAGATGTAAGGACTCGGTTTTTTTGGGTAATGCATTACGTTGTCCTGCACAGAGATGTTGCTTACCTGTCCGTCTGCACCAAAGATACCTAATCATCAATTATAACAGTCAATGCAACAATTAATGCCCATCTCTCTTTTTCTTTTTTTCTTTTCCTTTCCACTGTTTTTTATTACCTTCACCGACCAAGGGTGCCAGGGCAGTCCTCAGATGTGGTCCCTTCTCGTAGGCCCAGAAGTTGACCCTCAGCATATGATCGACCATATCTGGGTCCGCGATGTTGATGATTCTTCCCACGCCAGGGATAGTCATCGCATAGGCCTTACCGTACTTCTGGTGATGGAATGTCTGTCGTTGGAGGACCTGGTCTCTTGGAAGGGTTAAGACTTGGAAGAGATTTCCAAAGAGGGGGATGCACCATGGTCCAGGGATATCAGTACGGGTAGGGACGCCATAGACGGATTTGCGGTACTTGAAGATGATGTAGAGAACATAGGCGCCGATGATTTTCGAGAGATTGGAGCGGGTGAGAGCCTTGGCGAGGACGCGGGTGAGGGCCGCGAGCTGTGGGTTAGTGGTGGTCGAGAGTGCGGAGGACATTTATTCGGTGGTTGTGGAGCGAATGGAAAGAGGAGGGAAAAAAATTTGCTTTACGGCGAACCGAAGATTATGAAGAATAGTGATCGGACAGCAAAACGCGGAAGAGAGTTTGGATGCGGTCGTGGGGAAGGAGCAAGGGGGCAACTGTATGACGAAACAGGTATCGAAAGTAAACCTGTAACTGGGATGTCGAGGGAAAAGGGGGAAAAGATGAAGGAGCACCAAGGGAAGCGGCTTTTTATACGGACGAGCAAAGGAGTGTGAACACATACAGAGGATGGATGTGTGGGGTCGATGGATGCAATAAAAAAAATGGGCCGATGAACGAATACAGAAGCACCAGGGCTACACGAGCAATGAGAGCCGATCAACAGGTTCTATGCAGTGGACGCAGCACTCGACCCTTGATCCTCGATCGATCACTGGCACGCACCAGCGTACGCTTCGCCTCGGTTGGGAATGGGAAGGGAGCTTCTCCATATAGAAAAAGAAAAAGCCCCCGGGCGCCATTGACTGGCTGCCCCCCCCCCCCTCTCTCTCTCTCTCTCTCTGGAAAAAGAGAAGAGAGGAAGAGGAGCGCTCCTTCCTCTTTTGAACAAAAATTGTTAGCAATCGCGATTCCCTCGGTGCGAATTTAACCGCTATTTATTGTCGCACAGTGCCCAACCATATCTTATGCATAGAATCATCATACCAAAGACGCGCTCCAAAGCTCAAACACGACTCCTGCATTATCGGCTGTCGTATTCGGGTCTCTAGCGAACGCGCGTCCCACAGTCGACCCAATTATCTGCACATGAGGAGCCATCATAGACAATTACAGTTCTTTATTCTTAACTAGTGGAACTGCCCGTGGCACACACCACGGGTCCGAGACAAAAAAAAATAGCTTTATTGGACGTTCAGCAGGTTTCTACAGACGATATTTCGGGTACAAACACCCTCCTTTCCATGTATTGTACCATTTCCAACCAGAATCTTGAGGTTGTCTCGGTGTTTGCAACGCGAGAAGCCGACATACAATTGCCCAGCACCAAAGACGTGCTGAAGAAGATAAACACCAACATGGTCAAGTGTTCGTCCTTGCGCCTTGTTAATGGTCATGGCAAACGCAGGCTTGACAGGAAACTGGCACCTAGTGAACTTGATTGGCGTAGATCCGTCGTTCAGGGTCGTAAGAGGTATGCGTGGAATAGGCACCGTTCATCTCCTGAAGTCACTGTTAAGAATCTCGGCACTGATATATCTCCGACAGAGTGCTCGAACAATCAGACGGGTACCATTGCAGAGATCGGATTTCCCGTCCACGTTTCGAAGGAGAATGATGGGCTGGCCCACCTTTAACAGCAACTCGTGGGGAGGCATGCCTGGAGGATTATTGCACGCTGAGCTTTACATGATCTGGAGAGGGACTTTGAAGGTCGAGCGGACTGTACGACCTCCTATCAAGACCCGAGCAGCAATTCCGGATGACGCTGTTCCGTCCAGACCCCAAATTGGGATCGTACTGGGAGTGAACCTTCACATTTAGGCCACTTCCTTTTTTATTCATGAGACTAATAAGCTATCCAGTGCTCCAAGCCCCAGGTCGGGGCTATAAAAACCCCTACCGGGAGCATAATAAACAACAACGCTCTCTTACCTCCTTGACTTACACTCAGGTACATAAAACATCACAGACGCAACTACGATCACGTCCTTCTCGCGCCTTCCTCGGATGTGGGCAATCAAAGAGTTGTACAAAAAAGACTTGCCCGCTCTTCCTGGCCCATCAAAAAAGAACACCTTTGCCACACCTTCGCCCTTGTTATCCAGCGCTGCTGTGGTTGCAGCGTACATCGCTTTTTGATCGTCGTTGCAGAGATCCAAGTCATGAGCTGCCTTAGCCGCAACTGCCTCAGCGTCGAGCTCTGCATGCTGTCCAAGTTCGTCACTGTTGGGTTGGCGGTCGATGAGGTTGCGAAAGTCTCGAGGCATCTCTTCATAAACCGCCAGACTGGCCCTAGCTCCCTTCAAAATCTCGTTGACGTGGAACAATGCAGTGCTCTTGGCATCCTTTTCATCAGTCGAGCGATCTCCAGCAACGTACAGAAAGTCCTGAGATAGATCATCAGCGAACGTTTTCCATAATTCGAGAGGATTGGATGGGCTGCATAGATGTAGAACCATGGCGAAAAGATGGCGTAAGGCCCGTAGGGCTTTTGGTGGCCTGTAACCTCCTGAAGACACTGGTGCCATTCAGAGTCATCTTCCAGCAATCCGCGCACATTGGCGGCCTTCCGTTAAGTGGTATAAAGCTCGCCAGTGTTTGAAGCTGGTCGATCCTCTGACATACAGGAGCAAAAGATGCTAACAGTAACAATCGCGATCCACGCTGCTCGCAAAGTTTGGGACTGCATAGTGCAGTCGGCCGATGGGTAGCACATCTAAATCCAATGTGCTATGCCGGCGATTGTAAGCGGTAATTAAATCAGCGCGCCTGGTGAGAAGTACTCAGCGGTTAGTTCAGACTATCTGTAAGTCCACCTCTTTAAAAAAAAAAAAAATGCCTTTCGGACGTGTTACTGGGGTTCTCAGGGCAGTCCCTGGAGGTGATTCTGGACTGGCCAGTTTGGCCGCATATGTATGTTCGAGATGCTCAGACAGGTCCAGCAGCAGGACTATAGATTCGATAGATTCGTGTCGAGTCATCATGGGGATCGATATTGACGTAAAAAGTAACAAAGGCACACTTCACATACGCTTGGTTACACATTGTATCCATGTTCTCGGTAGTCATTGTAAGAGGGATGCAGTAGTTGGGGGGGAGGGAGGGAGGGGAGCAAAGAGAATGGCTTTGAGTGATAAAGGGTAAGCAGTGAATGTGCAATTCAACGACTACCGTTCAGAAAACGACAAGCTACATGAATTCATTGATGAGCACTGTGAGGTGGGAACTGAACTCAAGGTCAATGCTGGAGAATTTAGGGAAGCCTTCAAAGAATTTGTTGGTGGCAATGTTCAACAGAAGGACCTTATCGAGATGATGAAAAAGCGTGGATTCAGCCATGGATCATCCAGAAAAGGGGAACGCTCGTATAAATCGTATAAGGGTCTATGCCTGAATTACATGAAATAGTTGCAGAGCCAACATTCACCTGGAAAGTTATACAGAAAGTGGAACACTGGAACACACCAATTAAAGAGGGTTGATCAAATACAGATGGTTTTTTTCGATGGTCTGTGTGAAGTTGGACTTGTCTCGAAAAGAACGTTATAATAAGGGGGTTGTTCTTGGTCTTCTATCCAACTTTCAGCTTGTACGTGGATAAAGACTACGTGAAAATTTAGAGTTTGCTCCTAATTCTGGTGGCTTACACGGATTTTACAGATTTCTTACAGACCGTGTGTTTTTATTATATAGGAGAGAAGAGAGACGCGAGAGAACTTCAGTTGTAGAGCAAAGAAATTATTGTAGTTGGAGTTGTCTTTGAGAGGAGCGAAGGAGACTCAGCATGCACGCGCTACCACGCTATCCTTGCAATGATACTCCTAGGGAACGCTCTTACAATCGCCTTCCTGACATCGTCTGCCACGACAATGAATAGGGCACAGGGCAACGGCAGCAACCAATACTTGATCGGGACTGAGTTCGTCAGCATCAAGGTCTGAATACCAGGCGTCTCTGTGACCAGAATAGCGACCAAGAACGATGCAAGGATACCAACAAACAGCCACAGATTACGGCGCCCCTTGCGGAAGGGATCCGCCTGCAAGATCGACATGCGGCGGTTACGGACTGAGAGAATGTTGCCCCATTGCAGAATCACGAGCGTGACAAAGCAGACGCACTGGCCTGTGTTGACATAGTACCCATTAAAGTCCTCCAGAGTCACGCCAGGCTTCAGCTTCTCCTCGGGGATATTAGCGAACGTGAAGACGAGATCCTGGAAGCCGAGGCCAGTGTACTCCTTGATGTACAAGAAGAAAAACATATTGCAGAAGAAGGTCATCATGGTGCCGATGAAGAAGTACGACTGGCCATAGATCTTGAGGTTGACCAAGTGCTCCTTCTTGGAGTTGCGGGGCGGCAGAGACAGCAGATTGAATTCTTCTTGCTCCATGACCAAGGCAGTGCAGGGGAAAGCTGAGATGACCATACACGCACGCACAAAAAAAAAAAAAAGGAGGGCGTTAGGAGATATTGTGGGATGGCAGTTGTTTTGTAGGGGTGGAGCCCTTTCGATATGATTGTAGACTTACCATCAGTGAAGCAACAGATAACGACCATCAGGAACGAGGAGAGTGTCAAAGGCGTTCCCAGAAACGTGTTGATCAACACAGGCCATACCTCAGACCAGGAGCCAGCAGGGAGTAAATACCCAATCACCTTCTGCAAGTTCTGGAACGCGAGGCGACCAAGGCGGATGGCGGCAGGGATAGAGTCGAATCCACCAAGCAAGATCAAATCGGCTGCTTCGATAGCAACGTCCGAACCAGACACGACAGCAACGCCGACATCGGCGGCCTTGAGCGCAGGGGCATCGTTCACACCATCTCCTGTCACGGCCACGACACCATCACGCTGCTGGAATTCGGTAACGATCCTTAACTTTTGTTCGGGCGAGGTACGCGCAAAGACAATCTCCTCATAGGCGCACACGAGATCCCACTCGCCGGGACTCATCATGTTCAGATCCGTGCCAGTCAACACAAGCGAGGTGCCCTCACGGAAGCGGGGGCGGCCCACTTCATAGTGCTCATGACTCTCATCATCCAACTTGTTCGACATCATGGCCTCCTTGGACTTTCCGAGACTGGGCTCCATAATATGGCTATATGTGTGAGGTTCACGGTCCGAGGAGAACAATCCAATCTGCTTGGCAATCGCCGCAGCGGTCAAACTATAGTCACCGGTGACCATGAAGAATCGTGCACCGGCACTGCGGCAGGCGCGAATCGTTTCTTTGATCTCAGGGCGAGGGGGGTCCATAATACCAACAAGACCAATGATGCAGAGCTCCTGAAGTCCCTGACGGGTCAGCTCTTCCTGAACGGCGTTCGAAGTTGAGGAACCAGCAGCAGAAAGGTTGTGTTCGGCCAGGTAAGGGCTGTAGCGGCCCTTGCAGAGCATCAAGACGCGTTGACCACGGCGGGACCAGGTCTGTTGAATCCTCGAGAGCTCTGCACTCCATTCTTGCGTCAGAGGCTGAGGACTCGTCTTGTTGGTTGCAGCCCAGTATGATGTGCAGTAAGGCAGGAGAACATCAGGGGCACCTTTGACCAAGACAAGCATGTCGTCCTTCTCGTTGGGCGAGGTATTGCTGGCGCTCATCATGTTCTGTCCAAAGAGGGTCCTGATTACTTGAGGCTGTCTGGCCGTACCCTGGTGAACGGTCATCATCCATTTGTTGCGAGAGTTGAAGGGGATCTCGTGCGTGCGTTCAAAACAGTCAGTGAGTATGGTCGGATCTGAGACATGAGCAAAGCGCAAGAGCGCGCTGTCAGTGGCATCTCCTAGAACCTTGCGCTCTGCAATGGGCAGGCCTTTGGTCTCATTATCAAACAAGGCATTATTGCAAAGCGCGGTCGCCAGCTGGAGTTGGCGAAGAGACAGGAGCAGGTGATCATCGTCTGGCTGGGGCAGGGTGTTGGGGTCCCGAGATCCTTTCTCGATCCTGGAGCTGACTTCCTCGGGGGTGGACTCGTGGTCCAAAAATGCGACGTTAGTGATATGCATCTTGTTCTCAGTCAGGGTACCGGTCTTATCGGAGCAGATAATGTTGACGCAACCGAGCGTCTCAACAGTGCTGAGCGCCTTGGGCAGGATGCTGTTTTCGCGCATCCTCTTGGCGATCATGAGCAGAGTTAAAGAAACACACACCGGCACGCCTGAAAAGAAGAGAAAAAAAAAAGAAGTGCGTTTAGCTGGCAACTCTGAGATTCACTCGTTTTTACTCAACATCACGACTTTTGTGGCTGTTCGGGGAACTTACCTTCGGGGATAAAGGCGATAACAGAACCCATGAGGGTGACAAGCAGGACGGCGACAGACATAAACTCGGGATAAACAGGGTGCAGCCAGGCCAGCCAGGCAACTGTGATGATCACGATTAGCGTAACGGTCAGGGCGATGATAATGCGAATGAACCGACTGATCTCTCTCTGGATAATCGTTGTCTTGGGCCGGCGACCAGTCGTCAGCTTATTGATGCGTCCCATCAAGGTCTCGTTACCCTTCAGGACCACAACACCAACACAAGAGCCCTGCACAACGTGGGTTCCCATGAAAGCGATGTTCTTAGACTCCAAAAAGTTATCATCCGTGGCGTTGGTGCTGGCCTCGATAGCATCACTTTCACCGGTCAGGACTGCGCGGTCAAATCGAGTGTCATTCGAGGCCTGGAGAAGACGAAGGTCGGCAGGGACCTTGTTGCCGAGCGACAGGTGCACACGATCGCCAGTGACCAAGTTTGCGGCGGGGATTTTAATCAATTGTCCGTCGCGAATGACATGGCAATCAGCAGGAATCATGTCCACGATAGAGGACATAACCTTGGCCGTTGAGAAATCTTGGAAAGCAGAGAACCCAGCTTGAAGGAGAATAACGAACAACTGGAAAATATAAAATACATGGGGATATAGACAGTCAGCGTGTTAGAAGAGGGGCGTATCTACGTTCGGCTGATAACACAAGAATGAGTACTTACGGCGAGGACAGCCAATGCCAAATTGGTGATGTTTGGGGGATTTGACAACGGTGGTCTCCAGCAGATAATAAAGGTGATTACACCAACCCAAAGGATCGAACAGAAGCCGCCAAAGAGATAGCCAAGGACCTTCTTGACATAGTTAGGCTTGCGCATCGCCAGCGTGTTGGGGCCATGCAACTTGAGTCGGTGCTCTGCATCTGCCCGGGACAAGCCCAAGGTCTCACTGGTGTTGAATCGGAGGTTGACCTCGGCCTCGGACAGCTTGTGGAAGTCGACCGTGGAGAAAAAATCGGTTTCGGACACCAAATCATCCTCTTTGCTCTTGCCTTTCCATCCAAAAGATAACTTTTTGGTATCGGCTTGCTGAACGTTGCCAACCTTGCCTGAACGGTGAGTCTCTGTAACGTGGATGGATAGGGTTCGGAACTCAATTGGAGCGGCGTTGCCCTGTGCGCGCTCCATGGTCTGAGTGCGGACCAATGCCAACGACTTTCTTGCTTCCTTATCGCGAGCCATGGTAGGTGGTATGCTTTGTTGAAATTTAGATGGTGTGTGGTAAGGTGTGAGGAATAAAGGATGGATGTCGAGCACCCGTACGAGACAGGAACGGAGGGAAGAGGTCGCGTTAAGCTTGGTTGTGAGCGCGATGAGACTGCAGCGGCGAGAGAAGGTCAAAGGAGGAAGGCCACTATTTATCTGCCTCGCTTATCGCTAGGTTGAAGCTCGTGGGCAGAATGCGCGCATTAAATAGAGTTCGAGGCACCTCACATAGAAACATAACGGTGCTGGCGTAGCAATGGGCGTTGTCTGCGTCATTAGGGACATGAAGTTAAAAGTGAGCGATTTTTGGTTGGTCGCATCGCGCGTCGAGCTTATTACACCGTGTGTCCTAGGGGACAGCCTTTGTTGTGCAGCGCTCAAGCACAAGAAAGAACGCACTTGATCAGCAGGAAACTTCTTTATGTGTTACACGGCACCACTACACACACTAACACAATCTATCCCATGGATACTTTTCTTTTTTAATGCACATTTTCAGCCTCAGTTTGAGCGATTTAATAGCTCCCGTAAAAAAAAAAAAAAAAAAAAAAAAGCAGAAAGGACGGTAGGATGAGTAGGATCATAGACCAGTGCTTTTTGCTTGCGCATTGGTGCATGGATTCATTTTCGTGCCTACATAGCATATTTCCTCGCATGTCGAGCAGTAATTTTCAGTGGCGCCTGCAGTCTGTATGAGCGACCCTTTTGACAAGGACATGGATGAGAAGTTATAAAAGGCGGTCAAAGACTGCAGGCGGGAGGTGTGCGTGTTATTTTGTGTCTTATACCCTTGGAGATCTCTCTCACTCTCGCACTCCACTATAGTTTCAAAAAACACGCATCTCGACCCTCGTCTTTGCAAAAAAAAAAAAAAATGAGGCAGCATACACCCACCGCTAACTTGCTACGCCGCAAGCATCTATAGTTCCTACTAATCCTCAGCTAACGACACTCTTGCGCGACGAAGAAAACAATGTTAGGAAGGTCTGCTCTATGCGGACCAAACGTCAGTGGCATAGGCCGCCATCACGCATGGAAATCGCCACTTTCGTTCTTTGTAGAAACGAATCAAACTCGTATTCCCCTTGATCTATTTCATTCTTTTGCCAAGCAGATTTATTAAAGATCTTATTTCACCTACTTCTCGAAGAACGGTGTGTTGTCTGGAAACTGTTTTCTGGTCGGTCTATCGTCTCCTTACGTGTTGGCTACATCCATACCGTTGAGCAAAGTTGTATATAGCTTGGAGAGATTGTAGGCACGAAAGCTATGACGCTGCATATCGCGTCTCAAGGCTATGTTCTTTGATGCCTCCTTCCGAATGAGGGATAGATGGACTATGAAATAATTCCTCAGCTCTCAATTCCCTCAATTCCCTCAATTCTCTCACTTCGCCCTCTCGCCCGCTGACTTGATCTACCCTTGAACATCTACACACGTGAATTGTGCCTAACACACCGATCGTTCGAGGCCATGCCATGGGAGACAAAGATAGATAGCTGATAGAAAGAGAATCAAGATTTTTTTAGTTATAACAATTTGTCTCTCGAGTCGATTGACCCTGCGAATATATCAGACCTAACTAGCAATGATCTACTACAGTCGTCCTTTCCACCAAAGTAGAGCCGATCCACAGTCGCCAAAAGACAGGCCAGATTCCCTGGGCCTGCCCCTAGGGCCTATGCAACAATTACCACACCTCATCAGTGTGTTAAAAGCTGAAAACTCCTTGTTACAAAAAAGGTATTTTCCCCATCCCCTCCATGGTTGTCAACCGCCTCCTCCCTTGCAGGCAGTCCAGCAGCGTCCGATTTGCAGCGTCCGGGTCGAGCACGGGGCCAGGGTAGCTCCCGTTTGTATGGTCGGCGAGCGACGCACCACACGGACAGTGGTCGGCGTCGCAAATGTATCCGTTGCCCTCACTCCAGTCTCCTCGAGGGCCCTTGTATGGTGCGCGTTTCTTCTTGGCTGTGATTCCCCACTCTCTTTCCCGAGCAATGGTCGCGTTGCAGCGTGGTTTCCAGATCAGATCCGTAGCCTGCGTCTCAATAAAGCTGATAAACTTGTGGATGACCTGTCGCGCAATCGAAGGAGGTGAGGTGAATAGACTACCCCACTCCTTGATTAGGCTGATGGGCGTGATACCGCGGTACAAATCGCTAATCCTCCAGGTTAAGTCCGGAGAGCGGTCGATATAGTCGTTGCCTAGGAGCAGCGACTGAGTCCCACCGATGCAGGACAGTCCTTGGATATGGGTCGATGTCTTGGGACAAACCCATACAGTGGGTTTCGATGCAGCGGCACGGGCCTTGTTACAGGCAATGTCGTGCTCATGCTGCTTCTTGCAAGATCCCCTACACTCGACGTAAGAAATAAAAAAAGAAACTCTGCCATCTCGTCCAATCATCGACTGTGCCTGGAATTATCGCGTCTCAGCTCTTGAGCCTGGGGGAACGGGCCTGCTTGCTTTTTTGCCACCAAAGTGTGTCTGAGGGGTCAACCGCTTCACACGAAATGATATGATGTAAATTTAGGATGTCAGTCACATAATCGCAGGTGGCGACCCAAGGACCAAACCTTGCTTTACTCAGCAATTTAGTAGGTTTAGCTCATGCATGAAACCTGCTGTCCGAGTGCTCCGAGGAACCTTTTGAGGAAGAATGTTGGTGCAGGCCAAGACAATGTCTTGAGATACTACAACAACATACTATCAAAAAGCGTAGAAAAGGGTACCAGGCTGAGTCATCTCTTGCGCACCGACACCGCAACCGAGTCCCCGCCGCGTTTCTGGTGGACTTGGAATGTTTGGAGCGGAGAGTCGGTGTGGGTGTAAGACACCCTAGGGGAGGGCCAGTGCTCTTGGAGTGCCTCGCCGTGTCTTGAACAATTCGCCGGCAACGAGACAGCGTGCCGGACAAGGAAGGCCAGCCTAAGGTAGCGAGCTCGTCTTCGCTTCCCTTTCGGTGTCTAGAGGTGCAGTGGCATGCATCTCTTCATCGTTTGCAATCGCTTATGATACAGAATGCGTCCAAGGCGCAACCTTCTTTCCCTTGGACGTTTCCAATGGTCTTGCACAGGCTTCTAACATCCACATCGTGGCACCATGGGTGCGATCACCCTCTATCTACACATATCGATCAAGTATCGAATATGCGGATGCATCGCCTGGGATCGCTCTGCTGCTCTATCCTTTGACTCTGTCCCAGACAACCTAACCCTTGCTTAATATAGCCCACCTCCTTCTGACACTTCAACACGGACGCAATACAATATACCCAACTATACCATAGGTCGTTTTTGTAAAACAGAGTAGTTCGATCTTGGTCATCACCCAACCCATTCACACGGCAATCAACAGGTCATTCATCCTGAATCCGGATCAAGTTGCTTCAAACATTCGAACTATAAAATCCTCTGAGCACCCAGCAGAAAGAGACCAGAAAAATCTCAAAAGTTCTCAACAAATCCCCCTAGGTGAGTAGACACATACCTTGCAGCTGTTCTTCCGAGTACTCAATACACCCCATACCAAGCTCCATCCTTATTCATTCATATACTCTGGTTCTTCCTTGTAGCAAAGCATTATGGTCCTGGAAAATCACACAGGTGTGACATGGTTTACGCCCTCAAAGATAACTATCGCCTCTCCATCGAAGCCCAGGGAGCGAAGTGGTCAAAGCATTCGACAAGGCATGAGCACGCACGAGCACGAGCATGAGCACGGAAGGCCACGCTCTGGCCTTGCGAACACTTCAGCCTCTTCCCCAATTATTCCCGCCTCCGATGGAGCGGCCCTGCTGCAAACGTGCGTCCGCGATCCCGTCACAGCTGCGCCCATCCACCACATCAACAAGAGTAGGAGCAACATTCACAACAACACAAGTCCGTTTTTGGTGTACGGTCCCTCTTTCCATAAATTGTCCTCGGGCAGGCTTCGAGGGAGGGGAGACCATTTTTCAGGGCGAACATCAGGAGCCGATAAACACTCCTCCGTCTATCCCTATGACTCAGCCCTCTTTCCAGCAAGCAGAAGAAGAAGCGAGGATTCATCCTCGGAGGGTTCGTTCTCGGGCTCTTCAAGCGAGGCAGGGGACCGATACTCTGACGATGGGCAAGACTTGAGGACCATTTCCCAGCACTGGGACGATTTCTACTACGCAGATATGCCGCTGGAGCTGCTCGATAATATCTTTCAGCAATCGATGTACATCTCGAGCCAACAGCTCTCTCGCTGGGCCGAAGCACGAAGGAATGCCAGACATGACGCAAGCAAGCGCACCATGCCGATCCTCTTTCCACTCCAGTCAACAAAAGCCGATTTCGATTTCCAGCAATACTTAGGACAAACAAATGCCGGCGAGGCGGTGCAATTCAATGGGAACCCTCAAGAATGGCAGCGCCAATACGAAGCATACAAGCGTGCGATGCTCTGCCAACATCTCTTCTACACACAGAACGTCCAACGCTCCACCTTGGGCACGCCTTCGTCATCTTCCTCGTCTTCGTCTCGCTCCTGCTCGATCTCGATAGATCCTGCTTCAAGACTGGTGTCGGGTCACCTCACGGATCAAGACAGTTATGACGGCGAGGATGATAATGAGTATGGGGATGCAGACAGCGACAGCGACGCTGAAGCAGCCCTCAACAGGTCCAAGGGGTTGAGTCCGGCTGCAGTCGGCTTTATGCTGAGCAACATGCACCTGAATAGCGTTGGCGACATGGATGGCGACCTCTCTGATTCGGCCAGCTCTGGAAGCCACGATACTAGTTACGGATATCAGGACTCGTCCACGGTGGGCTCCTACACTGACGAGGACGAGTATGAAGGGCATCTACATGAAGGAAAGCTCGTACATGACAGTGGTATTGCTACTGACAGCGATCACTCGACGCTTGGAGGTGTATCATTGACTGGCGCCGGTAACATCCCAGAAGACGCTTCCAAAATGTTTCGCCACTATACAAGTTCAAGACCCCACAAGATGTGCAGCTGTCGCTTTGGGCTACAAAATTCGGCAGCGCAATTTCCCGCACCCCGGCACGGCATCAATCGTGTGGTCGACAGCGAGCTCGACAAAGCGGAGGAGGACCTTATGATTTATCAAGTCCATCGCGATCAGTATTTCCATCCCACTACACATACATCTCTGCACTCCGACCTTTACAATTGCTCCCTCGTCAACCGTCAATGGAGAATTGCGGCCTTGCAGATCCTCTGGCAGAGCGTTGTTCTGGATGCGGAAAGCTGCCGGCCAGAGCCCACGGATCCCTGCGCTTGCTATACAAGTCCCAAGGCAACGCGACAAGGATTTTGCTACATGAGCGATCTGGCGTCTTCTTCTAGTACTGCCGCCTCCTCGTCGTCGTCGTCCTCAACCCGATCTCAGTCACCTACTTTGCCCACTTCGCCCACCGCTGTATACACCTCCACCAGGGTTGTTCGAACGAGGCTCGAGGCCATGCTGGACAGTTACCTCGACCTCTATGGACTTGATCTCGCCAAGTGTGTTCAAACCGTAGAGCTCGACCTCCATCTCCTGGTTTGGCCTGCAGAGTGCGAGTCCGTCAAGCGGATCTTGAGGCGCCTTTCACCGTTCACACACCTGCGCCTCGTCTGGTCGGGTGATGAGTCTCCCGAGGAGATATCAACGGGATTCAAAATTGCTATGGAGTCCTTGCACGATCAGATCCGCCATTTGCACTTCTTTCCGGGATTCGTATTTTCTGATGTATGGGTCCACGAGATGGAAAAAATGACCAGGCTTGAGACACTCACGATAGAAGACCCAGAAAGCCAGGATGCAGTGACATATGACTGGAAAAGGATTCGGTGCCTGAGATTGTACTCGGCAGTGCCAGGCAACTTCTTTGGATATGCCGGCATGCATTCCGCCAGCTTGCCAACACACCACAGCGACGGTACACTGACTACCGCAACGCCCAACAGCCACGCCACATCGACTTTATCAGCAATGCCTAATATCATGCCTTTACCGGTTGGGTACCAAGGGAATGGGTGGTGGCAATGGACCGGACTGCGCAAGATTGAGATCCGAATCGGCTCCACCGCGCTACCAATGGAGTGGCTCCAAGATCTGGCAACCATCATTATTCAGAGCGCCGCCATGCTCGATCAGCAGCAACGTCTCGACCCTCAACTTCGTCAGACACCAACTTCCTTGTATCCAAGCACCATATCGCACTTCGGTCCGCCTCTCGAGGTCTTGGATATCGATGCTGAGATTTCGGGTCAGCATCAGGACATTTTCATGGACCTGGTTCAAGCTTGGGGACCTCGCTTCAAAGAGTTCCATATTACCCACAGCCAACAGCTGACCGACGAGTTCTTCTGGCTTTGTTTACGAAAGATGACACAGATCAAGAAACTGAGTCTTAGGGGATCAAGAGGCATCACTGGAGAGGGCATCCTCCTTGACGGGCCCTCCGTCGATTCTGTGGATCAAATCAACTCGACAGAAACAGGCAGCAAGGTGGCCAAGGTACCGATTATGTGGCCACGCGACTTCCAAGAGCTCAACTTGGATCAGTCACGTATCAGAGACGATTTCTTCCAGGCGCTCAAGCAGCATTGCCCGGGTGTACAGTGCAAGGTCCGCGAGGTGCGATGAGCAGCATATACCCCTACCATTTTTGGATTATATCGAAACGCAGCGCGAACGATATGCATAACTTATTCCTACCATACCATAACATACCATATCATACCATATCATACCACATGAAACGACTCAAATAAAAGTAATATTTGTGCCAGTGACTCGATGATAACCAATAGGCTATGTGTTGGTTGCGCACACGGTTTCCTCAGGACGCATCGCCTTTTTTTTTTTTAAGGCCCCTGTCTATCTCTGGTCATTGCTCCTGATCAAAGTTGGCTTGGCACTCTTTTTCTTTCCTTCAACACTCCTGCTTAACTTCGATCGTGACGTGAACACTACTCTTCCACCTAAGTACTCCTCATAGCAAACACTGCTCATCATCGTGCCGGAACATCACGCTCCTGTGTGCGAACCATCTACGCCTTCGGCCATGCCAAACAAGGACACCGTCGTTACGTCCAAGAGCGCACTCTTTTGGGAGCTACTCGTTCGGCCCACATGGTTCCAGGGCTACTTTTGCAACTCCGTAACGCGTCACTTCCGGTCCGAGCCCGAGCCTTGGAGCAACCATGATTACCGCTGGGAGTGTGCATTCATCGAGCATATGATCAACGGGGTCCGGTCGATCGATATGGAGATTCGACGGATTCGCGTTCCTTCCTCTCAGGAACAGATCGCGTCGGGACCGGAGATTTTCTCCACTCTTTCTCAAGGATCGAGTGCCAGAGAGGGCGAGATGCAGTCGTCACAGCAGCAACCTGGATCATCGACACGATCAGCGAGTGGAAATCCTGGGACCAGAATCGAGGCTGCTGAATCGTGGCGTGTCCATGGTGGGTCGCTCCAACCCGTGCAGCCACCGCCTCGCCATGTCCCACAGTCAGAGCAACCGCCAGAAGGAGGCGATGTGCAGGTCCTTCCAGGAAAGATCAAGATGCCTAGGAGCCAATTCAAGACGATTGCGCTACTGACGCCCAAGTGGCCGGCTCCGATCATGACGGTGTCCCTGTGCGAGGCTACCTTGGATGACGCACCCATTCGCTGCAAGTGATTCGCATTCAATTTGTGTGGAAATATCTGTATCCGTGTGTTCTTGGCTACGCGATGAGCCCGTACTCGTGCTTCCCTATGAGTGATGAAACGATCAGTGACGAGCATGCTCGAAAACTGAAGGAAGAATACATGTCGGGCGACACCGCTTTGCCTGTGTTCTGGCTTAAAACTGGTGCTATATCTGTACATGTTCGTAAAAGGGATGCTGACTAGCTGTGCTGATAACTTACGCGTGCTCATCGTTCACTACGATTTTTTTACTACAATATACATCTGCCTTTCCCGGCCCTGGCATTGGTTTTTGCAGTCGAGCTGGATGCTGCCACTCTCTGGCACCGAAACGTCTATCACTTTGAGATCGTCATCTCTGAAGAGTTCGCATGCTACCATGTCCCCAGTCTGTCGGCGTGCCATCGCGTGCTCGACTCGCTCTATCATGAGATCGTCCCTACTTTCTTACCCAGCCAGAATACGACAGACATCTGGTTCGAGTTTCACCCTCCCAGCAACGACGGCGACCAACAAGGGGCGGTTACAGCCATAGGTGCTCATGAGCAGGTTCTCAGACGGCACCCGCGTATTGCCCGGTGGATTGACCAAGAGCGACAGAAAGCGCAGAAGCAACGGCATCAGCAACTCGAAGAAGAGCGGAGGATTCATTATAGTCAACAACAGCTGCATCAAGGTGCGGGACAGGGAGAAATGCAGTACGAGGAGGAGCCCGAGGAAGAGATTGAAGAAGAGGAGGAGACACTAGAGCAAGGACGCGCGCAAGGGTACGATTTCCCGTCTTTTTTAACCCAACAGCCGGTGATGGGACCACTCAACACCGAGGAGCCGCCATCTTCTACACCGCTACCAGGTCTCGGTTATCTACAATCATGTCCACAGCTTTTTCTCTCTCTAGCTGAGCCCCAGCAGAGGATGCAGTTTGCTGCTTTGGGGTCCACTGCTGAACATCTGCCAGCCATACCAGAGGAGGAGGAAGAGGAAGGCGTTGACCAGAGTTCGATGCAAGGAATACTATCACCTCCTACGCCTGGTTATCCAATGCCACCGCTACGGATCCGGGTCGAGAACATGTCCCCGGGGACATTCCAGACGGTGCTGCAGTACCTTTACACAAGACAGATCGGACTTTCGGACGAGCAGCTGAAGGATGTGGTCATCTATTGGGACGATGACCCAGAGAAACACCATCAGCCATGCGAAGAAGCGCGATGTCAGGAGCCGTCCAGCTCTTCTGCAGGTGGTGGTGGTGTTGAAGAAGCTGGGGCATGCCAGACATATTCTCCGATTGTTTTGCCCCCACTGGAGTCCTCGAGCAGTCGAGTTGGCTGCGTAGAAACAACTGGAAGGACCCTTACTAAAGGTGTCGGTCCAGCTGCCTTCGCGTCATTGCAACCAACCTTCACAGCGCCGCTGTTTAACCAGTTAGACCCACCTTATGGCAGCGTTTCCTCGATGGTTTCATCCTCGTCCGTATACTCGTTCAAAGCAACCTCGGACCTGACGCCTTGGATCTCCTGCTCTTGCAAGAGCAGACCTTGGCTTCTTTCAACGCCTCCAGTACCATCGACGCTACAACCGAGTCTGGGTAGTGAGAGGATGCCCCCACATCAGCGAATGCTCTTCACCAGCTCCTGGGAGGATCTTCTACAGGCGGCGGAGCTGTTCGATATCAAGGGTCTGAAGGACTTGGCGCACAAGGCGGTCCTGATGCACTGCGAGATGATGACGATTCGAACCTGTGCGGACTTCAATGTTATGACCGAAGTTGCGCACAATGGATACTATGAGGCGAAATTGGACTTACAGCTTGGGTTGGGCGAACATGTGTTGAGGTCGTTCGTGGAGTTATATAACTCACCGCTACTAACGGAGAGATATGAGAGATTGGTTTTTAGACACGACGAGCGAGGGGACCAAGAGCAGTCGAAGGCACAACAGGGGGAACGGGACTTTTCGATTGTAGAGGAGATGATGCAAGTTGAGGGAGAATATGACGAAGGGGGAGGAGGAGGAGGAGAGGACATTGAGGAGCAGAGGTCGACTAGATGGGCGGACGAGCACCTGTTTGATAATCCCGAGTGTGAGAAAGAGATCTTGACGTTGTGCTCAGAGATCAGGAGCAGCTTTCTGCGCATGCGTGAGACCTTGGAAGGCCATCATGAGTGAGCGTTGGATGAAGATATCATACTTTTGGCAACGGAATGGCACTTTTTCTTTTTTGCATATTCTGAAAACGCGTTGGTTCATCGCCTTATTCCTTTTGCACATTTACACATTTATTGACTTGCAAGAAGTATGCAGATGTAGTGCAACATGTAAGATATGCCAATGTACGTTTTCGTTTTTGTTTTTTTTTTTTTTTTTTTTTACGAATTGAGGCATGTATGACTTGAGCTTATTTTATGAAGCGGTCATCTCTGTCCTGTCGGAGTTTGTCCAAGCGAGACACGTTGTCAAGGACAATGGACCCATTCGATGCCCACACTCGCTCCTGGGACGCGCCGTATAGACCAACACGCACGGCGGGCAGTCGTCTGCCCGTCCCCACCGCAAACGCGAAACACTCGTCAGGAATATCTGCCATTGCGCCTATGCTGGTCCGCACAGTATATCGTCGCTGATAGAACCGAATGAAACTACTCAATCGCTCTAATCGAGAGGGGATGAGAGGCAATGCCTTAGTTCACTGCAATTGGGCCTTACATGAAAGTCGTAGTGCAAGCAAGCCCTCCCTTTAGAAAAATTGGCATACCTGGATCAAGTGCAACCTTGATCAACTGAGTCAGTGCTGACTCGGATCGCGCTGCCCTGGTGCTCAGCACTGAGAACGATTTGGGTTTGCCTAGCACACGTCCCACCTCATGCGACGAACCAGCAAGCATGCGCAGGATGTCCTGTCTCTCATATTGCTGCCGCTGATCATTCTGTCCAATGTTCCTGATGCGAATCGTATCATAGTCCCATCGATCTCGCGCTGTAATATAATCGTCAGGTCCTCGTGAACTGCTCCAGAAGCGCTTCAAAACGGTTGGGTCGAGGATAAAGAACGATATGGCCCAGACATTGGGTTTCCACTTAACATTTCGGACCACGCTTGGCATTGATGATAACGAAGACACTGAACATGTCGTAACGAACGAGCGGCACCTCTTAGTCACCTTGAAATCTGGCCGGCGCCGTAGTTGCTGCTGTAGCTGCTCAACTCTTGTTTCTTCAGGAGCGACTGAATTGGCTGTATCAACCTGAGGATCCTAAAACGAAAGAGATTCAGTACCACGTTTCTGCCTCCGTTTCCAAAAAAAAAAAAAAAAAAAAAAAAAAAACATGTTTCCTTGTATGCACTACCATGAGCAATAGGGTCAATAGCCTCTGGGACTCCTCGACTCCTGTAATATCCTCGTACAGAAATCCTTTACCCCCGTCCTTGTCGCGCTGGAGTAATTCAACAAAGGCCGCAGTAGAGCCCGCCCTCTCCTGACCCATGTCTGACTCCATGCCTTTGGTATCAAAAGAATTGTGAAACCGCGAAAGTGTGATAGAGACCAGACTCAGATAAAGGGATCCTGCGCTCACGGCGAAAAGTCCTTGCAGCGCAGATGATGATCCAACCCAGTAACTTGAGTGCCAAACACCCAAGCAGACGGCCCATCCGCATGCGCTCAACACATGGAAGATAAATTTCGTCCAAAGATAGTGCTCATCCTCCTGTCGCGATATGTGTTTATGTAGCGATTGCTGCGGTCTTTGCTGGTCAGAAGATACTGGTTTTCGGAGTAGGATTGTATGTGCCTCTGATGATTCTTCAGTTTTGATTTGACTGCTATAAGGCGGCGGAGGATCCAAATAATGCTGCAAGATGGATATAATATCGTGGACCATAGGTCCTGCATGACGAGTGTCTTGACTCAAACCACCAATAGTCGCAGTAGCTGATTTCATAGAGTTCGTTGATATCGCTGACACTACCGTGATCTGCTCGCCATCAGGGAGCACCGGCGACAGCGCAGCATCATCTCCCATGAGAGTTTCCTCGGCGACAGCTGATCCTGCACAGAGGGAGTCGGAAGGGGAGGGGAAGGTGTGCCACAGCAAGAACGCGCCTGTGAGGATGAAGCCGAAGGAAACCACCAGGTCGACACGGTAATGGTCGCAGCACCACAGAGACCATGCATAAAGACTGATGTAGACACCGTAAACACGGGTCTGTGTGAGAGAGCGCATCTCCTCAGTCGATTTCGAACCATGGGATCTCTCTGGGCAGACCGGGTGGGCAACTGTGCAATGTGTGGGTTTGTAGTGACGATCGTTCATGATGTGGAGGCTATGGGCGCTACCAGTGTCTTCAAGATGAGTTCGTGCGGGGCATGCAGATGTACGGCATGCATTGGTGTGTGGAGAAGAAGAAGGTTCGTGTTCTGTTACACAGGTTTTTAATCCAAGCGAGCACGGACATTGAGGATATAAAGACAATAAGAGTAAGAGTGAAAGTAAGGAGCAAGGAGTAAGGGGGTACGTGCAAGGCGTCATAATGAGAAAAAGGTATCCATCGCCTCAACTAAGCTTGAAGACTGATATTTGAAATGATCATCTTTCCGATATAATGGACATCGGCAGTACGAGATCTGTTACTTTACATTTTAGGTCATTACTTAGGGTTTTTCTACGGCGGAATGGCTACTACGATTATTTCATTGCGATCAACGCCTATGAAGAAATAAACAGCAGTAGGTTTTGGAGTGCATGAAAAGAAAAAAAAAATGAAGAAAGGGTCATGAAAACTGTGGAAAATCCTCCTATGGTTCGCGCTCCATCATTTGATGTTGTTGAATTTGAGGTTGCTGTTTTGGCTGCTGCTGCTGTTGTTGATGTTGTTGATATTGTTGCTGTTGTTGCTGCTTCTGCATTTTTTCGATTTCGCCGAGACGGGCGATCTCCTCCTCGAGTTTGTCAATCTTGACCCAGCCCACGGCTCCGTCCTGGACTGGCTCCAACATAACCCATCCGCTATCCTGGCCAGCCATGTGCTCGATACAGGTCCACGGGAAGACCTCGTCCAACGTCTCCTCCGTCCTCGTCAAAACGTCTTTCCGCACCACTCCAGGAGGCAGTTTCTTCTTTTTGGTCAGGTTCGTGTTGCTGAGATTGCTGTTCACCATCGCAGCCGACATTGGTCCTACAGAGGTCGACAGTCGATTGGTCTTCTTGGAGACTTTCACTTTAGTTCCAAAGAGTCGGCTCTTCTTGGGCGGCTTTACGAGCGGCATAGCGGGATTGCTGACTGGAGCCATCGGATCCTTACCTGCGACAGGGCCTCGCGCCAGAGGCGAGAAGGATGATAAGCCAGCACCGCCAACAGTAGTAGAGGGCTTGCCAGGCTTCGCGATCTCCTTCCTGGTATCCAATGAGACTGTTCCGGCTGCTGATGACATTGACGATGATTCACCGGACATGCTCCTCAGAGGCTTGTTGGCGTCTTCTTTGACGGGGAGAAGCGGGCGTCTGGCACTGTTGCTGCTGCCGCCGATCGAATCCAATTCTGTTTGCTGTGAAGACATCTTTGGCGATGTCGTCTCTGTCATCGGCGAGGCTGGATTTGGTGGGACAGCATCCCAGTTCAAATTCAGAGGCCGAGAGTGCAACACCGGTTGTGTGGACCCGCTAGGAAAGGACCCAGTCCCGATAATAGTCGCTTGACTGATGCCATCGGTAGAGCCAGCTTTGAGGGCCGCCAATGCCTTTGGGTCCTTCGCCAGAGCTATAAAACTCTCCCGAGCGGCCTTCATTGCTGCTGCCCTCTGCGCAGGGCTTGGGCCTTGATCTTGACCTAGATGTCTGTCCGACGCATGATCCCACGATGTCGTCGAATTTGTCGGCGGCTTCGTCTTCCCCGCCGTCGCGCTTGAATTCATCCCAGGGCCACCGGCGGTCACCTTGGACATTCGTTTCTGGTGAAGACCCGTCAGGTACTGCTCCGGTTCATGGAAGAAATCCGATTTGAAGCCCCCTTCTGTAAAATCGTCCCACTGCAGCTGGTAATAGAGTTTACCATCCTTCAGCAGCGTAGCAGTCGAGAAACGATATTCTCGTTCACCAGCCTTTTTGGGACTTGTTGCTGTGGAGGGTTGGCTACTCTGCTTGGCCGCGTCATTGAAGGAACTGCTATCATCTGTAGTATAGGAACTGTCAGATAAGGTCCTTCCGTTGGACAGCCGATGGGAACTGCGTCCAGGCGGCTGGCCACTGCCGCTAGGACCACCACCGCGTTTACCATCAGCCTTGGCACTTGATGCTTGTGAGGACGCGTGAGGGCGATAGTCTGAGGGCGACGATCGAGGCAACGCGGCTACGGTCCTGCTCTTCCGGCGCTGTTCCCTAATTGCTACATTACCGGAACCAAGCAGCGCCCCGGACGGGCGGCGAGCCCCCGTGAAGCCCTTGGGTCGATCTGAGCCTTGCTGGTCTGCGCTGGTAGGAGCGGGCAAACTATTAATTTCCGCACCTTGTTTTTTGGGGGCGGACGACGGGACCTCGCCTAAGAAGCTGAGCTCAAGACGAGGAGGCTGATTTGGGACTGCGGGAGCGATTGGAGCTGTCGAGATGACCTGGTTGTTGATCTTGGTTGGCTTGAGTTGTTCGTCGCTCTGCTTCGAGCGCAGCTTGTAGGATAACGCGCGGATAAATCCTGCAGCCTTGGACTTGCTCTCAGTCGAATTCTGCGACGAAAATGATACCCCTGAGGAAGAAACGCTCTGCTGCAGAGGAGGCATGGTGATGGGCTGGGACGAAGTTTGGTTTCTGCTGTTGGACCGACTCACCGACTGCGACTGCATAGGCGAGGGGATTGTCGACGACGATGGCGACATCTTGCTGCTTTGACCACTCTTCGTGCTGGCGATAACAGGAGATCGCTTTTGGCCATCTTTAGTGCTGACCTGACCCTGTGCATATCCTTGAGGAGGAGAGATGGGCTCCGAGAAACTCTCCTGAAACTTGGACTTCATCTCTGTCCTTGGAGAAATTGGGATGATGGGAGTGAAGTGGACGTTGATCTCGACATCCTTTGGACGAGAGAGAACATCAAGCTTCTTTTCAGTATTCGAGGACGGCTGTTGTTGCGGCTTTGGAGTGGCGACTGACGGGTTTAAGGATGGGTTCGATATTGGTGTCAGTTCGTCCGTCGTTCCTAGTGGCGACTGTTTTGATGAGAAACTGCCGACATTAATCTCCAACTTGGCATCGTTGCTCGTGGGCTTGGACATAGGCATGGTCTTGGGTGTGGACCTAGCCATGGGCTTGGACATAGACCGTCCGAGACCTTGCGAAGCACTTCGTGTTGGAATGTGGGGTCTATCCGGATCCGGAGGGGAAGACTCCAGCGAAGAAGTTGATTTTGGTGACGACGGTACATCTTCCGGACCGCTCTGTTTGACTTGCAATAAACGTGAGCGAATATCTTCCGCAACCTGCGAGCGTTCGGCCCGGATTGCCAGCTCGCGCGTCAAGATATCATGACGAAGCTCATTAGGTTTCTTGTGGACTCGGCCGTGCATTGTGTGAGGGTCCAACGAAACAGAGCGACGGAGAAGAGAGCTCCGCTTCGCCCTCTGGGGACTTAACGATGGCGAGGTATGGTCGATAGCGATGGCGTGACCGACTTGGGCCTTGTTTGAAAATGTTGCAGACCGCTGGATAGCACCCTGAACCGGAGAACGAGAGTCCTGAAGGACACGCACAGGGGCTGATGATGGTTGCTGTCTTGGGAGATTACGAATGGCATCTGGCGATGCTGTATGAAGCTGTCCTCCTCTGGTCGCCGCACTGCCATTACTGTTAGAGCTATTGGACCGATTGACATCCTCGCTCTTTAGACCGCTCTCCAATGATAGATCATCCTCATGAAGGCTTTCCACCTTCGAGAAATCCCAGCCGAGCCCGTCCGCAAAGTCTGGAAGAAGGCTGCTACGAATTGGCTCTGGTTCTGATTCATAACCATCAGTGGAGGAGTCGATAGGTAGCATATATAAGCTTTCCACGTCGGCCACTGAGGATCGCCTACGGCCATTGTTTCCTGGCTCAAAGGCCTGCGAGTGTCTGGAGTGTCGAAGTCGGTCCAAATGCGATCTGTCCTGCATGATCTCCTCGTACTCCATTCCACCGTGTTCATAGAATGGTGAAGGCGAGATTGGTCGAGATCGGGAAGAGTTAGACTGGGCGAGAGAGTGAGATCGGGAGAGTGAATCGTTGTGTGGGAGCGGCGAAGCCGACCTTGGGGTCGTGGCATAGTCGAAATAGCCAGTACCTGACCTTCTCAAGGCTCCATTGGGTGTCGCTGCCGATGGCCACCCTGAAGATGGGGGTATACTCGATCCTGCACTGGAGGGGACAGAGATGTCGGAGCGGGGATGTATGGACGAGCTGTGCATTCCGCTGCTTTCATTATTCTTATGGCGTGCGCTCTTGACCACGCGCGTGATGTTATCTACATATCGGTTCTCGTCGACCTCGTCCTCCTGCTCAATCTTTGCCAGGTCGTGTGAAGTCTTGATGCGAAGGAAGGCGCGAAGTAGATCCTCGCAGGCTGCTCCCCACATGTTGCGCTGCTGCAGGGAGGCATCGAATGTTGTGAACTCGCGCTCTGGCTCTGCCATGATGCTGAGCGAGATGGCCTTAGCGACTGTGACGAGGGTCATATTGTTGAGGTGGGCGAGTAAGGTGACATCGGCGCACAGCGAGAATAGATCCAGTAGGATGGCTCGGTTGGTTGGTGGCAAATCATGGACGAATCGGCTAAAGCTGCGATCTATAATACGTTCAGTTAGCCTTGGTTCGTACCTGCTTGACGACCTTTCCAATATACATTTGCTCCTCGCGACGCCGCTTCGTTGCCAGTATTACCTTGGTCGAGGTACAAGACCTGATAGTCCTCATATGTGACCAGAGTCTCCTCGGAGTATCGAATCGCCCATTTCATGGCATGTGCCACCAAATGGATGTCGACCTGGCGCAACGCCGAAAGCTCTGTGTTGGCCTCGTCGTCCAGGATGAGGCGTATAGTGTCCATGACCACCTTTTGGCTGTGGCCCATCTGGACTTGGCGAAGGATGCCCTTGGTTGTGAGACCTATGAAATGCCGGGGGAATATTAGGCGCTAGAGATATTAGCGGCTGTGGATAGGTCCTTCGGGAGTTCAGACCAGCCGTGTGACAAAAGAAATACTTACCTCGCTCCCGAATTTCTTTAACACAACGCTTGACAATGAGCAGAGTCATCTCCATGGACAAGTCAGACAGTGGTTCATGTTGTCCTGACTCATCTGCGAACACTTTAGAAATAAGCGTTTTCTTTTGGGCACCTTTGCCGTGCCGCAGGTTGCCGTTACTGGACGAGGAGCGGAGAAGTGTTCCCTGTCGGGAAAGGGAAGAAATGTTGGAGTGCAAGCCATTGGAGTCGAGTGTCTTTGCATTAGACTTCCCACTGTTAGCTGTGGTGATACTGAGTCCGCTCGATGCTGTGAGGGTGTTATTGGAGTTGCTGCCGCCCTTGAACTGGTCTCGCAGATTCTTGGCACTGGATACCAGGCGCAGAGACATGACTGCTGGTTATGAGAAGGGTGTCCCCTGCTGATGATATGATGTTGCAGTGAAAGGGGATGGAAGAGGAAACCAAAACGAAGAAGTGTTGAGGGTTTGAGAAGAAGAGAACAAACCCTACCGCTGCTATTCGGTTGATGATACAGTGATGTCGATACAGTTGAGAGTTGTGTGAATGTGGGAGTGCGGGAGTGAGAGTGCGCCGGGGTTGAAAGGCAGGGTTAAGTGAAGACAAGAGAAGGGTCGATGGTCAATTTGGCCAATAAGCGAGTGAGGAGCAAGAGAGTGAGAGCATGGTTATCATTTGTCCAGGGGTGAAGGGTAAGATCAGAGATCAAGTATCGGTTAATATATAGTTTTGCAACATTTGCATGCATGGGTTCCAGAAATATCCGCAAAAAGAAAAGACAAAAAGAGCGTTAAGGTTAGGATGATTAGTAGCAAACGAGAAGTACGATAGGAAGAGAGAAGAAAGGATGATGGTTAGAAACTGCTCAGCACGCAATTAAGGCCGCGAAATTGCAGGATTCATGGGGACAATATTGGGGGCCGACATCGAAACTAAAGGCAGAATGGTGTACAAGACAGACTTTGGGTGTAGGGAAACACTTTTGATTTGGTTGCAGGTCGACTTCATGAACTAGCCGTGTATTTGAGGGATGTAGGGGAGGAGCAGTGTCGAAGCGTCAAACTGAGTAAGGCGGCGGCTCTCTGCTGCAACACTGGGATTCCGGAGGGTTAGGGATTATGTTGGAAAAGAGGCACAAATGGAAGGGAATGTGAACTGAGAAGCGGAAGATCCGAGGAGCAATGTAATCCAGAAGGTAGGTATGTTTTAAAAAAAAAAAGCTAAAAGAAGTAAATAGCATGTGGTGCCATGGCTGTAGACACGAAGGGTTTCAGGCCCCAACGCAATTGAAATAGAGAAGGAGCTGCCGCAAACACGGCTGTTGGTGTCAAATGCAGAAAATACAAGGGACTTCTCAGCAACAGGAAGGGTTATATGTTGGTTCTCAGGAGAGAAAGCTCAGAACAGCAACAGAGACACAGGAGACGAATGCGACAGAGGCTGATGGCTGCGACGCGACTGGGCTGTATCTCATAAACAGCTCCGTATTTTTCTGCGCTGAACCAAAGGGCGATCATCGCCTTCGAGAGAAGGCCCATATCGCTTATTGGATACAGTGGCTGCGAAACTCCCCCTTAAAGAAAAAAAAAAAAAAAAAAAAAAAAAAAAGTCGAGAACGGGTGTCCAAGTAAAGAACGTAAAAGAAAAAAAATGAGTATCTTAAGAGCTGCCCAAGGGCAAAGAGACGATATCGCTTAGTCGTAAAGGAATAGGACGTCATTGAAAAAGATGGAATAAAGAACACAATGGGAATCAGAGAGGAGTTGACCGTGGACACTCAATGATGAAGAAAGAGATCTATCCAGGGGCAATGGCACTGCGCTTCAGCCTGGAGAGCAGCATGGAGTCAGTAGATCGATGTGCTTTACCTTTTCAACTCGTTGGACAATAAACGCTACAGGGCTGTTGGCTGGTCCACGAAATATATGGATCTCGCAGGGTCCTAAATGAACGAAATCGTTGAAAAGGAAGTGGTTAAAACCAGACCGGATGGACGCTGCTTAGTAAAACACGGGGCTCGATTGCACCACAGGCAAGAGATTAGCCCCCTGTGAAAGCGTCAACAGACAACGCGGTCCAAGTCTACGGCGAAGACTAGCGAAGACGAGCTTCTTGGCGTAACTGAAACAAGCATCGGAGAACGCCTTGACAAGGGGTATCTGCGCCGATGGATCTGAGGAGAACAGTCCATCGTTGGCAATGAGATCGGAAAAACGACCCAGAATGTCTCGCCCTCATAGAATATGTTCAGGGCGGCATCAGTGTCCGTGCACTGTGGGACATCAAGCGTCCATGCACCGACTCCTTGAGTACAAAGATTGCTTGTGGTGCAGCTTCCTGACGTGATGGCTGTGCTGATGTGATGTGTTCTGTTGTGCTCCATTGTGTTCCGCTGTGCTAGAGCTAAAGAGTGTGGATGTATTATGACATACCTTTTTTTATGGCGAGGCGGATAAGAAGCTGGCCTGAAGGGTGCCTACGAGCGTTGTATTGCAAGGAAATGGTGGTTGTGAACTGCTATGTTGATTGTCAAATGTGTACGATGTGGAGAAAATGATGAGGTTTGTGTCGAATGCTGAAGCGATGGGATGCAAAAGTGGAAGGAGAAGAAGAATGAGTTAAATGAACTCTTAGAGAGCGAAAGAAAAAGCGCACAACATGATCGATTGTGATGGGGATGAACAGATTCTGGGGTAGCAACTATCGCCATGTTTAGTTAATAAAAATGCGTGGCCATTGTTCATACAGGTTATTCGATGCCATGTTCTTTATAATCGATGTTGCTTCTCCGATGAGGAAGACCCGGAAATAAAGTTGATTGTGCACATCCGCTCGCTGCTCTCATCCACAGTTCCTCATAATTTCGATCTCCTGTCGCACATCTCTTTTGCAGCTGCTGGAAAAGCCCTGATTTCATTTTACTGAACATGAACTCAATCCTCCACAGGGGCAAATGAGCGAGTGAATGCCGGGTTCCCCGATCCATTTTTCCGATACCTCCCTCGGCTCTCATCTCTCATCCTAGCAGTTTACTCCGCAACAAGACACATGCACGAATATTGCCCTTTTGTGCCTTGCTCCTGCTCTAGACTACTACACGTTGACGCTGCAAGCTGCAGGTGTGTGCAGCTTGAGTAGAGGATGGCTCTTCTGTTTGGCAATAAAAATAACACTCCTCCTGAGCCAGCTGCAGTTTTATCCTAGACATCAACACATGTCGCACTGCTCCTTTCGTCTGCTTCCGGAAGGAAACTTGCCACATGGCAACTTGCCAAAATACTCCAAATGTATCGACATGCACTGACATAACACAAATTCGTATTAGCTGGTATAGACACCCTCGACGCCTCTCATGGTGGGGCCGCGCAGCTGCTTCATTTTATTTGATGTTGTAGCCAGCGAATATCATTGAAGAAAATGCACCTTAACAAACTCCTTCTTCTTTAACGTGAAGGGCAATGGCGAATCACACGCAACCCTTCGAGACATAAAGTTCAATGGCCAGTTTGGGCACACATAGACCGCGTTGTACATTATTATAGAGGAGTAATGTGCTTTACCTCCACGTTCCCACTAGTGTCACATAGGGTTGACTCTTCGCCCATGCAGTTTATGGAAGCATAAGACAAAAGGATTGTCGTGCCTGATTCTTTGTCTTCTGCTTCATTCAATCACTGGCAAACCTCCGCGGATCGCTCATCCGCCCCCCAAACTATGTTTGCTACTTGATACTTGTCAAAACCATGCTACACCTTTCAAAATAGCCTTCACGGCACATAGTGAAATGCTCAAGTTTGGATCCTTTCTTTCCATCATCCTGTTCTTCCTCGGGTTGATCGCTCTCGGTTCAATGGCTAAGTATATTGAATTCTCGTGGTAGGATTAGCCAAGACCCATGTCTGTTTACTGGGATGTCGACGCTAACTATCCATCCGTTTACTCCTTCGCCGCTGCGATCGAGTAAGAACTTGGCTTCCGCTTGCTTGGATATGTGTCGTTGATTCGTACCACATCCCTTAGATATGCCAACGCCCTACTTGAACAGGGCCATCATTGCTATTGCATCCAGCGTTCTTTCTGCAGTAGACTATGTGAGCTAGAAGAGAAATGAGAGCTACAAGGATCGAAGGGCATTCCCCATTGTAAGTGTTCTTATTCCATCAACTATCCCTGTATCCTACATCCGAACCATCTCTTCCTTCACAACCTTAGCCATTATATCTATAGCATGAGTGGTTTACACCAACATTACCTGCAGCGCTTTGGTGAACCGTTTTTTTCCCTGATTTATACCCCCAGTGAATTCGTTCAATATCGCCGAAGGCATATCAAGGCGATAAGGTATGGAAACAAAAGCTAAGCGCTCCTTGACGGAGGTTTCTGTGTAATGGCACACATCATACTAAGCGTCCTCTTTCTTTGAACCAGAAATGGTAGCAGCAGCATGCAAGGCTATTATTCAAGATATATTCAACGGCACCTGCTGTCCATCCAGAATAACAGGAATGCTAGTCAAAATAGCTTTCGATTTATTGCAGATCATTTAAATCTTGAGCAGTAGTTTTCCGGTGGTCCTGCGGTTCTCCAGATCGTCATGGGCGCGCTTCACATCTTGGATCGGGTAGACTTTGTGAATCGCAAAGTCCAGCTTACCCTCCGCCACCAATTGGAGCAGCTCTGAGCTGAGAGCATCGAATTCCTCGCGTGTAGTGATGTACTGGAACAAAGTCGTACGCATCAACCGAATGTTCTTCTCGGCTAAACGCATGATATTCACTGGCGGAACTGCACCACTGGAATTACCAAACGAGATCACGGTTCCCAGACGGCGGACAACTTTCAAACTGACGTCAAAAGTTGAGGCACCCACGCCATCAAAGACGACATGAACACCCTTGTTGCCAGTCAGCTCATTGACCTTTTCAATAAGAGCGTCATAGCCATTAGAGTAGTCCACAACGTAATCGGCGCCGTTCTCTTTGGCAAGCTTGGACTTCGCGTCGTTGGAGGTCGTTCCAATGACATTGGCGCCCAGAAGTTTGCACATCTGGCAGAGGAGCAGACCAACACCACCTGCAGCAGCGTGAATCAGAACCCAGTCGTCCTTCTCGACCCTATAGGCCTGACGCACCAATGACCAGGCGGTTAGACCCTGCAGGAGAAGCGCTGCACCCTAGGTTAACGCAGAATATGCCCGCAATTGTAAAGTGAGAATTAGCGAGCAAGTCATTCGTGTTTTCACGCTTAGTTCTATTCAAACAAGCATATTGTTGTGAGATTCCCACGGTCCATTTGCACTATATTTCTCATACCTTCTCGAGAGTAATACCATCAGGGAGCTTTGCAAGCGAGACTGTGGAGATTGCATCGTACTCAGCATAACTTCCGGGACCCATGAAGGCAACGCGATCCCCGACCTTAAAATCGCCTTTGGCCTCAGGTCCGACTTCGACGATTTCTCCGGAGCCCTCACGCCCAAGGATGAAAGGGAGTGTTTGGGGATAGAGACCAGATCGTTGGTATGTGTCAATGAAATTAACGCCGGCATAGGCGACCCTAACAAGGACTTGGTCGGGCTTGGGTGCAGGCTTTGGGACAGACACGTATGCGAGCACAGAGCTGTCTCCATGCTTTGGGATCTGAACAGCGTGCATGGTTGTATCGGAGGACATGGTGCGCACGAAAGAATGTCTTTGATGCTGGTAAAGTAGGGATGGATTAGCAGTGCTTGGACGCGTGAAGCGGGAAAGAGCTGATGCAGATGTGGATGCAGAAGGTAATTTCAAAGAAGAATGACAATGGCGTGCGATCAGCAAGCGGAACATATTCCAAAGAAGAATGACAAAGGCGATGGCGTGGGTGGGAAAATGATACCACTTCTCCCACAAAGAGAGCCATTTATGTTGTCATGACCGCATCCTGATTTGTCAGTCGCAGCGGCGTGGGACTCCCAAATACGCGAAGAGCTGAACAATTCAAATCATAGGCTATTTGCTGTTGGAGTCCACGGCAGCATGCATTGCCGACTTTTCAAACCTATGGTGTAACTGATATTCCTGAAGCCGCTCATACACCTCGGCGGTGAAGGATCGTACTATGTATGCCTCTCGAATCTGAAGCATTGCTACAAAGTCGCTCTATCTGTTGAGCATCCATGGAGGGCTCCCTGATTTGAACCGTTATGAATTTCGGTCTGAGATATGAGATGTGCTAAAATGGGCGAAGGATGCATTGCCGCTATTCTCTCGTTACTCCAATCTGCGTTGTAGCTCCTCCTACTCGCGTTCTACAGGCATGCAGCAACGTATTTATGTGTATATTGCCGCCTCAAAGCAACAAGCGCTTCAATTTGATAAGTCCTTTCAGCTGACTCCTGATCTGCTCATGGTCGGTTATGCACATCAGAAGCCGATAGATATGGATTTCGGACATTGTCATCGTACACCCTCCGCGAAAGTTAGCTCTACCGATATTAAGTTCCAAACGGACAATGTTGAACCGAAAGCTGCTTGAACTCAGTGCAATGGCGAGTGGTTCCACGTGAGAGCAGACGAAGACTGAGATTCGACTTTGCCGAGCGGAGGACCGTAATAGTTGGGCTGTTCGCGTTGCCTGAGCTTCTTGTGCCTTCTCCACAACTGGTCAATTCCACATCATCCCCTTCATTCACTCATCAGGATTCAAATGGCAAGTCAGGCTGGCTGACCCTTCCTGCCTTACATTCGCAAATGCTAATGGACCACATTGTCATTGACACTTCTTCCGCTGCGTTTGTTCTACTTTACAGGGGCTGCTGACGATCCTCACCATCTACATCAGTTTCATCCTGATGCTGGTGTTCATTCTCCTCTTTGGACCCAGCCCGAGATTCAGGTACACTAGACATCCTTGCGAAATCAATTGACGTATTACTCAACCATTATATTACCAGTTATGAGCTATATTGCCGTTCGATTCACACCAGGTATTTTTCAATTGTCCTGTCCCTGCCTGATAGACACGGCATTGTAGGAAAGATGCACGTCTTTATCACAGAGACGTTCTGGACATATCTCGGGTAAGTGTCATTTCTGTGCTTTCTTTAATATCGTCAACTACACTGCTCTGCTCTTGTCACTTTTCTAATGCGGTTTAATTTTAATTGATGGTCGCTGCAGCAAAGCGATGAGTAGAATGTGCGGGAGCGGATCTCTTACTAAGTGTCATGGCTGCTGGTCTTACCTGACCGAGCAAAGGAACCCTTCGCTCCAGATCCTTTACTTGTTTTTCATTACCGTATGTATCGGAGTCTTCATGAACAGCGGCTACGATCTCTTGGATGGTACAGCACTTTCTCCAATCCATAAAAAGTACGTCTTTCCAGGGAAGCGTTTATTTGCCTTATATATTGTCCCTTTCTTAGCACTAACTATTTATTTTGTTTCCTCTCGATGTTGGAACCTACAGTATTATCATCCCAGTTGTGATTGCTTTCACCTATGCCTGCTTTTTCATCGCCTCAGCAATTGGACCTGGAGAAATTAATGCCGACAATGTGAAAAAGGCGCTGGAGGTCTACCCATACGACAACCTTTTATTTTATCCCAAAATCTGCGGAACTTGCAAGATTCAAAAGTAATCTTCCCAGCACAACGAAAGACGCAATATGAGCAGTAGCGTGGGACCCCATTCCATATTAACGAACAACTGTGGTTTCCTTGAAACTCGTAGGCCCGCACGTTCAAAACACTGCTCACTCTGCAACATGTGTGTCCAAAGATCTGATCACCACTGTATGTCGGGCTTGCATGTACCAACATGTGCGGAGAAAACTTTGCTCGTCAAGAACTGTGGATTCTAATGCTTCATTCCGGTGCTATATAGGTGGATGGATCAACCAGTGCGTGGGACACAGGAACCATCGGTATTTCATTCTGTTCGTCTACAGTGCGGTGCAGGTATGCTGGTATGGCACGTTCCTTGTCTACCACATTTTCTGTTCGCGCATGTACGATTCGTCCATGTACAAGTTTTTGGTGGTTACCCAACGCTGGGATCAACTGGGTCCCCTGCGATCCTATCATCTCTTCCTTGTAGGTTACAGCGCGACGATGCAAATGCCCTGAATGCAGCACGCACGTTAACCCTACACGACCTTATGTTTCACTCTATGCTAGCATCAAATGCAAACGGACAAGACTCTGGGAGGTTTGGGTCTATTTGCAGGACTGGCTGGATTGGTCGTCTTCATCTTCTTGGTGTACAATATCTATCTAATTGCCACTGGCGTGACCACAAACGAGAACTTCAAGTGGGAGGACATTGGGGAGATGATTCACCGACGCGAGCTCGTTGAGACAGTAGAAGTAGACACGAATGGTGTTCCCATTGGTCCCAAGCGATTTGAACAACGAGACCGTCGTCACCCTAGCCATCCCCGCCATGTTCCACCTACTCCTCAGCAGGGCCCTCAACCTCAGCCTCAACAGCAACCGCAGCCTCCACAACAGCCACAACAACCACAGCAACCACAGCAACCGCAACACTCTCAGCAGCATGCCCAATCGTCAATCCAGGGAACTAAAGGAAAGCAAGTCCTTACGAGAGAGCAAATTATTATGAAGCTGAAGGACATCAACAACATTTATGACGAGGGTGTGAAAGCAAACATTAAGTCGATTCTCTGGCCTCCATCGCTCGACAAACCATTATCGTCAGCAGGCCGCAGCTCCAATCGATCGATTTATGAGAAAGTGCAAAAGTCCAAGAAGGGCGCCTGAAAAGATACCTCTTGGTGCTACCAATACCAATTTCATGTGTAATAAACTTTGAGAGATCGTCCCAATTGAGAACTCAGTTGAGGTCCTCAGCCCACACTCTCCACCTTTTCGTCTCACCATCTTTCATCACTTCCATCCCACCCATTTCTCATCGCTATACCTCCCAACTAATCTATCTCGTCCTTCCTCCTCTCCGACTCTTCGCCTTTTTAATATGTCCCTAGAAACAGAACCAATACGAAATATCCGTTATACACAAGACCTCACGCCAATGCCGCCCGAGGCGACGCTTAAGCCTAACGGGACAAGTGTTAGCCTAGAGGCAACTGCTAGGTCAGCAACAACCAAGGCAGACACCCCGAGTACGACGTCCAATTCGCCAATTATAGAAAGCGTATCGTCCCCTGAACATAAAGCCGGCACAACTGAGGACCCTGGACATGATATCTCTACGACCACTTCAGAGAGGAGACTCAGCACACCACCACCAAGTATATCACAAGAGCCAGCCTCGACAGCAAAGCTTGATCACGACTCTACCAGCTGCAACCCTATCGATACCAGCATTTCAAAAACGGCAGAGCTAGAGCAAGTTATCTCTCGACTTCTTAGAGGAGAAGATCGAGAGATGAGAATCCTGGCAGCAATGGTGGGGGTGGTTTTAGTGTGGTACTGTCTACCGCGGATCAATTGGAGCACGATCGTAGCCGGTATACTGGGTGTGGGGTTGGGTGGATTCGTCGCTGCCTTTTATCTGTTGGCTGTGCCTGAATCCACAAGGCTCAAGCGCGCCCGAACAATTGCGAATTTCGGAAAGCACCACAATCAAGAGCTCGAGATCATTGATGGCGTCCCAGTGTGGTCGAACGCGATCGAAAAGGTTGGTGACGCGCTGCGCTAAGTGGTTTGTGGTCGCAGCTCTCGTTGAAGCAATTGTAGCTCCTTCATTAGCTGACCGTGCTCTCCTGAATCGAACTATAGCCAGGAGAGGCCGTCAAACCCCAGTCGGCAGAATCCAATGATGGCAAGCTACAGCGTGTGTCTATTTCGCCAGATACAGACCTAATGGTCGAGGAGATGATCTCCTTCACTCTTAGGGATTTTGTGAACGTGCCGATGGGCTTAGTTTCGGAGGGCCAGCACAACATTCCCTTGCGAGTGTCTTTGGTGGCCATGGCCATGAACGTCTCGAATCGTCTTTCGAATATGCGACTACCAGAGACAGCTCTTTTGGGCGTGTTTGGCTTGCAGAACAGCTTTATCGTACATCTGGTAAGGACTGTTGTCATGTACATCCCAGTTCTACTCTATATTCCGGAGCTCATGGCGCTGACGTATTATTTGTATGTGTCTTTTCACAGCGTGCTTATCGCGAGCTACGTGCAAGCCGACTACCAATCGCACAGTATGTCTCGACGCATGCCAACCCAGACTCTGTTCTTGGTCGATGCTATCACAAGGAGGAACGACTCAAACAGTTTAGAAGCACTGCCAAAGCTGTTTGTCAGGCATTGCTGTCCAAGGACGACCAGCAATCGGTGGCGCTGTTCGCGGTTATGCAGGAAATTATGGCCACTCACGTTCTCGAGTCGACTTTGGAGCATATTTGCGACCCAGATTACATCAACCTCTCGATCATTGACTACTTCAGTACTCCTGCCGAGGGCGCCAAACCGGACCAAAACACCGCTGACTCCGCTATTTCAAAGAGCGCTGGCACAGGAGAGCAGTCAAAGGAAGCGCCTATGACCGCCCTGGCAGACTCGATTTTAATGAATGCCGCCCATTTGATGGACAGATCTGGATTGCAGAAGCAAGGATCCGATCCAGAGATCCGCCCACCTGTTCAACCATCAACCCCTCAGCGCGCCTTGCCATCGGCTGAGAAATCTGTCTTTAGCGAGGGCAGCACTTTTGATCGCCAAGGGACTGGCGATGTGCCTCAGGCAATATCAGTCGTCACATTGAAACAAGTTCTTGCGGAGAAGAATGAGCACATGGACACTTTCCAGGATTTCATGGCCTATCTCCAGGTCTGGGACGCCATGGATCTCGCTCAGTTCTGGCTCATGATCGACATATTCCATCGCCAGGTCGAGCAGGGTGTGCTCACAAATCCGGAGGACCTTCGGCGCGAGGCGAACAACATCTATGAGACCTACTGTGGACAAGATCTGAATCAGAGTATTGCGGGTATTGGCGAGGCAAAAGGTGGTGCTTTATTGAAAAACTTGAAGAGAAATATACAGCGCGATCCGGCAAACTCTCTATTAGAACCTCAGGAGTGGGCACTGAGTGTATTAGAGGCGCAATACTGGGTCCCGTTCAAGATCAAGCAGGAGAGGGAGTGCTCTGAAAAGAAAGCAAGCGACAACCAGCAACGACAGCATCCACATGCACCGCCTATGTCTACCAACAACATCCGTTCATCGCAGACCAGCCTTCAGGAAGCCTCTGAGCCGCCCGAACACCGTCGATCATCCTCATCTGCAGCAGCTCGATCAAATCCTGCTTCTCCAACCGTCCCTACGGCATCGTCAAGAACGAAAGCGTGTTCGGTGCAAGTGACAGATATGGTCAATCGCAGACCAAAGACGCTGATGTCGAACTCAGATCTGAGCTATATGATTGAGGTCCAGGCGGAAGGGGGACAAGGATGGGTGATCACCAGAGCGTTCCAACAACTTGAGCAGCTGCAGTTGACTCTTGTCCAGCAATTCCCGGTCGTCCAGCGAACGGTATTCCCGAGATGGAGACTTCAGCCAAGCGACAAGGTCTGCAACGGCATTCAAAATTTTTTGAGTGCGATGCTTGCAATTCCAGAAGTCAGCGACTCATCGGCTCTAAGGTGGTTCTTGAGTAAGGAGTTCGAGTCGAACCCCGAGACCGGCAAGTCAAGTTCTGGTTTTTCGCAGAATCCAGCTTCAGGACTTTTATCGGCTATGGCGCCGCTCTCAGAGAACAGCATAGCCATCGGGGCCGCTGCTGCACAGGGCGCTAAGACGGCTCTGAGGCAAGCAAGTGAAGCATCGCTCTCCGCTGGACGATTTTTCAAGTCTCTTGGTGCTGCTGTGAGCACAGGAAGCAGTCCGCAGCTTACAGCGGAAGACAAGAGTGCACGCGAGTCTTTTGAGAGTGAAAGGAGCATCAGGAGCGTGAGTAGCACACTGACGTTGTCTGACCAGCGGCATCAGAACGGAACATCTTTATCGACCTCGGCAACTCGAATGCAGGACGTGGGTCCGGATTTTCACCCGCGGCCATCTTTTACCGGCGATAACAATCGCATCAGCCGGTCGCCACCGCCTCTTCACTCGACCAACTCTCAACCGCCAACGTCTAGTGAAAACGCGACACCTTTGCAGAAGGCAACTCAGCCAGGGACTAGCTCCTCCAATGTGCACCACAGTGTTCACATGGATGAATCGCGAGTTTCACCTCAGGATCCCACACCGCCCACATCAATAGTAGCATCAAACCAGACAGGAGACCCTTCAATTGAGCCCAAGAAGCCAAGTGTGCCTCTGTTATCGAACGACGAATTGGACTTACTTATTGAGACCACTTTCACGGTCTTGGAGGACATGATGGACTTTTCAAAGAGTCAGTCTATCCGTCGGATGACATTTGGAATGCTTCGAGAATTGGTCCGCAAGTCATATCGAGTGGCAATCAACGAGAGCTTTTCAGCCTGGGTCGAAGAAAGTACTAGTCGCGAAAAGGCTGTTGAGACACTGCGATGGATGAAGGATGATCTCTTCTGGCCCAATGGCGAATGGCCTATACCACCGACAGCTTCGCCTGGATCACAACCTGCCGCTACAACCTTTGCAGCACAATCGGACGAAAAGAAGGATATCATCAGCATCGGAGATGAGCAGTATGAGGTTGGCGCGGATGGAATCGCAGTCAAGGTCCAGAATTTGTCTGTCAATAGCTCTGCAGCGGGAGCAGCGACTACTGTGGGTACGGAAGCGACATCGACAGCCACAGTAGCTGTAGCAGTAATGCGGACACAGGAGGAAAAGGATGCGACAAGAGACAAAGCCAGAGAATTGATTAAGATGATGGTACCAGTGTCTCTTGCTACTGTTTTGGGCAGGGAGGCTGTCTTGCGAGGACTGATGGATGTATTTGACATGTTCCAGATCAAGGAGCTGAACCTCGGGCTGGCGTTAAGCGCTCTCGAGATGACCGTACGTCTCATCTTTACACGCTAAACACTAAGATACTAAGTAAGGTATCTGTAGAAAATTTTTTAGCCATAGAGCCGAATAAACGTTGTGATAGGAATATTCTCTCCTCTCGTATATACATTTCAATATGTCTGATTCATAGTACTAGACACCAGCATGGTGGCGACGGAAATTCCTATTTATTTACTTATACATTTACTTATGTATTTATGTGTTTTCTAGTGTCGTCTATCCGGGGGATGGACAAAGAATAATTTGTTCCTAGGACCAATGATGGCACCTGGGAGCC